TCTTGCTGGAACACTCGATTGTCTCTCGGCAGGGCGGTAGAGAGCTCTGTTGCTGACGTCGGCTATTTTAAGCTACGATGCTTCACGAGGCTAGCAACTCCCTCCAACGCTCCGTCATCCGACCTTGGCTTCTATGTGGTTTCCACTGCTTTCGTATACAGAACAAGAGCTTACCTGTATGTCCGCAAGAATCCACATTGGTCGCTCTCTTCAGATGGAGCGTCAATCGTCAAGTCAGGATGGTCTTCTCGTTTAGATCATCAGCTAAGGAGGTTGGTCATGTCCGTTTGTCTCTACACATGGTAAACTTTGCTCGGGAAATTGCGCAATCACTGTGTGCCGTTATCTTATTTTCGGTGTGAAAGGAGAGCGTTGGATGCCTTTTTGGCGGTCGTGCTCTTATCTTTCAGTAGAGTTGCCTGTTGAGAGATGGCACTAAGATAAAATAGTGACGTTGTGATGTTCTTCATGATGTTCTTCGCGGGACAGGAATAAACCATTTTTGTTGTTTTTTTGGTTAGAAAATTATTTTCTTAAATTACGTTTGAGGCGTAGGAAAATATCCAAAAAAGGCAGGGCAACAGTACTGCCCCTTCCCTAACTTTATCCCTGCTCATTTATCATCGCGCCCCGACATTCATTTTTATTTCTTACTGTCTTGCTCAGTACCAGCCGCCGTTGTCGTCATTGTGATACTCAGTGACTACGGTACTCAGGTTCGACTGACGCCGCAGTGATTCTTCTGCTGCCTCGAGGCCAAACTCGTGGCGTTCACGCATTCTTGCGGTTCGCCCCCCATCTTATCCTACTTTCTATCCTCCGAAAGGACTGAATACCCCATTCTCTACTCGATATCATCCTTTCACAGATAACGGTGACCGTACTGTCAACACTGGTCGTCGGAATCCAAGGTGACCAAGAGAGCGTCATTGTATGCCGCAGATATATCGTCGGAGGGCACCGTCAAAGGCAGACGAGCCGGCATCGAGGAAGAAATTCAGTACCGTCCTCGGATTCAGCCAGTTGTACAGGGACGCCAACGTTCACACCACGCCTGACGAGCTCGGCCATCACCATACCTTCACACGACGGAGCGTCGACAGCATCAGGAGCAGCGGAGCCGGCAGAGCACATATTGCAGGACGACCTTCTACTACATCCAACGACTCGCTCGACTCGCCGACCAGCCCAGCGGCAGCGACCACCCCTAAAGTGAGCACCGATCCCGTCTCGACCAACACGATGCTGGCCGCGACTGATCTTCCTCCAAATCGACGGGCTCCAGTTCGAATTGACGCCCAGGACGGCCCTTGGAGCGTTAGTGTTGCGGAATCGCCGCACGATGCCCGTTCATACAGTCTTTACATAAAGAGTGAGTTCCCTTTCATTGTCGGCTGCTGCAGCGTTTTCTCCACAGCCTCCCTTCATTCGCATGATTTTCTCCTTTAAAGACGAGCCGCCTGCATGCTTACTGACGGTCGTTCTCTCTCTCTCTCGCAGCTCCCACTCACAACATCACTCTCACCCGAACGGCCATGGAGATAGTTGAGCTCGACAGCAAGCTCCGTGAATCGTTACCCGGAGCCAAACTCCCTACACTTCCTATTGACGCTGCTGCTGCTGTTGCTGCAGCAGCGCCCAAACGTAAATCAACATTCCTTAATACCCTTTCCCGCCTTACTTCCCCCACCGCCGGCAAAGGTGGTCGGAATAACTCAACCCGGCGTGCCAATAATGCCAGTTCAATAATTGCCTCTCCCGTCGCCTCTCCGTCAAACGAGAAGAATGACCCGTTTTTGTCGTTCACGCCAAGCGCCATCAACGCCGCCCTTCCCACCACGGTCAACAGTACAGCCGTCGCAGCTTACCTGACGACCATCTCAAACACCCCTTCGCTGCGCCAGGCACGCGTGTGGAAGCGTTTTGTCCGCGTTCGCACGGACGACTTGGAGAGTGTCCGTGTTGAGCGAGCTATCAAGCATGTTAGGTCTGATCTTGCTGCTCATGTGGGGTTGACGAAGGACAAAGAAAACACCATGCCAAGTATTCGTGATTCGGAGGGCCCAATAGAAAATGGAAGCGCACACGATGAGAAGCTTCCGAACCAGGACCCTAACCACGAGACTGTAGGCGATGAAGGTGGTGTGACGTCTGAGGGGAAAGATCCGGAGCAGAAGGAGGAATGTACATGCGACGCTGTTTCTGTGCCCGTCGAAAACGAGGCTACGACGTTGACAGTACCAGCCGCCGAGCCACCCGTTACTCCGAACGAGCAGCAACAGGTGACTGTAGAAATGGAGACTACCCGTCCCTCTGAGGACGATGCTCCGAAAACGCCTGTATTAGACGGATCCATGAATCGCATACCCCGTTCACGTTCCGCAGACCCCGACAAGTCGAGACGTCTTGTTCGAACGTATACGTCGTCGACATCGAACCAAGACGGCACTTCTTCCCAGACAGAAACAGGCGACGACGAGTCTTCCGTATCGACGAAGGAAGAGCATATTGGCCGTAGACGTACGCGAAAGAAGCGATCTATGTCCATTGACCCCGCGCAGAAGAAAAAGTCGCAAAGGAAGGTTATTATTGACGACTTTGAGATGATGCGGGTTCTTGGGAAAGGATGTGCTGGGAAGGTCCTCCTTGTGAGGCACAAGTCGACGCAGGACTTATATGCCTTGAAGGCGATCACGAAGCGGCATGTGCTAGCCCATCAGGAGCTGCAGCATACGCTCACAGAACAGGCCGTCTTGAAGAAAATGGCTGCAGAAGCGAAGGATCCCTTTGTGGTCAAATTGTGGTGGAGTTTCCATGATAAAGAGAACCTTTTCTTGGTCATGGTGAGTATTAACTGTTGTTGTTTTCGATCGCTTCTTAATTTCCTCCTAAGGACTTCCACCCTGGTGGTGATCTGGCTACCCAATTAGCGCGATGGGGTCGATTAGGTCGGGATCGTGCTCGGTTCTACGCTGCCGAAATTGTAGAGGGTGTTGAAGGTCTGCATGCAGCGGGAGTCATCTACCGTGATCTCAAGCCTGAGAACATCCTCATTGGCTCTGATGGGCATATCGTCCTCACCGACTTTGGCCTGTCGAAAGAGTTCCCGAGACACTCCACTGCCGCAACCGCGCCTCCTACGCCTTCCGGCTCTCGTGGCGAATTTTACTCCGCTTCTTCAGGGCCGTCTCAGCCGCCAACCCCTCCATGGATGAAGATGGAGAAGGGCGGCGAGCTTGCTGCTGGATGGCCTGGTCCGTCGGTAGGACAGAACGATAGTACTGCCACATTCTGTGGGACGGCGGAGTACCTTGCTCCAGAAGTCATTCAGGGTTTGTCTTACAGCTATGAGATTGACTGGTGGAGCTTCGGAACGATGTTGTATGAAATGTTGACTGGTATTGTGAGTATTCTTGGTCTGTTCTTCCCGTGCGAACGGTTCCTGAGTCGTGGACGCTTAGACACCCTTCTGGGCGAACAACCATGCCGACATGTATGTGCGAGTGCTGCAAGACGACCTTCATTTCCCTGATGACAGGGCGATTGATCAAGACACGAAGAGTTTGATTCGCGGTGTCAGTTATATGCGTTTGAGGCTTCTTTTCATACTCATGGGAACATACAGCTTCTGCAACGCAATCCTGGGCTTCGTATTTGCGAGCCTCGGATAAAGCGGCATCCTTACTTCTCGATGATGTAGGCTTGATTGTTTTTATTAATGGACCAGGCAGTTAATACATCATGACAGAGACTGGTCTCACGTGTATTACAAGCGCTATATACGTTCGTTCGTTTTTCTGGGTGTTGAGCTATCAGCTAACTTCCTTGTTCACAGCCCCTTACATTCCACCCATCGACCCCTTAAATGCTAGTGATACGCAGAACTTTGACGATACTTTCCTTGACATGGAGCCTGTTCTTGATGAATTCAACGAGAACGAGCAGACGGATGATGATCAAGAACACGAGCAGACGGACACAGATCGAACGGATGGAGAGGAGACCAACACTACCCCATCACAGTCACGCAGTTCGTCAATAGCTCCGCAGTCACAGCCTGAAGATGATTCTGTCGATGTCTTTGATGGATACTCCTTCAAAGGCCGGCACTCTGTTGTCATTGATGATGAGGGTGACGAAGTAGAAGTGTCTCAGCAGTGAGAGTGAGACGGACGAGGAGGAGTTGGAGCCGGAGGAGGTTACTTCCGTTATTGAACCTGTTCTCGAGCCTGAAACGCCCAAGCCTGCGGCAGACATGGTTACCGATGAGGCGGAGGTAGATCTAGGAGAACCGAAAACGCCTGAAGCTCGTCCGGTGCTGTTACCAGCCGATGACATATCGATGCTCCCTCCTCTACCACAATCGCCTGTGGCACCCTCTCCACCGCGCGCAGAAGAACATGTGGAACCTACTCCCGAGCCTACGCCTCAGCCGCCAGAGGCCAAACCCCGGAAGAGCAAAGATTTAGACGCCGAAAAGGACGTCCGAGTCAAGCTCCAACCGCCTTCAAAGCCGGCACCAAAGGCCAACAACCGTGTCTCGCGTGCTCCCCGCAGAGAAAAATCAGGTGTCCCCGCTCTAGACCGATACCTTTCCGATGGTGGCGATGAAGATACAGCCACAGACAGGTTCGATGATGATGAGGATGATGATTGGGACTTTGTCGAAGCGGGGGATGGCGAGGACCGGAATGGAACCAAGGGCACGAGTTACTTTGCCCGGGGAGTTGTGGATCGATACAGATTGGCGGTGTTCCGCAAGGCATCGACGCCATCGCACCGGTCCGTGGGAAGGTCCTTCTCTGGTGTTTCGAAAGCCTCGACAGACACTACTGTTGAATCTCCGAGTCCAACGCAGCGGAGAGGAAGGAACCAAGGATTGACGTTCCGCAAACACCCTCGGCAGTTCTTGCGACCCAAGTCTCCACCGTCGTCGTATTCCGGCAAGTCTGGCAAGTCGATGAGCCAATCAGCTTCTGCTACGTTGTCTGCTTCGTCGAGTGCGGGGTTATTGACGCCGTCGCCGTCAATGTCGAGCTCTATGGTTGGCTCGCATTCGTTGAAGTCGAAGGAGTCGGCGGCGTCGGTCGGTAATCAGAGCCTCTCAGACCAGTCGGTAAACGGCGCTGATTCGGGTAATCCGGATCCACTCAGTGCGTCAGAGGCTACAAAGTCTGACGGGCCAGAGAAGAAGAACAAAAAGCTAAAGAAGTACAAGGAGAACGCGGAGAAGGTGTTCTCGCTGTTCTCGTCTCCTCGTCAACCGCAACCCCAATAGACCGCCGGCGGTTCTCATCGTTTCTTTTCTAATCTATCCTGTCGACGTTTTCCATAGGGCTATTATTCTGCAAAAGCTGAACCGAATTTGTATGCATCTTTCTCGACCATCCATTATCCTATGCACTCGTCTTTCAGAGGACTATTCATTGACGCTCTGGTCACCAGCACACTCCTTCCCTTATACAACTCTATTACCTGCGGATTCAAGAATTAATCATTGCACCTAACTATACCAATTTTGTTTGTTGGTCGCTGGAGTCTTTTCCGCATTTTGTCAGTCCTTACTTGCATTTGCTGTCTTTTTATAGTTTAGTCGCAGGTTCCAACCCTATAGATTGCTTTCCTTTCGCCCTCAATTTCAATCATTGATGCATGCAAACGTAGTCAAATCAGATCTTGTGTAGTTGTGGGTTAGTCACAGTGGGATAAAACAATATCCAGCTTTGGTAGCCATTGATCATTCCTGGTTGTTAAGCATCGTACTTGTGTCTTCCCCTTTGCTTATCTTAGGCTGAGGTCATTTCTCATCAGGATAGAGATAGATATTCAGCTTAAGTACTCCATCCTCGAAAATCCCTTCTGTCATGATGGTTGCGCAGAATTCTTGTAACAGCAGTCGGACTGCTACTCAGGGGACACAGCCGCGCGAATCGGCAGCCCGGGGACAATACTAACTTGAAGGTGTTGCTCATAAATAAGGCTAATTAATTTGGGGGTAGATCGCACTCATTGCGGGGCCGGAAGTACGAACTTCAAATTTAGTAAACTTTTAGCTGCGAGATATGTGGCTGTGCAAGCGGCGTCCAAATTTGAACGGTACTCGCGCCAAATTTTTCTTATCCCTCATTCTCGGTCATTATCGCTCCATATAAATAGGCGCTCCCTTTATTCTCTAACTCAGATCATGTTTTGTATGGATAGGGAGCGTGGCTCCGCGTTTTCCTTACCTCCTCGCTCCGATTTGGCCGTCCACTGTCGTAATGAGAAAACGGATGAGATGGGACCTCGCACAATATGAAAGGGTTTCAGAGGACTCGGATCTACGTGGACCTTACCCACATGGTTCTGTTTTAGCGTCAAGTTAGGATCCGGACGCTTTCTCAAACGTAAACTTGTTCTTGCCATGGTAGGTTGATACACCGTTCCTGCTGATTGAAAAGGGTGGCAAATTCTCTTTTAAGGTTTTCAAGCGCGTATAAAATGTTCGGTCCTCCCTCTCGGTCACAAGCAGGCATACAACCCACTAGAATGTTTAGCTCTATCCGCACTCTTGATATTTCCATTGTCCTTATCGGTTTGATTTTTGCTTGGCGCTTCTTTCGGCGTACTCGTCGTACTGCGCCATTTCCTCCTGGACCCAGAAGGACTCCCTCTTATCGGAACCTTCTTGACATGCCGCCCCAGAAAGAAGGCTTACCTTCGCTAAATGGGGGGAAAAATATGGTACGTTGTCTAGTAAAATGTTGGTAACTCTGCTCACAGCGTTTTACAAGGCGACATCGCATCAGTTTCAATTCTTGGTGCGCGTATAGTCATGATAAATTCAGCCAGATGGCGGTTTCCATGCTAGATAAGAAAAGCTCTATTTACTCGGATAGGCCACTTGTCGCGATGGGGTGAGCTCGTCGGGTGGAAGCATTCGCTAGGTCTTATGCCTTATGGTGCGCGTCTTCGGAACCAGCGTCGCCTAGCGCATCAGCTATTAGGAAATAATGCCGCTATAAAACAGTTTCTGCCAATGGTGGAGCTTGAGACACATCGTTTTCTGAAGAGAATCTCTGATAAGCCTGATGAGCTCCCTGCATATATCCGGAAGTATGTTATTTTCTTGTGTCTCCATTGGTCATGATGCTGATGTTCGACGTGTAAGGACTGCAGGAGCCATCATTCTGCAGATCTCGCATGGATACACTATACAAGAAGAGAATGATCCGTTTGTTGAGCTAGCTGAAAAGAATATGGATCAATTTTCTCTCTCGATGACCCCTGGTAGTTTCTAGTCAATCTTATTCCAACCTGTAAGTCTTGACTCATTCTCAGGTTCTCTTCACAACTGAGATGCGCCATACCTAGTACGCCACGTCCCAGAATGGCTTCCCGGAGCTGGATTCAAGCGGACCGCTCGAGAGTGGGCGTCAACGCTAAGTGATTTTGTGGAAAGGCCGCATACTTATGTAAAACAGCAAATGGTCAGCGGAATAGTGCTTTATACCGAGCAGCGTCTGAAAGACGTATAGGCTGCTGGAAACGCTCGTCCTTCTTTTACTTCGAGTCAGCTCGAAGGTGGAGTGAGTGCAGAGGACGAATCTGATATCAAATGGCTTGCAGGATCTCTATACGCCGGTCAGTACACCTATCAATTATAACCACCTGAAAATCCTCACCCAGTCTCTATAGGTGGGGCCGATACTGTAGGATTTGTCTTTCTCTATCAATATTTGGTCTGATCGTGGATTAGACCGTTTCATCCATTTATGCTTTCTTCAAAGCCATGGTTCTGTACCCTGAAGTTCAGGCCAAAGCACAAGCAGAGATCGACGCCGTGATCGGTGATCATCGATTACCTCGCTTCGACGACAGAGAACGCCTCCCGTATGTCAATGCTCTAGTTCTTGAAGTCACCCGATGGCACAGCGTAGGACCAACAGGTCAGTACTGGATGCATAGTTGATTTCCCCGGATATTCACTGCCTTGCTCTTTCTAGGAATTGCTCATTGTGCATCGGAGGATGATGTTCAATTCGGTTATTTTATTCCCAAGGGTACCGTGATCTTGGCGAACATCTGGTATGAGGATGTGGACTTCGTTGGAGACCTTGTCTAATTCTTCCTTGTGGTCTATAGGAAAATGCTTCACGACCCTACGGTATACAATGAACCATTCAAGTTCAATCCAGACCGATTTATTCGAACGGACAACAAAGAATCCGAACTCGATCCCTACAAAATAGCGTTTGGATTTGGTCGTCGGTGGGTCTTTTATTGGTACAATCGAGAACTATTAGCCTGATTATTTATGCAGGATTTGCCCTGGTACGACCGGTTAGGCCGGCCTCCATAACCCGTGCTGACCCTTAATATAGGAAAGGTACTAGCAGACGCCTCTATTTTCATTTCCTGCGCTATGGTGCTGGCGGTTTTCGACATTTCAAAGTATTCTGAAAACGGCATTGTGTTCGAGCCCGACACCGAACATACAGCAGGGACTATCAGGTATGAAGGTCTCGAATATCATCAACTCTGAATGTTTCTCATCATTCTCCCGCAGCCATCCCTCTCCGTTCAAGTGTACAATCAAAGCTAGGCAGGAAGGCATTGGAGCTTATTGACGAGGAAATAATTGCATGAGAAATAAAGTAGTCACTCCGCCAACTCCTCAGAGAATATGCTCAGCAAAGTCAGTTTCTGCGCCTTTTTGTTGCAGAGGTGAAATTATCTTCACATCTTGCGGCTATTGCTTCTGAAATTCACAACATCTTGTCACTTCTTGTAAGCATACATACTAGCAACAAGCTCCGCTCGTGTACTCCATCAAACAACAACACTCACATCACGTCTTGTCACGAACTGAGTGGTCCAGGCGGAGCGCTAGCGATTTTCATTTCTTCTCTTCGATATATCTCGTCATCATCTTCCGTGGTGCTCGAAAAGATCCATTAATATACCATATGTCCGTCTTCCTATGAGAAGGAATGGCTCACCTTCGCTAAATGGGGAGAGAAGTATGGTATGTGTATTATCAGCAGACCAAGATACTGTTTACTCAGGTTCTATCAGGCGATATAGTTTCGGTCTCCATCCTTGGTCGGCGCCTGGTTGTCATAAATTCGGCTCAGATGGCTATCAGTATACTTGACAAGAAAAGTTTTATCTACTCCGATAGACCAGTCGTCGGGATGGCGAGCTCGTCGGGTACAAAAACAACCCTCGCTCTTATGCCTTATGGGGCCCCGTTTCCGCAACTACCGTAGATTAGCACATCAGCTCTTCGGCAACAACCGCGACCATGAATCAATTTCTGCCGATGTTAGAGTTCGAGACGCGACGTTCTTTAAAGAGGACCTTTACGAGACCTGAAGGACTCTCCAAACATATCCGAAAGTAAGCCAATCCAGCTAATCTGGAAGTAGCAGCACTGATAAATAACGCGCAATAAGGACTTCCGGTGCCATAATTCTGCAAATCTCACATGGGTACGTGACTCAAGAAGAGAATGACCCATTCGTGGAGCTGGCGGAACGAACAGTGAACCAGTTTTCTCTTGCAGTGGCCTCGGGCAGTTTCTTAGCCAATATTATTCCAATCTGTAGGCATTTTCTCACCCTACATCTCTCTCTCCGCATTTAAGACGCACCATGTTCTAGTAACCCACATCCCAGATTGGTTTCCGGGGGCGGGATTCAAACGGACCGCTCGAGAGTGGGCTTCAACCCTAAACGAATTGGTGGAAAAAACCACATAACTATGTGAAGGAAGAAATGGTGGGTGGATTAACGTGCTCTGTCGAATTGTCGCTTAAGGATGCATAGGCGGCTGGAACGGCTCGTCATTCCCTGACCTCCAGCCATCTTGAAAAGGACGTGACTGCCGAAGAAGAGTACGATATCAAATGGCTTGCAGCATCTCTATATGCCGGTCAGTAAATTGTTCATTAAGTAAAACCTTCTAAGAGTGCTTACCCATTCTCTATAGGTGGGGCTGATACTGTAGGATTTGTGTTCTCATCATTCAACGTTTGGTCTGACCATAGGTTTAGACTGTTGCAGCTATTTACGTCTTCTTCAAAGCAATGCTTCTGTATCCTGAGATTCAGGCCAAAGCACAAGCAGAGATCGACGCGGTGATTGGGGATGACAGGCTACCACGATTCGATGACAGGGAGCGCCTCCCGTATGTCAATGCACTAGCGCTCGAGGTCTCCCGATGGCATACCGTTGCACCTGCAGGTCAGTATTGAATACATCCACATTTTCCTGGATTCTCACCATCATTGCACACTTAGGCCTTCCTCATTGCGTTACTGAGGATGATGTTCAATTCGGTTATTTTATACCCAAGGGTTCCATGGTCTATGCGAACATCTGGTATGAGGATATCAATCTTGTGTGAAACCTAGTCTCATAAGGCATATAACTGACAGGAAAATGCTTCATGATCCTGCGGTATATGATCAACCATTCGAATTCAAGCCGGAGAGATTTATTCGAACAGAAAGCAAGGAGCCAGAATTTGATCCTCATAAAGTGGCGTTTGGATTTGGACGGCGGTGAGTTCTCTGTTGGAACCACCAATTTGATTTATCATAGCATTTCACAGCATTTGCCCAGGTATAATTTCTCATTCTTGTGTTTTAGATTCATATTGACGCAGGTTCCAGGTAGAGTCTTAGCTGACGCCTCCATATTTATTTCATGTGCTATGGTGTTATCGGTCTTCACCATTTCGAAATACTCTGAAAATGGTGTTGTATTCGAACTGGACACAGAGCATACCGCAGGTGCTGTCAGGTAAGAAACAGCTTCGTTGTGTATAGTAGTTCTCAATGTGTCTCTCGTTTTTATCCAGCCATCCGACGCCGTTCAAGTGTGCAATCAAAGTTAGGAGCGAGAAGGCTTTAGGACTTATCAACGAAGAAAGAGTTGATTGAGGAATGAACGTCGTTGATGTAATCACATCTCCGTCAATTGAAGAACTATTTCCCAAACCAACCTTTTTTCTGTTTGCGTGTATTGAGTGATGCTTCAACCGGGATTCTCAAATTCTCAAACTCCAACAGAAGCATGCTAACGCGTCGACAAAGTCAAGACAAAGTGGATGATATCCATTACATGATTACATGTCGTGGCGGGCCTTCACTTTGCAGTGAATTTGCCAGTTCCACAGGGAATATGTCGGCCAAGTCAACATCCGTCTATCCTTTTTTTGATCAAGGTGGAGTTAGCTACATAGCTTCTGGAATTCACTGCATCTTGACCATTGAGGTTGTCAGCAAGTTCCCCCGTGTATTCCATCAAAAGCATTCGATACTCATTCGACGCATGTCACAAATCTTCTCACCACTAAACTGTTGTCCCGAAAGTTGCTTTGTGACTATTTAAATTCTACGGGGTACGGGGTCTTTTTCTCCGATAAAGAGAAACACTGCTCCAGTTCGCTGTATCTTGTAAGCATTCAGGCTGTCAGCAAGCTCCGTGTAGTCCATCAAAGAAACGCCGAACGCCCATCAAGTTCACAAACTTCTGGATCATTATTCTCCCTGATGCCTCGAGACTAGATATACCTAAAAGGATATCTGCCATCTTATCTATTCGTTGAGCCGGCATCAGTAACTCCTTGCCATGTACAGCGGATTTATAGGTCTGGGCACCCACACTGCTGGACACTAAGCCCCGCGCGCTGTTCTCAGTTGAGATCGGCGGCCCCTCCAAAATATGTTACAACACTAGCCCTGAAGATGAACTGAGACCATTATAGTAGACGATCGTATATGATATTGGGCACACTTCACTCACCAAGTGACGCTCATGTCCTGCCAGGCCACGCCGTTGTGGAATTTGAAGACCTAAAGACGAAATTAACAGACTTCCTATTTTTGTTCCTGACGCACCGTGGCTGTGCACAAGTGAGTAAACTGCCAAACTCAATAGGCGATCGTTTTTAGATCTATCTTCCACGGTCCAAGCAAGTTTTTTTCTTCTTCTCGAGCTGTGCCCGCGGATAGCCTAATTCCGACTGAGACGGACCTAAATGTCTCTTCGAATTCCGTGGAGTATTGATACGAGTTGAGATCCGGACTGCGTATTAGCGCCAGTTTCACGAGCCTAACTCAACGGTTTGTACCAATGAGAATTTGAAGTTACTCAGTGTGGACTAATCCCACCGCCGTCTACTAGAATTATGAGCGTCATTCTTCATGTTCTTGTCCTTCATGTGGTCAACATTAGACATATAAAGCAACATGTCACACGATATTATGGCCTAACAAGACTCGGAGCCATACGACTGCCGCTCCGCAGGTGCCTTTCCACCATCAATGGAGAAAAATCTCTGGCGCTTGTGTTGTCTTCTGATAGCCTAGTTTAGGATCTCAATACGACCGACGGGAATTTCTTGGAATGAGTCGTGCACTTAAAAGGATGGACTTTCATCTCGAATATCATCAAGCGACCTCCTTTGCAGAATGCTCAGCTCTCTTATTCTTCTTGACATTGCTATTGCACTTGCCGACCTGGTCTTTCTGTGGTATCTCTTCCGCAGAAACAACCGTGATGCGCCCTTTCCTCCAGGCCCTAGAGGACTCCCGCTTATTGGGAACCTTCTTGACATGCCCTCTGAGAAGGAATGGCTCACCTTCGCTAAATGGGGAGAGAAATACGGTATGTGTATTATCAGCAGACCAAGAATACTGTTTACTCAGGTTCTATCAGGCGATATAGTTTCGGTCTCCATCCTTGGTCGGCGCCTGGTTGTCATAAATTCGGCTCAGATGGCTATCAGTATACTTGACAAGAAAAGTTCTATCTACTCTGATAGACCAGTTGTTGGTATGGGTGGCGAGCTCGTCGGGTGGAGAAACTCCCTGGCTCTTATGCCTTATGGTGCACGTTTTCGTAACCATCGTCGCTTAGCGCATCAGCTTTTCGGCAATAACGCAACCATGAATCAATTTCTGCCGATGTTAGAGTCAGAGATGCGTCGCTCTTTGAAGAGAATCTTCATTAGACCTGAAGGACTTTCTGAACATATCCGAAAGTGAGTGAATTTAGTTTATCTGTAATTATTGACACTGATAATTAACGCGTAATAAGGACTGCCGGATCCATAATTCTGCAAATCTCACATGGATACGTGACTCAAGAAGACAACGATCCCTTCATAGAGCTCGCAGAACGAACAATGAACCAATTTTCCCTTTCAACGGCTTCGGGCGGTTTCTTAGCCAACCTTATTCCAATCTGTAGGCATTTTCTCACCCTACATCTCTCTCCGCATCTAAGACGTACCGTGTTCTAGTAACCCACATTCCAGACTGGTTCCCGGGGGCTGGATTCAAACGGACCGCTCGAGAGTGGGCTTCAACCTTAAACGAATTCGTGGAAAAGCCATATAACTATGTAAAGCAAGAAATGGTGGGTGAAATAACGTGTTCTGTCGAATTGTCGCTTAAGGATGCATAGGCGGCTGGAACGGCTCGTCATTCCCTGACCTCCAGCCATCTTGGAAAGGGCGTGACTGCCGAGGAAGAGTACGATATCAAATGGCTCGCAGCAACTCTATACGCTGGTGGGGCTGATACTGTAGGATTTGTGTTCTTATCATTTAATGTTTAGTCTGACCACGGGTTCAGACTGTTGCAGCTATTTACGCCTTCTTCAAAGCAATGCTTCTGTATCCTGAGATTCAGGCGAAAGCACAAGCGGAGATCGACGCAGTGATTGGGGATGATAGGCTACCACGATTCGACGATAGGGAACGCCTCCCGTATGTCAATGCACTAGCGCTCGAAGTTACCAGATGGCACGCCGTAGGACCTGCAGGTCGGAATTAAATTTACTCACTTTGCCTGATTTCTCACCGACCTTTCACCCTTAGGCCTTCCCCATTGCGTTACTGAAGATGATGTTCAATTCGGCTATTTCATTCCTAAGGGTTCTTTGGTCTATGCGAACATCTGGTATGAAAATGCCAATCTGTCTGAAACGTAGCCTCATGGCGTATCACCTACAGGAAAATGCTTCACGATCCTGCGGTATATGATCAACCATTCGAATTCAAGCCAGAGAGATTCATCCGAACGGAAAGCAAGGAGCCGGAATTTGATCCTCATAAATTAGCGTTTGGATTCGGACGACGGTAAGTCCTCTGCTCGGATGTATTCTATTGATTCCTCATAAGCCTCTGCAGGATTTGCCCAGGTACAATTTCGCAGCTCGTGATTAATATGCATACTGATGCGGGATCCCAGGTAGAGTCCTAGCTGACGCGTCCATATTTATTTCGTGTGCAATGGCGCTGTCGGCCTTCACCATCTCGAAATGTTCTGAAGATGGTATTACACTTGAACCGGACACGGAACACACCGCAGGGACTATCAGGTAAGAAATCGGCTTCATGAGTCTTGGATTGATTCCTCACTGCGTCTTCGCCTTTGATTTTCTTTCAGCCATCCGACGCCGTTCAAGTGCAGAATCGAAGCTAGAAGTGAGAAGTTTTTAGGACTCATTAACGAAGAACGGTTCGATTAACAATGAGTGCCGATTGATCTAACCATAGCCTCCACCGAAGAACTATTTCCCGAGCCAGCGTCCTTCCGTTTGTAGTATGTACTGCTGATACTGATTGTCCAATCTCTATGAATGATCCTTATCCTGATGGATTCAATCAGGATTCTCAAATATGAAAGCTCTGACAGAAGCATGTTAATGCCTTGACAAAGTAAATGATATTTACGTGTCATGACGGGCCTTCACTTTGAACCTTCTTTGTGCTTCAAGCCAATCTTAATTCACAAGCTGGAAAGTTGTGGAATGCGAGTTCTTTTTCATTAGTGATGGATCAGCCTATAACACCCTATTCTTTGCCTTCTTGAAGTTCTCCCACCGAGCTTCCCACTTTCTCTCTGTACCCACATGCACATACTCCAATTCTGTGGCGATTGATTAATTCTTTGTGCAACTATTTCTCTCATAAGGGAAGGTTTCCAAGAGTCCGCCACGATTATACTGACAAACGATCAGGTTGATATTGTTGAGAGCGGGCTATCAACCCGCTGCCGCCGTCCCGGTATCCCGGTCCATATAACCGCGCCATGCCGGCGGCAGGATACTTCCGGAGCCGCAGCTTCCAACTTGAAACCTCTTGAATCGTCATTATTGTCTTGACTCTTCATAGGTATCTGTGCCAGAAAGTCAAGTCATATTTCCCATACTTTGCAGCAGGTACGTTGTTTTGTGAAACGACACTGGTTTCTTCTGATGTCTTACCACGGGCTGGTCCAAGGCTGGTTGATATCTCCTTCTTCTCGCCGCACGGGTATCCTTTCCACATGAAGGACCCTTGGGCAGGGCTTCGGGTCAAAACCGAAAAGAGACGTACTCTAACAACGTATCCGGGACGAGCTTGCAGCTGCGGTGGGCCCCGTGTTACATATTCTACCCACCGGGCTGTCTATTCCCGACTGCTCAGAGCCTTCTGATTACTCTCAAGGGGTACATATTACGAATCTTGGCACTGAGTGATCCCGCACATGGAGAGGAGGTAAGATTCAAGAAATGGAAGATATATCGTAAAGTACATCCCAGGAGGACCGGTATGTCAATATCAGGATGCAACAGAAAAAGACTGCGGAACATCCAGGTCAGTGTCGAAGAAGACCGCCGTCAAAGACTTTTTTAAGCTGTATCCTCGTTCGGAAGCTTGACAATCGCTGTCAATTGAGCCGCTCAGTGACCCACCCCAATCAACCTAACCTTTTCCAGCTCCTTCATCCTTCCATGCTCTACATGCATACGAATATTCGTGTCCACCCACCCTATATTCTACGTACACAGCTCAAGCATCGAAACTTTGTTGTCATCCTTTGGCTTCTTTCATTGCGTTGCACCGTGTCGCCCACTTTGTCGTTGATTCTGGAAGCTAACCCGGTCTTTCGCGTCGAAATCTTCAACTCCCATGATACGAAAATAATTTCCGGCGGCCCCACGTGCAGTCTCCGAGTATTAGTGCCTTTCACTTCATTCATTCGCGAGCAGTATTCGCTATGGTTCAACCTCCTCCGCCGATGATAGAGCCTGAAAATGCCCTGAGCAAGTAGGCATGGATGTGCCTCGTCACTTCCGCGTCCTTTCCAGAGCCCAGCCGGCGGTTCGGTGTTCACTCAGTTTTCCTATACGAAGTACATCCAGCGTGCTTCTCGTGGGCCTAAACAGAACACGGGTGATATCCGCTGGGACCTGAGAATCCCCGGGTCTTAGCCAGGACGATCACTTTGAGATTGTGTGGATGAAGGATTTACAGAACACCTCGAAGACGGGCCCGATTCAATTTTCTTGGTAGCACGGAGCAGTGAAGCTCGGCGCAAAACCTGGGCAAAGTGGTGAAAGTGCGGTATGTATCAAATTTCATAGTATTGAAACCGTTATCATCGAAGGAGACGGTGATGGCGATGGAGAACTGCACACGTACATTTGTGCCGTTGGTTCTTCTAGCAGCGTTACTACGAACACACCCGTTTCAGGACAAGAAGAGTCGTGAACGGGTTTGGTAACTAATACTTAGGACGTCTACAGAGTTCCGTTCGTTTTCTATCGGTTATACGAAGCCATAAATTCGAGTTCTACAGAGGAGCCCTCTACATCGAAGCGCCCCCTCCCCATCCCATGTTTTTCTCAACCATCCTTGTCCTCGTTTGGCTCTTCTGTATCACGGTTGCTCAGCAGCATAATACTGAACCAATTGTCGATGGGTCGGTTGATGACGGCTGGCAGTCGTTCCCAGATGTCATTGACGCCACCGCGCATCCCGATTGGGTTGTGGATGAAGAGCTAGAAGCATATCTTGTACTTCCTTCTTGCTTTTGATTCCCTTGTCGGGGCGAGTGACTCAACCTCGTGTTAGCCTGTCTACCAAACCACCGGCCTCAACACGTCCGAAGTTACCAGAGCAGTTATCATTCTACACGGGAAGGTTTGTTATTATCTACTACCCCGCCACGTAAGCTGACGTTGTTTCAAGGAGAGAATGTGTTGGTCCGGTGGGTGTCACCCATCTTTTGAACCACGTCACGTCGATAACCCAGACCTAGATTGGAACTCTGCTAACAACGCACTCTACAATGCCACCTACGATGACCCCACTATTAATCGTGATGAGATATCCATCATGACCCCATGTTTTTTCGACGAGGATGACCTGGAAGCGGGCGCCGCACAAGATGGTCAGCTCCTATGGGGAAGAACGACGTGGATTAGCGGACATCGGAATGTTGGACCTGACTCAATATCTGACTTTAGCAGCTTTGATGTCCTCGACGCCTTGGTGGCGTATTATATGAACACAACTGTGTATCCAAATTTGGAGGTGAGATTTCTATCTTCACTTTCTGTTATCCTGCTAAGTATTTATTTTCAGACCGTCGTCGTCGGGGGACACTCAGCCGGCGGTCAAATAGCTCAACGATATGCCGCCTTGAAGATCTCTACTGAGAATGATGACCGGCTGCGTTTCTGGATCGGTAAGTCCATGGTGTGATGAGAACTCTTTCATGAATTGAAATATTCACTATAGCCAATCCGGCATCACTATGCTGGTTAACATCAGATCGCCCGGTACCTAACGATGAGTGTGAGGGATTTGACGACTATAAATATGGGCTGGCCTCCAGCTTTCCCGCGTACGCAACTGCGAATGCACGTATTCTTGCAAGAGATGGCATCGTTGAAAGATACAACGGACGCAGGATTAGTTATGCTTGGGGTCTGGTGAGCGATACTTGTCTGATCTCGGAACAATCGCTAAACACACCTTTCAGAAAGATAATGGTGCTGGGGATACCCGTTGTCAAGCACTAGTAAATTTCTTCTTTCGTTTAATCTGTTCTTATAATAACGAATGACTCCTCACAGACGCAGGGAAGCACACATCTAGAAAGAGGACAGAATTTTGTTTCGATGCTGGAAGATATGGGCGGTATACCCAATCTCACGACCGTCGATTGGGTATCCGGGGTAAGCCATAACACCGACAAAATGATGGCAAGCGATGCTGGTATCGATAAGGTGAGAGAATCCATCTGGTGAGCCCTTTACCGCAATGATTAATGGATGGGTAGTTATTCCGATATGTGGGAAACGACACGAGCACTTAATTTTGTCATTCAAATGGTACCGGGGCAACGAACCTTTACCGTCGACTCAAGAACTATATTGTCGAGACACGTTTTCAAAGACCGCGACAGTAATACACGACAATTAACGGGTTCTGAAAATGAGGGTACTTTTTATTGAAATTCTTTCCGTGTAGTGATGTAGGACACTTTAATAATGATATGCAGTTTTACATTGTACCCGATATGCCTCCAGAAGAAACGTAAAACGCGTCCGCTCGCAAGCACAGTTGCTACTAAGAACTCTTCGTAGAAACGGAAACCATGCCGAGAGGCTGAGGAGGTCCACGGAACAAGAATATTTTGTGGCCAAGCTGTTAGGTTTAGCCACGGGGGACTCCCTTCAGTGACCGCTCTGGCTGCGTCTCACTCCGCCTGCAAAGATGGTCGCTTATGTGCCTCAATGAAGACAACCTAGAGAAGAGCGCAGTGCTCGTGTCGCCTGCCAAGCCATGTTTGTCAGTAATCCACCAGTAGAAAACACGGCAATTGATCTATATAGATAAAGGTTTCGATTTGAGAAACTTTGACCAGACAAGAGAATAACGTCTCCCGTCTATAGGTCAAACTCAAAACTTGTGCGCCGTCAGTTACATTTCGTTCGCCTTATCCCTACTGAAAATCCCTGGTGGAATAGCGATTAATTATTTCGTAATATTCTGAAGAATAGCTCAGATGAGTGGTTAAGAGAAAATATAATCTTGGAGCCCGAGTCCCGAGTCCCGATTTCCGATCCCAATAGCCACAAAAGGCAATCACCGCCCAAGACCATAGCTGTTAGGTTAACACCCGCAGAAGTATCATAAACCTCTAATTATAAAAAGAAATAATAGTATAAAAATATATGCCCAACCTGGATCAAGCTTTGACCCCTGCCTGTTGCGCTCGCCATCGAGCAACAGCTTTTCTTCGCATCAACCACTGGATTAGCGGGATAGTAATCATCGATATCACAGTCCACGCTATTAGGATACCGAATTGCATTCCAACTAGAGGACAAATAAGTTCTTTATCCATGCAGCATAGGAACGACAGCTTACGTTGGTTCTTCGTTCCAAATACAATTGTTCTAACAGCGCCCGACAGGTTATAGAATGGGAACGCATATCCATAGCGGAATATGTGCGGTAGGACGTCGATGGGCATGAAACATACCGATACGTTAACTACCCTCAGAAGTTAGAAAGGCGTAGCCAAACACAAAGGACACGCTACTCACCAATAATCCATAATATCATGAAGAAAGCGACAAATCTCAAAGTCATAAGCGTCATCATGGCCTCAAGTGCCAGCCCCACCGCCAGCATCCCAGCAAAGTTCGCCATCCAGAAAACGAGGAACCCGGCAGGTCCCAATCTGCATGGATCGATATTAGGAGCAGAGTCGAAGAAAAGACGAAGAATCCTTACACTCTGGAGAAGTTTACTTGGAAGGCTCGACTGAGCAGTGAGTAAAACAGCGACAGCGCAAAATATGCGAGGAAGCTTGAGACCATCCTGACCCTGATAAGAGAGCCTGTTGTCAATGATTTCTCTAGTCCCGATAGTTCACGAGCAGCGGCGCAGAAGTTCTAGGTGGTGGTACTTTCAGGTGGTGAGCCGGAAGGCTAAGAAGGAATACATACAACAATGAAGAATGACAACACCAGCACATAGATAAGACCGACGAAGGTGATGGCACTGGCACTACAAGTCCTGCTGTTAGAGAGTACGCCCCTGAAAACAAAAGGGAACATACACAGGTACATCAAAAGGGCGTAAGTTGTTAATAGTATAACTGATGGGCTCCGTTAATATTTGGGGTGCGGTGGTTGATATTGATGCTAAGGTGCTCGACGACGACGACGCGACTTGCCGAAGAAAGGATTGGGCAAAGACCTGAGAGATTATGGCGAGCGTTGTTTGCACAGATGGACGTACTAGAGAACGGCTTAACGAAAAGAATATGAGATGCCAGGGCGTGATGAAAGGTTGATTACTACGCACTATGCATTTTCGTTGCGGGCTTCAACAGCATAGACTGTAATGGCTTCTGAGCCGTCATATGAAGAGTTTACTGACGACAAGGCATATTGCAGAGCCATCGTGGCGTTGGAATTGACTATCCGAAAAATGAGCAGGGTGAAAACAAAGAACGTTATATCTTACCAACAACAGCAACCCAAGCCTTCTGATCAACGATTAGATTTGCGACCTCTTCAGGGCCAGAGAATTCGCTCGATGACCGTTCTGTCCAAGTCACCTTTGACGACGATGACACGAGACCCTTCACAATCGCGTTTCCCACTGTCGATCCATCAAAGTCCTACCAAAATGTTCAGGGTAAGATATACGCCAGGAACAAGGATACTCACCACAACCCACCCCTGTAGATTATGAGCCGGTATCTTCCAGACGGCGCCCCAGTATATTGAAAACACACAAAACATGACAACGGTCATGGCAAGTGTTCCCCCTGCTACAATCTTCATATACAGACTCCGCGAGGCCTTCATCGAAGAAGATTTATCTGTGAATTGTGACGAGTACATTGTTGGATTCTCCTCATTTCTGAGGGATGAGGTTCGTGTTGAGGTTAATACCATGCTACGAGGACGAGCCATCAACACATCACTGGTCGATGCTATAAGTATCCTACGGTGGTCGAGGCTGTCTGGATCGAACCTTCCTAAAATGGGCATTAACGTCGGCTAAGGACGAATTAGTGATGACTGTACCCGCTTATCCGGCCTAGACCTCCCTTAACATCCTCCTTCTGAAAGCCGGACTGCCGTCTTCAGGCAAGATATTAATCTGGGTGTTCAACAGGTGCTTCATCAGTCGTTTGCGTGAAGATGGTAAAAAGCATGGCGCACAGATAGTACGGTCCTGTAAAATAATACTCACTGCGAGGCGAAGTCGAGTTTATATGTCAGCCTGGTCGCCTAAAAGTCGTTTTGCGGTTTGTTTCAGACAGACTACTTGCACTGATTGTGATGGTAGCAAGAAAGGAAGAGCTATCTCATCACGTCATCAAATTCAAATTTCGGTTCAAATTCAGCCTGTAAGACTGTAAGACTGTTGTAAACCGGATCTCGTAGTCTAAATTACCAATCATGTCCTAGTGTGAACTACTCTAAGCTTTCTCTTCCGGTCGTGCCTTTGTCGCTTGAGCAATAGATTATCGCAGTTATAGTGTACAAAAATTATCTGCGTACAGGTACTTCAGGAGATCAGCTAAAACAGGTACCCATTTGACACACACCTAGTTGTCTCTCCATCTCCCAGTACTTTTATGCATCCTTATAGGTGTACCTGCATCTACTCGTACTTGTTGCTGTACTGTAACAAGCCGTTCGCAAGTACTTTTTGAGAACGTCCGTGTTGGGTCCGCAAAGATCCGGGCATTGCCGAGACGTCGAACCTGCCGCTGATGGCGCATTCACACCAAGCCTAGAACTTGTATGGATAATATAAGTCCATGCCAATGCAGTAGCACCCTCGGAATATATATAATAATCAATGACTATACAAGAATGTTTTAGCAAAATAGAAAAGAAGTTTACAAAACTCGGAATTTCGCTTCCAGTCAACTTCCAGTACAAAGCCAGACCCAAAATCTCGGACGTGTGGTCGCGGAAATGCAAGGCGAAACGTCAATTGTGAGTAAGCGGCAGAGGTTTAATTAAAGACGTCCATAGGAACAAGATTTGCGCACGCAAATCAATGGAGCTTCAAAAGAGGAGGGAAATCGGAGAGGTAAGAACGAAAATTTCAAGATTTTTGCGAGTGGGCTGGAAATATGTGCAAACAATGATGTGCCCGCGGCCACGGATAATGCAAGCGACGAGGGGTTTGTCGTTGAGTGATAGTGTCCATCGGGATCTGTAAATGTACTTGCGAACTTGAAGTAGTGGCGGATCACTAAGTGGTTGCAAATTGAGACACATGTATCGCTCAAACGGGAAGTGGCTGTGTGAGCCTAACCCTGACGGTGAACAAGCACCAGCATCGAAAGTAGTGCTGGGAACCATCAAAAGTAGTGGTGTCCTCCCTACTGAACAAAAGAATTTTTGTACAGTATAACGCCCATAATAGATTTCGTATTTGTGGCAAGTTTACCTTTAGACGCCGTTGACTCTACTGGTCTCATTGCCGTCGCACTGCCAGCCATTTTAGTCGACTTGCCGCCAGTATTTTTCTTCGACTCCATACCATCAGACTCGTTTCCAGTCGCCTTCTTCGTTGACTGTTTCGGCGGATAGTCCGAATCGGAAGGCTTGATAATACGAACTACCTTATCCTTCCCATCCTCGCCATCGCTCCAAACCGGACTTCCCAACTTGACATCGCTATACACCATCATCGTAAGGTTGTTCGCCGTCTTCACCCAGAGCGGTTCAACAACAGTAGATTTCCGTTCAGCGGTAATCTCCTGCAATTCCGCTGTCTTCCTGCGGAAGACCGATGTAGCCCGTCTCCACAACTGCGTTGTCAGGACCATCCGGAATTCTCGACCTAGGAGTGTGTTAGTGACTTCCAGGAACAAGAGGGCAAGTATCTCTACCATCGTTTACACGCTGCGTTGGGTGCGCGTAACACATTTGGACCGCCACCGCCGGAACCGGTGGGTTCGTGCCGGTTTGTATACCGGCGTTGTTGTAAATCGGTTGACCCCAGACAAATCCGACGTCAAAGAGTATCTCCAGGTTGAACCCCCTGTCTGGTATAGAATTGGGTAAGCTGTTGACCTCCACCTACACGATTCGCTCAATCATTTTGGAAGGAATGTCACCGCAAGGGTTCTCACTTGAGTTTTCCTCCGCGGGTATGCATCGAAGGATGCTGGGATTTCCGCTTGCTGCGCCTTCACCTGAGAAGAGTAGATATAACCTGACGTGATAAAGAGGCAGAGAACTTACGAGTGGATGCATAGGGGTATTCGTCTATATTGAACGTTTTAGCATTAAAATTCTACGGTTCTTTAATTTCACTCACCACATGAAGTGCCCGGTGCGCCAAACACGCTGGCACCTACCTTGCATGGAGTCTGACCATTGATCCCTCCTCTGTGATAAGACATCAGATTCTTGTATCAAAGGTTGCGAACACCACTGACGTGCATCCACCGTCTTGATTACGTCCCTAAGATAAGTCAGTAAAGGTAATCAACGCCAAGCTGTAAAGTTGTAATACTCACATCTCCCCTCGTCAATGTCGACGGCTTTCCCGCCATATAGATAGCTGCACAGTCGTTAATACCTACACCTACATACAACAAGTAAGAGACATGGGTCATAAACATTAGTGGATATTACCCTGTGCCCCGTAACGAGGACTGCCACGCGAAATGTATGGGTAGCATGTCTGAAAAAAGGGTTAGTGAGGCGTTTTCGCAGGAGACCTTGACGCACCTGCGAAAATATTCCCCGATATACAGCAGACGATGAGGAGGAGAACATGAGTAGGGAAAGAATAGAAAATGAAGATCTGAGAAACATTGTGTGATGTAATAATCGGTACCCTAGCAAGCCAGCTGCAGAGTTGCAACATTTCCCGACAATTCTTCTCACTTTTATCTTCAGCAGGGTCGCATGTAGCAACAGAAACAAGCGATCAAAGATTCCTCTTCCAGAGGTCATACCTCAGAGAGTCGACGATGTCAGCGAAAAGAACACAGCCTCTTGGGCGGGCATTGAACGCGTTGTGAACCTTTGTCAAGAGCACCGACATTCATCCCCGCCGTGAACACAGGACAATGCGTCCTAGAGAAGGGCCCGGGGAAGATTGTCAGTCCGGCTTGATCATCGGTAGTCTGGACTCTAATCTGTTAGTGCAGTTTCTCAGACAACAGACACTAGTCGCAATATTTCCGCACTCTGCGACTGAGGTGAGGTGAGTTGTTGATAGTGCGGTAACGATAACACTCGAGGCATCCGTTCTCTGCCACGTCCATACCTTCCTAGGTCGACGATGGCGGGGAATTTTCCACTAGAGTCACCCCGAGTCTCTCATGAACTAGCAGCAAAAGCTACTGTCATTCATCCCGACACAAATACAGAACAGTATGTCGAGGTCCAAGCCAGTACGAAATTTTGTTCTAGAGAGGGATGCGGACAACGGGAGATTGTCGGTCTTGGCTGATCAGCAACCCGAAGTCGAATCGTCAATACAGTTTCTCAGACAACAGACACCACTCACAAGATGTTCATGTTCAACTGAGGTGAGCCGATAGTACGGTAACGTTAACGCCCAATCAAAGATACCCTTGATGCCCGCGTTCATCAAAGAGTGATCTTGCCGATATCATATAAGGCCCTGTATTGAAGCTGGCACCACGCATTCAAAGATCCATCTTCCCCTAACAAGGTCAAAGAAAAGTACGGGCTTGCAGACAAAATCCCTATGTGTGCTCATCGAGGAACTTGTAGTATGGTTCTCCCATCCCCAACACAGCACGCCTCCGAGATTGCTCTCTTCGTCACTGGCCAGCCTTCAAAAGAATGGTTGGCCAAAGCCAAGAAACAAGCCGACGACGGGGACGAGAGCGAAACCGCAACTCTCACTATCATAGGTGACGAGGGGCAATTCGCCGGATGGTCCATCCAGAAGTTGGGCGAATACCTCGTCGACAACTTTGCAGACCCAGAGTGCCCGGTGGCTTGTGGTTCGTTCGCTGTAGCAGATGAAGAGAGTGAGGAGACGGATTCCTTCCTCTTGGTCGAGTTAAGTCCCAAGTACCTCCTCGGCGATCGGAAAATCGTGATTGAAGGAACGATGCGAGTAGGACCGGAGTATGGAGTTGGAATGCCTGCGATGTTTCACGGCGGAGTAAAGAGTATTGGTATTTTTGCTGGGGAGTCTGGAGACATTCTCCGAGGATAACTGGAGTACAGAGGGCCCGCGGGAAGTGGATTCCATTCACTGCCTTTTCTGCAAGATTCCGGATAGTCTTGCAATCATCTGTAACGATAGAGAGAATCCAAATCAAGTGATTCAGAATGCAATAGTAGTACTCACTGTAGTCTCGAAATAAATCTACGAAAGGAAAGTTTTCAGTGACAGCCGATATCCGGCATGCATGCGGCTGCCTTTGACTTGACGCTCCGGCATCATCCGATTGGTTCTTGACGCGAACTACGTATCTTGGCCTCAGACCTGCACTTAGCGTAAGTGAATTTGCTGCGCCAAATTCTTTTAAGTCTGAAAATCAAAGCAGTTGCCGTTCCTTTGTATAATTACAAAGGGATATCAAGAAAAAATTCGGGGACCCGAAACTTATCGCTACAATATTGGATGACGAAGTTCAAGTTCGATATTACCATGCCAACGGGGTTTTCTGCCCCTCAGTGCTCACAATGTTCTTCTCTGGGTCTGACCATAAAGCATGCGAAACAACACATTACAAACGCTCCGGCATGACTCCGAGTTGTGAGAATGCTACTGTATGGCATCTTTTCAGCTTCTCCGAGGAAGGATCTCTGGCTTCGCATCATCTCAGCAAGTCTGCTGATTACTCAGTTCAGGATCTCAATACTACCGATGAGAATTACTTGGACTAAGTGGCATACTTATAAGCATGGGCGTTTACCTCGCTCAGTATCAAACATCCTTTCTTCAGAATGTTAATCTCCCTTATTACTCTTGATATCGCGATAGCACTTGCCAGTCTGGTCTTTCTGTGGCGTCTCTTCCGCCGAACCCGTCGCAACACACCGTTCCCTCCTGGTCCTATAGGACTCCCGTTTGTTGGGAACCTTCTTGACATGCCCGCTGAGAAGGAATGGCTGACCTTCGCTAAATGGGGAGAGAAATACGGTATTATTTTCATCATTGATAGATAGTACAACGTACTCAGTTTTTCGTCAGGGGATATAGCTTCGGTTTCCATCCTTGGGCGGCGCCTGGTCATCCTAAATTCTGCTCAGACGGCTATCAACATACTCGACAAGAAAAGTTCCATCTACTCTGATAGACCAGTCGTCGGTATGGGTGGAGAGCTCGTGGGATGGAAAAACTCCATTATTCTTATGTCTTACGGAGCACGTTTTCGTAACCACCGCCGGTCAGCTCATCAGCTTTTCGGTAACAATGCGACCATGAAGCAATTTCTGCCGATGTTGGAGCTGGAGACTCACCGCTCTCTAAAGGGAATATTTACTAGGCCTGAAGGGCTTCACGAACATATTCGAAAGTGAGTCATTAATTGCCCTGTCAGTAGCAGCATCGATAATCAATGCCTACTAAGGACTGCTGGATCCATAACTCTGCAAATATCACATGGGTACGTGACTCAAGAAGAGAACGATCCCTTCGTGGAGCTGGCAGAACGAACAATGAGCCAATTTACCCTCGCAATGGCCTCGGGTGGATTCATAGCCAATCTTATTCCATCATGTAGGTAATTCGTCACCTAACAGTGGTCTCCGCATCTGAGAAGTCCCTTGCTCTAGTAATCCGCATCCCAGACTGGTTCCCTGGAGCTGGATTCAAACGGACCGCCCGGGAGTGGGCTTCGACTCTAAACGAATTCGTGGAAAAGCCACACAACTATGTAAAGCAAGAAATGGTCAGCGCATTGATACATTTTACAGAGTCGTATCTCAAAGATGTCTAGGCAGCTGGAAAGGCGCGTCACTCCCTGACCTCGAGCCTGCTTGAAGGTGAGGTGACTGCCGAAGAAGAATTTGACGTCAAATGGCTTGCGGCAACTATATATGCTGGTCAGTAAACTCTTCATTTCCAGCACCCGGAAACTTCTCACTCGTTCTCTATAGGTGGGGCCGATACTGTAAGCTTTTCTTCTCTTATCCAATGTTTGGTCCGACCTCGGATTTAGACCGTTGCATCTATCTACGCCTTTTTCAAAGCAATGCTTCTGTATCCTGAAGTCCAGGCAAAAGCACAAGCGGAGATTGACGCGGTGATCGGGGACGACAGGCTACCACGATTCGATGACAGGGAACGCCTCCCATATGTCAATGCCCTAGCCGTCGAAGTCACCAGATGGCACGCTGTAGCACCTGTAGGTAAGCATCGGATGCATCCATGTTTCCCTGGATTCTCACCGACATTTTTCACTTAGGCCTTCCTCATTGCGTTTCTGAGGATGATGTTCAATCCGGCTATTTCATTCCAAAGGGATCCTTGGTCTATGCAAACATCTGGTATGAAGATGTCAATCCTGTCTGAAACCTAGCGTCATGGCATATCACCTACAGGAAAATGCTTCACGATCCTGCAGTATACGATCAACCATTCGAATTCAAGCCGGAGAGATTCATCAGGACAGGAAATAAGGAGCCGGAATTTGATCCTTATAAATTAGCGTTTGGATTCGGACGACGGTGGGTCTTCTTCCTAAGTCTTTTCTATTGATATCTCATAAGCTTCTGTAGGATATGCCCAGGTACAATCTCGCAGCTCGTGACTAGCATACATGTTGATGCAGAATCCAGGCAGAGTTCTAGCCGACGCGTCAATATTTATTTCATGTGCTATGGCCTTGTCTGTCTTCAACATATCTACGTATTCTGAAAACGGCGTTACATTCGAACCAGACACGAAACATACTGCAGGCTCCATCAGGTAAGAGCTTAGTTCTGTTGTGTTTTGGACGGCATTTCTCAAATGTTCCTGGCGTTTATATCTAGCCATCCGACGCCATTCAAATGCAAAATCGAAGCTAGGAGTGAGAAAGCCTTAGGACTTATCAACGAAGAACGATTTGAGTGAGCCTAATCGGTGTTGACGATCGTAGCCCCTAGCGAAGAACTATTTTCCACTCTTCTATCCGCATGTAGAGGAAAGCTACCCGGTCTCAGCCAATTCGAAAGAATTCTGAACTCAGGCAATTCAGAGTTGAGTAGCAGCACTCGCCGTATTAGTCTCGACACAAATCTATCATTGCTTAATCTTGCCGAGAAATCTTCAGTGATGACCGACGTCCAGCAGCCATGAGTGCAGCTTCGATGCTGCAGCTGTGCTCAATGTTTCGGTGTCTTCCTATCAGTCCTTGATGTGAATCATGTATCTTTACGAATGGCCCTCGGGCCTGCGTGAGCTGGAGATGCTCATATGACTACGAAATGCATACTCTCGCTTCTGATTTACACAGAATGCAACTTCTAGCGGTGCAGTGGCCGAGAGGGTTTTCTACTAGACCTTTGCCACGTTCAATTTAGCTGTATTTTGATGCGATGTATGGACTATACTCAAAGCCATTCAAGCCTACGAAACAAAACCAGATGCCATTTCTTCATGCAGTTGCAAAGGGATCTCAATCGGAGACCGGCAATTTCTGCTACTGGATAACGAATTGTGGTTGAACGATTTTGATCGACTACAGGTGCGGACCAGGGGGCCGGTCGGATAGTAAGAGCGACTCTGACAGTGCATACACCCTTGAAGCCGTCGTCGGTGCAATTGCGACAAAGTGGTAGCGCGGTCACATTGAACTCTTGAAAGCTTCCCTTTTGTAAGACCTTTAAAACCAGCAGAATTGGAGTGGGACAGAGAGAAAACACATGTACGAGTATCAAACTTCAAGTCATACGAGTGTGACGCTATAACTTGGTGACCGATCCATCGCTAATAAGAGCAAAGGTTCGGATTCCGTGTGTAAATACATCTCATTTATGTCTTCGGAGTGCTCATACGCTGTGCTTCTACTGGAACTTTCGAGTTCGAGAATCCTGGTTGAAGCAATCAGGAAAAGGCTTGATCATAAGGTAGTTACATACCGACAGAAAGACTGTTGCGTCGATAAATAGGTCTTCAGTTGGCGGCAAACGAGATTACAATGTCAACATACATTCCTAATCAAACCGTTCTTCGTTGATAAGTCTTGAGGCTTTCTCGCTTCTAGCTTTAATGCTGCACTTGAACGGTGTCGGATGGCTGAATGGAAACGAAAGACACAATGAAAAATAACACTACAAAACATGGTGAAACCGATCTCTTACCTGATAGTCCCTGCAGTATGTTCCGTATCCGGTTCGAATGTGACGCCATTTTCAGAATATTTCGAAATAGTAAAAACCGATAACGCCATAGCACAGGAAATAAATATGGACGCGTCAGCTAAGATTCTACCCGGGATCCTGCATCAAAATGTATGTTAGTCACGAGCTGCGAAATTGTACCTGGGCAGATCCTACGAAACATTATGATAAATCAAAGGAATGATTCCAGACAAAGGACTCACCGCCGACCAAATCCAAATGCCAATTTACAAGGGTCGAATTCCGGCTCTCTGCCTTCGGTTCGAATAAATCTCTCCGGCTTAAATTCGAATGGTTGATCATATACCGCAGGATTGTGAAGCATTTTCCTGTAGATGGTATATCCATGAGGTTAGGCTCCAGAGGGGATCGATGTCCTCATACCAAATGTTCGCATAGACCAAGGAGCCCTTCGGAATGAAATAACCGAACTGAACATCGTCCTGGATAGCACAGTGAGGAAGGCCTGAGTGTGAAATGATGTTGAGAATCCAGAGAAATGCAAATGCATTTGATACTGACCTACGGGACCTACGGTATGCCATCGGACGACTTCGAGCGCTAGTGCATTGACATACGGAAGGCGCTCTCGGTCGTCGAATCGGGGTAACCGATCATCGCCGATCGCCGCGTCGATCTCTGCTTGTGCTTTCGCCTGAACATCGGGATACAGAAGCATCGCTTTGAAAAAGGCATAAATAGATGCAACGGTCTAAACCTCTGGTCAGGCCAAGTGTTAGATGAGGAAGGGAAAAGCTTACAGTATCGGCCCCGCCTATAGAGGAGATGACGAGACTCAGAGTGTGATACTTAGTGAATAATTTACTTACCGGCATAAAGAGATGCTGCAAGCTATTTGATATCGTACTCTTCCTCGGCAGTCATCTCACGTTCAAGCTGACTGGAGGCCAGGGAACGACGAGCTTGCCCGGCAGCCTATACATCTTTGAAGTACGGCTCAGTATAAAGTTAATTCGCCTACCATTTCCTTCTTTACATAATTATGTGGCTTTTCCACGAAATCGTTTAGAGTTGAAGCCCACTCTCGAGCGGTGCGTTTGAATCCAGCCCCAGGAAACCAGTCTGGAATGTGGAGCTTCTTAGAGACGGAGAGAATCATAGAGATCACAGAGCCCTACATGTTGGGATAAGATTGGCAAAGAAGCCGCCAGAAGCCGTTGCGAGAGAAAACTGGTTCATTGTTCGTTCTGCCAGCTCCACGAATGGGTCATTATCTTCTTGGATCACATATCCATACGAAATTTGTAAGATGATTGCGCCGGCAGTCCTTAATACGCGTCAATTATCAGTTCCGTTTCTGATAGAGTATTAGAAAATGGCTCACTTTCGGATGTGTTCCGAAAGTCCTTCAGGTCGAATGAAGATTCTTTTTAGGGAACGACGCGTCTCCAACTCCAACATCGGCAGAAATTGTTTCATGGTCACGCCTTTGCCGAAGAGTTGATGCGCTAATCGGCGACCATTGCGAAAACGCACCCCATATGGCATAAAAATGATGGAGTTCTTCCACCCGACGAGCTCGCCGCCCATCCCGACGACCGGTCTATCAGAGTAGATAGAACTTTTCTTGTCGAGTATGCTGATCGCCACTTGAATGGAATTTATGATGACCAAGCGGCGCCCTAGGATAGAAACAGAAACTATATCGCCTGGCAGAAAATAAAGAGTTAGTACTCATGGTTTCTTGATGAAATGCATACCGTATTTCTCTCCCCATTTAGCGAAGGTGAGCCATTCCTTCTCAGAGGGCATATCAAGGAGGTTATCAATGAAGGGGAGCCCTCTGGGACCCGGAGGGAGTGGGGCATTTCAGTTGTTCAGACGAAAGAGGTGCCACGCAAAGATCGCATCAGCGAATTGGACAAAAATATATATGCCCGTATAAGCCCGTGGCAAAGGTCAAAATGCATGGCAAGGTCCGAAATAATTGCGCGAGCCTTATATGCCCATATGAAGCGTGAAGAATTGATAATCCTCCAAGTATGGTTATGAGTGTTTCCAATGTCAGTAATGCATGTCAAGCTTCGCAAGGTACCAGCACAATTACTTGATGTCATATGAAAGTATGACATGAGCAACATCTTAAAGTGAGTTCATAACACCTAGTAATCTTCGGGTGGCCTGCTGTATATACTATGCATATTTTCACTCTTAGAGACTTGGAGAGACTTGAAATAGCATATTTATTACTACCATAAAGAGAATACAGGTGCGTATATACGTTTAATGCTGTGCCTGTTTATATAGATGGACTCGAATTTGTTCTAACTTCTCCCCCGCTCCCCCCTCTTCGCTGCCAATCGCTTTCCAGAGCTGTCGTTGGGAAGGAACTTGGAAATTCAAGTCTTTCCAACCTTGAAAATGCTACTAGGAAAAAGAATGTCAGTGCAACCCCGCAACATATGAGAGAATCACCTCAATTTGTTGGACCTTCTCATCCGCGATACCTCGGACGCTATTAAAGGGCAACGTCACACGAGAAAGTACATACCCCATCTGCTTGAACTCCCTAAGATGATATACGGTGCCAATCCCAAGGAGAGAGCTATTCTAAACTCACCGATGCTTGGCTCAGGTGCCCCTCAATACGACCGCTTCTTCCTCCAACTCTACAATACGTCGCTTCAGAAGAGCAACGTTTGAACTTGATGCATTGATGGCTGAGAGGATCTTGGTAGGTTGGGAGTTTGCGATTCTTGGAGAGATGGTGGCATGTTGCTTGAGATGCTAGCGTTGGGCCTTGACTTGTGACTGTATTTATGTTGAAAACTATTCTAGCTCCGAGCTCGGAAGAAGAAGTCCACATCGGAGAAGAACGGGTCTAGAGGAAGGGAGACCTTGTGGGTCTGTGTCTGGCCCAATGGGCCAGGGGCCTCCACGAGGAGAAGGAAACTGAGTTGAAACGAACCAACGAACCGTGAGCTATCATGTGGTGCATCACAGCCACCATGACGCGTCGATCTGGTGATCGCGAGTTGCTATCCTCCGACTCGGAATCAACTTGCACCACTAGTCGCATGCTCAGTTTTTCATAAAATGCACCACATCACTTTTTATCATGTAAGCTTCCCCTTTCTCCTGTGTTCCCACAGAAGCGGGGTGTGGCCGAAAAATCAGTACACCCAAAGGACCCTCACTTCGCAAGAATCGCTGCGAAGTCGGTATTCGACTAGTGGGCTCAGGTAAAGCTAGACAAGTCTCCACACACAAAATGGGGACAGATAGACACTAGATTATGGAACTGTCATGGACGTACACACATAGGGAAATGATGGCAAGGATCAGAGCTCTGAAGGCAGTAGGGATGAGAGACTTTGTGAAGAATGCACCAATTCTGGTGGACCTGCGGAGTCAAGCTACCATGATGTCAAAGATATAGGGGTCTTCTGATATGTATTATATTTATATGTCACGCCTAAGAGACAAATACAATCGCTACTGCCATTTTACAATCAATCTGTGCAAGCTAGACCGCATATTATTGAGCTTATGGTAGCAATATATGAGTCGGAAATAATTTTATGCAATCTTGAAGGACATGTTATTATTATGTAGGTTTCTAATGGCGTATGAAAAGGTCGCAACATCGTGCCTTGGTTACATGGACCCATAAGGCCTTGACAAGGCGGATAAGAATTACGCCGGACCGTGGTCGGCGTAACCCCCGGCAATTTTTTTCCCGATCTGCTGATGGCCCTCATACCAGCAAGCGCTATCGTAATATCAAGAGGAATGAGAGCTTAGCATTCTGAAAGGAAGTTGCTTGATAATCTACGAGGAATCCCATGCTTATATGTGTGCCGCTTAGTCTAATAGATTCCCGTCGGTAGTATTGAGAACATGAACTGGGTCCAGGGTAATCAGGAGACAACGCGAAGCACGAGAGATCCTTCTGCCAGAGAAGCTGAAAAGATGCCATCCTGCCGCATTTGCGACGTGCTGCTTTCGTACCTTTTCTGGTCAGAGCTAGAGAATAATGTTGCCCAGAAGCAGCAGAAACGGTCGATGATTATGGTCCAACGTTGCGGTGCGAATGCTCGACCCTATCCAAGCCAGTGTTACATTGTCACAGTCACACACGCGATGGTGACAACGCAATCCCTTCGATTCTTTCCGTACCACTACATTTGCTCATCATGGTTGCTCTCATCCAACGCCCTGCTCCCACATTTAAGGCTGCTGCCGTCGTCGATGGTCTCTTTGAGGATGTCTCTTTGACAGACTACCTCGGCCAATGGTATGTGTCCTCCAGAAAATTTCGGCTAAACTTATTTTTTTCCCCTAGGGTTGTTCTCTTCTTTTACCCTATGTACACACTTTCAAAAATATATCCTGAGCACGACGAGGCTGACGATAATGACCAGGGACTTCACCTTTGTCTGTCCGACTGAAATCCTAGCCTTCAATGACGCCCTAGCTGAATTCAAGGCACTGGACACTAAAGTTCTCGGTACGCGCATTTCTTTCGTCAACAAAGTCCACCTTTTCATTTGCGTGTCGTATAGGTGTCTCTACCGATTCTCAGCACTCCCACTTTGCTTGGGCCAACCAGCCCCGCAAGGAGGGTGGTCTGGGTCCCGATCTCAAGCTTCCCCTCATTGCCGACCGAAACATGTCCATCTCTCGCGATTACGGTGTCCTTCTCGAGGACGAGGGTATTGCTCTCCGTGGACTCTTCATCATTGACCCCAAGGGTATCCTCAGGTATGGCGCCACCCTTACCTAAAGAAAAAATCTTTCTTGACAACCCGTCGCCAGGCAAATCACTGTCAATGACCTGCCTGTCGGTCGCTCTGTCGACGAGACTATTCGCCTCATCAAAGCATTCCAGTTCACCGTGTGTCATCCAAATATATTTCTGTCCTGATTCACCGTCTCACGTTCATATACAGGACAAACACGGGGAAGTTTGCCCCGCCAACTGGCATGAAGGTGACAAGACTATGAAGGCTGATCCCAAGGGTTCCAAGGAGTACTTTTCGGCGGTGGGTGATGGTCCCAACAAGCGTGCCCGTCAGGCTTAATTGCAGTTAGACGTATGGAGGCAGCGGCACCAAGAGGAAAGCAAATCTGATAGAACCATAGAAGATAGAACTAGATCAACCTTTATCTCAACTCGACATTTTCTTGATCAGCCCGTGCGTAGCTTTCTATTCCTTTGAGAGGTTTTTTGTGTGTTGGTTTTATGGTTATCCTTCTATTGTATATCTTCACGGCTCTGCCGCAAAATATCGCAGCTGTTGTTCCCTGCTATCCATATCAATGTCATCGCTCTTGTTAATATTTGCTGTTATGCAAGCTTCTGATGGTCCCGACACCAACCCTGAAAGAATTGTCTTAGCATATTCTTCGAGAAGGTGTTCGAAGCTGCCGCAACTCATACTGTCTGTGTTTACCACACCTTCGAAAAAAAGTCCGTTCGATGACAAGCAGGGCGTTCATTGTTACAATAATAAATATTGATATTACAACATCATAGACCTAACTTTTCAATTGCCTGTCTCGCAATGTCATACCGCATCAAACTTATCATCAGTTCTAAGGCCATCATACGATATACGCCGGGGCTTGTCACTGATTGTACTGCTCCCTTCAACGATGCTCCTAGTAGAGTCCAGCTGATCTGGACCAGAAGAGTCCGTCCTCGTCTGTACACCTATCCTCAAAGTATTGAGGGGATACGACGCCGTCGTGAGGATATCATCAGGGCTTCGGACCGCCGCCCTTACCGCCCATTCATGTGTCGTTTGCTGGAACGTCTGGATGGCTACGTCTAGCGTTGATCGCAAGCACACGAGAGTGATGATCAGCGTGGGATAGATAGCCTATCGACAAATGTGGTTAGGCACGAGATGAGGGGAAATATGGACACGGTCGTACCGTCAACTGCGATAGAATATCTATCACAGGGTAGATGCCGTTGGTCCCGCACGCGTAAGTGATGATAGCTACAAACTGATTGATTTACTCGAATCGGTCGACCCCAAAGTCCGAACAAATTAAATGCACGTACCCAAGTACAAGAATAGAAGACGCCAGATTCAATTAGAATAGCGAGGATACCATTTTGCCTTCGGAATCTTGTCATGAGCGTCTCGCCCGTAACAGATCGGATAAACTTATTGTGTGACCTTGACGCAAGTGATGTGAACATAAACTTCGGCAGCTGCGGTGACATTCGAACACACACCATGTGCGGTATGCAACGAGCGATGTCGCCCAGAGGTTTGTTGTCAGCGTCGAGCTGATGAACGTGATGGCCCAAGTGCTTAGAGTGGGATTATCGAAGACAGTAATCCCTGGGGGAGCCCTGGTGTATGCCCGGATTATACCGACAGCAGCAGCTTGGTTCTATCGTTAGGGCCACATAGTAGGCGAAGAGCTGTGGCTTTGTGCTCACCAAGTGTCCCCGTGAGAAGGGTACCAGACGTAAAGATAACCCACCATTTCCGACCCCACAATATCCAGGCCCTCCATATGACAATTCCATCCCCGATAATGATCTACGAAGTATTCGCTTTTAATGGGCTCGGGTAAGATAGCATAACGAGGCATACATTGACAGCTTCCAGCGAAATTTGAGAATATATATTCGGTGAAGCGTTGTCTTCCCAGACTGTGGGGTCATCTGCAGCGTGTCGATAGAGAAACGCGTGGAAGTTCTGTTCGAAGCTGATCGCCATATGTGAGGTCGCTACTACCCACATCACGATGTTCAGCACGGTCATCACGACAATGACAGCGGTTCTCTTTCTTTTGAACCTACGACGGAATTATCAATGTAAGCACGAAATACATGTGTGGAACCCACAGTAGCAGATACATCGATACTAGCCAGAGAGCGGTGTACATTCCTGGATATTCCTTTATGAAGGCTTCTCATATGGATGCGATTGGCGAGAACGCACCATGCAAGAAGACTTCGCATCCAAGAGCGATGAAGTACGCTTCGGCAAGCGATAGCGACATCTTGACACACTATTAGCAAGCTACGCGGAGGTAGGGAGCCTCTTGCAGTGGAAAGCTGTAGGTAGCCTTCTTTAAAGCGGATCGCCTCTTCATGACAGAAGCTCTGGCAGGTGGAATGAAGGACAAGTTAGACGCCTGACCCAACAATAAGTGTACAGCATAATTACTGAATGACCGATGTCAGTGATGGGCCCTACAGCCTCGGCGGACTTCAGTATGTGAAGTTCATGTAGTTTGAAACTTGCATACCCTGTTGTTGTGTGGATGTTGTTTTTGAGAACCCTCCCAAAGGTATATCTGTAGTATGTAACACAGCTATAGAAGCATTGTTATCGTGGATTGTGAAGAACGGCCGTGTCATTTCCGTGATTCGCGAATATCTGATCTTCTGATCTTCGAGCATACGCACGCATATATCATAGCATAAGTCCTTGGGGTTGTCCTGATGTGGATAGCAATAGCAGAGGGAGGAAAAAGTTCTGTCCTCTAACCTTGGCCTTTTTCCGGATGGTCGAGTGCAAGGTCGTCGGAAAAAGGCCCGATAGTGCATGTAGGAATCTGTCATGCGTGCATTACGTTGAGATCGGCAAGTAGAGGTAATTTCGTTGATCTGAGATATGCTGTACTTTCTATTCTTGATCACTTTGATGAACGCAGTGAAACGGTGCCCATCTGGAAGACGAGAGACTTTACTCATGATGACTAGCAGCCGGATATACGTCTAGTCTGGAGTCGCTGTTATTACGAAGCGATCAAAGAATGGCCAGCACAGGAACAGTTCTGCGAATCTTCCAGTACCTCTTTCACGCAAAAAAAGGTTTTAGATGACAAGGAGTGATATTTCTAATACCGGCCCTATGCAAGGATATTAGCTCTCGTCCATACCAGGTGAGGCAAGCTGAAATATTCTCGAAGCTCGACTTGAATTGAATTACCGCGCTCGTGCCACGAGCCAACAAGTCTAGACGTTGGTATAATTATATCCAGGCACTTGTAATCTTCAATGACAGTTAGAATAATGGTGGCCTGGATATTCTATGATTTACCTACCTTTGTCGCAAGCGGTGCCACTATGATCCACTGTCCTTTTACTAAATATCAAGCTATACGACGCTATTAAGTATGGAAGCGATTTCCGATGGAAGAATCACCCACTTCGAGGTTAGAATGAGCACATATATCCATTTTTGCGTGTACTCGAGACCAAAGGTGTTCATCGCTGGCCGCACAATTCGCAGTTTCTCTCCTTGATTTCGAGGCGCCACGGTGACAACAACACCGTCATTCTTGGGTATCACTACGTTCTCTATCATCCACCACTAGACCCTGGGGCACGGCGTGGATGACCTTGACGCGTCCATACTATGGCTATATCATTCGAAAATGCTAGTATCGACGAGCTCCACGACATGGAGGTGTAATCTTAATTCTTCAAGAATTCTTGGAAGACGCTTGGCTTCAGACCAACACCGTTTCCTGTGATAAGCACCTCCAATAAGAAATCTGGACAGATTCGGAGGACGGGAAGCTCCCACCAAGGTGTATCTGAGATTAGCATATTTGAGAGGATGAGGTCCCGTCGAACCGCCTTCCACAGGGTAACAGCACAAGGAGATCAGCTATGCAAACGCCAGTCCCCTTTGGAACTGCTAGAAAAAATTTAAGCCCATGTTATATTTGGGCTCCGTCGTTAAGGCATGCCGGCAGAACTGAGCCGGATTTCGGCGCCGCGTTCACTTTGCGATGCCGGGTTGCTTCATTTGTGCTTCATACTACCACATAAAGCTTGTCAAGGTCCACATCAGGGGCAGAGCCTGCTACGTTTATCTACTGCTAATCTTCTTGAAAATACAAATGCAAATGTATCAACTTTGAACTGATCTAAAGGAAAACATCTAGCAGAAACTAAGCAGTGCACACTGATACAATGATTGAGAGGGCTGCCTATGAAGCTTTTACTCAATTCTGCATCAACAAGTCATCTCAGCAGCAGCTGGATAGTGCTGATCGAAAACGGCTCGCTCGGTGGCGGCTGCCGCCGCTACCAGCTCGCATTTTCTCTCAGAACGCCTAACTCCTTGCGATTATAATTCCAGAAATTCTCCAGTAAGAAATCTCATTTTACCTATGACCTGGTTGAAAAAGACTCGCTCGGTGGTGGCTTCTGCCACCACCAGCTCGCATTTTCTCCCAGAATCTCGGGTGGGAATTCCGAACTGAATGGAAGTTCGGCCGAGCAATTCCGCGGAGAGCGTGATAGTAACAAAGAGTAACATATAAGCAGTGACAGACAAAGCAACAGCCACACCGAATTCCTGACTTTCAAGGAAATTTATTTCTACATTCTCGCGTTAAATTTCCATATTTAGAATTCCTCGTGACATTCGGGACGGCCCCGGCTTAAAATTTCGGCTACCATGATTCCTCGTTAAGACCTACTACTAACGTAGCAGGAATTAGTCGTTCGTTCTCCCGGATCGTCATTATCCTCGAATCTGCGTCTGTCTACCACACTGTACGCATGAGCAATATTCCATAGGAACACGATGTCGGCAGCTTCGTCAATACCCTCCGAAGACTTCGACGAAGGATTAGCCAGGCGATGTATCTACTATCTACCATAGTAGACTTTATCATGTCACTTGATATGCTTTCGCCAGCTGTCTCATCCTGTGACATTGCTCTACTTGGGGCGTACAATTTTCCTCGCACCCTTGTCCCGAAGAGCTTGCCATTAGCGCTCGAAATGAAATTGGAAGAAATTCTCTCGCAGCAAAGGGGGTTAAATTTCAGAGCTTTAACCCATCAGAACATGGTGCCGTAGCTCATTTATTGAATATATACAGCGCATTTGAAGGTACGTCTGCTGTTTCCTGCGACATAGATCCCAATTGCTGACAAGCACGCACATAATTTCAAAAGGCAGGAATGTTCGCTATTTTTCCTCATGGGGGAGGCGAGTATATCTTTCCTGAATGGTTTCCTGAGGAAGAAGGCGGCCGTGTCTTGGTGGAGACCCGCGTGGAGATCTCCGATATTCAAGACTTCTCCACTTTACTTGCTATCAATGCTATGCGTAATTAGTTTGAGAAATCCGGTCCTGCTTGTTTCGTTGGTACTGATTTCTACAAGCAACGAATGTACATCACGTTTCTTATCGCTGTACCAGATGCTTACGATACGGCCAACTTCTACTTCTTCTGTCACTTCGGAGCTATCTCTGGGTCGTTCTGGTGCTGTTTCTGTTTCTCCGTTTAATTGTTTACTACTCAAATAGCGATCACTGGAGATGAGCGGTACCACGAATATATCAAGCATTGTACATCCCATTTGACAGTCTACAGAGCGCCATCCGCTGTGTGCTGAGTATGCAATTCAAAGCGGATATGCTCGACTGTTTTCCCGGGTTGAAGGGCGCCGCTATCACCTTTGTGGGTACTAGCCACTTGACACCAACTCGAGTATCAATATAGGAAATTTCGGGGGATAACATATTTTCAACCCGCAGTTTCGTTCTTGCCTTTCGTATACCTCAGCCTTTGAAATGGATACTATTCTCATGCGAGAACACAACACCTTGCAGGCAACTCGAATGGTCCTTAGCGTATTGGTGGGAAATGGCGACGCCCTTCCGTCGTTGTCATGATCCCGCACAAGTTATGTTCCGCAGCAGGTTCACCGTGACCTCGATAAAGACTCTAATCAGAGGACAAATCATAGGTACTCCAATCTGAATCAGTAACCACATGAATCGAACTTTCTTTATTGTTTGGGAAGGCTGTACTGCATGCAGCGATATCCGAAACGATTCCAAGATTACCTTGATCGTCGACCATGAACATGATGTGATGCTTATGCCATAACCCCGTCAATATGATGGACAACGACAGCTATCGCTACTTTCTTCTACTGCACAAGAATCAACATATATTTTCATGCCATCCTTACTTCGTCCGTGATTCCAATACATACATCAAATTCATCCACCCGATTCCATACCCACCTAGTTCAATGGAATTTATGGGATAGAGCCTCAGAGACATCGACACCGCGTAGCACTTCTGACTCTTACTGCTGCGACGATGGAGATGGCGACGGAAGCTTCAGACTTTATGCTGACCACTTAAAACCACAACAGCATATCGATTGCATTACTTCATCTCATCACGCGGGATTCGCATCTTTTCCCATGACATCCTTGCTTCTTCCATACATAAATCCCGTGTTCATTCACAGATAACCATGCCCGTCTAGCTCAACGGGGTAGAGCATCAGAGACATAAACGGATTCTCTCCCCGTGGGGAGACCGGTTGCTGTTGAAGAGCTGGTCTTCCCACGGAGGGAGAATGTCTCTTCTGAGGATGCGAGTTCGAGGCTCGCGACGGGCGCAGGAACCTTTTTCAACGTCATTGTATAAATTAAGTTATATATCTGCAAATAGCTTTTGGGACACCTTCAAGCGCATCTTCAATCATACAATATTATAATGTCATCCCGTCCACAGCCATCTACATTCATCTCTCGGGTTTCAAGGGCAATATAGCTAGGCTTCCCGAGACTCTGCTTCCCCCCAAGTATGCTATTGATGAACTTGTTCTTCCGGGAGTACTATGCACTGCATTCCTATCACTGTAGGGAACACGTCGAACACTTATATGTTCTTTTCGTCATGATCAATCGCCCGAGTGTGTAGAGATATCGGGTTCTCATGGCCAGACAAGGACGAGTCCGAGTCCGGTCAAGATGCCTCTCTATACCAACTTCTCGAGATTCGAGAAGTTAGCTGTAGGTAAGCCCCTTTCCTATGCAACTTGTCTAAGTACGTCTGATGTCAATAAATTGTAGCACATTCATTTGTGGCTGTTCCTTCTAGTTCGATAAGGTTTTTTGTATTCCTTGTGAAAAACCTGTCGTGGCACCAAAGTTTGCGCTTCCACATGTGTAGTAACTACCAACAATTATCCAAGAAAAGACCCTATTAAAATATGTAAATTGAGTTCAACCTACGCCGCCTGGATGCCAGCATCAGCACGCATCATATCCCAGTCTCGGATATTTAGCATTCTGGTTTCTCAATTAGTGTCAAGACCCGTTCTCCCGTTGTTGCGCAGATACCAACATGATGTGCGTCAAATACAAACCCAAACATAGTGCAGCCTTAATCTGGTTCCAGGTCCAAAAATAATGTCGATATTCATAATACTAGACCGCGAAACAGACTATCATCGAAGTCGCCGTAAGAGCAGCGGCAATTAACCTGGACATCGCCTCTCTCATTCAACGCCGTAAACTGTTTCCCGATAGTCTGTGTCATCCCGTCGCTCGTAAACCCACTTGGGTAAGAATAGATTAACTCTATCTTCAGATGACGGAATCGCGGAAAAAGGGGACTTGAAAGAGATTCATCCAACACCTTCCATAGGCTATGAGTGGCGAAGGTCATGGAGTTTTCCTTTGGATAAAGGCGCAAGGTGAGCTCCTCGAGAGAGAGTTGCTCGTCGAGGACGCATCTCCCGATCCCCTGCTCGAATTCATCCATATCCGTGTATCGAAAGTTTGGCGGTAGGAAGGTCGTGATGGAAAGACTGGGAAGATTTAGGAGGTTGAAATCAAAGATATCGAGGATATCACAAAATTTTACTGTTTATCGACGGGATTGTCAGTATACTGCGAGGTGAACAGACTAGAAATTGCGCATACTCTGGGTATTGTAAATTAAATGAAGATTATCGAGTGTTTCGAGTGAGTCGTTCAAGATCGTTTTTGCCCTCAGGATGTCGTCTCGGTTCCATAAACTAACGCCGCACCGGCGCAAAGAGTGGGAAGCGACAATATCTCCCTGATCAACCAGCTCCCGAAACGAAGCCATTCGCGTGTAGCTGGACGCGTGGAAGTGAAATGTCTCCAGACGTCTGGAGCTCTCGCATTGACGTCCCTGAGCTCCTTTCATGTTTTCTTGATAATCCAAATCCTTAATCGCGAGGAAGCAAAGGTTAGGAAACGCAGTAATGAAGTCGAGAAATGCCGCAGAGTCCTGGAATGTGACATCTGTGAATCGGAGTGATATGATGGTATTTGCATGACATCTCAATGCACTGAGAACTGCATTTCCTTGAAACCCAGAGGACAGTTTGACATGTCGGAGATTGCACATAGCTGCGAGAAGAGTGTATAGGATCTCCTCTTCAGCGTCGTACGCATTCCCCGAACTCAATGCAATGGAGAAGATCATAGGCAAGATTTCGGGAGAAGGTTTGAAGACGCGATGGAATGTATACCACGAGCGATGTCCTTCGGAAGTCAAGGCGATAGAAGAAAAGAGGTGCTTTCTACATCGGTAGAGAAAAGAACGGCAAACAAGGGAGCAGCAGGATAGATTGCTGTGACGGTAGTAGGGGGAGGGGGAGCTGTCTTGCACCTCATCGATGATCGCGTCAATGATCTCCTGAGGGATAAACGCCATTGGACGTAAATGCCTGAAAGCGCAGATGCACTAGAACATCAGAAATTTGGTAAGGTCCGAGAGTGAGGGAGTACCCAGTGAGGACTTGAGGCTGAATACTCAGCAGATGTTCGACTCAAAGCCTCGGCGGTAAGAGGGGATTTGAATCAACGACTGCCAAAGATTTGGAAGCCTTATAAAAGACGAGCCATGCCAAATGAGGCAGCCTGTGAACATTCCTGCTTAGTAGTGCTTAGCGCTCGCCCATCTGAACTCCGGAAGGGGGGAAATGAAACGTAGACAGGTTAGCATCTTCCGAAGAATCCGAAGTAATGAAAGGTAGGCATTAAATACTCATCAAGTAAAGACAATTGAGGATCCTTATCAATCAACGTAAAAATCGGAAACAGTTCAACTTCAGTAGATGGCAATCAATAAATTATAAGCACGTCAGGTACCGGCAGGGGGGGATCAATTTGAATTATTATTCTATTCTCATTAATATCAATCGAGCTTTACTTCAAGTCGAAGTCAACCGTGATTTATAAATACTAAACGAATTGCTTAAAGGCTTCAAAACACTGCAGAATGATGCGCCGATTCTCCAAAGGTCGCATTCCGTTTGCCAAAAACTTGGCGATATCCGGAACTGGAGGGATTAGCTTGTGAACAACGGTTTGCTGGGAGGGAAACTGGGCAGTCATAATAGATTGGAGGAGGTCAGCCGTGATGGGAAACTTGTAGAAGGTCGGAGTAGTTCCCATCAAAGTGATCGCTGTGAATACTTTGGCCTCCATGGCCGGGAGTCCTACCAGCCTGCGATGCCTGTTATTCTCATAAAACGCCGCAATTGCCCCTGCGATGAGCTGGGGCTCTGGATCGTAGGCAGACATGTGATACTTGAAAACCGTTGAGAGTTGTGATTGCTTTCTTGATCACACTGTTCGACATGCCTTGTCTTGCTGTACAAGGAGATACCCATCGTTATCCAGAACACAGATGTCCGGCTGAGCATCAACACGCATGCCACACATTATGAAGCCTATCTCCACCTGTTGATGTATGACACGATCAGGTTCATCATAGCGCAACAAACTAAGGAGATACGAAGCGAAATCATGGACAGCAGATTCCGTTGGTGCACCTGGGGGAAATCGCTCCGTAACATCTTTTAAGTAACAGAAGAAGAGTCGAGCGGATCTCATTATTGGTCCAAGAGGTGTGTCGGGATTGCCAAGAATGATAGGATCTACCGTGGGTGCAGGCGAGTTGGGGTGGCCGAGAAAAGTGGCCACGTCTTCGTCTAGAACATTGATGTTGTAAGCGAGTAGCTCGTTTATCGTCCAGTTGCTCCCAGATTTCGCGGAACGTATGATGTTCGCCATGATGGTTTCAAAGAAGCTGTGTTTGAACTCCGATGAGCTGAGAGCCTGGTATGCTTTCTCCACCATATTTGTGCACGTGATGACTGTGCCGCGGCATACCACGGCGTGCTCTCCAACCAAGTTCCTTTCTTAGCAGCAGTAATTACTGTCAGCCGGGGAGGCACCGTCTGCCCTTTTGGCGCAATTTGTTCTCCATGTTAGGTGACGCGTCTTGCCATAATTTTTCTTATATGTCTGATTAGTCCTTGCACTTCTTCAAATCCGTGAGACGTCCTTGGGCAGCAATCAGGAGATTGCAACGCAAAGTGTTGAACAGCAAGATGGCAGCTACGGCCAAAATCACGGACCTTTCACTATAATTCCTGGTCTTCCTCGTCCAATTTTTCTGACTTCAATCTTTCACCATGCACGTTTCTCCCGAGTCCCAGATTCCAAAATCGTCAGTCTTTTTGACAACTACGCCCATCTAGATGTACTGCTCCCGTTCATTGCTCAGGCAGGCAACTAAAAGGCCATGGGACCTGTCCCCATAGATGTTTCCACTGAATATCTATCAAGTTTCATCGCGACGCCGATGACGACAATGGCCGCAGGCAAAACGCAAGCGCGAAGCGCCCATGCTCCAGCTCCACCCCTTCTATCAGACATCATATAGTTGCACTTTATCTTTCCGGGTGCAAAGGAGACATGACACAGCTCCCGGCTGGCTCAATGGCTCATAGCAGGGTATTTCGTTTCAAGGCATGGTGACTACAGTGTTTTTCCGGGAGCACTGTGTATTACTAACAGTGCGCTCTTCTCGCGTTGGGAGAACTGGACCGTTCGGATACTTATCTGAATGTTCTTCGGCTTCATCAATTGTCCGGGTGTATAGAGGTAAGGAAACGTTAGGATCCTGGGTCGAACGAGACTCAGCCAGTGTTCCTTAACGATGTTTATGCACGGTTCCATCTGTTGGGATCTATCAGTACTAATAGGACCCGCTATCTCACTGAAGGTGAGAGACTATACTACGGCTAATGCCAACAGTTTGTACCCGCATCCATTCGTTGCCCGTTTCCTTCTGGGTTACGACAATGTGTCCTTTTTTTAGAGGACATGGCCTTGACGGAATGTCCGAAAAACAGGTGGATGATTGCTCTTCCGCATGTTAAAGTTAGCAATACACGGAATCTAGTCTTATTTGGCATGTTTGAAGGTTAACGTTCAGGTCTAAGGGCATCATAGCTTGTCTCATCTTGCGTCAAATGTAATCCCGAATGCAACATAGTTTTTATCAGAATACAGCCTCCGAAGAGAGTTGCAAGAATGGCTAGCGTTGAGCCAAAATATATATCAAACCGAATCATTGAAGTCAGATAGAGAGCCGCGGCAACTAATCTGGACGCCGCCCCTCTCATTCAACGCTACAAACTGCCTCCCGATAGTCCGCATCATCCCGTCATTCGTAAGGCCACGATCAGAGTGGATCAACTCGATCGTCAGATGACGAAATTGTGGAAAACGGGGACCAGAAAGCGATGCGTCCAAAAATTTCCATAGGTTATGAGTGGCGCAGTTCTCCTTGGGATAGACGCGCAGAGTGAGCTCCTCGAGTGCGAGCTGTTCATCCAGAACACATCTCGCAACTCCTTGCTCGAATTCGTCTACGTCTGTGTATTGAAAGTTTGGCGGTAGGAAAGTTGTGATAGAAAGGCGCGGGAGATCAAGGAGGTTGAAATCGAAGATATCGAGGATATCGCAAAAGTTTACTATTGGTCATCAGCGTAATGGCAAAGTAAACAGAGTAGTGGGACATACTTTGGGTATTGTAAATCAAATGAAGTTCATCAAGTGCTTTGAATGAGTCATTCAAAATCGTTTTCGCTCTCAAGATGTCATCCCTGTCCCACAAACTAACGCCGCACCGACGCAAAGAGCGGGAAGGAACAATATCTCCCTCATCGACTAGCTCCCGAAATGAAGTCATTCGTGTGTAGCTAGACGCGTGGAAATAGAATGTCTCCAGATTTTTGAGGCTCTCGCGTTGACCTCCCAAAACCTTGTCAAGGGCTCTTTTTTTATAATCCAAATCTTTAATCGCGAGGGTGCGAAGGTTAGGAAACGCAGCAATGAAGTCGAGAAATGCCTCAGAGTCCCAGAATGTAACATCTGTGAACCGGAGCGATATGATGGTATCTGTATGGCATTTCAACGCACTGAGAGCTGCATTTCCTTGAAAACCGGAGGTCAGTTTGACGTGCCGGAGATTGTGCATAGCTGCGAGAAGAGTGTATAGGATCTCCTCTTCGCCATCATGCTCATCTCCCGAACTCAATGTAACGGAGAGGATCATCGACATGATCTCGGGAGAAAGCTTGAAGATACGATCATGGAATTTATTCCACGAGTGTTGCCTGTCGGAGGTCAAAGTGATAGAGGAAAATAGGTGCTTTCTGCATCGAGGTAGGAAAGAATGGCAAACAAGGGAGCAGCAGGATAGATTGCTGTGGCGGTAGGGGGACGAGGAGCTATCCCGCACTTCATCGATGATCGCGTCGATAATTTCTTGAGGGAAAGGCACCATTAAGCAGGTCCTAAGATACCTAAAAATGAAGATAACAATAGAACGTCGGAAGACTGGGATGGCGCACTTGAAGTGGAATTCTCCTGAATGTCGAAAAGCCTTGGTGCTTAGAGAGGATTATGAATCAGCGGTTAGGTTTGAGGCTTGGGAGGCTTATAAAAGGTATGCCAAGCCAGACTAAGCACATGCGGACAAGGTTTCTCAGTGCCCGGCGCTCAGCGCGCCCATCTGAACTCCGGAACAGGAAACGTGAAACATAGAGACTGTATGTATTGGCACCACACCAAGGGATGGATCAAGTACTAAGGAATAAGTACTTACCAATCAAAGTCAGATTTAGCTTGCTTAGTACATGGCAACCAATTGCAAGTATCGCTGTATGCATCCCATAAAAATAAGACTAGTCTTCGGGGTCAGAGTCATCAGCCGATTCCAGATTGATGCCAATGCTATTCCCGTTTTCAGCTACATCCGTTCGTCGCGGACACCTAAGCAGTGACCTTCGACGTCGGTCCAAAAATGACAATTCTAACTCGCAGTGAACCCCATGCCTAAGGATAGTACCCTTCAACCCGTGCCGGAACTTCAGGCCTGCAAGACCACCTCTCATGCGGAGCAGAGGAAGACCAGGGTCTAGGTCATCGCAGGTGAAAGTGACATCCGTCAACGGCTGGTCCTCCATCTCAGTGCAACGCGACTCCAGCATATCAAGCAAAGCATCGAGATCGGTATCGTTGTCGACGTCCATCGAGAAAGTGGTCAACAAAGGGAGGAGGAGAGGGCGGCCTTCTTTGACAGTAAGTTTCTCAAGAATTGTCTCGTGGTCAAGGGGGGCGGATCCAGGAGTACACTCCTGTGTCCAGGACAAGAGGAGTTCCTTCACAGTAGGGACGACCTCAAGAACCTGAACCATGCGCGCGTCAAGAGGGACGGGATCGCGGATAGACAACGTTTCCAGGGGACATTGTGACCGACGGAGGAACTCGGCGACCACTCGAAAACTGAACGTCGTGACAACAAGAGCGTTAAGGAAGGGCAACGTCAGGTACTGGATCAAGTCGAAGCTCGTGAAATCAACCTCCAAACGCTGGATATTCGTAAACACCATCGTGTTGTCCGGGAGGAAACGGTCCTGGATCTCGATGCCCAAAGATAAAGCTTCGAGGTTGGGCGCGCATCGTAAAAGGCGGAAAGGATCGCTATCAACGTCGGAACCTCCAAGGTAGTACATCCGGAGATTAGGTCGCAGAATGTCCTGGTCTGCAGGGCCATCCCAAATTTCTGCTGCGAGAGTCTCTTGCCGACAAAAAGCTTCGTCTCCCTCTGCAGGGGCGCTTTTACGTCTGAGCAGTGCTACGTTCCACATGAAGATATCCCAACGATGGTTCTCAGCGGCAAGCATCCGCATCATATCCTCATATTGAGGTATGATGGCTTCACCCTGGATATTGCCAACAATCCGGAGGGTTTTATTTCCCGAACGCTTCAACCAGAGCTTCAAAACATTAAGCCGGGTGCGACACTCGGTCGCAGTCAGCTCATCAACGGTGAGGTCCGACCAAATTTGAGGCAGGGATAGCGATACGCCACGCCACAGGTAGGAGACACGACTGTAACTCCAAGGCCCGCAGTTTGTGTCGTGGACAATCGGGTACTCTTCAAGTTGACGCCATCCTGGACGAGCGTGAAGGAGAATTTCGGCAATGATCTCTGCGGGAAAGCGGCGGATGGCGGACGTGATGGGTCGGTGGCACTTGATGAACTCCTGTATACCACGAATCTCAGCGTGCTCTTCTTCTCCCAGTGTAGCCTCCTCATGGGCAATCGGCTGCCTCATAAGTATATCTAGGTCTTCGTCGTCGACTTCCAATTGTTGCTTGAACGCGTCCAAAGATTCCAGGGCTTGGGCTAGAACATGGCGGATTTCGACGAGTTGGTAGTCGAGAGGAGCATCGTTCGAAGACGCGAGATGTCTATAGGCCTCAGAGACATTACGACGTTGAACGGCAGACGACATGATGGCAAAAGGGTGAGGGTCACAGGACGACGACGTGAATGGTTTTATTCAAAGTCTAGACAATGGCGCTAAGATTGGTTCTCTGCCACAATTGCAACAAGCGGTCCAAAAGCGGCCACCTACTAATTGAATAAATCGAATGCCGCCCATTCTGGTATAATCCGGCCCTTTTGGTCAACATCGACCCAACCCATCAATTGCCTATCGATAAGACCATAGTTATCGACGTGTCCGAAAGCTTTCTCCCAGCCAAGTGCCACGGCAGATAATTTGCATACCGCAGAACTACATGAAGGTCCATCAGCAATAAGATTACATTCAACAAAACGCGATGACTGCCACACCTTACTGTACAAACAACAGCATCAGGACCCTCCCGACTCCAGGCCCCACTGAGGAATGCAAAGTCCACAATCATGCCTCGCGTAGCACTTACTCTTGTCTCCAAATCGTACTTGTCAAAGTCCCGTTGGAAATACTCTCCCGGGCTGACCAGGCTTTTCAGCTCTGCATTTGCACTCCGTGAAAGCGAATAAACGGGAGATAATAAGCTAGACATCTCCTCCATCATCGCCGGTGAATCCGATGCAAGGTATACAAGGAAAGGGTGGTCACTACGCTGCAGTCTGCTAGCGGCATCGTCCAGCGCGTCGACGAAGTCTTTGGTTGGGACATAGCTCCCATGATACGAATACGAAGAAGGTTTGCGATCTCCACGCCGGAGGTGCGCAGAGAGATACGTGGATGATAAAGCAGCGACCTCTTCTCGCGCAGAGTTGATGAGTCGAGCATTTTCAGTATTGGGTATTATTGTATTACGCAGAGATCCAGCAGCGAAGTCATAGATAGGTTTAAGACGGTTGGTGCTATGTGCATATCTAACGTCAAACATTAGTTAGCTCACCAGGAAGAGAGACATAGTACCACTTACCCATCTTCATAATGTTCATAATACATGTGTCCGAAATGAAACTTCGCAGTTCGCGAAGTGATAATCTAGAAGTCTACGTAAGAACCGCTTTTTCCTGTGCGTGAGAAGGATATTTACCCAATGTCTGTGAGTATGAATGAGATATTGCAAATAAGGAAGGAAAACGAAGCACACCTTGCATGTCTAGGGCAAGCAACATATTCTACAGGGCCCTCGTAAGCCAAAAAGCTTGCGGTAGCTGTTCAAACCAACCTTGTGGTGGTGGAGGTTTACAGCCAGGCTCTGGGCCAGGCTGCGTCTCTCTGACGTCTTCAAAATGGTCAATCCATCTGCAAGATGTTTTGAGAGGATGACCAGTAGAGAACCGCAAGACAAACCTTCCTCTATTCCAGTAGGTATCGTCAACGAAAAATGTCCTATTCCGCTGGCGGTAGGTGAGTATATGTGCCCAAAAAAAATCGAAGAAAGCATACCTCCCGCGCTAGTGCGGCTGCCTGTGCTATCAACGCTAAATCCGCCAGCAGTCCCACCTTCCCATCCAGCATATACGTGATGGTGCTCGAGCATACATCCTTGTCGTTGCCGTGCACGACATCCATCACTCCCTCCGCACTCGGCTCCCAAAACTTTGTAGACGGCATAAATCCACCGGGATGCATCTTGTAACATTCAACGAGATAATCGTGAGTACTGAGCGGAAAACTGGTGTAGTTTTCGTAGGAGATGATGAGTGAAGAATTGAGGTTGTCGTTTGTCTCAGTCGAGACCGGTACCTGCTCAAAGGACGGTACTGGAACTCCCAAATACCATTCCAGCGTTCCTGGATGCCAATACGCGACGACCATGAGGAAGAAAAGGAATCCTGCGGTGACCGAGAGGAACACAATTGGTAGCTTTGAGACGGCCGCCGTCGCCCGTACTCTTCCGCCTTTGGGCTCATCCATATCTGAGCTATCAGCCGACAATAGAGGTGCAGTCGACGACTGTGGATCATCCTCGTCGCCATGCACCTCTTGCGGCTCGACCTGGGACCCTTCTTCAGTCCGTCCAGAACGATATTGGGGTGTCCGTGGTGTCAGCGACATCGCCGCATCTGTGAAAGAGTTCGCAGAAGAAATAGAAATATTTTTCACCGACCGAGACCGTGGCATGGTACCTACGTCGTCGTTGGCCAGCAACGACACTAAACAAAGAAGGAAAGTAGAAGTAACCCTAACCTAACCCTATGTATCCGTTTCACTTCAGCGCGTTCGAGTCTCCATGATGACCGAATTTTTGACCCTGACTGCCCTTATTATAACCAATACATTTTTACGTTGTAATATTATAAAAGCAATGGGGGACGACTGAAATAGTTCACCCGGTGTACATTGTACGCAATTGCAATGCATCGGGAGGGATACGCAGCATAACTGATCCCACGGTTGATGTATATGCACGTACGTACTCCTCTCCATCGTTTCACTCTTGTGTATATCTAATATCACGTCTCCCACTACAACGAAACGTCATGCGCAAAGACAAACACTCACTCTTCCGTGCACGTACCTTCGTCATGACCCATTCAGGAATACCTATGGCTTCTGCACCTTTGGCAGACAGTCCACAGCAATCTACTTGACCCTTCCCCAATAAGAGTTCTTCGTCGACCTATGGCAAGGCAATATTGTATAACTGATATGAATGTCAGGTAAGAAAGACCTCACCTCAAAGCCCAGATGCTTGTATATATCCCGACTCTTCGAGCTCGAAGCTTCTAAATGGATGGGTTTGTGGTTGGCACGAGAAAAACAGTCCTTTAGGAGGACTGAAGATACGCCTATTCAATGCGTCAAGGATTTATCAAGGGAAAAAATCAAACTTTCAGAAATCATACCTTTTCCTTGCCAGTCAGGATCTACCGCGATTGCAAGCAGATGCCAGGAATCCAGCCGGTCCAAATTCCGCGCCTTGAAGGCTTTCGAAAGTGCTTTCTCAACAGGGGGAACGAAATCAAGAAGAATGCGCTAGAAAACGAAACCAAGTGAGTGTTAATCTCCGGTCGACCGGGTGAGATACCTTGAGGCCTCGAAATCCCCAGCCCCTCAGCACGGACCATACACCAGCCTTCAGCAGCTTGCCCAACGGCATGTCAAACGTCTGCCCGGGCTGAAGACATACTGTTACCCCAACGACTTTCTCTCCCCCCATCATCTTGCGGCACCACCGCGAGGGTAATAACACCACCTACCAACATCGCCACTGTCACCAAATACTTCTGAAAGTGTTGGAGGTTCCTTATTGTTCGCTGCACTCCGGGAACTGGGGAATCAATGCTGGTGGCCGCGGTTTTGCTTCTTAACACAGCCGCACCAGTTAAGGGCATGATCGTTCAGGAAAGCTCGTGTCAGAACGTTTATCGCTGCTTCCTGGTCTTCTTCGGTAGCGACGCGTATCGTAGCTGAAGGTGTCGTCTGCATCAAGGACATTGCTCGAGTGACGAAGGTAACAACAACGGCATTATAAAATGGCAACATAAATAGTTTAGAACTGATGACAGTCGTGGATCACATCATAGCGGCCGCGGGCCGTGGGTCGAGGCATGCTCGCGTCTCCTCTATTAACAAATTCAAATTCACATGGTCAAGCTTTGCAACCTTTGAAACCAATGATACATTCACTGACAGTTTGCAGCTGCATTCATTTATCGGGGATCTTTTGCGGTCTTGTCAGTATGGATCGAGGAAACATCAGGCTAAGAAGGGATATAAGTTCAAGGCAGATCTTATTATGCCGAAAGGGTTACGCACGTCCGAGGTTCGATCTTAAAAATCTAACGCCTGACAGGCTATTCTTGCCATGACCATGAAGTATATGTTCTCAGCTTTGCTCACCAAGTTTCCGAACTTTCTAATTGACTTTTGCTTCAGATTTCCGTCAATATTTTAGTCTTGAGAACACGATCTGCCTTCGATTTTGGAACTGAAACTGGGAACTGAAAACATGTTCAGCGACAGGGGGAATGCCAGGATGTGCAGCTACGCGCCATTTTTGTTTTCCGTTATATGCCAACGACAGAGATCATAAGAAGCCCTGGATGTCCAATTGCTTCTGTACGAACCCACGCATGATATATTGAATCGTCAAGCGGAATGTCATGCTGGGCCACCTTGTAGCATTCAACGAGGTAGTCATGAGTACTGAGCGGAGAACTGGTGTGTTTTCGTAGGAGATGATAAGTGAAGAATTGAGGTCGCCGTTGATCCCAGTCGAGACCGGTACCTGCTCAAAGGACGGCACGGGAACTCTCAAATACCATTCCAGCGTTCCTGGATGCCAATACGTGACGACCATAAGGAAGAAAAGGAATCCTGCAGTGACCGAGATGAACACGATTGGTAGTTTTGAGACGGCCACTGTCGCCCGTACTCTTCCGCCTTTGGGCTCATCCATATCTGAGCTACCAGCCGACAATAAAGGCGCAGTCGACAACTGTGGGTTATCCTCGTCGCCATGCATCCCTTGCAGCTCGTCCAGAATGATATCGGGGTGTCCGCGGTGTCAACGACATTGCCGCATCTGTGAGAGTTCGCGGAAGAAATGGATATATTTTTCACCGACCGAGACAGTGGCACGGTACCGTCGGCATTGTTGTCGTCGTTGGCCTGCAACGACACTGGAGCAAGTAAAGGAGAGAAGAGTAACCCTAACCTAAGCCTATGTATCTGTTTCACTCAGTGCGCACTCGTTCGAGTCCCCATAATGACCGGACGTTTGACCCTTCTAGTCGTCAAAATAGTAGTTTTCCTTACTGCCTTTGTTATAATAAATACATTTCTACGCTGTAATAACAGTGATGGGGGACGACTGAGATGGCTGACCCGGGGTGCGCAACTGCAATGAACAAGCAGTGAATCAGGAAGGAATCCGAAGGATATGTACCGTAACTGATTCCATGGAGGATATATGTACGTACGTCCTTTCAATTATTCTTTTTTGTGTACAGCCAACATCACGTTTCCCACTGCAGCCAAAAGTCAGGCGCAAAGACAGGCACTTGCTCTTCTATGCACATACCTTCGTCATGATCCATTCAGAGATACCTGTCGCTTCGGCACCTTTGGCAGACACCCCGTGGCAATCTACTTGACCCTTCCCAAATAGACATTCTTCGTCGACCTATGGCAAGATATGTTGTATAACTGATATGAATGTCAGGTAAGAAAGACCCTACTTCAAAACCCAGATGCTTGTATACATCCCGACTTTTTGAGCTTGAAGCTTCCAAATGAATGGGTTTATGGTTGGCACGAGAAAAGCAGTCCTTCAGGAGGAGTGAAGATACGCCTTATTCAATGCACCAAGATTAAGCAAGGGCAAACTATCAAACATCCAGAAATCATACCTTTTCCTTGCCAGTCAGGGTCTACCACGATCTCAAGCAGATACCAAGAATCAAGCCGGTCCAGATTCCGCGCCTTGAAGGCTTTCGAAAGTGCTTTCTCAACAGGGGGAACGAAGTCAAGAACAAAGCGCTAGACGATGGAACGAGGTGAGTATTGGTCTCCAGTCGGCAGTACATGGGTGAGATACCTTGAGGCCTCGAAATCCCCAGCCTCTCAGCACGGACTATATACCAGCCTTCAGTAGTTTGCCCGATGTTACGTTAAGCGTCTGCCCGGGTTGAAGACATACTGTTACCCCAACGACTTTCTCTCCTCCGTCTCTTTGCGGCACTACAGCGAGGGTAATAACCCCGCCTATCAACATCACCACTGTTACCAAACACTTCTGAAAGCGCTGGAGGTCCCTTATTGTCCGCTGCACTCCAGGAATTGGGGAATCGATGTCGATGACCGCGTTTTGTTTCTTAACACAGCCCCACCAGTTCATGGCATGATCGTTCAGGAAAGCTCGTGTCAGGACATTTATCGCTGCTTCCCGGTCTTCGTTGGTGGCGACGCGTATCGTAGCTGAAGGTGTCGTCTGCACCAAGGACATTGCTTGAATGTCGAAGGTAACAATAAGGGCATTATAAAATGGGCAACGTATTGCGTTTAGGACTGATGACAGTCGTGGATCACATTATAGCCGCGGGCCGTGGGTAAACTCCGGTCGAGGCATGCACACGTCTCCCTCTATTAACAAATTCATATGGTCAAGCTTTGCAATCTTTGAAACCAACGATATATTCACTGACGGTCTGCAGCTGCATCTATTTATCGAAGATCTTTCACGGTCTGGTCAGTATGGATCGAGGAAACATCAGGCTAAGAAGGGATATAAGTTCAAGGTAAACCTTACTATGTCGAAACAGTTACCCACGTCCGAGCCTCGGGATCGATCTTGAAAATCTAATGCCTGCAAAGACCGCTCAGCAAACTCTGCGTAAAGCTTACAAGCTATTCTCACCATGAAGTATATGCTCTCAGCTTTGCTCACCCAGTCTGAGCTTTCCAATTGACTTTCGCTTCAGATTTCTGTCAATATTTAAGTCTTGAGAACACGATTCGCCTTAGATTTTGGAATTGAAACTGGGAAACGAAAACATGTCCAGCGAAAGTGGAAAAGCCTGAATGTGCAACTACGCACCATTCTTGTTTTCCGTTATATACCAACGAGAGATCATAAGAATCCCTTGACGTCCAGTTGCCTGTACGGACCCATGCATGATATATTATTGAGTCGTGGCGCAGAATAATCTCGTGTGGCGCAGCAGGTATTGTTTTGGGTCTGCCGTATCTGCCAAGATCTTCCATCTCCGCATGTCACAGTCGAATAGCCTAGAGGATGCGGTTTAGCCGTGATGTCCGTGTCCAAGAACGATAGAAGCCAGCACGCACATTACTCGGCTCGTTTCTCCGGTTCCAGGTTCTGGAGAGGGTAACTCCAATGTGCGGATGAAAAGTAGCTAATGGGTACCCCGCTGGCGCCTAGAGCTTCTCCGACCTGAAAATAATTGGTTGCACTGTCGGATATACGCAAGTTGGAACACACCATCATCAGGCCTTCCTTCAACGAAATTTTTTCAAAGGAAGTCCGGCAATCCTTATTACCAAACACTTCTCAAAATGTTGAGAGCTCTCGTCGTACACCACGTTCCAGGGTCTGATCTAGAGGCATCTTGGCTCGCGAATGCTCGGCTATTACTAATATTGCAGTCCGAAGTCCGAAGTTATAACATCAGTATCGGTTTGACGATTTTCTTGCGGGAACGACACCCAATTGCAAGGCAAGAAAAGACGCTTAGTGAACATGACGGTTCGGAGGAAAAGTTGGACACGGCACGTCTCGGGCTGATCGGAATTTCACGGTCCGAGTCTAACTATTGCCCGTTCAACGTTCAACCGCCGCCACCAGCCTTGTCACCTCTTCTTTAAGACCGTTTTCTAGTGCGACGGCTACTTCTACCACTTAATAGGGACCTTTTCAACAGCATCCAGGCCTAGTACCGATTTTATATCTAGCATATTACTTCGCAGATCTACGAGATGTTCACTTCTCAGGGCTTTCTTTCAGTGGTTCTGCGTTTGATATCTTCAGGATGATACAGACTGTTGCCCAACCGACATTTTAACAACTGCTACTGCTGTGAGTATGAGCTATATTCGAGGGGAACATCCGAACCGTACTTCGCCAATCGTAGCGCGGGCATTCTGACCTCCGTGTATTTCGCGAAGGCAATGCATGTGTAGTCACAATCGATGCTGGAGATACCGTCCTTCCGGAGGGCTGAAGATACACCTTTTAAAAGCATCAAGATTAAGCAATGGCAAACATCAAACGTCCGGAAATCATACCTTTTCCTTGCCAGTCAGGATCTACCGCAAATGCCAAGAATCGAATCTGTTCAGATTTCACGCCTCGAAGGCCTTCAGGAGTGCTTTCTCAACAGATAGTGTGAAACCAAGAAAATTGCGCTAGAAACCGAACGTTGGTCTCCGTTGACGTTATACCGTGTTTAGCGAGAAGTAAAAGACCATCATGTTAGCTACACACCGTCCTTATTCTCCATTATATTACTGATTGAGATCATAATGACTTCCTCATGTATATCTACTGCCAGCGGCTTGTAAACGAGACGTATCGAATGGCCAATCCTATGTCGAGCATGAGCAACGTCTGGATGATATGTCAAACAACGTACTCGTGCATTCTGGAAGCTTCCTTGATGCCCAGTTGCCTCCACGAAACCCCACATTTTAGTCCACATAAAGAATATTGCTCTCGGTATTATTTTAGTTCTGCTATCTCTGTCAGAATATTGTCCGTACCCTCCGTCAACGTGTCCCGAGTAGTCTGGAGGACGCAGTTCAGATTTCTAGCTTGGAAAGGATAACTCCGTAATGTAGGAAAAGCAACCAATGAATCCTTCGCCATCGTTTATGGTTTTCTTGGTTCCTCTTGTCTCCAAAAATAACGGGAGGCATTGTCAGGGATCTGGAGATAGAAACATTTCAAGTTTTATGTTCGACCATTGCAGTGCAAGGTCAGAATTTGTCTCGTCGGTATCGGATTGAAGATTTTCTTGCGGGTGTGACACCCAAGGATCCAGAGCAAGACGCGCAGATTATGATGGCTCGAATGAAAAGCTGAACGCCGCGGAGACGGTAAATCTCGGGCCTTGATCGGACTTCCACGGCTTCAAATTTCAAACGCGACTCCAACCACGAACTCGTCAACGTCAACCTCTTCCTCAGCCCCACCTGCTTAATATCCCTTTAAATCAAGCCGAATGCCATCAATTTCTATCTATGAATCACCTATATATTTATTTAATTTTTCACGTCTTCAAGTCACTTTTCAGGGCTTTCTTCCAGTGGCTGTGTACTTCATGTTTTCAGAAAGGCTGCGCAACCGCTATCTCATCTACTGCTACTGCTGTGACATTGAGTCATATCAGCCGATTATGAGGGATCAGGCGATAAAGACACCCGTGCTTCGGGAATCGTGGCGGTATCCTGATCTTCGTGTAGTACATGTGCTGGAGATACCATCCTTCTCCATGATAATCAGTTGAGATAAATGGCATCTAACCGCGTTACCGTTCACTAACTGGCTCGGTCTAGGTCCGCTACTACACCGATAGATGTAGATGATATTTTGAGTCAGGCACAGGTGCTCTTGTATGGTAGCATGCCTTCTGTCATGCATCACAGCGGTATTGCTCTCACGGCCAATTCGGATCACCCAGTATCGTTTCGTTCATTCCAGCTGCCAACTACTGTATTCACTGTGCACATGCTGAAGCTTTTGTCACTAAGAAGCATTTCGCATGAATCAGTCCCTGGCTTTGACTTTGAACTCTATTTAAACTTACTGCAATCCTACCATGGTCTCTACTCCCGCGTCGCTCAGCTGATACTCCTTACACATGCCGCTATTGATTGCAGACGCGTACTTCATCGCTATCGGGGTCGAGGTCTTTCTCCATGGTATGTTTTCGTCAAATCCTAGCCGAATAAGGTCTATTAACAAATTTTGGATTTTCAGGGATGTACACCGCTCTCTGGCTAGTGTCGATGTATCTCTTGCTGTGGGTTTCCTATGCATCATCGTTGTAGCTGGTAATAAACCTGCTCCAGGTTCAAAAGGGAGAAAACCAAAGTGATTGTCGTCATGACTGTGTTAAACTCCATAATGTGGACAGTAGCGACCTCACATATGGCGATCAGCTTTCAACAAAACTTTGATGCCTTTCTCCACAACCATGCCGCGGACAACCCCGTAGCTTTCGAGGACAACTCTGCACCAAATATATATTTGCAGATATTGCTAGAGTGCATTAACGTACATCTCACACCCTGTTCCTCGCTGAAAAGCGCTGACATCCTATAGATTGTAATTGGGGATGGGATCGTTATATGGAGAGCCTGGATATTATGGAACCGAGAACGGTGGGTCATTTTCACAACCGCCACCCTCCTTACCGGCACCGTAAGTAAGTGTAAGGACGTTCATTGCTTCTACTTCTCTCACGTTCCCTTAAATCCAGCCGGTGCTATCGGACTAATTCGAGTATACACCATGGCACCTCCGGGGATCACCCTCTTCGAGAATCCTTCTTTGAGCGCTTGGGCGACGGCTTTCATAGGCTCGACTCTAATAACGAATATCTGGGCTACATCTCTCGTCGCGTATCGTACATGGTACGTTGCTGGTCCTATCCATTATCAAGCTCATGTTAAATTCTGTCGTTGTGGTCAAGGTCGCATAATAAATTCATCCGTGCCGTAACAGGGGAAAGGTTCATGAATAGAATCCGAAGGCAAAATGGAATACTCCCCATTCTAATCGAGTCTGGCGTCTTCTACTGCTGCACATGGGTTCGTAACATTTCCCCCAATTCGTAGGAAATCAACTCAATCACACGATAGTTTGTAGCTATCATATCTTTCGTTTGCGGAAACAACTTCATCTACATTGTGATAGATATTCTTTCACAGCTGACGGTTCGTACAAAATGACTCTTTTCTCGCATTCCTCGTGGTGTTGAACCATATTCGTCTACAGGCAATATACCCTACGCTGATTATTACTCTTGTTTGCCTGCGATCCACGCTTGACGTCGCCATCGAAACATTTCAGCGGACGACGCAAGAGTGTGCTGCAAGAGCGGACAACGCAGGAAATCGCAACCATATCATCACTACGACATCGTATCCACTTAGTGATTTCAGGGTAGCAGTGCGGACGACAGCGCACTCCTCTGGCTTTGCCCCATCAGACGCTATAAGTCGCGTTGGGGAGAGTACTATGAATTCTGACGAGCCTTCGCATGTACCTTGCGAAGACAGTCTTGGAAACATGCGCAAAACCGAGGACAAAATGAATATAGTATGACATTAGGCGTACTTGTCATTTTGTTCCAAGTTGGATACCGCGAATGTTTAGACTATTTTTGTTGTAAAATACACCTCATCCTAAATACCCCGACGAGACAGATACATCAATAGAAGGAAGATGCCATGAACCGGAAGGTACATAGCACCCGCCGCTGCCTACGCGAAGGAAACTCGCGCCAAAACGCAGGAACCAAGAAACAAGACAAAAATGAAGACTCGACGAAATAATTCGATGAAAAAGGGCATCTTGGAACCAAGACATATTCACGGGAAACCCGCTGCCCTCAGCTTGGAGCACCCGTTCCTTGGTTTGAAGACCCTCAGGAATTATCGGATGCGATGCACAGCTTCTCTGCCATCCGTATCACTTCACGCCGCAAGACCTCGGCCACAAGCATTGCAGCATGCCGGCACCCCTGGATCCGGGTCTATTTTCTTCTTTCCTCCCGTCACATTTGAGGTGGTGGTGCCAGGCTGCGCCAAAGGGACAGATGCGGTCGCACCAACGCTCTCGGTTATGAGGGTGGGGACAGCCCGAGAGTCAGCCTGGAGATTGAGAGAATGAGCGGTGACAATGGGCGCCTTGCTATCAAAATCGGATTCATCCGAGTAGATCTCCGCCTCAACCTCATCCAGTCCTCTCAAAATTGCCTCTTCTTCGGGGTTCTCCTCTAAACCGGCTTTTACAGTCGGTACTCCCGATACAACATGCCTAGAGGTAGGGAAGACTTGCTCGTTAAAAAGTTGAACGGTGGCCGACATGGATTTAGAGCCTTCAGCAAGCTTCTTTTCGATAACGCTGACGTAAAACTCGTAGTCGGAGAAGTAGTTGATCTTGGACTTCGCACCTCTGTCTGAGGTAAAGGAGGGGTCTCCGGAGAGCAGAAAGCGGAGCTGCGTGGCTTGTATCAGTCATAACATCCAAAGCTCTAATCTGTATTTACCGTGATTGCTGCGAATGCGATGGCGGCCGGCGTCACCTCCGTGACCGACCATAGCCCAGCATAAGTTGTCTTCGTCTGAAACTGTGATGTTCTGAGGCCGCTTGCTCCCCAGAGAATACAGACCAGGATCTTACGAGCCTGTCAGCACCTCCCGGTTTTCAATAAAAATTGGAGCCATACCTTCAAAATCGCAGGACTTCTGAATAAACTATCCCCGCCGACTTTCTTTCCAGGCTCATAGAGGCATGGACACAAGCGGGCCATGTTCTCTTTGCTAGGCTCGTAGCCAACGAGCTGCCGACATAACGGATCGGCATGCCTATCGAGGTCTCCCCCAAAGCAGTCAAGAGGAACTACGCCGTCGCAGATCTCCGCCGCGTTCGCTTTAATCCGGTTGATGAGACTTGGACGAATGTCTGTTGCTGCGCGCTTCATCTGTAATCTCCATGAGTATTAGAAACGCAGAAAGGTCGATAACCTGACTATTTTTTCGATCTTATAATAAGATCCCGGAATAGTTCCACCGACAAAGACATGATAGTGGCTTGGGAGAGAGGCGTAGAGTTCAAGAACAAGCTTCATCTTGACAATTTTCTCCATATTTGCCGGACCGCCAGGATGGAACGCGAGAGTAGCATCTAGCTCTCGCCGTGCTAGAACTTGGTCAATGCCGAATATCTCCTTTTTATCCCACCAGGTGTGGCCAAAAACGACTAATCTCCTTGCTGCCGCTTGAAGTTTGTTCTTGGATTCCTTCGTCTCGAGGATCGACACTTGGCCCAAGGCATTGTCTGATACAGAATTTGTGTTACTGGTTGTGCCTTGGGAGGACTGCGAAGCGGTGGAGGTTGGACCACTGCCAACGGGGGAAATTGCCGTCTTCAGAGTACGAATTTCGTTCTGCAGGATCTGGTTTTGAGTCTACGCTTCTTTTAAAGCCTATTTGAAAAGTCAATCGTTTCAGTAACACTGTGACGTATGGCTGCCTTACTATCAGAAGATCTTGAACCGAGAGGTTTTCAAGAAGCTGAGAGAGGTTGTTAATGGGCTGGGTATCCATTGTCGCTATGGAAAATTGTTTCGTTGAAGTCGGAGAACAAATTTGTCGGTACCGGACGAAGGTGTCGACGTCGGTTGAGTTTGAATTGTAACTTCGGATGTTGTACGCCTTGTATTCGCGGCACCGACAACAGCATACATTGTATGCATTATGAATGACGGGTTCGATATTGCGTTATACGCGAAGGTTGGAGTACCGGGAGCGAAGAGGAATTTAACAAGCCCTAGAAAACAAGTTGAGAAGAAACGAACAAACTAAACGATAGGCAAGTCTTTAGACTTACCTAAACCGCTTGAGTCGAGGAGACAAAATCGGGTATAGGCCTGCGAAATATTCAACATGATGTTATCATTATTCTGGCAATATTTCTGTCTTGAGGACGCGGTTTGCCTTCGATTTTGGAACAGGTGCTGAATGAAATTATCATGAGCGAAAGGAGACATTCCGGGATATGCAGCTACGCACCATTCGTGTTCTCCGTTATATAGAACCGCCGAAGAATCATAATGGCCTCCTCACGTAGGTATCCACCAATAGCTTTGTAGACCGGATGCACGGGGTGATAGGTCCTAAGGCAAAATTGAGCGGCGCTTGGGTAATAGAATTGACAACGTACTCATTCGTCCCTAAGACACTCCCACACCCTCCAAATCTGTCATTGGCACACCCGTATAAGACCTCTTTGATACCCAACTGCCGCAACGCAGATCCACACATGATACAAGGCTCGACCGTCACATAGAGTGTCGTGCTCGATAACGGGTATTGTGACAGCTCTGGCATCTCAGCGAGAATTTGGTCAATGGCCTCTAGTTCTGCGTGTCGAGTGGCCTATCAAAGATGCAGCCTCGATAACCGCATCTGAGTGCAAGAAATGCACATACATTCCTGAGCTCGTTCGTCCGATTTCTGGCTTTGGCGATGATGACTCCATCACGAACGAAAACACAGCCAACGGGAACCTCGCTGGCGTCGAGAGCTTCTTGAGCCTGTAGAAAGATGTTTATACTGTCGTCGACCACAAAGGAAACCGGACGTACCATCGCCAGAGCTTCCTTCATGAAATTTTCGTGGATAGCGTCCATCATAACAATGACGGATATTTTCCTGCAGGATCTGAGAGCAAAATATCGATGCCGGGACTGGGTTGGGAGCAAGGGGTAGAGTCGTGGTCGTAGTCGCGGTTAGAGAGCAAGAGAGATGGAGGCAGCGGTCCGCAAAGCTCCGATCCTTTCCTTCTGCCACCGTCTCCAATTATATCATCGATATTCTCTTTTCCGCTTAAATTTTCCTGATAACCTCTAGGGGGCCTTGGGAAGCCTTGTTTCTTGGTAAAATTACCGGATTCACAGGTCTACAATATATTCTTGCTGCTGTTGCTCTTTCGTTAGTCTTGCGGATCTGGCACCGGCGTTCAATGTGCGGAACTGTGTAATGTCACCTATCTGCCAAATCTTCGCATCGACAGATGCTGCCTTCGACTATGAGGGTCGATTTATGCTATACATAAATTTCTATGGAAATACACGAAACAGATGATGGTAACTCTTCGACGCCATGAAAGGTGAGGAAGATCTCAAAATTGGATTCGATGACTCATTGCTTACCCAGCTATTCCGAAGTATAATGTATATCTCGTCTGTGATAACAACCGGCCAGTATTACCTCTAATTTTAATTGATCCCTCCGAGCCAGCCGAACGTATCACGTTCAGTTCCACTGAAATTATTGTCGATGGGGCGTGCGTCCGTAGATCCCAATTGTTCACACCCGCCGCCTGCATCCTCTTTCATTTGTAGGCTCTCAGACTTGAATGTATTGGTGTTGGAGGATGCTCGTTGACTAGGCTCTACAACCTTGGCCCATCAGTATTGCGAATCATGCCTGTTTGCATCTACCAGACGAGGACCTCGTCCGTGACTGTTGAACCAGGTCACCACCGCCGCCACCTCAATCCATTAATAAAGCTGATACTCCGACACTCCCAACTAGACCTTTCTCCCCGGCTCCGGATTCGATCTGTATCAATTATCAAGGAGTCTTTAAAACCATAACGACGGTTTATCTGGTTCCATTCTCTTTCCCACATCTATCCAGGAGGCTTCTCGGGATGTTGCGGCGTGGCCTCTGATATCAGTGTATCAAGCAGTCTCCTCCACTTCAGGTGGATCGTTACGGTATGATATCTAAACCACGACCCGGCCTTTTTGTCAGCGGATAGCAGGAAACGGCAGCGAAGAGCCTGCTGATATACTCAAATCTATTCACGAGAAGAACTTTTTTGATTCTTCACACCGGAAGCACAAGGCCGCGTGATATCGTCATCGCATCTTGTCGCTGCGCGCGCGGAATCATATTCCTAACGCGAAAATTCGTAACAGCCAATTGTATGACTGGAGCACATAAAGGTGAATGCACTTCTAATTCATTCTCATTTTGTATCAATCATAGATGCGGGGTCAACGTTTCAACATTGAGTACTGTATCTCTGCTGCGCCGGCGTACCCTGTGTAGCTCACATTGGGGAGACTTCGGTGGGTCGACTGGCTTTGTTTCACAGACAGAAAAATCAGTGATGCATAGTCCAGTGTCACTATCCGAAAGGTTATAAATACACTCCTCTTGGCGTTCTTGGCTATACAAGTACCGAAGTGTTATTTTCGATCAACTCTGGCGCAGTGTTATTCCACCATCTGGAATTATACTAGACTGGAAGCATCTCCCTCAAAAAGATTTTCATCGGCAGCCGCTGATCTTCTTTATGACTCTACGAGCCCAGGCCCACACGATTCGGCGCCTCTCTCGATGTATACATTTCAATGGAGATTTGAGGGCCGAACTCCGATAGTGACTCGGGTGATAGACCTACCTCTTCGTTCTGAGATTACCGTTTCGTGAATAAGTGTGCCTGAATTTGCAGAATACCTGACGTTGAAAGTCTAACCGACGGATCGTTCCTCGTCATATCAGTCCTAGTAGTAGTAGAGTAGTAGTAGCAGCAGTGTCGTCGCTACCGAAACTGATGGTTCCAGCGTGATGTCAGTGATACTATTCAAGAGGCGCCGTTCAGGGACGTCCATAATATCTCTTTCAATTAAGAAATTAATTTCACCATGCTGAGCATTTGCGCCCCTGCGCAACAGTAAGTACTGTGGGATAGGAGTATCACATTGGGGCCACAATCACCGCACCGACGGCGGACCGGTCTTCCTCCCTCAACCGATCCTGAAAAACACCTTCGCTTTCGTCAGTGAACAGCGAGCCCCGTGTCAATGGGGCGTCTAAGAGATGGAAAGGTCGACGGGAAGGGCAGCCTGAAACGTCAAGATTCAAAGTATAGCGAACCAATGAGCAGCGCTGGATGGAGTACCAAGACTTTCATAGCTTCCTCATGTGCCTCGTCTTGATGGAGACTTACGGTATTTATGACGGACCGACGTATCATAGTGGCGTCTTCTACGCGGTCTCCCGTGGTCGGCAGCGAGCATAGAATTAGAAAGAAGCATTTTCTCAACGTATCTCCCACAAGTCGTGAGTACCAGTCCCTCACATATTGCGGATGACACGGAATAAGCTCCTACGGGCTGCAGGCTATCTGGTCTGTGGAGCGGAATCGCTATATTAATAGAGTCGAACAGAGCTAAGTTGATAGATATCAAGGTATCGTAAATATTCCCCCAGTCAGAGCCAACAGTCACCAGATGCGCACCGTCCAGCTGAGATTCGATCGTAGTGTTCGTAAACGCTGCAGTGTACCGCGTTACTAAACCGATAAACAAGCAAGAGATGTAGCCGTGCTTACTGTTTGTTTTTTGAGTCATCAATGATCATGGGGCCGGCGTCGAAGTCCTCAATGTGAGTTTGGTAAACCATTCGGTCCGATATTAGAATTACAGATAGCCTGAGTATGTGCGATGATGTTACAACAACAGCGTGAATGAATGAATGAATGCGCGATATGTCAAATGAGACCTAATAGGAAAAAATCTAGAGCGCCCGTCAGTCATTGGGTGTTGGACAAAGACACCGAGCGTCACTAACCTAAGCCCTCCCGATGTTCCCTTCCAGAGGTTTCACCGTAAATTTCGCAATACACCTATGACTTCCTGCAAATTATCTCTGTTCCACTCGCCACTCCAGCCCTGTTTACGTTCTCTCCAGCCTGAAACCTCAACGTAACCCCGAGAGCCTTCCAGGTAATGGAGGAATGGCGTATCAGGACGTGGCGCAATGAACAAGGCTGGATCCCTTGAAACAAATGCATGCGGTGCTGTCCTGGGACGCTTGAGTTTTGGAGGTGTTGTAACCGCCTGAGAAGGGTTGATTTTATCAAGACTTGTCTGTTTCTTGATGGGCGCTGATTTCGGTGACTTCAAACTGAATTCCATTAGAGGAGGCTTGGACTCAGGTATATGAGTCTTCGATGAGATTTCGGAAAGAGTGCGGAGTCTTCCTGGCGCCAATGATGGAGGATGCAGGCGAGACGAAGATTGAATAGCATCAGGGCGTAAGATGGAGGAATTGTAAGTGCGGAGGTGTCTGTCGGATAGAGCACTTTCCTGAGAATAGCAGGATGATTCTGAAGATGTACGGGATCGAGTCGCGATGGACCGGTCATTAAAGGATAACTGCGATTGGTTCATCTGATATCGCGTGGGATGGAGGAATTTATCGGACGGCGGGGTTTGGGATGACCATGGTTCCGGCGCGAAATTACGTGGAACATAGCCGGACGGCGCAGTTTTGGGCCTTCTGGGTGTCTTGGGGGGATTCAAAGTCTTCGGGTGCAGAAGAGTAGCGCCATAGGGAAACGTCGATGAAGCGGGGGATATTTCAGTGGCACCATACGACTTTGTTCTCCCTTCCGGCGTATATGTGGGCCGACTTTCCTCACGACGCTGATGCTGAGGGACCGGGAGAACATTATCTGGTACTGGAGGCGGCGGCACCGTTGACACGGATTTCTTACGGCCAATACCGATGCGCCTCAACAGAGGAGAAAGGGAGAAGGAAGAACGTGAGGTGCGAGTTGTGCGGAGAGATGAGCCAAGGCTCGACGTTGGGGAAAGTGTTGGAAAAGAAGTCTGGGAAGATGGATCGGATGAAGAGAGAACAGAAGATAATTTCGATTTCTTCGCCTTCTTCTCTATCTTGACCAGAGGTTTCGGTGGTTTTGGCGCGCCAAAATCAGGTAGTGCGTACATAGAGACAGGTGAAGGGGGACGGCGACGAGGGTGTGGGATGCTGCTGCGACTGGAAGATGGCATGGAGAAAATCACCGGTGGCGGCCTCCAGGATGAGTATATATGTGGGCTAGCAACGTAAGTGATGCCTTCCGGGGTTTTATTATAATACACTCATCCAGGGAGTGCGATGTGTGATCTTGTGATGAAATCAGGTACACAGTCGAGATTCAGCAAGGTCCGAACGCCGTAGGCGCTAAGTGTTTTCCTGCGACGGAGCTAGAATAGAATGGAACAGATAGCTTGAAACGTTCCGTCGTTATACTGTTATCAAGAATAACGTTTGAATGACCAGCGTGGAGCGTTGAGCATGAGAAACGGTGGCAGCTGACGAATTGAGCACGAATAAGAAGGTCGTGATTCGTGGCAAGTGAGAGAAAATACCTCCGATCGTCAGACAAAAGCTACCGCATGAACGGATGACGCCGTAGTTATCCAATTAACGACGCGTGTTTTCCTCGGCGACCATCACTAATGTTTTTGCTATCTTCCTTGATCTTCCTTGATGAAGTCAAAAGAGACAGGGGATATTGAAAACATCGTTGATTATGTGTTCATCTGGTCATGGAACCTCAAGAAGTATATATCGGATACGGAATGACTGCGATACCTACCTCGCGAAGTAAAACATTTTCGGGGTTGCCCCTACAAAATGGAAACAAATGGGTATAAATCAAATTGAAACCGCATAAAAAAGGGCCATCAAACCATGAAGCTTCCAAATACTCTGGCACACAGGGTTGTTTTTCCGACTTGACGATATGAAGTTCTGTCCAGAACTTGACCATAAAAAAATTAGACGCGCACCATGCTTTACACCGGTAACAGAGGCAGTGACGGAGATGCCCTCTCACGCAAGATAAAAATCAACTTAATGACCGGTGTCATGGTCGTTCGATATTCGCTCCTCCTCCCCTTACAGCTGTTCCATTGACCCTGTGTAGAAAGGAAAACGTGATGCGAGTTGACGCCGATTTGAAAAAGCCCTTCAAGCTGTGACTCTTCGAGAGTCGGAAGGTCGTATACGTTGCTGTAAATCCTGCTTCTAAGAGAACCGGGTAAACTACTAGCTGGACTTTGATTCAGGATTTGGTTGATTCGCGTATTTGATGGCGTACACCAAAGGGTCCAGGTAGTGGGCACAAGAAACGTAGAGATACCAGAGCGACGGCACATAGGTGGCGCTCTGCCTGGATGCTGTGCTGGTGTCAACCCAGGACTCGGTGTATCGACTTTCTGGTAGCAATCCGTAAAAGTGTGAAACGTGGTGTTTTCCGAGAAAGCGGAAGAAGCGGGCAAGTGGAAGAATAGAGGCGAATAGATACCAGACTAGATTCTTTCCGGACTACGGGAAGGGTGGTGGATAGCCGGAATGATTAACTGATTGAATGGCGATTAAGTGTCACTTCGCCTACGGAGCAAGTCGAGGGAGCCAGGGACGACGAAGGCACCGGGCTACACAGGAATTCACAGTGCACATCAAAACCGGAGGACAAATTGGGAAATTCGTTCCTCAATTCACCAGAACTGTGTAGGACGTACTACGATGGTATGCCGTCAGCCGTGCGGAACAACTTCCGTCCTTGACTTGAAGCGTTCAAGTCCACCATATTGCCCTTAGCGCTGTATTCATGATCAGACCAATAGTGCACAAGTTGAATGGTAGCATTCACCTACGCCACGACAAATACCGTCGCATATCATAGAGCTTGTGTGATAGCATACGGTGTTTAAACTGCTTTGGAGGGACAATGACAGTCATGCTCCAAGCTCCAAGGGGGTATAACTTTCGGGACCGAAGTCGAGCCTGGTATGCACCGAAGAAATTTTCTGAGAGGCGGGGTTTATGCACATGGTAGTGCTTGATATATTATCAGGCTGAAGGAATCTAACCTTGCACAGGAGAAATTTACATACCTTGTGATATCGAATAAGCAAGGCCTCGCGAAACTTCCGACCGCGTAGCAAACGTATCCACGGTGCAAGAGATTGCAAACAACACTGAAAGCACCCCGTTCAAAAGATCAAAAGGATCCAGTTATAAACGGTAAACTCTGAGCTCCCGACACCGTCCAGAAACGAGGGGCTTCCATCGTGAGCATTGCTATAGTCACGCCAATTCTATGCTCGCCCTTGGTTCTGGTTTCGCTGACTCTCTCTTGACTTGGAAGAAAGGCATTGTGCATCGGAACGAAAAAAAAAAAAAGAAAAATTGCTTTCGCTTGTGCACCGCCTCAGAGCGTGAAAAGGCCGGAACCGTCGGGAAAATCTGGTGCCTCCAGTAAGTAGCCCCGATGGTGATACAGCGTACCGACGTGCGGCCATTGGTGATGATAAGGTCCCGATATGAGGTAAAAACCTACAACACCGATGACATGTCCATAAGGTTATGGGTAAACAGGAGATTCACGTACGTTTTGAGTGCGCACAAGCGGGACTTGGAAATCCTCGATAAAACCTGCCAATTGCTTTCTATACATGCATTTCGCTCTGAAGACTAATATACTTAACTTATTCGCGTTGACAAGGTCGTCGAAGTGCATCAAAAGACACAGTCGGGCACCTACTCTCTGACTACGTCGAGACTTCAGGGAAAGAACAGTGGCCAAGTTCAGATGATAGACCGTAGCCGAAGCCTATCCTCCTCCCGTAACGTACATATATCGCCAAGAGGGTCCTTTTCAATGACCCGGCCCGTTGGTTTTCAGTGAGACTAACCGTCGGAGGTTGAGCGTTCTAGACGTCGGCACGCTGCAGCAGGAACACATGTCTGGCCTAGCTGTCAAAGCCGCAGTGTCACCATTGATGATGAACGGAGCCCGTTGAAGATAGGTTGTGCGGGCACGTACGACTAACAAAAATTCGGGAAACATTTTGCGCAAATCTTCAATGGATCGCGAGGTTAGACCTAATTGAAAGTGAATCCTTTAGACACAACTTTCCATGCGAGCATTGATCTCACTCCGTAGATCTACGAGGTTGTGTTAGCCCACTTTCGTGCGTGATAGTGAACACTCACTCCGTAGAAGTTAGCATATTTGTCCAAAGTACGACTATCCTCAGCAGAACAGTGATTACATCGGCGACACGATGATGCCGCGTTTGATGTGCGCGCTTGGATACACTATCTTTGTCTAGGCAACGGAAAATTCGCAGAGGGCAGATAGGTTCTGTTCGGGCAATCCGTCGGCTTCATCATATTTGGCAGACTTGAAAAAATTTGGTGGTCACTACACTGCGCAAAATTCTGATCTCTATTATTTTTAGTTGGCGCACAAAACAGTCGTTTCTTGTCGATAGACAGACAATATGTGCCTATTGATGTTGGGGAAGGACGGTGAGTTGGCGAAACAGAAATGAAACAGTCACTCACCTGCCAAGAACTGGAGGCAAGTATTCGTATTCAAATCATGATTAAAAAAATTAATGTGCTCAGCAATCGTACGCGAAGAATAGCATAGGACGAAGGCAAGTCGAAACATTTTCAAGTTCCAGACAGGGAACGTTACTACTAGCGTTCCCACGGACCAGTTGGTCAGCGCAATGCCGCCGGCATTCGCCACATCGGCTTCTCTTCATTTTAGTCGAAGTCGAACAGCTCTTCAAGGCTTGGGCGATACAGTAAGCTCTACCACAATATTAGTTGACAAAAATTCCGGAGACCAGAAAGAAAGTGTAATTTGGTGAGACCGTGGTTAAACGCTCCAGTGTCCTGATTTATCATCCGTCATCAAACTGACTTCTGTCCTATTTTGTTTCCTGCTCGTCCGTGACTACTACCGAAAGGTTTTGCTAGATAGTCGAGACAGCAGTTATATCTCTTCTGTATCCCCATGTCCATCACCAGAAGCTGAAATTACTTACCTGCTTCGCTTTGCTGGTCTGTTTCTCGCAAACACGCAGATGACGTACCTATGAAATACGGGATGCCCCGGGAGAGGACGGTTCGCATAGAAATCGCTTAGTGGCACCCTGAGAATCAACATGACTTGGACTCCTACCCCTGCGGATAACCTTTGGGGCGACAGGTGAAATGTTTCCATCAGGTCAAGAACAGAAATACCAAGATGATTCTGGATTCAGTGATCAACTGAGGCTAACCGAGGAAACATTTCCTTGCGCGCTGAATTATTTTGGGTTTCAGGAGCGTCTGGCTCGGAGTAGGTAAATAAACCCAACACCCGTATGCACAGTTGTACACGAACCTCACACGGGCGGTAAACCTGGTGCGCTGAGTGTTCGGCAATTTGGTCGGCACAGTGCTGTTGGCGTTTTCCAAGCGTTTTCCATCATGGACAGCGGCTTACTTTCCCCGTCCAGTGAAGTTTAGCTTGTCGAGGCCGTCGAATACCTCTACTTCGAGCCACCTGGAACGCTCTACCTATCAGAACAGTAAATTTCCGCGTGATTTTATCTTCCAGTTTCTGCTGTTGACAGTTCCGAGGATGAGCCTACAATCCAACGCGTGTGCTGCTAGTACTTAGCATGCCTAGACAGCTCTTTGAGTTCAGAGATGCATGTATTTAAGTGGACTCTGACCTGCATATTCCAGCATCGTTCCTTTACTTGCTCATTACCATGATGTTCAAGAAACCCCTCGTCTTACTTCCTCTGTATGTGATGCTCTGCGCAGCTGCGCCTGGTCCCAAAGTTGCAGTGGACTTGGAGGCTCGAGCTTCATGCACGCCTCCTGCCTATATCTATTGTTGCACCACGCTGACCTATGTATGTGCAATGAGCATTTAAGCCGTTCGTGAAACTGACCTTTCCATAGGTATTGCACAGTTACGTTGGGACCCACTGCAATCCCGTTAGCAATTGTGCACAACCAGTCTGTTGCACTGGTACATTTGACTACGTATGTTTCTGTTTATGTCGTTTGTTCATGGGGAGCTTGAGTCTGAAAAGTAATCTATTTAGACTCAAAACAGTATTGGTGGCTGCACATACGCGTGAAGGGGAGCGCGATTGATAGAACAGCCTGTTAGGAGGTTAATCAATGTGTTTGAGCTTTGTCAATGTTATTATCGAAGCCGGGAAAACTGTGATTTAAATCTGCTAAGATGCTCTCATTAGAAGATCTTCAACTGAGAGTGTGATGAATGTACTGATGAATGTACTCACCCCGTATTAACGAAGACAAGTAGCTCGGAAGTTGCTATAAGGGTCCCTCCGTGTTCAGAGCATCAGAGTACCCGGAAAAGTGATCATCGTAGCCACTCGACGTGTATCTCAGCTAATCATGGGGATCTGGAGGTTAAGATGCCCATGGGCATTATTATGTGAGAATGGATAACACAAATTATCCATTCAAGTCGCGGTCTACGATGAACTGGAGTGTCTACCTGGGCTGCCTTAACAAATGGCGAAGCTTTTAAGCAGATAACCTGCCAACTAAACAATGACAAAACTTTCAACCATCCCCGACCTGCGACAGAGCAGTAAGTACGTGTAAACGGCGAGACAAAAACCGTTCTTGCTATTCTTCCAAACTGAACGTCAGAAAGCACGCATTGCGAATTTAGCCGTACTGACAGTGGCGACAGAATCCATATAAAGTCTCCGGGCATAAAAATGAACTGTGTGAGATATGTTCCTGTACCCACACGGTACTGACATCGTTTCCGACAGGTTTGTCAGCACAATGATGCACGAACCTCCCGGCCATTTCCCGTTTTTCAGCCTGGTAGAGGTAATGGAACGGCTCTACGAGTGGGTCAAGACCGCAAAGAAGTGAACCGCCGCTTGATACAGCTTCCCATGACTGTCGTCCGCATCATATGGAGGACACGGGGCGAGTCTACCTGGGGGAGAGTAGAATGTTGAACTGGTAGGACCACAACGTACTGACAGCAACGTTCCGAATAGATGCCGCTGGAGACCAAGGCGCCGCTCTGAGTTGTTGTATTTAAGAGGCAACGATTTTTTCAGGTTACTATCATTGCAACATCCTCCACGATGATGTTCAAGCAAGCTCTTGCCCTACTCCCTCTCTATGCCATCCTCTGCGCTGCAGCGCCTAGTCTCGACGTTGACGCTCGGGACACCGCAGCGACATGTGTTCTACCCGCACACGTCTGGTGTTGCAGCAAGCTCAGCTTCGTACGTCTCGCAGATATTCCACGTTTGTTCGTGAAATTCATGACTCTTGTTACAGGTGTATAACAGTTACGTCGGAACTGGCTGCGAGCCTTACAGCAGTTGCGCCACTCCAGTATGTTGCACTGGACAGTACTATAGCGTAAGTTTCTCATCAATTTGTTCGTACGTGCCTAACCCCGGAACAAATGATTGTAGAGTGGTGCCACTGTTGGTGGCTGCGAATATTTGTGACCATTGGGAGTAGGACGTTCATAGATTAGAGCAACATACCTTCATGTCAATTATATTTCCCAAAAGCACGATTGAATGTATCACGCAGCGGCGCTCTGTCTTTAACGCAACATTATTGAGCCACTACCAAAACATCAGGGAGAGTATAAAGAACTCAGTCACCATCTTCTCGGGCGTCCAGCCCAAGAAGATGCATCCGTCTCCTCGCCTTGTCTCCTAGATTAGTGTGGGGCATATCCCTACCCAAAGTCACCCGCCGAAGAGACGTACAAGCCATCCGCACTTCCACCATATCTATTATCAGCTCTTCGTCAACATCCTGACACCACACCAGCTCAAGAGACGAGAGGTGTGGTAGGTTTATTGGACGCGTGTCAGCTAGATATCGAACGATTGCTTCGATTGAAGCTTGAGGCGCCTGGGGCCAATGAATAGCAAGCTCGCGAAGCCGTGGCATTGCCTCGAACATAAGGATCAAGTCTTTCGCGTCCATAGGGAGATATAGGATATGAAGCCGGCGTAGCGATTTGGCGCAAGACCGGAGAAGGTGCTCCAGATGGGAAAATTTGAATAGGTTCCCTGTTGAAACGCCATCTTTCTCGTGTACCAAAGACAGTGAAGCTAAATTCGGCAAGAGCAGAGGCTTGATGATGGCTTGAAGGTTGTTGTAAGAGTAGTCGTGCATGAGAAGTGTCAATGAGGTTAGATGGAGTACCTCGACTGGACGATCTGCGGCGTGGCGGCATGTAAAGCACCCAACAGTAACGTGGGTTAGCTCGGGCATAGAAGCGATGGTCGAGACAAAACGTCCAATATCACTGAGAATCATGTCTGCCTTGAACGTGCGGATCTTGTTCGAAGGCATAGGCGCTCCCTCATCATTGGATAAAAGATGTCCTTTGAAAGAGAGCGTTCGAAGATTGGGAGCGAGGTGAATAACGGAGGTCATGGCGTTGATGGTATTCGATCCACCGAAATATGTGACTTCGAGTAATTCTAGTCGAGGGAATGTGACATCTTTGATGAACTCTCCGAGGAAAAAGAAAGGTCGGGAATGCATGAATGAAATGTGAACTTCTCTCCAGCGTCGTGCCTCCGCAAAAAGAGCAGATATAAATCCGGGCGACGGCCACGTAACCAAGTCGACGTCATTATGTCGACTATCCCGGAAGTCGATTTGGAGAGGTTCATCTTGAGAGCGGTGGAGGTATAGAGGAATCCAAGCCCCGTGATTATCACGAGACGACTTGGAAAATGGGCATTGTAAGTCGAGGTTTATCGTGGACCATAATGAATGGGTAGAGACGGCGAGACGGCGCCAGTAGGTGCATACCAGGGCGATTCGCAGTGAAGACGTCGGGTCTTCCGCCCTTATCGCCTCCTTGAAAACGGTACACAGCAATTCTGGCGGGAGACGACGAATAGGCGCTAGAAGTGACTTCTTTTGCTTTATGTACTCTTCGACTTCAGCGCGATCACACCTCAGCTTCTCAACCGTATCTAGGTGGCACTGAATCTCTCGGTCATACCGAAAGAGGTCAAACTCCGCGTGCATGATGAACTCGGGGAAGAGAGCCGCTTCAGCAGATAACAATGCGTTTCCGGATCGCAGTAGCTCTAGATTCTGTTTCAGCGACTCGGTGTAGGACGCATCAACGTCAAAGCCGGCGCCGCAATTAGAACAGATAGGTATAGGACTTTTCATTAGATCAGACTGGGGTATGATTCCATCAGCATCTTAACTGCGGGGTCATAAATATGAATGCGTACACAAAGTTTGCGTTATATGAACTGGGAATGTAGTGATCTTAGAGCGACCAACAAGGTTCGTCTTTGCGCAAGATATGGCAAATCTACATGTTGTCTGTGTACGAGGTATACGATGTGAAGGGGAAGAGTACTCACAGCAGGCTGGTAACAAAGAACGCGTGAAGTGATGGTTCGTTAATAGAATATAAGAAAACGGGAACGGTGGAGAAAACGCCGGTATGATCTCGTTCGGCCCAGAAAGTCCCGAAGCCTAGATTCAGGCGATGACATCATATTAGAGGGCGGGCACAATCTGTGTATCAGGGGAGTTTAATACCATGCAGAACTAGGCGCCTTTGGACCTCACCCAAAAGCACTGGACTGCCCTTGAGTCATTCCGACCTTATTGTTCTACCGCAGGAAGGAATGCTGCTCCTACTATCGAAACGGGATAAAAGGTGATACAGATAGAGATCACATTCATGATATTCAATATTGGCGAGATGACGAGCCTCGACAACGTGAAAGAAGAAGACCGTGATTCTGCGATATGATGGCAGGAGTAGAAGCTAGGGCCTGCCGGGCGACCCTCCTGTTTTGGAATTCCTGCATGGCTTACTTAAGATGATTAACCCCAACCCTTCGGGTCAATCTGCTGTTGTAACTTATCCCCTCGCGTCGTTTCAGGGAACGATTGCCGCATTTTCTCACATGGGGCAAGTTTTGAGGAATTTTTCTTGACGCAGCGCTCACAGACCTTAGGGTTCTTGTTGTATTTCGGACTGTATCCTAGTACAATGCTTGTAAGACCTCTAGTCTCTGGGTTACAAACTCGTGAAGAGTTTGCCTATTGACTCAAGGGGGTCGCAAAAACCGAAAAAATCATATCAGGCCGAAAAAATTTTTAAGGCCTCGATGGACCGACCGACCGACCGACCTCCGTGGGAAAAACATACCCACAAAGGAAACATCATGTAATCACTCCGTGTCGGAGTCACCTGCCAGTGCGAGTTTTCCACCTACGTAGTCCTCTCATCCTCGATCTAAACGCTGATGATATACAGTTTTTGTCTGCTAGCGACGACGCTTTCCTACTGTACATGACCGACACTTCCAATTTGGGACCCGTCGTTCCAGGCCAACGCATTGAATGTGATACTATCCAATCTTGTGAGCATTCCAACACAGATGTATTCAATTTCAACTCACCAATTCTGTCTCGCAGCCTTCGTTTTTGCACACAATAACATCTCGACTATCACGATCTTCAATGGCATCACCACATTCACACACCCGCAAGTTCCAGGTCCGTATCTTCCGTTTACGGCCGATTCGTGTTTCCTGACCGGCGGAAAAAGATGGTTCAAAGGGATTGGGCTCATGGGGTGCTGTCTCTGATTGCAAATGGTGTGTGCTTGGCCCTGCTTCAGAGTTGTCGTACTCATCCAGAGGTTCCTCAGGATCAAGCTGGTCATCCTGATTATCGTCGTGTTCTGTTTCGGCGTCTCCATCAACTGTGTCACTATATATCGCAAATAAATCAAATGAAGGCCAAGATACTAAATGTATATGACTTACGCTAGAGTCAGCCGCGAGCTATGCACCTCAGAGATTACAAGACGACGTCCGCCTTGAGTTTTTCGCTCCTCCTTGCGCTTGTGCCGGTTAGTCCAGATATTCTTCATCAATCCTTTCTCGAACTCATCAGTTTCATGTGCCCCTTTGTAGCTCGACGGCTGAACATGGGGATGCTTATTTTTTATATGAACGACCATGTTGTAGGACCACACTGCGGGAGACTTGTCGGGACAGTGCTGACATTGGATGGGAATGTTCGAGCAGGGACTAGTGTTGGAGGATGCGGCGGCAACGTTGTAATTAAACCGAATCCTGTTCGTGCATGTTGACTTTTTCCAATCAACCTGGTAGCCCGTTCCTTTACTCCTGCGCAAATACCATGTACATATTGGTGATGGTCGTAGACACAGTCCACATGGCTCGAGGTCATTGTCAACGTTGCTATCAAACAAAACGTGCGCACCAATGTGCTCCAAGACCCGTGGTGCTGATTTGTCGAGAGGGACACTCGGTTGACAGTATGTGCACATCTTCACATCTTCACAGCAGCATCGATGACCTCACGCTCCTTTCCGTCTTGTTCGCAGACAAAACAAGCTTGACCCGCATGAAGGTAAGGGAAGCCAGGAGATGCGACCATCTCTGGCAAGAGCTGCCCATCTTCAGGAAGTTCATCGAGCGTCGACATCCCAAGGGCCCGCAGAATCGCACTCTCAAAGACGTAGAATGGCTTTCCTCGTGTGGACGTTGAGATATCCGGGTTTATGGGATGCACCAGTCTTCCAGGAATGCGGTGATGTGATGCTCCTCTCTTGTATGACCACTTCCAATCGTGCTTTAACTCGGGGCCATCGTCAGAAGTGGTCGGTACGAGGTAAAGGAGTTGGTAAGAGACGAGTGTTGTTTTATCAGTGAGCATTGCGACAGCCAACTCTGACACATGCTTCCCTTGATAGGTGAGATCAATGACTTCAGCGATAGCTAAGAAGAGATGGTTCTCGCAACGAATTAGCGTTGATATAGGTGAGTTAATCTTGACATATTGTTAGCATGGTTTTAATACCAACTCCGTGTCTCAAGCCAGTACGCACAAGACGTTCAACCCGTTCAACCCGCCCGCTTCCTATAGCCAACATCCACTCCTTGTGAAGCCCCAAAGCATGCTTCTAGGATGCTATTTTTCGGCTGTCGTTGAGCTTCCGCAAACGCAGGGCACGAATGGCGAGGGAGGTTCCGGGATGCTATCAACATCAATGGGCTCCGGTGAATGTCTCGGCCTCTCTGCAATAGGCTTAGCTGAAGTTTCCGCTTGCTTCTTTCCTACAGCCCTAATAGCTCCTATGAGTCATAATCTTACTTCGAGAAGAGAATACTCACACTTCATCAATAGCTTCAATTAGGCGCTCCACTTTACCATCGACCAAGCTTGCCGGAATGCGTAGCCCTTTCAGTAGGTGGGTAAACACCTTGTGAAGTGAATCCATCCCCTTTCTACCACGTTTAACCAATGCCTTGATGTCCTCCTTTGGACGCTGTAGAAGTCCGTTGAGAATAGGATCCCATACCTCCCATGGGTCCTCTCCTTCCTCAACAACCACCCCGCCTGGTGGATTCCCAGCAAATCCTAGCGCGTTTTCATCATCATCTTCCCGGTCAGGAAGTTGTATGATATGAGCTTGCAAACGGTCAAGCAAACGATCAGCTTCCGTGACTGCAATTGGGCGTAGAGCCGGGGTCTGTATAACTGTTACTCTCGGTTGCAAACTGGATTTTGTCGGTTCCGGTTTCTTCTTCCAGAGATCTGAGATAGAGGGTTGGGACTTTGCAGCCTTCTTCCTCCTTTGTGTATCTTTACATGATATCTTGCCACGGTGTATTTTGTCGAGTGCAGCAGGTACTGCGGCTCCAACGTTGATCCATTCTTCGCAATCTGGACAGTGAACGCAACCATCATTTCGTGTCTATACATTGATGCGGTCAAATTGATAATGAAATTATCGTGAGGCGTACCTGATATGTTATTGTCATTGGGAGCAAAAGCGGAGAAAGAACTCGAAAATATTTTTACAGCCGGTAACTCAGTACTGACTAATCCTGCCGATATCCGGCAGCATGCCATTGGCGCTTCGAGCCTTCGACATCGTTTTGACTGCTTTTCCGGCACTCTTTGGGTTATGTGAGGTCATTACCATGCATATATCAGCTGAAATAAACATCTCTAGCGGTATCTAGGTTCTCTGGATGATATTTTACAAGAGGGGGGCAAAAAAATTTTAAGGACCTTTTGGACCGACCGACCGACCAACCCGATGTGCCGGCTTGCCGGGCCGCAACCCCCTTGTATTGACTTCTTATATTTATACTAAACTACGACTATTCTAAGTAATTTCCGTACAATCATTTTCTTACCAATCTCTTACTCAGCATGCCGGACTGCCGAATTGCCAGAATCATCTCGCACTTTCCCACAGTTCTCACCACGGGATTGTTACAATACAATGTGTAAATCGTTCCAATAAAATTACAGTGTGCATGGAGAACAAAACTATGACATCACGAAATCTAATCATGCCTTGGCCTCAACAGGTACGTCGTCGTCTGGTTGGATAATTCATGTCAGATAAACCTTTTTGTAAAGGCAAGTAAACTCACCCTTGGCTGGTGCATCTTCAGGTACAGGTGAAGCGGCTAAGACCGCCGTATTGATAAGGTCCTACACGAACCCAGGATCAGCCCAGAGATTACAAGCAAACATACGACGGTCTCACCAAAAGGCTCTTCGGTACAGCACCTATCGACGTCCCTATCTTGTTTCCGTCTTTGAACGCGAGGAAAGTAGGCATCTAACTGAGGTATCAGACGGAAAGTTCGAAAAAAATAGCATCAGCTACGTACCGAAGAAACCTGGACCTCGTCCAAAATATCGGGTTGCTCGTCGGCATCGACGGTATAGAATTCGACGCCGGCAAATTCAGGCTTGTCGGCAAGTTTCTTGAAGACAGGTCCAATCATTTTGCAGGGACCACACCAAGTCGCCCAAAAGTCTATGACTACGGGTTTCGGACCGTCAATCTGCAAGTCATGATTAGGCATTGACAGCAAATATGAGGTATGTCCTCACGATTTTCCTGAAATCGGCGAGGGAGTTAATTGCTTGGGGCGCCATTGAGGGAAGTTGTGGTGATATTGGTGTTGGGTGGTGTGTGGGTATTGTAGGAATGATGTCAGTTTGTCGCGGATTTCTATACTCCCATCCCGCCGGCTTGGTGAGCGATCACGCGATCTTAACGTTCTGACAAATCGTTTGTAAGCAGTCAATCATCCATCATGCATCGGATTCCGGGTCGGGTAGGGCCCCTTCAGTCAGCCCGGAGGGTTGATTGTCAATGGCTGAGCAGACCCGGAACTTGGTGGAGAAGATTCAAGAAACAGACGCGAAGTGATGACGTACTACATAAGGAGTCATCACGTGCAAACGGTGCCACCCAAAAAAATTTAATTTAAAATATTAAATAAGAACGATTAAGATATTACGTGAAAAGATAAGATAAGATAAGCCTATACTTATGCAATGGCTGTTTTTACCCCCAATGGAGGAGAATGGGGTAAAATAGGCTATCTCGGATGAATATTAGCCCCGAAGCAGCCAGTTCAGTTGGTTCCTACTTCATAACCGTCTTTTTACTGATTTTTGCCAACTTCGGTCTTCAAAGCTTCACGAAGGGATTGGGTCACTGGGTGAAGATCGAGTAAATTCACATGGTTTTGGCGCGACGTGCTGGAAGACTGAAGCTCGGATGTATATTTCTTGCACCATTCACAGTTTGATTATGGGCAAGATAAGTTCTTGTGGATTGACATACACGTCAGGAGTAAATTCTCATGATTGGACTCGGATACTGGCGTCTGACTTAACTCTGGTGACATGCCTAGCACATTCTTCTTTCACAATCAGTGCACTTCTCGCAGTCTTAAGAAGGTCATATATCTCTCAATTTGGAAAGATGGCACGACACCCACTTGAATGTACTTATCTCATTATTGCTGGCGCTTTCCCTTTCAAGTTACCGGCATGGCGGGTTTCGCGGCCAACTTTTTATGAAGACGCCCGTTGCTCAACTACTCACTCATCACTATCTCACATGTATCGGAATTCAGACGAATGCTTCTGAATGATTAAATCAAGGACTCAACCGTGTTGCACTATGACGGCTGCCATCAAGAGACTCGGGGTGATGGTACGTCCTTGCACTCTGCTTGATTAATCTGATGAACACGCTTAACGTTCCTCATTTTCATCCTTCGTCCGGATCTACGAATTTCCTGTACAAGTAGGTGCAACCCATTAAAGCGGGCTCCGAAACGGAAAGCCGCGCTCATTTGTACCGCTGTCGCTCGTTAACGGTTTCATTGGAGGACAGCCAGCCCAGAACCTGTGTAGCATCAGACGCACGAACAGCATAGCTAGAACATTGCATTAATAGGTCTATTGTTTTAGTATAAGAATTATCAAATCATCTGTACCTGTATCAAGCTATCGTATGCTCCTTCTACTGATTAGGTCGCTCTAAAATCGTATAACACCCCTCCTACATAGGGTCGGGAAAGCGACCTCGACCTTCGACTTCACCGCCAGGTGATCGATGATGACATTGTTCCCGTAGTTTATGGCCTCGAGATGCACGGTATGTAGGTGAGTAAACCTCTGATCCGCTAGAATCGAATCGAGAGTATTCCACCATGACGCCTCTTCCGAACCAGACGCCAAAGGAAACCTCATTGGAAACGACAAGGTTACGGTCCCGATGGAATTGCCAGCCTGAACGTTACGAAAGGTGTATCCCCACCACAACACGATTTGATGCACATGGACCCAGTGGTCATGCCGAGCATTGATTGTAAGATGGACATGACGAAATCGTCCAATTTCCGGGACAGAGACAGTGCCGGAGTCAGCACTAACTAGAAGTAGACTGTAAGGACGACGTGGCAAGGATACGATTGAATGCGCGGGATTAACTCACGAGAAAAATGGGCGCCTTCCCAATGACATTGAAATGTGTCAATACTAGGAAACCTGCGGTCGATGGCGCGGCAATATGCTGCTAGCTCATCCCAGTGTTCAACGGCGACCCGGAAAGTCGCTAGGTGAGGTAAGGTCGACGATATAGGTTTTAGGATCCCACGCATTAACCTGTGGCATAGTTGAGAGAGAGCTGAAAGGAATGAAATCGACGGCAAGAGGACGCTCGGTGGAACAGGTCTCCCAACTATGCCATTATATTCTTCCCAGTCACGGATGTGCAGCTTCTTGACAGGCGACCCCTCAAAGAGGGACAATACCGTCCGAGGATGGAGAAGGTCACTGATACGGGAAAACCTGACCTCTACAAGGTTTGGAGCACGAACTGCGGTGCGAAGCATATTCTCCATGTCGTGACTGGGTTCCCATGGTGAGAAATTGAAGTCGATGAAGAGGGTGTTCAGGTTCAACAGTGTCGGGAAGAGGGCTGTGAGGCTGTGTATAGAATGCAGCGTGCCGGGGTAGTCAGCCCGTCCCAAGGAAGTCTCTTCGCTGATCGACAAGTGCTGCAAACACTCGGCGACGTGCGGCGTTGAGATGAGGGATTGGCAAAACATCGGGACAATGACGCTAGAGGGCTGGAGGTCGATACTGATGTGACGGAAAATATGACGCTGGCTTGACTGTGTCCAACTGTGGCATACTGTGGAACACGCGCGAAGCGACTGAGTATCGTCTTGGAGGTAGTCGATTATTTGATCTATTAGTTCTTGAGGAAGGACGGGCATGGCTAGGGGCACAAGGCACCGCGCACGGCTGGGTCGGGAGTCTAGGGCAGACACTGTTAAGCATTTGGATCGTTTGATGGATATCAGGCTTACTGTACTGGGTGAGAGGTGCGGTAAATGTCGAGTCAAAGCTCCGAAGTCGAATGGATGGCTGGTAAAGGCTGGTAGTCGCTCTTCTGCTAAAATTTTATGAAGAGGACCGTGTTGGAACAAGTTTAAAGGGAAGATGGCGTTGCCGCTGAAATCAATGATGGCGAAGATGATGAGGCCGCCCTGATTATATCAACACGATGATTGAAAATCTTTGCACATAGGGGCTGACTTGGCACAGCCATCACAGCTAGCGCTCCGAAGATTGAAAAAAAAAATTGCTTTAGAAAGATGTAGCCAAAGAAAAGGCGCCGATCCGGGTCCGAGTTCCAGCCTGGCCTTTATATGACAGTCAGATTATATGTAAAATCAGCAGTGGTCATCGTCCTGGTGTCGCGGAGACGAACATAATGGCGAGAGGGCGGCGGCATCAAGTTGATTCCACCGCGTCAAGTAATATTCCAGAAGGCATGGATGATCCTGTCAGTGCGCTCCTGGTATTTTACGAAAGCGTCGTTCGGGTCCGGAGGAATGGCCCGCTGTTTTTTTGACTAAATCCAGGTCTGGAAACATGGCAACGACCAAAGACGGAGAAGAGCAGAGTCCACCGACGAGAAAGACGAGATAAACGCGAGGACTTCGAAGGATCAATCATCAAGGAGCACGAAAATATAAAAGGTTTTCGGTCGCCCTAGATACGATCGTGACTTGGACATCCCTCGCTCACCGTGTCCGCCAGAAGAACAACTACGGACGATCCGTAATGTAACAGCTCGTTGATGTACACATTAATTTCAGGAATTATCACCGGGTATACAATGCACAGAATCAGTACAGCTCAAAATTGCTAATCTCACCCAGCTTCAGATGCAGTCCTCACGTTTCATCGTATAATGCACAGAAATAGCAATATCTAAAAAGAAGAGATTCCAACTTTCGGGGACGCGGGCCATCATGGGGGAAGACTGTTACGTGTCCGCAGTGGTGATCAGGCAACTGTTGACCATTTTTTTCCCTAGGGTTACTTCAGAAAATTTTGCTTGTAAAAAAAGATGATGGCGACGGTACGTACTCGATTTCACAGACAGAATCGTCTCGCCTCGGCCAGGGTGAGCGAGACAGTGAAATTCTGCTACAAACACGAGAGAAAATGATTTGGGTAGCCAAATATTTGTATAAAACCGAAGTGAAGCGTACACGTAGTCGGCCAGCGCCAGTATTGATATAACTTGATGTAGGGCATCGCAGTTGGGAAAACTTCGGTGAAACTGAAAGCAAATGATGTCGGTGATCGTTTTGGGTATCGTGGGAACGTTTTCCTTTTTCTCCATGTTGCGTCTTGCTCTCCACCATTTGCCGACCAACCGTATCACCTATCGTTCACTTTCCACCGGCCTCATTTCTCGCACCGTACGCGTCGAATCACTTGCAGAAGGTTACAATGTCAGCAGAACCATCGCCGCCATCAAAGCGAACCCGGCAGAATCGGTAACTGTCGCCAAGGATCACCTACTTGTCCGGTTCTTCAACGAGGACATGGCCAAGCATTGTGTCGCGTCTGGGAGCAGAATATCGGGAACAGTGACCAGAATGGATGATGCTCTATCACCCCCGTTGTCTGCCGTCGATGTAGCGAAACTTGGGAAACTGGGAATGTCTCGGTCGTTGGCGATGACAGACATACCAGAGGAAGTTCAAGAAGAGAACGTCCTAGAAATCCTTGCTCGGCATGGCGTGCTACAGTCTTGGATCTTTGACTCGCCGAACAGGACGGCTACAGCGCGTTACTTCGATATGCACCAAGCATTCAAGGTGCATTTCGCCGTCTTATTCATGCCTTTTCCCGCTAAACTTTTCTTTTCTGTTACAGGCCTGGGTAGACCTAAGAGACAACGGCATCAACGTATCCTTCCTAACGAATCCAGACGGATACATCTTCCCTCAGTGTTTCCCAGCGGATGAGGCCGACCGAGGGAGGGTCAAATGTCGCGTCAAAATTTCCGGCATCAAGGATCCCAGAATCATCTTGTCCCTGCGCTCATGGATAGTGGAATTTGAGAATGATCAAAGTCCAGTACTTTCTATGTCAATGTCGAAGGAACAAGGAGTATGCCCTTTCTCTCGCGTTGCGTCTACGAAAGTCCCTAATATTCTGGGTGATCTAGACCGCGCTCCTGCAGTTTGTATCTTCGGTATTTGCGCAAAGATTCTCCAACATGTGGGCGTCCAGGGCACTCGAGTTGGGCGTTAAGATGTCGGTGGAACCTCTCCCGTCAGTGATACATCGATGTCTTGTCACGGCTATAGCATTGGGCGCGCAACGAACAGTTACGATAAATCTACCGGCCGAAAGGGATCTGAGCCACTCAATCGATTATCTCCACTTTTTCAAACGAATTGGCACCATTATTCCGGAGTCTAGGTATTTTCTTGTCCCCTTCTGCCTTGATTCCTCTGGATTGATAATAAATGACGCGTAGAGATCAATTTGCTTCTCCTGTTCGTGAATTACGTGTTTCGTACGAAAAGGTCTCTTCCGCTATGCGATGCATTCTTGTCCTGGCCGGTCTCGAAGTCGTAGGAAGCAAGTGTCCCAAGCTGCCTGACTTTGAGGGAGCTAGTATCAATTTTTTGGGAGCCCCTCTGAACGCGACTGCCGTATCCCCTAGTTTATGGCAATAATGCTGGAGATATTCTCTCCTTTGGGGAAATATGCACGTTATCGAAGCACTTATTGCTGCAGCATTCGTAAGTGGCTATGCACTTTTATGCCTTCGTTAGATCTGACTTCTTGGATGGTTTAGCTTATGCAAAACGATGCCCTTCTGTGTCTGGGTTCGGTTTGAAGTGGTCTCGTCTCGAAACAGCAGACACTTGATAACTGCATCCAAGCTGGAAAGCATATACGTCAACGAGGCGACGTGAAGAGGACGATAATGGCAGGTAGTCGTCACGTAGTAGTACTAAGACGTAAAAGAAGATGTAACGTTTTTCTTACAGGTACAAGTATTGGCTACTTATTCATTTCTGAAACCCGAAAGTTCATGTAAAGCGCAAGCTTCGAATGCAAATCCCTCGATTATTCATCGCTGTCGAATCCATCCTCGTCTTCGTCGTCCGTGCTAACTTCCCCCGCGTACAAACCGAGTATGCGAATCGCCGCTTTAGCCATGGCTTTGTCCCAATGGGCATCCCAATACTCGTGAGCACCTGAATGCAACCCCGCCGATTCATCTTGCGGACGAATAGTTCGCCTTCACTTTCCCCCTCAGCCCAAGTGACTGAATGTCCGCGTCAATTGCGATCCATTCGCTTCTGCTCCGAACTTCTGCAACAATGCTCAGCTCCCGATACATCCACGCGATGTGGTCCTCAATGCCGGTGCTTTCATCGTAGATATCATCGTCATCCTCTTCGTCGATGATGTTGAAGGGGAAGCAGGCATCTGTGAACATATCCTCACTGGCGGTTGTCAGACACTTAAAGCATTGCAGTATCGACGTGAACGTACTGGGCATACTCCTCCACTTCTTCCACTGTCCGAGCACACAAAACCAAGCACTCGGAGATGCGCTTCAAGTTGGTTCCATCCTTCTCATGAGGTACCATAGGTCTGTGAACCAATCTGTCATGGCATCGACTACAACGTCCAGCGCCGCACTTTGGTCTCCACAGCTGTCTCTAGGATCTTCATTGGCGGCCCTGATGAACCTTTCTGCGTCCCTTTCAAGGGCAAGCTCGTGCTTTCGGTATTCAGTGGGATCGTGCTTTCGGGGCATCGTTTGGAGAGAAGATAGAGGCTGCTCTGGAGCGACCGTGTCATGTCATGCTTAAATACTGGAAATGCAAGAACCTAGCCTGGGAAATAGGAAGTCGCGTTACGTCGGCGATGTCGTCCTTTGTTCTCGAAAGCGAGCAAGAATACAATGAATGTCATTCAGGTAAGGCCGTGACTGCAGGAGGAGCCTGACCAAGCCGACAGAACGGTACAGGGTAATCGGGGGCCCAGGTTGGGGATCTGCTCATGTGCCGATGCGGAGAATTCGAGACGTACTTAAGACTTTCAACCTCGCTTCTGAAGACGACAGTCCTCTTCAAAAGTAGTACAGTAATCTTAAACCAACTGGAACTGCCTTTGATGCTGGGTTTGGCGCGGTTCGCGGTGTGCACTGTATCCATATTGTCAACGATGGGTGCATAAGGAATGACACAAGTTCCGCCCTACGCACTGTATGGGTACGTGGAAAAACAATCGGCGTCAGATTCGTCGCAATGCATGGACTTTGATAATCACCTCGAGGTCCTTGTAGCTGCAGAAGGACATGAGCATGAGGTTATTCATCTTCTCGAAGGACTTGTCATCCCTTCCCAAAGTATTCTTAGATGCCGAAGTTTATAGACAAGGCCGTGATCATTGACTAACACAGCGGACCGCGTGAATAGTTTTCAGAACAAAGGTTGCTGATGAAGAGAACAAGCTGAAGTTGATAATGCTCAGTGCGGTACATTTGCCATCCAATTTTCATGTTATGCTGAAATCAACTTTGAGTCAACTTGAATACAAAAGCATGGAAGAGAAGATGTGCATGTACCACTCAATCTTACTCTTCCGGCTTCTGACATAAGTTGAGAGTGGAAGATAGAGATGGAATCCGCATTGCCGAGTGAAGCACAAAGGAGAGTCCAGGAGCAATTCGGCCAGTTCACTGGGGGCTAGAAGTATAAAACTTTCACTGCTCGGTAATGCGATTCTGTTGAAGGAACGTAATTACTGAAAGAGATATAGAATGAGCTCTCTTACTAAGAGAACTGAATCGATTAGAAAATACGCTCAGCCGTAATCATGTGTCCGTGCGACTTCCTTTTCTATCAAATATTTCTTTCTTTGACCAGTGACATCAGATCCGCCTATTGGTATGGTTAGCTGAGCTAAAAAAAACTTTGTAATGCTACTTTAATGCCCTCTGATGGTCAGGCTTGTCCGATGGCTTTGCAATGCCCCTCGGGTGTTGTTCGGGAGGCAAAATTCCGAAGCCGAGTCAAACCGTGGGAGCCCTTTCCCTTTACTGGCCTCAGCGTTGAACCCGTTATTGCTGGCTTACTTCTCTCCACTTTACCTGAATGTGAGTAGACTGAACTCTGGTGCAGCAAGACAAGGAGGCTGCCAACATGTGCCTATATCACTTCCGGTATGTCTCCGGTTTTCGCATCTGCCTAATTCGTCGGTGACGGCAGACAGCAACCTGAAATTGTATAGACAACCTGCCGACATACGTCAACAAGACAGTACACGATATTACAAGCAAGAAGCAAGGACGTGGCATCGCGACAGTGGAATATGGAGTTATTATATGCAGCAAAGAGTCTCGTTGAAGTGCTAGGGATACCAGAATAATCCCAGTCAAGCTAGTCTAGAGGTATGCACTTTATCACTTTTTGGAAGGTCCAGTCTGTCTAATCTAGAGCAGCGGATCTACAGGTCATCGTGTACAGTAGCCTTGCTACTCGTTACCGAGAGTCGTACACGGACGACGGAGATCTATCGCTCCATCGAGGAAACAGGACATGAAGATGCCTTGCCGCTGTCGCTGCTCTTTTTCTGCTGGTGCTTAGAATCCATGTTGGAGGTGGATGGACCTGACTAGATGCTATTATATCAGCTCGGTGAGTTCATACGTCATTTCAAGGTTTGCCCTTCATTAATTGCAATTCGAAAGATCTCTCACGTAGCCCGGTGCTATGGCCGTGACCAATCCCAACATCCCCGAATCATTCACCTATATACTCAGAGAGAACTCTGCATAAATCACCCTAGAATCCTCGTCGACCTTCATCCGGTACGCGTGAATTGAACGATTAATACGGCGCGACAACTTTGCTGTCCACGTGCAAAGTACCCTTGCCACGGCATCCATCCATTTTCCGCAGGAACAGACCTACACAAGCGTCCCCATACCGATCCCTCTGCTCTGGCCGCAAAAATTCGATACAAATGCTTACGCGTTTCTTGGCCCGTACCATCACGCTGTCGGCATCATTCCACAGAATATCGTCTGACGCATCAAACGGTTTGGAATCAGATACCCGCAAGACGAGCTCCACTTCTTCCAACGTGGCAGACGATGTTCCACCAAAAATGCAGGCTACGCAGGCCAAAATTGGCCGTGAGTACACCGAGCAGCGGAGGACGCATTTGACACGCGGGATACCGCTGACATCGAGTTCGCCTTGTCGTGGCGTGGCTGCTTATCACTGTCATCAATCTGCGAAGAATGCAAGCGAAACGTCATACCGAGTGCTAGCAGATGCAGTTCCAGTTCCTCCAATATGCCCTTCGTTGTCGCCAGCAACTTCAAAAGAGCTGGGAGATACGCTGTGGTCGTCATCCAGAATTGAAGTCGCCTGAGATGGCCGACGTTGATGGTGGACGAAATACCTAGCACCCCATCGACGAACTGGTTGGTTTCACCTTCTCCTGTCCGCAGGGACAGATCTAGAATGGTGCATCGTTGAAATGGGGCCATGCTGGACGGCAGGATCGTTTCAATACAACTGTCTGAAAATTGCACGCTTCGGATCTCCGTACTGCGGGCAAACAGTTCGAAGAATTCTTCTGATGTCTTGAACATCATCCCGTCAAACGAAATGTTTTGGAACTGAGACCGTGAAAGTGCCCTCGTCAAGGCATTGCCTATGAAGTCCGGGGATGTCCACGCGATCGAGAGAGATTCGATGTTGGGCAGCTGCTCGAGAATCTGGGGGATGATTTCTTTGTCCGAGTCGTGGATGCGGAGACTCTTCACGTAGGACGCTATCTGGGATGAGCTGGAGACGAGACGAAGCAAGGATGGATACGGTGCTGCGTGGGTTGCATAGCAGTGTGAACCGGAGAGTGTGATTTCGGCGAAAAGACGCTTCTGGGATGACCATCGCAGCGCCCGGTTAGCGAGGCTACATGCCATGAGGGTTTGCCTGTCGTTGCGGCATTCCTCGATAATCGCGTCTAACAGCTCGTTTGGCAGCATGGGGAATACTTGGTCAGAAAGGAAGGGAATGCCTTGAAGAATCTAGTGGGTGAACGCTATAGTTGGAGATTGTACGGCTTTGAACCTGACGCTTATGTTCCCACAGATTCACTCATTTTTGTGCCATGTTCTATTACGATGATGGTCATGGACATATTCCATACAAGACGTCAGGCCCAGGAAGACGTCTTCAACTCGAAGGAATGCGCAAATGACCACCTTCAAGCTGCCACCCGCTTATGGAGCAGGCTTACCCGTAGTACGGATTCTCCCCTCTCCGCTCTCGATGATGAAAGCAGACGTGCATGATGTTGAACCACCTGATATCTGCTGACGCATACAAAGATGTGCTTCGCTGAGTCGGACTTTCGGGAGATCTGAGTATGACTCTCGTGCGCTTGCTCGTGATGTTGCTATGGAAGAATACCCTCATGAGTAGGGGAGGAAAGCAGGAGACTGTATAGGGGAGGCTTAGGGAACTAGAGCACCCACGAATCACGCTGTCAAGGGTGCCTTCTCGTTGGGAGCAGATGGAACGTCGTCAGTGTTCAATGAATAAGTACTCCAACAAGTTTCTAGGGCCTGGGATTTCACAAAGTCACGATGAGCACCTGCCCTTGCGCAGTGCGCGCCGAGCGTTTTTGTCCATCCTTGTATCAGACTCCTGCCTTCTACTTGCAACAGAACTGCCATCGCATTATCATCCAAAGGCCTCCCTATTCGAGGAGTCTTTCCTGTACGGCTCAGCACATTGGCTTTCACTCTGTGCAATCGGTAGAGCTTGACCATAATATGGCCAAGACTCGTCAAGGACGGACCCAACAGTAGGTTATAACCCTCTTTCAATATTTACGCACATCTTAATATTGTGTTTGAAAGCTATCATCCTTTCTCGTCGGCGTTGGGTGTCAAAAAATCATCGGTAGCTGTATGCACGATACCACGATTTTCGACTCGAACTCATTCTCGAAGAAGAGAAGAATACATCTGTAGCCTTTCAATTACACAGCTTCTTGTTGCTGTGCCAGCGTCATCTTGCGCTGCAGTGCCCATTACCTCGTGGACCAGGAACTGGTATCTTGAATCAATCGCACGTTCCATAGCTCCGGTATCTGTATCCTCTGTCTGCACGGCAGTCGAGTATGTATTATTCTCGGGGCAGCGGATAGTGTCCTTGCACGGTACTACTATCCCGACAGCGATACGACGCTACGAAATGGAATTAGGTGGCCGTGTGACGGGGTCTACACTGTGAGTAGCGTTATCCTTGTTACCCCTCTTAGCTTACATTCAATTATTAGCAAATTGCTGTGTCCAGGCAGGCTCAGGCATTTCTGGATCCTTGAACGCTGCGATTATCAAGCGGCGTAGTAGTACTAGCTTGCTTTCCTTATCAGGATATGTGGTTAGGAAACCGCGGACGTGTCGCGTATGTGCCTATTACGTTCCCGAAAATATGGCTTATGAAACTGTGTTTTATCATAGCTTACGACTCGCGGCAAACGGAGTAATTGCTGTATCATCAGCACAGCTTTCTTCCTCTCCATACTTATAGACACCGGAAGCAGACGCGCTACCTTTTCAAATGCCGGTTATTTATTTGAAGAGGCATGGGTACTACACCCTGTTGGCTCGCTCTATCTATTGTGTGTATATGTACCTGTGTAGGCGCCACCGGGTCAGCGCTTACCTTAGTTTTGGCTCTCTGAGTGACTCGGAGGTCTAGGTCTCTTGGAGTCATTTAGCGGCGTCGCAAGTCCGGGCGCAGCACATTGATACTTATCTGTTGAAACCGCTGGTACTCGGCCAGCACTGATACAGTCAGAAACTTTGTCAGGTCTCGAGGACTCCATGACGGTCGGAGACGGAAGTTCGAGCACTGCACTGCGTCGTGATTCTCAACTGTAGAAGGTTGCTGAGCTGTTCATGCTGCATAATCAAGACGAGGTGTACCCTGATTTCGCTGGTGGCGTACTAAGCAAGCCACAGGCGACAAAACACGAAAGCGACGATGATCCGCAAAGTGGTAAGCTATTAATACACGCTTAGGATAGGCAAGATTTTACAACGGCGCCCATTTGTTTATAGTAAATTCACCGGGCCCTAGGTTCAGCATCAAGTGTCACGAACACTGATAGAGGAATGATTGTGTACTGCTTCCTGCTGCACAGCGTAAGATCTTCTGCCGCCTCGACCTTTGAAAGCAATGAAGTTCTTGAGGGTCCTCGTACATGTAAGATCTCGATCATTGTTTTGTGTGTATTTCATTGATATGGACCGCGGCTGAACAGGGTAATATCATGATGATGATGCATGATGCGCGCGCGATTTACAATTGGGTTATATATATTTATATATATCCGAATGCCTTTAAAACCTAAAGCGTGGATTCAGTATCCGACTACGACTGTCGCCTTCAATATGGATTCGGCGAACCTCTTCGGTTCTGGCCTTCGATCCATTCACCGTTTTCTACTTGCTTTGTTGGGCCGATACTTCCTTGCGGCATCACGACAGTGGTCAATACGCCCCGTGACAGACCACAGCGAAATATCTGAAAAGTTGCCTTCTCCATCCTCACAGCTTTTAATCTCCGGCCATAGTTTCGGTCCACGTGTTGAGGTACGATTCGAGAGTATCCACAGTGCCTTTGAATTCTCCGCGCGCATCAATCCCGCTCAGGCAGCTGTTGTGGACCACCTTGGAAATTCCCTTTCGTACGGAGAGCTGGATAGGCTGTCCTTACGCCTCGCCTCATATCTGAGGTCACAGGGCGTCGGTCATGGATCTCTTGTTGGCCTCGTCGTTCAGCGGTCAATTCCTCAAGTGGTTGCTATCCTTGGCGTTCTTCGCTCTGGCGCCGCGTATATACCCTTGGACGGCGACGCCATAACCGACGATACCCTGATGGGTATCATGGACAATGCTGATCCCTCCTACATATTGATATCTAAAGGGTGTATCTCTCGCGCGGGTATTTTGAGTCATCCATATGGCTGCTTAGAAGACGTCCTTGATATGATCGATCAGTCCCAAGACGTATACGCCGACGTTAGCAACCTTAGGTCCCGAAGATCTGACACAGCCTATATTATATTCACTTCGGGTATGCGCCTTGTTAAATTCTTCTATCCTATGCTCATTTTCATGACCCAAGGTACCACAGGAAAGCCTAAGGGAGTCATGGTGAGTCATTCTAATGTTGTAAATCGTGCGTCATGGTTTCTATCGTCAAACACGTCTCCCTGATCGGAATTCTAGTGCTGTCCCTGGCTCCAGGAAACCTGGGTATCAAGCCGGGAGTCAAGGTTGCGCAGCTCATGAACGTTGCCTTTGACATGTGCGCATGGGAGACCCTTGGCTGTTTGATGAACGGGGGAACTCTGTACCTGCGAGGACCGCATCGGTGCGACTGGATCAAGGTTATGAAGACGGTTGATGTCCTTATTGCTACACCTTCTATACTGGTCCCCCATGATCCGAAGGATTTCCCGAATATACGCGTCGTTGCTACTGCAGGGGAGCCATGTCCTCAGTCTTTGGCGGATAAATGGGCTATGCAGACAATATTCTATAACTGCTGTGGACCTACAGAGGTATGTGCAAGTACAACGATGATGTCAATGCCTCATACTTCTTTCCAGATCACTATTGTCAATACCATGCACCGTCACATTCCCAATACCATCCTCTCTATAGGGAAGCCGACACCTAACAACAACGTCTACATCCTGGACGACTACCTCCGGCCTGTACCTGTTGGAGTGGTTGGAATCATGTGGGCTGGCGGGGATGGTGTTTCGAAAGGGTACCTTGGATTGGATGATCTAACATCTAAGAGGTTCTTGGCAGATCCCTTCAGAGGCGGGTATGTGATGGCCCTTCCCAATCAACGCTAAGTGTTCTAATTTTAACAGGGCAATGTATAACACCGGCGACATCGGCAGATGGAGGGACGATGGCTCCATCGACCATCTAGGGCGCGTCGATGATCAAGTTAAGATTAAAGTGAGTCCGACATGCATTATGGTCAATTCTTGGCATACTAATTATGTCTAGGGATTTCGAGTTGAGCTGGATGGTGTTGGTGCTGCCATGCTTACTTGTCCCGATGTGACTAGTGCTTGCGCTGTTCTCGTCGGCGACGAGCTCTTCGGTTTCTACGCCCCTCCCTCGGTCGAGATTGCTCCTGTTCGAGATGTTGTATGCCGGATGCTGCCGCGATACTCTGTACCGTCTAAATTCATATCACTATCCTCCCTTCCCCTGACAAAGTACGTCTTTTTCTATTCCTACTTGAATCATTGCTGACTGGTTCCAAGGAACGGGAAAATAAACAAGGCCGAACTTAGAGCAATTGCTGCGCAAGGAACCTCAACACAAACATCCCAAACACGATAGCACATGCTACAAATTTACGATAGAATCGGTCATTTCTAGCCGGCTAGGACCCGGTTACCTTCGAAACTTACTGCGATCATGATATGTTCCTGCTGCCTTCCACCATGCCCTACGCCCCCACTCCATGTATCATATTTTTGACCAGCATATAGACCTCAGTGTATAGACACGGACATCAACTAGTATCTATTACTTGTATAGCATCATATATACCACTCTTGTCTTTGGAGGATTTAGGATATTACTTTACGATCTTGTATTTTGCCTGTTACACATACATACTCTTGTAGATATCTATTTGTACTTCACACATATATATGTATTCCGGTATCGTAGAGGACGCCGAGGACATCATTGTCTTGATGTGCATTCATTCAGACCATAATCGTTTGGGTTGGCTTGGGGAACAACAGTCCGATGGTTGTATCATCTTACAGGCTGCACGTCGTTAGAATCCACGAGGATTACAGGGAATGGCTTCAATTATTTACTTGACGGGCGCTAATGACACGGATCCCTAGTGCAAAATCTTCGCATTTGTGGGGTGGTAATCGACTGTTAAATGCTCCAAAAAATGGACGATTGGAAGAAATGCAACGTACGCTGGCCATAGCTGCCTCGGGAGAGAATTGGACTCCCATGTAGAACGGGAATACCGGACGGGTCCTGCTTCCGAACGCATATAACTCCATCTCTTGCTTGGCGTCCAGGAGACTGATTCGGGCCAGCTGTCATCCATAGACCCGTTTTTAAAGAACTTGAGGCATCCACCATTTCTGGGATAGACGCGAGATTTGCAAAGAGAGCTCTAGCTGCGGTATGGTACGTTCAAGTCGGGACTTCTTACATACAACGGTGATCCAAACCAATTTTTCTAGGCTCAGGAACCTTCCGATGATGCCGGCGAAGACTGCTATAGTTTAATTTCTAAACGAACACCATCGCAAACCCCTCTAAAAAAGCCGAAAGTCAGCGAAGTTGTTCGAGAATGAATGCTCACAAAACTGACATAGTTGAATATAAATATGAACCCAAGCTACCCGACAGAGAAGACCGTCGCGATTATTCACCAGTTCTGCACAGTGCACATGAAGAACGGCACGCATCTATGCACCGTAACTTTCTTTCCCTGAATCTGGCTGCCCGTTGAATCGTCCCCCCCGAATCCCAAAGTCGAAAACTGATCATGCTCTCAACTCGGGAATATTGGCGATATAACAATAAATATGAAACGGAGCTGTTAGATACGCTGTGCCGTATTCCGAGTCCGGCTACTGCTGGGCCAGGCGTAGAAATGACGAGGAACGGTGACATCACGCGACAAAGAAGCGTCCTCACGTGCAGCCACGCGCCACGACGCGTGTAATACGGTATATAAATACCCCCTTTTCCCCTTTCTTCCTTTCCTTCCTACATCCAATATCTCCCCGTCTACCCTCCTGTCCCATTTTCCTCTCTCTTCATTGAACATTGTAGACCAGTAGAATTTCAGCTTCATCTCTCGTCATCGGTAAGTCGGCGCTCTTCGCTGCAATGTTCGGTCATTCTGTACGTATCTTGAACGCACAGCTGTCCGACCCGACCCATCTATTGGCATTCGTAGAGCAACAGGAGTGCATTTCTTTCCCGGAATCTCGATTCGCAGGTAGCAGAGGCACCTTTCGAAGTCAGCCTTGAACAGCATCGGGCGCGCCAAAGCAACAGCTCGGTTCGATAGGCATATAAAATAGGATATAAGCGGGATTGAGACCTTCTACTCAGTCACAGATGAGGTATCATAACCCTGCATATATGCGCATATACTTACCAGGCTCACTCTCTATGTAGCTGGATTTGTTGCCTTTATTCAGTTGCATCTGGAGGCTTCTTGGCTTCAATGTCCTCAAGAATTGAATTACATGCCATAGATCCCGCTATCTTTCAATTGGCCGACCTGCCAGCGTCTACATCATCTCCAAGTATCATCGTAGCATTTCTCGAAAGCTCTATATACAACCCATCAAACTCTTGAAAGGCTGACCGAAGACTCTGCTTCCGGACCATGGATTTACTCGCCCTTAGACGGTAAAGATGTCAGTCCTATGGAGTAGACTTTCCTCGGTTATCAGGTTCGCGCCCCGGGCCGTGGTACGATTGCCTTCATGAAAACACCATTCAGACGGTGGTGACATTGCCTCCCCCCCAAGTATAGTCTTGGCTCCTTTCGCGTATCTTTCGATGCCGGCTTCAATACTTCTGAATGTGAACGAGCGCACATCGGGACTGCAAGATTAATTAAATGTGCCCCCAAGTCGCACCATCATTGTGAGCTCTTCTGTCTAGGAGGAATTGTCTTCTACACCGACGGCCAGCGGGGGACCGTCCTCCATTCCCCATTGACAGTGTTTGTCCTTTCTATTATGCCAAGCAGCACTTATTAATATAATGCTATCATCACAGGGTCCCGATGTCTGTTGCGACTCGGACATAGACATTATATGTATTCCTTCAGAACTGTAATGCAGAAGCCACGTATCTTAGGCAATTGCGATGGCTGACAGCATATCTGCTAGTTAGATACAAGTCATGCGCATACATAACATGATGCTCTTGATTCTTCCCGAGATGCCAGCATGCTCAATTTGAATGATGATCCCGGGTGTAACCGCTTCTCTTTCATCGGGTTAAAGATCATGATTTATGAGATCAGATCGTGATGCATTACCCGAAATCGCCAAGTTCAAATGGGCAGCGGACGGAAAGACAAGCGTTGACTGATCATTTCTCGGGATAAAACAGGTCTTTCAGCGAATTATGCATTAAGCTGGTAGCCGCAGAGCTCACACTACTATTACATCAAGAAGAGTACACTAGACACTAGGAATATATACACTAAAATGTTCGTCGGCAAAGGCTAACCGTGAAAAAAAAAAGAAAAGAAAAAACGAATGCATGCATGGTTATCGAAAGCAAATGATGGTGATGTGGTGCTGTTGATGATGATACAATGGACACCCGTTTGTCTACCCGTCCGTTTGTTTGTTATTTATACTGATAAATACCCAAAAGTCCTATTGATTCGTTCATTACTGAAAGGTCGTTGCATTCGAGTTATACCGATGAAACTCTTCCGCCGAGACCCAAGGAGCAGCCCCATAACTCTGGAAAGAGTCTGGGCTCTGGAAAGATGCCGGACTCTGGAAGGTGGCGGTTGGGAAAGATGGGGAAGACAATGAGGGTGCAGGGTTCTGCATTGGCGAGAGATATGGGCTGTTGTACAGCGTTGCGGTGGGAAGGGTCGTCACGTAGGGAGGGGGTGGCGGAGAGAAGACGAGATTCGCCGTGGATGTCGCGTAAGGGCTATTGTACGACGATGGGGGGTAGGTACTGGGACCATAGACGTACCCCGTCTGCGGGATAGTACGTGGAGGTGTACGGGCTGGACCGAGGACATATCGAAGAGGTGCAAGAGGCGGCTCTTCCCCTTCCTCCTCCTCCTCAGAAGACTCATCCGAATTATCAAATCGGCCCGAACGACGCCGTGTCGAACCGTAGTGCTTGACCTCGCCATTGGTGCTTGCTAACGGTCCGTCCCAAGGTGACCTTCGAATACTCGGCGCTCGAGCAGGCTGTGGCGTTGGTTCTGCTTTGGTTTCGAGACTGGCAAATATATAAGTTTTTTTGTTAAATATAGAAACTGATAGGCGCGCACCCATGCCAAGTCGGAAGATCTTTGTTGTTTTCGTCCACGACAACTATTAGGATCTCTGGAGAATCGGAATCGTATCCTTGACCTTCGTCCGACGCGTGAGTGCTTGAGCCACTGTCAGAAGCCGTTCTGGAGCCTCTGGAGTGCCTAGAATCGGCCGAAGCGGTCCTGACAAACGCCGACAGTTCAGATGGATGAAATGTTCGTAGAAGTGTTTGACTTGCCTGTGCTTGCTCCTGCGGTGCTTGCCTGCAACCATGAGGAATCAATGAGGAGGAGGAGGATAAGAAAGTGAGCTGTAAGTTACCTGAAAAAAACCTGTGTCAGTACAGCAACAAGAACCAAACTTCTTCAAACTCACCAGCATGATGTGCTTGATCCGGGAGTAAGAATGATGAATCTGGTGAAAGGTTTATTTCCAAAACAGAAAGCCACCGAAGGGGACATTGGCATACCAGACGGTGATTTCCTATGTTATATACACACGGGTTACAATCAACGCCGACTCCAAATAGCTGAATACGTACAGATCCGGGTTCACGAGTCTTAGTGGCACTGTATTCAATCCTTCAACGGGAGAAGCGAAGCTGATAAGGGGTTTGAACTTACAAGGGTCGTGGACGGTTAAGCCAGTAATTGGTCCAAGGAGAGGTAAGGATACGACACTGTCAGACACTGCAATAGGAATATCTAATAAGAACCGTCAGGGCCCGAAGGAAGCGATCGACAATGCGCATGGACTTACTCGGTCTCGCAGTCAGAGGGCCACCAGAAGGTGGGGGCCCATCTACTAGTTTGAGCGCTGGCGGTTTCGGTAACGGTTTCGTTGCAGATGGTATTGGCGATTGGGGGGCTTGTTTGACATTGGCAGATATTGATGATTGGCGTGTTAGAGGAGAGTGTGGGAGAGGTTTATTGACCCCAATTTGCGGGGAAGAAGAGGGTGAGATGGTCCTGTACGGCACATTAAGGACAGAAATCGTGATATCTGGAAAAAAGTTACGCACGACAGACGCTTGTATTCCTTGTCAAGGTTCTTGACAACTTTCTTGAACTCGTCATCCAAAAAGTCGGTCTTCCGTTGGCCTGAGATGATCAGAACTCGACCCATCAACAACAAACCTGTGCATACCTTTCTTGCGGTGGGCTTTGGGCTAAAAGCGAATTAGCCTCAACACGTAAGATCAAGACGCGACCACTCACAATTCCTTTCCACGTCTTATAATAGTCAACAACTTTACGACCCCCAGCTGTATACGTAGAGAACGCGAACACGACTGGATTCAGATTAGGCAGCTGAGCTGTTCGCACGTCAACTGTGCTCCTGCGGAGGGGAGTGGGGGGATGATCACATTAGGTAACGAGAACCATTAGGGCGCATGGACTTACCCAGCATAACTTCGTACTATACTCGCCGCTTCGTCTCCGGCAACGACCTTGAAGCGACCGCTGCCCCCATCAATTCCATTTTCGCTCCCGTTCTCCGCTAAGCCCCTCAGGAAATCGTGGTCATGGTACTTTGAGAGTTTGTGTCGGTGTTTGTCGTACTGGACGCTCTCCTCCGAGGAGAGTCCGCTCGAGGACGACCTGGGCGACCCATCGACGTCGCCATCGTTCGGAGAACCAGCCTCGACGATGATTTCAGGATTTGGTGGTGGCGGCGGTGTGTTGTGCTCTTCCCGTGGAAGAGGTGGTGAAGACATGACTAGCGCAGTGAGTTGACAGAGACTCGACTAAATACCCTGCTCATAGCCAGCCCAGCCAGCCAATTACTCCAAGACCACCCGATAAAGTCGTACTTGAATTTCTGCTAGGAGGTCTGAGCGCAGAGAGCAGTTTGCTAAAGGTGAAGGTCGTAGTCGTGGTATGAGTGAAAGAATGTGGGAGCGCAATAAATATGAACGACGGAAATCCGTAATCTAATATCGCTGGATGAAGAAGAAAAGGAACGAGCGGAGTTTGAGCAAATGTATCACAATTTCGTTCAATCATTCATGCCGTCATCACCATCAGCCCGGCGTTACCATTTCTGTGTTCTGTCGCGTTGTCTCCGCGAAGTACAAGCATGTCTACTGATCTGCACAGGAAAAAATAGTGTAATCGATAGAGTACAAAATTGATATCGGATGTAGCAGAAACACAATCGTTGTTAGGCCCACGAGTGCTCAAGATGGTTGTTGCCTGCGGAAAGATATAACTCCCCGGCGCTCAGGAACAAAACTGACAAAACGGTGCCGTTTTCACAGGACCTCGCGCTCGTAAGCTCGGTGGAGCGGAAATGACGCAGTGGGGCCCGGTTCATGGATATAGATGGGCGCAAGTTTACTATGCGCAGTCTGTAACCACAAGTTGGCACACCGCTGTAAAAAAACTAGTTTGTACTGAGACGCCTACAGCAGCGGCCCAAGAAAACACAAATCAGGTACAATGCGGCCACGGAGAGATAAAAATCATCGGACTGGACGCGTCCACGCTCTCGGAATGAAGTCATCAGGTGTAAAGATAGCCTCTCCAAAGCTGGATAGTTGAATGAGAAATAGTGGAAAGCGTGGAGACTTGTCGGTCGGTGGGTTTTGAGGACCGAGGACCGAGGACCAAGCCGCTAAAAGTAGTACTGCCTCAAAGTTAGAGTGTAGGACATGCAGTTGAGGATAGATACAGCACTTGTCTGCCTAAAGGTCATTATTACCGTATGGGATACAGAAGAGCCGGTCCCGAGCGGAAACTAATACTCTTGGATCCGAGAAAGCAAGTATGGTCCGAGTGTCCTGTCGTAGACGAGTGACGATAGGAGGCGCGTCTCGACTGTCAGAGCCTAGTACCGAAATAGCAGCTAAAAGAGTCAAATGAAAAGACTGTCGGGGCTCATGGTGCGACAAGTACGCACCGTAAGTGAGATTATAATATTGCTTAAAGAGGTTGATAGATAAGCGGAAACCTCTGAGGAGGATGTCATTGTAGATTTCTCATGGACAATCCGGATAAGGAGATACATCGGCCCGACTCTCACTGTATCTCAGCTATTCTGTACGCTAAGATCCCTCTAAAAATAACGTCAGCTCTTTTCGGCTATGGTTCGGCAACCCGAGTCATACGTGATTCGAGTGCATGTGCTAGCTCTGCATTTTTTTCCTCGCTTCGCTTCTACGCCCCTTGAAGCTTGCTTGACTTGACATCGATCTCAGAAGACGGAAAATATCAGAAAGTTATGGCTGTGAAAAAACAAAAAGTTAGCATGGAAGCGGACATGAAAGCCGCCCTTACAATGTTTAGCTTCCGCAGCTTCGGGACTTCGGCAAGATTCGGTAGAGATACGTCCCTCTTCACCGCAAAGGAAACAGATAGGTTCGCACCTAGATACGAGAAAAAAAAACATCTGAAAAGCAAGTTGCCCTGCCCAGGGTGATGCTTTGACGTCCTTACCTAAAAGATTCTGCGCGCGAGGTCCCGTGTCCTGAATGTGCCTTTTGCCCACACGCGTACACCGTCTGCAACAGGAAAAAATGCCCCGGCCTCGTAATTCACGTGAATCAATTGATACGCGTAGCAAGGAGAACAGAGACAGCTTGAGGTTCAAAATATCCGACCGAGAGCAACCTGGCAAAACACAGCTTCTGAGTAATTCATCCGGGCGGCGGGTCAGAAAATCTACCAGGAAACGGTAGTCATCAGAACCCGAAGACATCAGCAACAGCAGCAGCAAACATACCTTGAGGTTTTCACAGGTTCATCACCTAGAGCCGAAATCTCAGCGCCAATCGATACCGTACGTCAATATGTCTTTCATTTCACGACGCCACTCGTTATGGTCATTACAATATGCGCGGTATACGATAGCGTTGTCCATGCTAGATACAAAGAGCTCCGAGAAAAGGGTATATGGTTATATCTATCCAGCATCAGCACCAGGAAACAACAAACTTCGGCAATCACTCACCAAACTAAGCTCCAACGTCCAGACGCGTCGAGCCCATAGCTTTATATTACTCCCTGCTTCACCCAGTGGCGGTAAATCAACATCAATCCCGTCCCACCAGCACTTGCGCTACATGGAGCTAGTAAGTCCACGAGCATCAACAAAGATGAAAAGAAAATAGACGAACAGCGGGTTTTCTCCAAAACAACAACAGCTTCTGTGCTGTCGCCATTTGATGGTAATCTATATCGACTGGCGTCTCGCTATTCGGATGGTGCTGAATTCCCGTTTTGAGGAGAACCAGGGCTATAGAGGATATACAACACCGTGAAGGTTCAAGCGCCCGGAACCCCCACTCGTCTTCTCTATCAAACCCACTGTAACCCGAAAAAAGTACGGTTTCAGCCACCTCACCTCCATCAAAGGAGAAAAGACAAAGTACACGCACCTCATACACAGCATATCAATAAGATGCTGCTCCGCGACATTATTTTCCTTGTTCACATTCCGCTGCAGGGCAGTGAAGATATTACGTTTGTCCATCAAATACTGCCCACACTGGAACTTCAAATCCACCATAGGTTGGTTTGCTATACCATTCGCGTCTGTAGCTGCCGCGCCGTTTTTTGGCGGTATGGCAAAGTACTCGAGCTCTTCTCGTAGGACTATGATAGCCTGCTTGGAGATGAGCGGGTTCTGCGAGGGCGGTGGGCCAAAATCGGGCGAGGCTGGCAGGTCTTGGAGGTGCTGCTGGGCAGCGAACAACCCAGGAGAGTTGGACGTCCCGTAGAATGTCTCCGAGGCATTCCTGAAAAAAGACAGCACGTACTGGAAGCAGTCGGGGTCGAACTGGGGGCGTCGTCAGTTACTAAGCCATTTCTTGGCGCGTGCGACGTACGTCTACTGCATACACTTCCTCTTCTTCCTCACCGTCGCCACCATCTACGGCAACGCTCTGCCGGCTCAATACCAGACCATTCGGAAACAGGCATAGCAACACAGATTCGGGTAGGTTCATGATGGTTTCCCGGTCAACCTCGAACCGTCGCCCTCGTAGATCCAATAAGAGTCGTGTTAGCAGCTGCGGTTGGATTGTATGCGCTGCAACGGGTGTCTGCGATACTTGGGTTATTGGCGACGAAGACAGAGATACAGCCGCCATCGTTGAACGTTGGAACGACAGAAGAGTGATTCCTGGTCGAGACGGAAACAACGTGCCTTTGTTTGTGGTTGATTCTTTTGGAAGCCTTCCTGCGGTCCGAGGTTCCGGTCAGACTCTCGACTCGCACCGACTGTCGAACGACAAATTTCCTGTCTAAAATGTGACACCTCTATTGCTCGTATTATTACTATCTACCACAAGCACCCGATTTTACTCGAACAAAGTGAAAGAAGCCAAGAAGTCTTCAATCTTAAATAACGAGAATCTATTTTCAAATCTGACTCTCAGGGTCGATCCTTGAACGTGAAGACGAGTGACTGAATTGGAGAAAGGTACCTTTTCCCATCGGAAGAATGAGATCTCAAAACGTTGCGCCATTTCATTTGTTTTTCCAATCGTAAAAAAGTGAGCCCAGAAAAACAAGCTGAAAGATGAGATCATCTCCGCACTCCGGGTGATAGCCCCAAAAAAACGGGACAGAAAAGTATTTCCCATGGCAAGAACAAAGGAAAAATAATTCGTAAGCAGCGTTTCCTTCATACGAAAAAGGAGCAAAAAATAAAACACGTTTTTGACTATTTTCGTATCCCATTTTTCACCACGCAAAGGGAAAGAAAAGTCAGAGCATTTTCAGAATTGATGAATACTTACTCGCGCCTTGTTTCCGAAAAAAGGACCTGTTCATCAGCCATCACCCCAACCCTGACCACAATTCCATAATCTCGTGGCCATTAAATTGCAGAAAATCTACAACGTCTCGTTTCTTAAAAAGAAAGTCATTCAGTTATTACATGTATGCTATGATGGAACGGAGGGGATGGTGTGGTGATGATAATGATGGATGGAAAACGTCAGGTATCATAAGCATGCAAGATCACGTCCACGAGAAAAAGACAAAGTCGTTACTTAAACAAGAGAAGAAACATCCTATGACAGACCAAACAAAAGGGAAAGAGAGGGAGAGAAAGTGTGTCCGTGAAATAAAGAACAAAAAAGTGGATATCAATGCATGCGTTGCGCGTTAATTGTTCCCATAATTGTGCTGAGGAGCCGCAGCACCAGGCGGGAGACTGAACACCGTAGAGTTTCGTGAATACCGGTTCTGAGGCGCTTGGGACGAAGGTCGTCGGCCAACAGGTCTTGACACACGACGGACACCTTCAGGCCCAGGAACAGGCCCGCTGTCAGTCAGTCGTACTCCGCCCCGACCAGCATTCCGGTATCCACTAGGTATATCGTCAGAATCCACTGCTGAATAGTGATCGTCGTAGGATATGGGAGACGTCGTCTGGGTATAGAATGGATTTCCGCTCCCGCTTGCCCCTTCTACTGAAGAGGTATTGCTCCGGATGTTCATACTCTGCGTGGCTTGACGAGGAACAGGAGATTCATATCGTGACTCAGCCGAAGGAGGCGGAGGCGGCGTGGAATAGCGCTTAGGGTTGACTCCTGTTGAAGTATTGCTCGACTCGTACGAATCACTGTACTGGTCAACAGATTGTGGACTGGGAACAAGCCGAAGATTGGAAGCAGAATTTCCTGTGTCTGAATAGAGGTTATCTTCACTAGAACGTGACATGCCGACCGACGATGCAGATGACATTGGCGCACGGTTTACAGCAAGAGGCGCAGGAAGCATGAGGAGGGTATTGCTGTCATGACGCTGTCGTGGTGAAAAAGCGGCAGACTCCATCGTGCTCGTATCATATGTCGCAGAGGGAGGATGGAAGGTGTCCGAATTCGAAGCAAGAGAGTATCGATTGCTGTCCGTTCTGTGAAAGAAGGAAAGAATCAACAAATACCCTTAGCAGAAGGAAACATTTAGCATACCTCTTCTCATACGTAGAATCCCTCGACTGCGTCCCACTCTTCCATCGACGTTCCCGCTCAAACTCGGCCCATCTCTTCATCACAATATGCGTCGAATCGAACTCTCCCTCTTTATCTCCATGAGCCCCCGATTTATCACCGGCGACTTTCCGGGTCTGACCCCAAGAGAAGTCATCGAAATGCCAAAACGCATACGCGGGGAGAATACCGTTCCAGACGGGTAAGGATAGCAGGTATACCAACATCCAACCGAGGTACGCAATCTTGCGAGACGTGATGACGATCAGAAGACCAGGAATACCGAGCACGATGGCGAGTAGAATAAGCGGAATGGTCGTATTCGTGCCTCCCGGGATGATGGACACGATAATGAGATAGAGCGTGAATGCGATGGCAGCGGGGAGCACAAGCGTACCGGCCAATTCCATACCAACGACAAACTGCATCGAGAAACAGAATGTACCGCACAAATCCCGGACCAAAACCAACTCGGCCAGGTTATGAATCGTCGAATTGATCCATCGACGACGCTGTGAGAGCAGGATACGGAAAGTATCGGGGACCACGGTCTTGCAGACCGCCTGAGGACAGAACATGTTTTTACGTTTGGGGAAAGTCTTGAGCATGAGCGTAGTAAGATACCGATCCTCTCCCAAAAGCAGAAGATTCTTCTTGTGCAGCGTGTCGACGACGTTCTCAGAGTAGTGTTCCACGATATCCGGATTAGCCAAGATCGGTACCCAATAGCCTGAATCGCCTTTGGGTGCCTTGATCCTGTACATACTGAAACAACCCGGCAGACAAGTGACACCGCCAAACATCGACTCGAAAGCCTTGGTCAAATGATGAGAAATGTAGTACTCGAACACTAAACAAAAAACCTAATCAGCCATCATTATGGAATAGAAGATCAGAACGAAGGCATACCTTGCATCATGGTCACAAAAGTCTCGGCCTTGTTCGCGATCTTGGTCTCGCCACACAAACCCATAATCTCCTCATCGCAAACCATGCAGGATACCATACGCGTCAACGAATCCGGGAAGACCTTCGTATCGGCATCGACACAAAGCACAAGCTCATATCGATCCGGACTGACACCCGTTACCCTCCAAATCGAGTTAAAGAACTCGTACTCAAAGGTAGTCATCCGTTCGTCGAACATGACCTTCTGCATGAATGCCATCAACACGATTTGACTGTCCCGCTTTCCACGATTACCCGGTTTAGCCTCATTGGCCTCCAAAGGATTACCGCACTTGGCGACTAAGACCATAGGGACTCGCTGCTGCTTCGACCTCTCGATAGTGGCGTCGTCGTAGTCATAGAACCCAGCATACACCTTGGCCATGTTATGCTTCTTGTGTCCGTCAGCGATAGCGACATAGGAATGTGGCTCGACATCGTCCGCGGCGATGACAAGTTCCTTCATCATGGACAAACAAATTTCCGGAGTCGTCTTATCATTCCCATCACCCTTGACCATCCCATCAGCGATGACCAAAATTAGCTTATGACTGTTCGGATAATCCGTCGTGGCCAAAGAATCCAAGGTCGTGCGGAGACCCTCTACGGACTCCGAGTAAGCCGTGACCAGACATATGGTATGCGCCAGAGGGAAATTGAACGGTTCATAGTCATGAGGGGGCTGAGGAACGACGTTATGGAGAGGGAACGGACACGGACTTTCAACGAACGTGCCACGGTCGCCCAATGAGACCACGCTTTTCGATTGACGGTAACTCGGCGAATCCGGCGGAGACTTGCCGAAGCCCTTCACAGACGGCGCATACACCGACCTCTTGTAATTCGAAGCCGACGAGGAGTCCAGCATGCCATACGCTGTCGTAGGGCGACCACCACCTTTGAGCGTATTCTCAGCAGGTGTGAAGCGCGAAGTACTGGGCAGGAAGCCCTTCTTGTTGCCCCGGAGACCATGCTTGCTGACGTTGGGTCGATACTCACTGGGAGCGGCCCGATAGATGTCATTACTCCAATTTTCAATTTCCTGCGATCGCTGCATGCGCTGCTCATACGTTTCCCGCGGGAAGTTACCCAATCTCCACGAGAAGAACCACTGAAACAATACCGCCATGCCAAAACGAATGGCGACGACTCCAACAATGAAAATGAGCGAAAGGTAGAGAACGACATCGGATGCAACACAACCGATGCTATTGGTATCGATAAAGCCAATGGTGACGAGATCCTGTAAGCAGTGACCAATATCTTCTTGCTTCGTGCGCATGAACATCATGGTGAGGTCCCGGCCGTTGTATGTACCGTTGGCTGTCTTCATCTCGTTGAAGAGTGACGGGTATTGTACTTGCGCCCCGCTGAGCCAGTTAAGAAGGTTGAGATCAAGGACGTTCCTAGTTGGCTATTCAGTAACGGTTTCATATCGTGCGTAAAAAAAGGCTCACTGTTCGTATATTGCAAGATTTCGACTTGTACTGCGAACATCATCCCATGTGAAATAGACCTCGCCCTGGGGCGTCATCGATTTGAATTCCGAACGAGCGGTCGAATTCGCATGACAATTTGTCGATTCCTCGTAAGCCGTGAGATTGACACCCGACGAGCCGTCCTGGTTGAAAACGTTGCAAGGGAAATACCAGTCAAGATTGTTGCCGCTTCCGGTGATGCTGGATGATGATGCCTTGGTGATGATGTTAAGACACTTCTCGTTCACGGTTTGGAACAAGAACGACGCATCGTTACCCGCCAGGCCCTGCCAATCATCAAGGATGTTCGTCTGGCCGTTGAAGGTGCCCACTGCGGGATGCTTGAACTTGGAAACGTCGTAATCGTAGCCGTGAATGGTGATGGAGCCCTTGCCGATGAACGAGTCTCCGATGGCACCGCCGTGGTATCGATTTGCCGGTGTACCGCAGACAGACTCGGTGAATCCGAAAGTCAGGTAACCAACACCTGCCATGAGGATCATGATAATGCCAATCAATCCCATCTTCTCCCTCCATGCACGTTGCTGTTCGGGACTCCGCAGACCTGATTACTGAATAAGAACACAAGTCTGGATGTATATAGAGAGAAACACACCGCAGGCTCGCATTAGAGGAGTAGGGATCCAGCACGTTCAACAAGTAGCAGTAAACCATCCATGGTCCCTTGGGACCAGGCGCAAAGTCGCCTAGGCACCCCGACTTTTTCTTTTCTTGCGGAAGCATCGGCGACTGTGAAGGTGAAGTAACCTGTCGTTTACGACGCAGCGTCGTGCCGCGCTTGAACAGCGAAAGTCCAGACTCGTGCACATCCTCGTCGCGACCAAGAATCGATTTTCCTCTCCGTAAATTCGTCTGAGGGTAATTCCCCGTTGCTGAACCGAGGCGGTTGAGACAAGGAAAGGACTCGACAAAAATTTACACTTACTTGAGGGTATAACGCCCATCCTACCGGTCCCCTCTTCTTCTAGCTGGGCGACATGGCTCCGGTAATGCCACTGCCTATGTCCAGGTTCTATCTTTTCACGGTCAGGCCTCACAAGGCTCTTTTTCCTTCCCACCCTCGCGGCGTCCGCACCGTAGTCCAATGACTCTACGTCCGGCGAAAGCTGGTTGTTCTGGTATGCCGATGGGATCGTACGCTGGCGATGTTGGTCCAGTGGGCTATTGCGGTCGCCCTGCTCGACATTTTGAAAGGATACGTTGCCTCTAGAGCCTTCTGAGGGCAAGAATTGTGGTCGTTGGGGTTGGTCCTGGGAGTTGTGTTGGCCAGGACGAGCTGAACGTGGCGGTCGTCGCTGGGTAGGGAATTCCATGCTCGAGGGTTAATTCCAGCCTCGAGCAGGCTGTGTAAGACAATGAACGGGGTGCGTTAAGAGAGTGAGCCACAGCAGGGCGATGTAAGGTCTGACACAGTGACAAATGACGGAGACGACGAGGAGTCCTGGAGTGTCTCAATGTGGTAACTTTTGTCATGAAATTTTTGCCGGTGCTTTTTGGTCAGTAACTGGGCTAGAAAAGGAATCTTCCCATCACGACAGCCGAATGGTGAACTTGTAGCAATTGTTTTCATTGTAAGAGGTCAGTATATCCTAAACAAACCCTGGATGCTGGAACTTTCTTCATGGCGTAACTTATCAATGTTCCGCAGCCTTCAATCACTACGTTCCCCTTCGTTCATGTTTACGTTGCACTTGTTCGGGGGAAAAACTCGCCCATTGCCATGGGAAACAAAAAGCGGAAGTTCCGTTCTACCGGTACCGTCGACACCGTGTGTGAACTGACAACATACTCAGGCTGTCGTTATACCTTGGGAGTCCAATTCCTCTCACTAGCACACCAACTCCGACCCGACACTCATGCCGGTATTCACGTATCTTCGTATGACAGAATCTGCAAGGTGACCCAAATCTAAAATACCTGTGCTTCTCCGGATCCAATTTGCAGGTACGACGCTTCCAATGAGCTAGGGGCACTGGGTAGAAAGAACCTGATACTACTTATAGATTTCCTGCAAGTCATGCGTTCGTAGCCAAGAGTAGATTTGCGCGTCGACGTCGTTATCGCCGCTAGAACGGAGATTGTTGATGGTTCAAAGAAGATCCCCTGTAATCAGGGTCACGCAGCACGATGCCTCCGACGGGCTACTGGTACAGGTATCCTATAAGTAGAAAGGTGAGTATCTAATCCCAGACTCCGAGAGTAGTCTCCGGATATGCTGTACGTGTTTCATTACCGTGAAAGGGAAGGACAACTTCTGCGGTATCATGTCTCTTACACGATGAGGCCCAGTCAAAAGTCCGTGGGTTTGAGTCGATGACAGTGTATATCAGTTGATAAATCAATGGAAACCCGTAGCTAGCTAAGAATGGGGTATCCCATGGTTTTGCGATCGCTATCTATGGATATCCTTCGATGCTCATAGATTATTGTCGGTGTGCATCGTTGTACGTCGATAGGAATCAATAGACACGTATTCATTTGCTTGCTACCTATATACATTAGCTATAGCGGCTAGCTAAAGGTCCAGACGTCCACCACCTATCGAACTCCCGTTCCACCACATACCCATCCCTTGCCTCTCACCTCGCCAACCGGCAACATGGTGCATACATAATTCTGGTCGAGTGCTACCATGGGAGTAGTCTTAAGAGCCAACCTGAATGACTGTAAGCAGATACCCGTAATCTAGAGCTTTAACATACCGCATCCAAGGCGGGAAAGGGCGCGGCCAACGAAAGTGCGTCATGTGTAGCAGCCTGGAGTTGGCGGGCACCAAAGTTCGCACCTGTAAGTCAATCAATACCAGGCAAAAGGGTGATAACTTTGCACCTAGAAAAAGCGAAATGGAAGAGATGGCGTGAATATATAGCACCGCCGACGGCCATGAAGTCAACCTAATGCAGCGTAATGGAGAATAAGACAACGAAAGGGTGAGGGATATAAGCAGACTCACCATCTCCTTCAACTAAATCACGCCCAATCTCCTCATCACCGTCAACTACGAATGAAGATGCTGATTATATGCGGTTGCCTTGGTGCCTTTCCGGATCGACAGCACCGTTTCGATGAGCTGGATGCCGTCGGCAGCATCTAGGCCATGTAAACACTGCAAATGAACTAAGAGGCGACGGTATTCAGCAGGAATGGTAGCGCAGCAGGAAACATCAATATGCCGGGCGATGGTCGTGATGGTAAAAGGGATAGTGTGTTCGGACTTTGCCGGGAGCACTAGCCCCGCATTATCACTTGCCTGCATGCATATACTCAAAAATGGTTGGCAAGTTTACCAGCACTTGTCGACTGTCGCCCAAATTTCTCAAAGGTCATAAATATGTGACAGTTGGAGAGTATGCTCGTCCAAGGGCATCCACCAAGACCTCTGCATGTCCACAGGCATCGATGGATCGACCAGCACCCGTGGATATCGACCCAGGCCTCCAGACTTTTGACTGGGGATGAGGCCTCGAGGGCATGACGACATTAAGTGACTTTCTCTCTTTAAACTTGACCACTTGACCACTTGAGTAATAGCTCGAACTCTGAGCCCCAGTGAATAGCGCCTGTATTTGCTTCTGTTACTCTCGATCTATATTGATTCTTTCTGTTCATTTCGGTTATTTTCAATTTATTTTAGACTTTTCGTTAGCTCGCCACTGCAAAACTCCTTGGAAACTCGTCTGAAACTTTCAAATTTACTTCAAAACCTAACTCCCCCAAACCTTGGAAAAAAATTTCTATTGTTCTTTATTTTGGCCTAATGAATAAACCGAGTGCACGTACACTCCAACCCATCGATTTCGAAAAAGTTCAAACCAGACTTCTCCTCGGAGGCTCGGACAAATCGGATGGACTAAATGCGCAAAGTGTCACGCAATTTTGACAATACCTTCTTTCCTCCCTACCACCATTGTCGACCGCCAACTTCGTTGCAACGACATCGACGCCTGCTTCGCTGTAGCAACATATCGGTACTTATCTTTCACAGCATACACGATATCCGTGTCCCTTATCCTTGTGACGCCTTGGGCCTCTGATGAATTGTTTGCCATGGACCCGGGGATCTCATCGACATCGCTCTAGCATCATTGCTTCCAATTGACCACCACATCTGCCGGAAGACGCATTGAACAATGCCGAAATGTTTCCTTATCTTGTATGCAATTGTACGTCCAAAATCTGATGCATATATGCGCCTCAGGTTGAACGTTCTGGGCAGGTTCTTGATGCTAGCACATGTAGGGGCAACGATATGTTACCAGGTACGCTATTATAGCTTTCTCTTCGGCAGATACTAACGAAATGCCGCAGAGCTAGACAACGCGAGCTTCGATAAGATGCAACTGTGATCACCTCTATAATGCCTTTCCCCTGCCGTGGTAAGCACGTTTCTGTCCTTCCTTTGACCATTATAACTAACTTTTAGTACTCTAGACGATGGCGTCGCAGGGATGCAGAGTTTTGGCAGCAGACCGGAAATATTCCTGCTACGTTAGTAGAAGGTCTTATAGGGGATGGATGGTAGCCGAGTTTTTGACAGCTCCCCGAGCCGAATGTCATCGGACTTTCTATGTGTGGTAAATTTGAACGGCGTGCCACACATAAATTTCTGTTAAAGTCAGATTCTCGGTGTGGCAGTTTCTTTGTTTGTCACTTTGTTTACTGTGACTCATGTTACTATCACGCTCTCCACGGAGTTGCTCGGCCGAACTTCCATTCAGCTCTCCAAACAGCGATTCTGAGAGAAAATGCGAGCTGGTGGCGGCATCTGCCGCCACCGAGCGAGGCTTTTTCGAGCAGCACCCTTATTACTGTTAGTTTTTGAAGTCCTGATCATAACTATTTACTAACTGATTCAATTCACCCACAATCACCAATGGCATCGGCTCTGATTCCAACTCTTAGGTTCAATCGTGTATAAGTGAGGTAGTTTTTGGACAATGGATACTTTCATGAGGAGCGAACGTAGCAGGCTTTGCCCCAGAGCGGGCCTTACAGGAGTTATTAAATAGCAACTAACTGAGCAGCAACGGTGCTATTGCTGGAGGATCGGTACGATCGGCTTCCAAAACAAAACCTAAAGTTAAATCAGAACGGGGCCGAAATGAGAAGTCCGGGACACTGTCCGAGTGCGACCTGTCCGGGTAGGGGAATAATGTCTAGATGGACAATAACATACTTCTACGTATGCTACGCGTTCTGTGTGTATGTATCAGAGACAAGAATATCGGTTTCTTGGGAAAGGAACCTGGCTGTCAAGTTCCGAAAAGGGCAAGTAAAGGGAACTTCACAGCTACATGTCCTTCCGCCAAGTTGTTTCCAAGTAAAAGCTATACCTCAGGATTACCTCTAGAATTTAAAAAAAAAATACTTATACATGAATTACATGCCTACACTTGTTCAAATTGAATTTTTCATGCTTGAGAGTAGTGTTGCCGCGGCTCGGCTTAAAGTCGCTTGAGCCGGTGAGCCGAGTCTTAATAAGCCGAGCCTGAGTCTCTATTGGCTCAGACTCATTCTAGGCCCAAGCCCATATAGGAGCCGGCTAAAGCCGGGCTTGAGTCGCTTTAGCTGGACGACGATGCCTAATTTGGCCAGTGTGTTTTCTTGACTTTTATTGTCCCCTAGGTCACATAAAATCATGCCCTGTGGTGCGTACTATAAGATTCCAACATGAATCAAGGCAACTACACATCCAAGATGCTGATTAATACCATAAAACGGAGGACTGAAGTTTGAGCATCAATGCCCTTACAGATGCCGAGGTCAAGCCGAAGATCTTCCTAAAAAAGCGAAGTGACTGGAATTTACAGCTGTGTTGAAGATATATTTACATAGCTGCAAGCTGAGTTCCTATGTATCACCAGATGTTGATTCTAAAGGATTTACAAGCCCTCTCGCCTTCGAAAGTGCGTCTTAACCCAGTGACTTCCTTTTTAGATCATTAGTCTGAGCTCAAGCCGACTTGAGCCGAAGCTTAGCTTAGCCGACACAATGATTACCGACTCAAGCCGACTCGGCTCATAACAATTACCAAAGTCGGCATAAGTCTAGCCGAGCCGAGTCTAGCTGAGTCGCGGCAACACTACTTGAGAGCACTCCGGATGCCGATTGTCCAATGTGGTGCCGGCGGCATCACACCTATTCCCACTTCTTGCCCATTTCTTAGGCTGGTCCAAAGCCCTCTGATACGTCGCTTTGCACTACAAAATAGGTGAATACCGCAAAAGATGATGGGCGAGATAAGCCAACACCAGTAAGAATTAATATTTTCGTTGCGCCCGGACAACCGGTCCCGGATAGCCGGTCGGACAGTGTACCGGACTTCTCATTTCAGCCTCGCCCTCTATTAAATAGCATCTGCGGGGTAAACCGAAGTCACCTGAACCCTGCCTTACCACTATCCCCCCGTCACTGCTACGTTATGTTTGGGAGAAGCGCCTATGCCAGCGAAGACTGGCCACTGATCCCTCGTGAGAGTTACATTTCACAGCTTTGAATGGAGATACTCAGATTATAACCGCACAGGTCTTCCTGAGGAAGCTGATGAAACCAAACGACATATTGCTAAAAATATCCAACAAGTTACAGAAGAAAACGAGCAGTACATCAGGAGTTATCATCCCGCCTTCGAAGATGCAGACTTTGTTTTCGTTTACTGCAACCCATCGAGTCTCAGGGAATCTGTCTGGATGGTCCAACCCGCGTTCGCACGAAGGAACGCATTCTTACTAGCCAATCTCTTCGTCGCAGGTCGAGAGGTCCATCTTTTCCGACACAACCCCCCCGCCCACGGGCACACGGGAAGAGCTGTCAGGCCGCTACCGTCCCATAGAGGATCCACTGGCACTAATACGACGAGATCTGAATCCCCGTGTCCCATTATCAGACGCGGACATATCTGTGATCAGGAAATGGTGGCCTAACATAATCGGTGTGCGGGTGTACGTGTACGGTGTCATTAGTCTCCTCGTACACCAGTGGAACGACTGTGATGAGGTTAGAGCACGTTATGGATGGCCAATGAAAATAGGGGGATTGCGCTCTCAAATTGAAACCATCCAGGATATCAAACCTTCCGCTGACGAGGCTGGTACTGGGCGACGTTGGCACACTGACACAGAAATCGGGTCTACCAGTGGGCTACGCATTGGGAGCCGATTCGGATTCGGGGCAGACAAGGACACTGTATCCGATGCGATAACGACTAACACGCATTCCTTTGTTTATGCTCCTCGTGGTATGCCTTTATACACCTCATTTACAGATGTCCCGATGCAACAGATACTATTCGACATCGTACGCGACACGTTTCTGAGGATCAAATACTGCATCGCGTCAACAAAGACTTGCCGTGCACTATGTGATTGGCGACCCATGTCTTGGGCGTTGACTCAATTAGTCGGAGATAGCTCTCCACTGGGAAAGGAGGTGTACGCAGCAAGTCAGAAGGCAGGGCTTCTTCGTGTACTTTAAATCGCGCACTGAAATTGATCATAGGTCGGCAAAGTAACCAAATGCTATGACTCACCTTCCCTAGTGTTTACATATCCTTTCGGATATCGACATGACTTGCCGTTAATCACAGATATATCACTACCGGAAATTACTGCCCCTCCAGGGTTGCCCATCATCTCCGGCTTTGAGCCCACCTTTGACGCCGCGCTTCGGCTTGGCTGTCCACTCTTCGCGGCAAGTTATCGTTCAGGAGACAGGCCGATGGCAGTTCCGGTACAGGCGGTAGCCACACAGTACACTTGGGAGCCCGGTCTGATGACATTTCTCGCTGCATACTGTGGAGATCAAGCAACGAAAATGATGATATTACAGGCTCTGCGCTTTGCTTGGGATCGATAGGAGCTTGTGAGACGCGGGTAGTGGCGTTTCAGAATTTTGAGGCAGATCTACGGCATGGACTGTGGAATGTGCCTTTGGTGAAAGACCAAAGACGGTATTTGAGATACAAGGGCGGTTTTGCGCTGCCAAGGGAGGTCCTTGAATCTCAAGTTGTGATGCAGGAGCCTGGAATATAGTGGAACAACCATCTCGCGGAGTCGTTATGCCACCATGGACTTGTATCTATGACTTTTGTTGTTAGAAATCGCTCAGCTTCGATCGATTGATATATCTCAGGTTGGCGGTAGGTCTGCAAATTGACGTAGGTGTGAAAAAAAGGGTGTCAGCAAGAGAAAAGCAAGATCTTCTCGGCGGAATCAACAATATCATTCACGAGCTCCATTGTATGACACTCTCTGCATGAGTAGATGCTCGGAGCACAAACTAACCCATTTCTATGGGAAGCAAAAACGGTTACCCTGATGTAGTAGGCTGTTTCACTACCACGTAAGGGAAAGACAACTCTTGTAGTATACTTATTATGTCTCTTATAATGATATGACCTCTTCCACTAGCGCACCGAACTTTCTCTATAGTGCCATCAAAAATGAGTAGTACTTCTTGAGCAGTGGACCGAGGTGTACGCGAAGGGAAGGCACGGTTGCGAGAGGGAAAAAGATTCTATAAGATATGTATGAGTATCAAGTATATCTATAGGTACGATTAGCAATAGTATAATAGAAATATAATGAGTATACACGTACATCTCAGCGTGAAGACGTTGGTTGAACGCTGAGATGCCGCGATGAAAAAAATAGACTAATCAGGTATGTACCGGTAATCTAAATATAGTCCGTGGCTTGCGGTTAACGCTCGCCATGCTCAACAGTACTTAGTAGAGCAGCAATGGCGTCGATCAGTATCATGATGATCGGCTTCCAAGACAAAACTTAACGTCTGCGGGATAAACCAAAGTCATATCCTGAACCCTACCCACACATTATGCCTTCGAGGAGCGTCTTTTTCTACGATAACTGGCCATTGATCCCTCGTGAGAGCTATACTTTCATATATTAAATGGAAATATCCACATCATAATCCTACAGGTCTTCCTGAAAAAGCCGACGAAACCAAACGACATATCGCTGCAAACATCCAACAAGTCACCGAGGAAAACGAGAAATACATCAGGAGCTACCATTCCGCCTTCGAAGACGCCGAGTTCGTCTGCGTCTACTGCAACCCCTCGAGTCTCAGGGAGTCCGTCTGGATGGTCCACCCCGCATATGCACGACGGAACGCTTTCCTGCTGGACAACCTCTCCGTCGCAGGCCGAGGGGTCCACGTTATGGCATACAACCCGCCGCCCACGGACACACAGGACGAGCTCTCGGGGTACTACCGTCACATAGAGGATCCACTAGAAGATCTCAATCCCCGCGTCTCACTATCAGATAGCGATATATCCCTTCTCAGGAAATACTGGCCTAATATAGTTGGAGTGCGAGTATATGTGTGCGGTGTTATTAGCCTCCTCGTACACCATTGGGATGACGCTCTGGAGGTTACAGCGCCTAGATGGTCGACGTCAATAGGGGGATTACGCACTCAGATTGAGTCTTTCCAGAATATTGAACCAAGTTCCATTGACAGGATGGCGTTGCCTGAGAATGAGCACACTGGTGCTACAAAACAAACTGGGCTTCGCATTTGAGGATTCGGGGCAGACGAGAGCACCGTAATAATGACTGATACGCATTTCCTCGTTTACACTCCACGGGGGATGTCTATGAACTATCCACTTACAGATGTGTGCGACAGATTCTATCCGACACCGTATGCGATACGCTCCTGATGATCAAGTTCCGCATCGCGTCGACAAAGACTTAGTGTGCACTATGCGATTGGCCACCCATATCTTGGGCATTGGCTCGATTAGTCTCTCCACTGGGAAAGGAGGTATACCGTGACGCAGGGAGTCAAAAGGCAAGGCTTAGTATAGTACTCTCCTCCAAACGCAGGCTAAAGTGTTGGTAAAAACCATAGGTCGGCAAAGTAGTCAAATGCTACGACTCGCCTTCCCTAGTGTTCATCCATCCCTTCGGATATGTCGTTGATCACCATAGATGCTAGTGCAGCACTACCTCGGACAGTTACTCCAGTCATCACCCCACCTTTGACAACGTCCTTCGAACTGGCTATCCACTCTTCGCGACAAAGTATGGCCCGAGTGTAGAAGATGCCGCGGTGCAGGCGGTAGCCACACAGTACACTTGGGAACCTCAGGGATCTGGAGCTGTTCCTCGCAGCTTACTGTGGAGATCAAGCAGAGAAAACGATATAACGGGCCCTGTGCTTTCGCCAGAGATGCGGGTGGTGGCGTTCCAGAATTTCGAGGTGGATATGCGGATTATCCACTGGCAGAAAGTCGGAAGTATAAAGGTGAGTTTGCGTTGCCCAAAGAGGTGCTTGAGTCGGAAGTTGTGGAAGAGGCGTAACTGGCTATGACTAGAGCTTGGGTCAATTTGTATACCCCAGGAGGTCTGCAAATTGAAAGACAGACGGAAAGTAAGACTTGCAGCCGATTGGATTACATGGAGCTCCGTCGTCATCCTGACTCTGGTGAATGCTCGCTGGACTTGCGAGTCTTTCCTTTAGGGGTGCCTGCCGCAGGAATAGTTTACGCGAGAGGTCCGTATAAGCCCTAGATTTCGTGTCTCGTCAGTATTCCTCAACCTTTTTACGTTGGGAGTTATCCGGGGGAGAAACTCGCCCGGGAAACGGAATACGGATGTTCTGTTGTACCGGTACCGTCGAATTCAGGGTCTCGTACACAGCGAGCCAGTCTCGTTACTTATACCTTGCCAAGCCGACTTGACACTTGAATATGCCGGTATTCACGTATCTTCGTATGCTTCTCCTAGAATCATGGCAGCCAAGAGTAGATTTGCGTTGTTGTCGTCGTCGTTAGAACGGAGATTGTAGTGCTTCGAAGAGGGTCGCGATGAGCACGGTGCTGCTAGTACAGGTATCCTGTAGGTAGAGTGGTTGTAATCCCGGCTGAGCTGAGCTGTACGTTGCGGTATGCGGTATTATGTCTAGCGACGATCGCGGCTAAACGAACTCGCGCTAGATCTAGAGAAAGTGGGTCCCCGCTGAGAAGTCCGGCGATCACAGGATAGGATGGGTGATACGAGGTTCGGTTATGAGCTCCTTTGGGTGTAAGAAGGAGAAGGGGGTTGCATCATCAAGACGTCTTCGGCATAGCCTTTGTATTGGAGGGTAGTCAAGACAAGAACGAGGGCGACCGTAAAAACGACGGAGAGTCATCGGAAGCGGGCCAAGAGAATCGAGACGGTGACGGTGTCTTCCTCCCCCCTCCCCCCCACGAATTGCCGCATTATTGTGTGGATAATTATGAATACTCCGCGAAGGATTGTCTCCAATATTAATCCTGCATTCTTTCCGTGTAGTGGCGTACGGTTCCCTATGGCGTCACATCAACGGAAAGTTCGAGGCTCGAGCAACCATCACGATTAGATCACAGGCAGTCAGCACCAGAATCCAGATAGAGGGGGTATAGTCCCAGTGCTTGGCACACAATCGTCAGGTATGATGTCGATGTCGATGTCGTGATGGAAGACCAGAGAGAATGCAACCGGCAGTGCCCCATCCCTGCTGGAACGTGTTTACGGAACCAGTGATGCATATGACTAGAGAGAGGGGGTGAGTACTTGAGCTTGGAATACAAGGAAGGGGGGGGAGGCAAAGGGGCCAGGGAAATACACAGGCCCATACGTACGTAGGAAGATCTTCCAAGTCAATTAAATAAATAAACCCGCTTTACACGGCGGAGTGCGGCCTGAAACAGCGACGTCCAAATGGGGAAACATCCCACGTGCCACGTGCCATGCGAGACGTCTCGACCCTCCAGCCCTTCTTCGCCGCCAACGTTTTTGTTGCGCTGTCTATTTACTCTGCAGGCAGGAAAGAGAGAGAGCTGCGACGACGAGCGTAGCGTAACGGTTATCGGTGAGTGCTTGTCTATCTTACTATCTATTGCTTCCGCCTACTCACCTTTTTCCCGCACACACACAAAAAAGTCGTCCCACCGCCATCGCCATCGCCATCGCCATGCCCCTCCTTGGGATTTTTTCAAAGAAACACAAGAAAGGCGGGAGGGACGTGACGAAGAACAGCTCGGCTAGCATAAACTCTGAATTCGAATCCGCCTTGTCGTCGCCTACATCTGAGTACATACACACCGACAAGTCCTTACCCTCGAGTCCCAATGGCAATGGGCGATACCTTCACCCTCGGGATGCAGCAGCAGGGAGGTTGGGCGGGGCGAGTGCCTCTTCGAGTAAACTTCGTCTGCCGTTCGGTCGGAGAAAGATGGGGGCGGCGTCGTCTTCCACGGTGTCCAACTTGACGGATTATACCAGCGACGGAGGCTACCTAAAAATGGGAAGACTCAGCAGCGGCGCGATGTCAGACGTAGAACCCGAACTCCCGCTCCCACCAATATTCGGTGACCCCCACAGCGCACTCTCCACGCGCTCTCTCCCAGACTCCCACCCCCACCTTCATTCCCACTCCCCCTCCCCCTCCTTACAGCAAAAACGCCCCTTCTTCAACTGGTCCAAATCTCAAAACTCCACTCCCTCGAAAGCAGTACTACAAAAAACCCGCACTCCATTGTCCCCACTCTCTCCATCACCCAACGATTCGGAGTCTTTTAACCTCAAGTCATTCCGACACGTCCGACCTCCATCACCTACACATTCCACGGCGTTGCATCCACCTCACGTACCAGTAGCGCGTCCAAGAAACACCAGCACTGCCTCAGACTCTTCCCAGCGTATATCCGTAGCCGCCTTTCGCGAAGCCCAAGCTCGCAGGAGCGCTGCTGGATCGCCTGTGCCTTCCTTCCGGTCAATCAGCCCCGATCCTAACCAACAACCTCCGCACGCTAGAATCGCGTCAAGATCCGTCAGCCGGAACCCTCTAGACGGCCGGAGACTCTCCTCGCTGGTGTACGATTCGGATTCGGACGAGTCGGCCTCTTCGTCAGAGGCTGATTCCGATGAGGGGCGGGCGTTAGGGAGGAGACGGACGCTTACCCAGCAGCAGAGGAAGGCTGGTGGAGGGAGGGCTACCAGATCCGAGATTGGACATGGATCGACTCATTCGAGACCTCCGAGACCTCCTCCTCCTTCTAAGATATCCACCATGTCGGTGCCTCCCCCGGAAGCTCGGAAGCGTGCGAGTTTGTCGACGAGTGCGGCGTCCCCTAGTGCGCCGGCGCAACGAGCTAGTCTCATTGCGAATTCCCATCCCAGTCCCGGTCCTAGTCCAGGTACGGGGTTTCAGACATTGATGATACATGCTTGAGTTCTCTAATGCAACTATTACCTACCACAGATTCCTCACGACAATCGCGTCACATACGGGAGGCTTCCTCTGTATCTAATCCTCCGGCTACAGTTCGTCGTAGTATCGTTGTCTCTCAGGATTCCGATACGTCCGACTCAGAAGACGACGCGCCGCTCGCTTCACTGGTCCCACCACGCCGACCAGGGAGCTCCATGTCGCATCGGTCTAATCGTTCGCAGTCTTCTACTACTACTCGGGCGGGAACCAAACCTTTGATTGATATTAGCACGCTTACGGGTCCGAATCGCCGGCCTTTGGAGTCTGGGGCGAGTGCTAGTGCGAGTACCAGTGCGGCGTTTACGCCTGGGAAGACTTTGGTGTCGTCGCCTGTGTCGATGACGCCACCCACACCGCCCATCACGTCGACGTCGCCTCCTACGAGGTTCGTGTCTCCTCCGGGGTCGCCGGTGAAGCCTGCTGCGAGGACTTTGAGCGCCGACCCTCCACTTCCTCCTCCCCAGCCTCTGCAGAGGACGATTCCTGTGCGTAAAGGCACGGCGGAGAGAGAGGGTCTGAATGAGCGCCTGGGGAAGGTCATGATGAGTTCTGCGAGCAGTGTTGCGTCTTCAAGTTCTGTCACGTCGTCGTCTGCGAGCCGTACTCCCGCGCTTAGGACAGATCCTCTCACGCCGTCAGTGAACAAACCAGTCCCAGTCCGACAAATTGGGCAGCCGACAACTACGTCAAGGACCGATCCTCCCACGCCGTCAGTGAGACAAATTGGGCACCGTCGGACGTCGAGTGATAATCCCTCGATGAGGACGCGATCTACGGAGGAGAACATGGATGATTTGGTGCGTATGCTTGGAGGTGGGATTAGGTTGATTAGTATGAATGGGGAGGATGAGGATGAGAAGAAGGATCTTCCCGTGAAGAAGAAGAGTTTTCCTGGGAGGAAGGTGGAGGATGACGCGGAATCGACGGAGGATGAGACGGAGGAAGAGGAAGATTCTGATGATCGGACTGAGGGGCGGGGGAAGAAGGAGAAGGAGGACGAGTCTATCTCACCACCGATTCCTATCCTTCGTCGTACGCCTGTGCCGTCGTTCAGTGTTACCTCTCGACCGCAGCAGCACAGGGGATTCGAAGTGGATGCTCCTCGACAGCGGACTAGCAGTCTCGTTCCGTCCAGTCCGGCGACTTCTGAGAAGAGTTCGCTTCCGACTGCTAAGGCTGTTACGTCCCGCCCGCAGCAGCACAAGGGACTCGGAGTCGATGTATCCCAACCTCCTCGACAGCGGACTAGCAGTCTCGTTCCTTCCAGCCCGGCGACTTCTGAGAAGAGTTCTCTTCCGACTGCCAAAGCTGTGCCTCCTACTCCCATCGTCAAGGCCACTCCTCCTCCCGTCAAGGCCACTCCTCCCGCTCGTTCTGTTCCTCCAAAGATCACTACAACGGCCGCTCCGAGCGCTCCCGTGCCTAATGCACCGCGATCCGCACCCCCATCTTCTACTGCTTCTAATAACCCTCGACAACGCAGTAGCTCGATGATGCCCCTCATGACGATCCCCGCGTCTCCGAAAGTAGCCATGTTCCCTGTTCCTACGAAGCCGTTTGCGACGCCGCGGGAGAGCCCGGCGAGCTCTACGGGTGATTCGAGTAGTGGGAGGGCTCCGTTGACTCCTAGGGACGGGAGTGATATCGTTAGTGCGAGTGGGAAGAAGGAGCAGTGGAGTGGAGGTGCTAGTGGGTTGGGACTGGGGCATAAGCGGAGGAGTGTGAGTTTTGATTTTGAGGAGGATGCTACTGCTATTGGAGGTGGGAAGGGGAAAGGGAAAGGGAAGGATGACGAGACGAGGAGGAGGGATCGGAGGAGGGATGAGGCCAAGGCTGCTATTGAGGTTTGTTGGTTTTGTTTTCTTGTTTTGATGCGGCGTTCTGAATCTGATGTTAGTTGGGGAATGTTATCAATGGGCGTGGACCTATCGTTGACGATGACGAAGATGATACGCCTATCAACCAGATAAACTCTGCGCGGATGGGTACTATGGGTCCGATGATGGGCGGGCCGATGATGGGTTTCGGTGGGCCTGCACCTGGGTGGAACGGATGGCCCGCGCCGATGATGAACATGAACATGAACCCGCAGATGCTGAGTCCCGCGCAGTTCATGGCTCCTCCTATCCCTCCCCCTGGGGACCCAGCGTTCTTCGCTGCGCACCAGCAAGCTATGATGTACGCCAAGCAAGCATACCAGATGGCGGTTGCGCAGCAGGCTATGGCTGCTGCTGGGGACGAGTGGGAGCGGTCTTCTGCTATTGGGGGGAGCGTGTATGGTGGGTTTGGGGGAGCGGGGGCGGGGTGGTCTTCGGGGGCGTCGATGATTTTCCCGTCTTCGTCGCAGAGTATGTATGGGGGTGGAGGAGGGGGAGCGAGGAGTGAGTATGGAGGAGGGGGAGGAGGAGGAGGGGGGAGGTGGAGTTCTTCGCAGAGTGTGTATGGGGAGTCGTTTGGTGATAGAAGGAGGAGAGGTTACGCGCCCCCTCCGGTCCCGCCTGTTCCTTCTCACGCGCAGAGGTCCTCGGTGGTGGTTAGTGGAAAGGGAGGGAGGACGCGGACTGTGAGTCAGCCTGCTAATCCCGTTAGACCCAGCAGTGGTGGCACTGGTAATAGCCCCCGAAGGGCCCCACCGTCTAGTTGGAAAGCCGGAGTATGAGTGTTTTTCTTTGGGTTTTCATGACTCTTTGGATTTATAAATTTTCCTTTCTTTCTTGGACCGACTTGTTTTATGAGAACCCTCCTCCCTCATTTTTATTTTAATACATACAACTACCCTTTGGACAAGTCAGCCAGTTACACTCAATTGTATTCTTTACATACTCACACATTTGAACATAATACCCAGCATGGTTTTTTTTTTAGGTTGGGGGTTGGGTTGTGGGCTTGGCGGTTTACGGACTCGGGGGATACGTAGGTGGCCTAAGGCGAATGGGTGAAACCCCCGAAGCGCCCTTTGTATTGGGAGGCGCAGTAAGTGCTGACGTTCTCTTCCCCCTTGTGTGCGCGAGCGCTAGATTTTGTGGGTTCTGCTGCTTATCGAGAGTCCAAAAGTCCGAGTTTTGGTATATTATTGCTATCGTTTGACTCAAAGTCCAGTACTCAATTTGAGGGACTGCTGCCTATCAAGAGTCCGAGTTTGACTAGTAGTTTCGTTATGTTATTGAATGTCCAAGACCAACGTTACTTCTGACCCGCAGTCAGTTTTACGGCTTCGTACACGTACGCGACTCTTCGAGTATCCCTATTGGACGAAGAGTTTCCGTGTATGTGTTGCTGTGCGATGATAAGAAGTGAACGAAGATGTATATTCTAGCCTAGATATTGGAGAAAGACCGGGGTTCGAAGGAAAGAAAGAAACCAGTGTTCGTCTGGTTCCTCAACATCTCGTGGCATACAAGTACTTTCTTTGAAGAAATCTGACAAGGTCAAACTTCAACGAAGCTGAGGCAGCAGTGCTAGAGTCTCGAACTCTGGTGTGTGCAAACTGATAAGTAATCACGAAGGACGAGGGGGTACGATCATTATCGCTGTTGTGTAAGAAGGAGCTCTGCCCATCCAGCAAAAAGCCGCGCAAGGACTCGGTCATATGCGGTGTCGAAAGACAGTCGTCTCTGCTTTCAGGCGTCAGGATGGAGGACTCAGAATCGTTGAAGATTAATCCCTTCTTCCGCGTGACGTTCGTGAGTGCTGACCGGGACCGCTTGTAGGGCACGTAAAGGCTAGTAGCTGATGTAGTACGGACTCTGGTTCGTTTCGTTCTCAGAGAATGATCAGAATATTCCCCCCCTTCTCGCCTCTCTTCCTTCAGACGTGGAGGTTATGTATGTAAGAGCTTGTCCGGCCGGCAAAAGCCGCACCGGGACTTGATCAGAACCTTGTACGTGCTCTTGACATGCGGTTTTGAAGAACAATCGTCTTGCTCCGAGGTAACGGGCGTCAGATGGAGGACTCGATGAAGGCAAGCCTTTATGTTCATGAGTAGTACTCACCTCTTTGTACTAGGCTGACTGGACTACTCGACTCGGAGGCATGCGGTGATTATACTGGAATAAAGTTAAAAGAATGTTCGTGTGCTGATATCGTACATTTTCAATACGAACTGCTCAAGGGTCGGCAGAGTCACTACGCGCGGTGAGGGACAACCAGATTGACTTCGACTAATTATGACATAGTCTTATTCACACGAGCATCTTCGCGTTGATTTCCGCATATACTCGTGAGTTACTTGCAAAGAAAGCCCAGATATCTTGGAAAGCAAGTTAACGCTATTCATAAGTTTTCCAGAATACACATATACATACCATATATTCAAAGGACTCCTTCATTCAAGTTCGCTCCCGATCCCCCTGGAAGACGTGGCTCGAAGACCACCTTGTTGCAGTACTATCGTTCGGATGTAAGACACGACTCGAATACTCAAAGTTCAAGTTATTTCTCAGATAGTGCTTTTCGGCTGTAGTGCCTCCTTCGACTCGGAGTCAGTATCTAAAATGAACCGATAGTAGTCGCTCTGTGCTCGCAAACTGTGAGTATCTATGCTCGTTGTTCACCAATGGAATAACTGCCTGCCTGCCCACTCCTCATGATGGTTCATATGATTTCGTCTCAAAAGTCCAATGGTAGCGCCGCCCCTTTTGTAAAAGATCTGCCATGTGAGGGATCTTTGGCCCAAGAATGTGTACAAATTGGGTGTATATTGCTAGAAGAGTGTCAATTGAAAGATACGACATAATGGTGGAAATCCTAGATAATCATAGTCCAAAAGGGCGAAAAGGGCACCATACGTAGCGGTCCAAAGGCATAGATAAACAAAGAACAAGAAATGACGTAGTTCGTTAAAAGTTGTTGTGCCATAGTAAGAGTTATTAAGATTAAGTGCTGCCATGGCTGGAAAGGTTGTTGAGATAATCTAGCGTTTGTGGAAGTGGAACCCCCCTTTCCCTTGCCATTTCCATTGCGAGCATAGTTTTCAAAATGGTAGCGGCTGATGAGCGGGCCCGCATATCAGTGAACTTGTCGACTGTTTTGCCCTTTCATGATGCTTCAATCAATCTCAAGATTTAGATAGCATTAAAGATACCTGGTTGGCAGTAATACTAATGGTATGCCTTGCTCGGAGCGATGCCCACTGCGCCCGATCACTAAGAGCATCCAGTGGCTGATACGGTCCTTCTTGGATTGCTGGAGTAAAGGGATACCACATTTGTATGTCCAAGGGCTCCGGCAAAATCCACGTCGGCCGCGGATCCGGACTGTAACGATCGTAGAAGGTCGCTAAATAGGTGAACTCAATGCTAGTGGGACTTTTGCTCAGTACGATGCAGCGGCATTCATGAGGATGCCCATTTATGATGCTATATAGCGAAAAATTAGAATGTAAATTCTTTCAAGTGTTAATTCTACTTACTTTAGTGTTGGGTCACGCCGGGAGTTTGGGAATGTAATGTCTTCGCGGTCGACAAAGATGTTCCATTCGAAAATGTCGCCAAGTGCAAGATCTTTGACTAGGGTAGGGATCGTATAAGGGTAATGCGAGTTCATTGTAACGACCTGTACTGTTGGAAGAGGAAGTGGCTGCTAGTTGCAGTGTCCTTTAACTGATTCCCGTTCAGACTTATATATGGTTTTACACCTAGTCCATTGTAGCCGATACCAACGCTAACACCAACACCACTTCATGATCCCGAGCGTTCTTTGGGGTTGGTTCCAGACGATTATCGACGGACAGGTGATGCAATACCCTACCCCAGGTACCAGGCATTTCTATAGAGACACGAGTACCGCGAGTATATAATAAAGCCAGCTTGTCATGCTATTTATGCCTGTATTCAACGCGCATGACAGGTGACCGCGACATTGTGTCGGGCCAGAACCATCTTCAAAAGACGCTACAGACGCACTGAACAGCGAAAGCTTCAAATTGCCTCGTGGTCAATTTTGCATGATACATGAGTACAAATGATACCATACGCGAATAGGGAGACCTACCGACAATATAGTATGCACTGTTAGATATAATCACGAGTGCCACAATATACCTTAAGTTCAGAAGCGCTCCAGTAACCTGCTTACCCCGAGCGCGTAGAATACCTCCGCTAACGGCGGATCCATCATCGAAGACTTCAAACACGGTTACGATGGGAAGGATGACGGCAGTTTGAGCAACGACGGCTGCAAATTCGGAATCAGCAATAGAAGGAAGGTGAGTCTTGTCCGACTCCTACCAGGGTCGTCATTGAAAAGGTGTCCCCCAAAAATTTCGGAATACAAAGAACATTACGCTATAGTTGCATGTGAGACTACGATACGTTATGGCAATAGAGATGGTAGCGGACCAGAACAACGATAACATGATTAGTGACATGACAAGCGACGCATTGGACGCGATTCCAGCTCGTCGGGCTTCGCGTTCACCCAATAGGTTACTGATTGTATTAGAGATTAGAGAATAAGTTGATATACAAGCTAGCACCTGACTTACTTTCGTAAAGGAAGCAGCAACCAAGAGAGAGAACGGCGCTTGAAAGGTTCAAGTCGATGAAGACACGAGCAAGACAGATTGGGTGGCGAGCGCGACGGGACCAAGTTTGTAGACTAATAGTTCGGGTCTAACAATATTAACTCAAGAAGCAAGCAACTTGCAAAGACGCAGCGAGGTCGACCTCGACCTTCAATTCACTGTACTTAGCTTGAAGTCACTGACCGCAATACCTAGGCCTGGATCATGCATCAATGCATCACTTCTTCGCAGGGACAGATGCATGGAGATGCTGTGCCGGATGACTGGTCACATGGGCAGGCATATCTGCTTTGAGTCTTTGACCGAACTAGTTTGTTTGGTCGCTGTTTCGTCAGCTTTGAGCACGCCTTCAACAAGTCCTGCGCGGCGCTGACTACTTTCGACGGTTTCAGAGTGAGATCTGTAAAGCTCAGATATGTTAGCTAGAGACAGTACGAGCCTTGCAAGGTTAACCTACCAGCTTGCACCCTACGGTGAAGCAATGTTGGGACATGGCACATATGTAAGTACTCAGAGTCAAATCTCCCGTTTGTCCTATCACTCAACCTGAACAATAGAGCAATGTGTTCAAGGCGATTGAACTAGGATCCGAGAAAACAGCGGCTCTTAAGACTTCTCGTGTCTCGATGAGAGTGAAGCGACCCATTCTCCGGCACGAGACTCGTATCCTCTAATTGTTGAAAGGGCAAGCCGCTATTCCCTCTGTTTATGGATACGGTCAATTGGAACATTTCGAGTATATGGCTATGGAGATTCTGGGGCCAAGCGTCGCAGAGCAGCATCAGAAGAATGGTCCCGGTGTGATGTTAAACACCGTCACCCAAATCGTGGGTCAAGCGGTACGTAAAACACGAACTCAGGCTTCAAATTGCAGAAATGACTGAACTGGACGTGCAGCTGGCAGGACTAGAGCATATTCACTCGCTCGGGATTGTGCATCGCGACATCAAGCCTGAGAACTTCCTCTGCACACTTGATGATTCGACAATCAAAATTATTGACTTCGGCATCTCCAAGCCTTTTTCCCATGATCAGCCCAGCAAGTACGAGCCGTTAACGGAACGCCGGGCCATTGTCGGGTCTCTTTACTGGGCAAGTCTCAATTCTCACAATGGAATAGGTCAGTACGCCTTCTAGCAGTAATGTCATTCATTCTTATCTCTATCACGCCGTAGATCTTGCTCCACGCGATGACCTTGAGTCCTTAGCTTATATCGCCCTGTTCCTTCTTCGTGGAAACTTGCCTTGGAAACCTCGTCCTCGCGAAGAGTCCCAGCTTCGCTCACAAGAGATCATCCGACAGATGAAATCGAGTTGTTCAAGCAAAGATCTGTCTGAAGGCCTTCCGGTCGAATTTGGTGACCTGCTCGACTACAGCCGTTCCCTCGATTTCAATCAGCTTCCCGATTACGGAATGTTGAGGCGCTCATTTGCGACTTTGGTTGATGAATCCTCCGATGGGCGACTCGACTGGACGCCTTGCCACTCACAAATCGGGAAATTTCTTTTAGACGAGCCCAAGGTTGAGATTCCTCACGAAGACGAGGATGACGACGGCGACGACCGTAGCGACGACCGTGGTGAGGATAGTTACTTCGGAATGGACATTGACATGTGGGACTCGCGTCAAGGGGAGCGAGACAAGGACTTGACGTTACTTGCCGAGCAGGAGGCAGACCTCGATAGCTGTACCCCCGTGATCGCAGAGGTGCTTGATTCGCTCTGATAATCATGACGTTATAGAAGCCCGCCTTTGTGTAAGTAAACTCTCACTAAAAAGTCTCAGCATCAGGAAGACCTCGTTAGACACGGGGCATCTCGGGTGGATTTGTTCCAATTTTGCGGGAGGCGGACGGAATGTAGATAGAATGTAGTTGTACCTAATGTGACGTAGGAAGTAGATAGACCTGTCTTGTAGCTGTGAGATTCCAATGAGCTCAAAAAGACGACATGTCCCATCTGTCGGAGCCCGACTGAATACCTACCACATCGCAAATGTATTACGAACCCAAGATTCGCCGATCAGCCGTTCACTTCTGCAACACTAGGTCTGGATGGTACGAAGAGCCTTGAAGCTTGAACGCGAGGCGAAGCTTCGGAGTCGGCCAGCCAGCAGGTTACTCCGGCCTGATTCTTGAAGCGAGGACGTATAAATCGGGTTATGCGTGCAGCTGCCGATCCTTTTTTGAATCTAACGCCGACGAGAAAGGGTAATGTCTGTGAAATCCAGGAATAAGTAAGATACACAAAGACAGTGAACGAGGCTGACAGCTTACTGCTCGATAGGTCCTTGACAGTGACACTCTGTGGCCAAGGCCCGCCGATTGGACAGGCGTGCTGAGATGTACAGGAAAGGGTTCCGTCTCAAGTAGAAAGACAGGAGCCTCCTACATAGATTGACAAAAACGCTTGGTGCGCACTGCGCAAGGGCAGCTTCTCATGGCGACTTTCCGACATCCCAGGCCGAGACTGATTGGAGTACCTATTCATTGAACACTGCCGACGTTCCATCTGCTCCCTACGAGAAGACGCCATTAACAATGTGACCCGTAGTGCTCTAGTGCCCCAAGCCTCCCCCATACAGTCTCCTGCTTTCTCCCCCTACCCTATGAGGGTACTCTCCTATAACAACATCACGAGCAAGCGCACAAGAGTCATACTCAGATCTTCCGAAAGTCCGACGCAGCGAAGTACATATCAGGTGGCTCAACATCATGCACGTTTGTTTTCATCATCGGGAGCGGAGGGGGGAGAATCCGTACGACGGGTAAGCCTGCTCCATAAGCGGGTGGCAGCTTGAATGTGGTCATTTGCGTATTCTTTCGAGTTTCCTGGGCCTGACGTCTTGTATGGAATATGTCCATGACCTCGCAATAGAACATGGCGCCAAAATGTGTGAATCTGTGGGAACGCCAGCGTCAGGTTCAAAGCCGTACAATCTCCAACTATAGTGTTCACTCATCGAAATTCGGGTTCTTCAAGGCATTCCCTTCCTTTCCGACCAAGTATCCCTCATGTTGCCAAACGAGCTGTTAGACGCAATTATCGAGGAATGCCGCGACGATAGGGAAACCCTCATGGCATGCAGTCTCGTTAATCGAACGCTACGATGGTCATCCCAGAAACGTCTTTTCGCCGAAATTACACTCTCCAGTTCACACTGCTATGCAACGCACGCAGCACCGTATCCATCTCTGCTTCGTCTCGTCTCCAGCTCTTCCATGATAGCGTCCTACGTGAAGAGTCTCCGCATCCACGACTCGGACAAAGAGATCATCCCCCGGATTCTCGAGCAGCTGCCTAACATCGAATCTCTCTCGATCGCGTGGACATCCCTAGACTTCATAGGCAATGCCTTGAAGTGCGCACTTTCACAGCCTCAGCTCCAAAAGATTTCGTTTGACGGGATAATGTTCAAGACCTCGGAAGAATTCTTCGAACTGTTTGCCCACAGTACGGAGATCCGTAGCGTGCAATTTTCAGACAGTTGTATTCAAACGACCCTGCCGTCCAGCATGGCTCCATTTCAACGATGCACCATCCTAGATCTGTCCCTGCGGACGGGTGAAGGGGAGACCAACCGGTTCGTCGATGGGGTCCTAGGTATTTCGTCCACAATTGACGTCGGCCATCTCACCCGACTCCAATTCTGGATGACGACCACAGCGTATCTCCCAGCTCTTTTGAAGTTGCTGGCGACAACGAAGGGCACATTGGACGAACTGGACCTGGATCTGCTAGCGCTCGGTATGACGTTTCGCTTGCATTCTTCGTAGATGTATGACAATGATAAGTAGCCACGCCACGACAAGGCGAACTCGATGTCAGCGGTGTCCCGCGTGTCAAATGCGTCCTCCGCTGCTCTGTGTACGCACAACCAGTTTTGGCCTGCGTCTCCAGCATTTTCGGTGGAACATCGTCTGCCACGTTGGAAGAAGCGGAACTCGTCCTACGGGTATCTGATGCTAAACCATTTGGTGCATCAGATGATGCTCTGTGGAGTGATGCCGACAGCGTGATGGTGCGGGTCAAGAGGCGCGTGAGTGTTTGCATCGAATTTTTGCAACCAGAGCAGAGAGATCGTTATGGGGACACCTGTGTAGGTCTGTTCCGAGAGAAAATGGCTAGGTGCCGTGATAAGGGTATTTTGCACGTGGACAGCAAAGTTGTCGCGCCGTATTAACTGTTCAAACTACGCGTAGCGGATGAAGCTAAGGTCGAAGAGGTTTCTAGGGTGCTTTATGAAGAGCTCCCTCTGAGTATATAAGTGAATGAGTCGGGGATTTTGGGATTGGTCACGACCGTAGCACCGAGCTACATAAGAATCTTTCGAATCACAATTAATGAAGGAGAGCTCTTGAAATGATGTATGAACTCACCGAGCTGATATAATAGCATATATCAGGTCCATCCACCTCCAACACAGATTCTAAACACTTGCAGAGCGAAAAGAGCAGCGTCCGTCGCAAGGCGTCCTCACGTCCTATTTCCTCGATGATGCGATAGATCTTCGCCATCCATATACGACTCTCGGTAACGAGTAGCAAGGATAATGTAATCTGTAGAGTAGCTGCATGAGTTTATACGGATTGGAACTTGCAAAAAGTAACAAAAAGGTATACCTCTGGACTGAGATTGGTTCTGGTATCTCTAGCATTTCAACGAGACTTTTTGCTGCATAAAAGAACTCCACATTCCACCGTCGCTATACCATGTCCTTGCTTCTTGCTTGTATCGTGTACTGTCTCTTTGACGCATGCCAGCAGAGTTGTCCATGCAATTTCGGGTTGTCGTCTGCGGTGGCCGACGAATTAAGCAGACGCAAAAATCGCTGGAGCACGAGAACATACCGAACGCGATACAGGAGAAATTGGCAAGCTCCCTGTCTTGCTAGGATTCAGACTGCTCAAGTTCGGGTAAAATAGAGAGAGGTAAGCCAGACAGCAATGGTGGTGGTGGTGGTGGTGTTACCGGCGCCAGGTCCCAATAAGGAACGGCCGGGTCCACAGCCCTGACATGGCGAACCATGTGCTGTGGCTGCGAAGGCTCATACCGTTGTAATCACACTGTTGAGTGCGTCTCGCGGAGTAGAGACTCTTCGCAGGGTGCTCAAGTGGGTATCGAAACGGAGAAACGAAACACAGAAGTTTACAGAATTCGAGTATTTATGGATGATACAGTGGTGTACAGTTGATAACTCGGAACACGTCAAAAACGTACTTGGCAAAAGAAGTAAGGACTCGACTATCGTCACTATCCAGAAGGATATGGAGAACATGGAGTCCAAATGATGCGGACTTCAGCGCAGCTGCAAGGGGAGGACTTGCGAGTGCGAAAATGTTGTGAAAGAAACGGGCACGTAAATCCTGTAAGTCGCCAGTTCCGTCGCAGTACAGCAAAACATGTGCCTCATCCTCGACCTCTGAACCACAAAGACGGCACAAACGCTGACAGTGGGGAACGGGAGGACGCCTTCGTTCCGCCCATCGGAGGACCTCGACGGCAAGTGTATGAGAAGACGTCAACAGGCGCACTAGTGCTTTTCGATGGGCAGGAATGGGAACATTGAGATAAGAACGAAAACTTGCCACAGCTGATTTCTGCAACATTTCAGGATGTGCATGGGCAGGGGGATGAGGTCGATGACGTAGCAAGAGGGCCTTGGAGGATGTCGCCATGAACGAGGAAATGTCTGAGAGGCAGGATTGCTCAACATCAGTTATAATCCTCTCGATATCGCCCGGAAGCCAATTGTGAGCCAAATCAATGAACACAGGCTTATTCAGGTTTCGTAAGACATGAACGAGGTCCCCGATCCAATGAACGAAAGATGTAGGTCCATAAAAGGAAGCTAACACCCACGGATAGGACTCGGGTTAACGCCGAGGCAACGCTGAAGTCAATTTCGCCAATGAGGATAGAAGGACAGGAGCAGGAAGTACACGGTCGCTGGTACTACTGATAAGCTCTGCGAGCTGCAACAATTAAAATAGCTGCTATTTTGAGCACTGCTGTAGCAAGGGCAAACTGCTCGAAAATGGCTTCAGCATTAAGCTGATATGTCCGAATTTTGAGACAACATACTCGCTTCCACCCACTGAAAAGCGACAAAAGCATTGGTTATATTTGCAGAAACAACATTTCCAAGCCCCAGAGCGATACGATAGGAAATGAAAGTGATACGGCGCACTCGGAAAACGCGAGGGAGCAAGTGGCAATTTTATTAGCGGTACATTTATTTGAGAGGGAAGGGTGATCGATTTTGTATCAGCAGGAGTAATATCAGGTTCTTTTGGGCAGCGTCATGATGAGAGACGTTGTTCAACTTCAAGCTCAAGGGCCATCGATGCGGCCCGGGCTGCCCAGCCAATCGGCTACGTAAGAAAAGCTTGCCCGCACGGCAAAAGCCGAACCGTGAATTGATTCAGAACCTTGTACATACTCTTGACATGCGGTATCGAAAGACAACCGTTTTGCTTTGAGGCTGTAAAGGGTGCATCAGATGGAGGAACCGTTGAAAGTACATCTCTTGCCACGCAAGATGTTCATGAGTACTCACCGATTTGAAATTGCAGGACACAGAAAGGCTGGCTGGACTACTTGAGGCATGTGGTGATTATACTGGTCCAAAGAATGTTCGTGCGCTGATGATATTGTACGGGATGTATGGGTGCTCACATTGGTATTAGGGTTCATCATCAGAAAACCCATCCTATGGCGCCAGTATTCCCGAGCTGATGGAGGGGCTGAGTCTGGCGGAATCTTCTCTTGCGCATACTTTGGTCGCGTTCATGGAACGCGTAGTCGGTCTCATTTTCGTTAGACGACACCCCTTGGCCCGTGTCCTTGAGTCTGTCCAGACTGCTGCCTATAATTTTCTTGCCAGTCTTTATCATCTCCTCGACGAAGCAATATGGCTGTTACGTTCGGCGGCGGATTCTGTTCAGCTCGGACCAGGAGAGGTCCCGTTTCAAGCCCTTCATGTTTCAATGTTCGATCGATTCAAATCCTTCCGGGATCGTTGCAAGTTTGTCAGGAGCTCTCTCCCTGGCATTGATGCCGCCTTTGATAGCGGACAGACTGATCTAGTAGAGGAGTTGAAAGCCGTTGGGCTTCATTACATTTCCCGCATTCTACTGCCGCTACCAGGTGGAATGGGTGCTCATGCGGCCCTCATTGACGATCTCCCTGCAGTCTTTTCAGTATTGAAACGCTCTGCGCGTGATGTTGTTGATGGTATCAATGCCTTTGAACAACGCATCCTCAGGTTTCGCGATTGTTTTGTAGATCTGGCATGGGTGGAAACGATGGTCGGGAACCCAGTGCTTGTCAAGGGGATGTTAGACGTTCTTCTTTCTATCAGCCATGAGCAATCGAGGCTGCGCGAGAGTCTTTCTGATATCTCTTTAGCGCCAGTCGGTGTAACGACAGAAAATGTGTGAGTCAGGACATCTCATAGCCTTTGCTGCTTACTTATGTCATCCTGGAAGCCTCTTTAATTTGTGATCGAATACGTAACTTTTGTGGTGGATCACATATGGAGAACATGTGTGGTCTGCGCACGATCCGTTTGGTAGCAGTATTGTGGTTTCATCTCTGAAAACACACTCGTTAACACGACGTACAAAATATATACCTGAGAGCACGTCGTGTCCTTCCAGATCCTCCCGTCTGCTCTGTGCATAGTGTCTGCGAATGGCATCTTCCTCTGCCGTAGCCTTGTTATACCGACAACTCGACGAACGCATTGATACCAGTACCTTTTTGTCGGTTTATTCCTACGGTGTTCAGAAACACAAGCAGCAATTCCGTAATAAGGCTGCTCTTCAGTCTGCCTTGTTGCGGTTCCACACACTTTACTACCCCACTGCTACTCCTCAACCACTACGACACGGTTTCTATTCCGAACTGGCTAACCATGTTACCGAGTTACTCAAGTTATACAAGAACAAAGTTTGCCATGCGCGGTGAGTATATTATTCACCGATGACACTTGATTTGGATTAATCGTGCTCCAGCATCAATTATATGGAACGGCATGTCCGGCACCTACTCCATCTCGCCTTGATTATCGCAGACTCTCATGAGCTACTCGCCAACAAGGCCCTGACACTCATTGACATCATTGAGGGCGAGACTAGCCATATCATCGGTGATCCTATACTTCACTATCACAATTCCTACATCGGCATCAATGACGAGATGAACCATGTAATGAAGTGTCTCAATAACGTTCGCCTTGTGAGGAATTTCTTTCGCAGCGTGGGTAGTCCATTAATTAAGCACCGTATACAGGAATCTCCCTACCCGACACTTCTCATCAACCGCGTTGGCAAATATATCAATGTTATTGCTGCATTTCTGACTCTTACAGCCTCTGTGATGAATCTTGTGAAGAATGGTAGCGACGCTACTATGAATGTAATCTCGGCTTCCTTCGCGTTGATTGCTGTTCTCTGTATGGCTGTAGGCAAGTTTTCATCTCGTTGAAGCTCGACTTCAGTTAAAACCTGTCCTGCTTTTACAGCTAGCTCCATAGTTTCACCGGATACCATGATTGAGATTCAAGACTTGGCAAAGAAAATGGAGGGAGACATTTACGCCATTGTTATTGCATGGCGAGAGCTATCTGAAGTACTACGAGCTATCTCTTTGAAACAACCGATATCTCCAAATAGTCATCTCTTTCTCCGGAGTTTTAAAAGACACGTAAGTCTTCCCACCTGGCATCTACTCCAACATTAAGCTGATCTGAATATGGTCCTAGTTTTGTGTTGATGGCGCCACGCTCATAAATTGTTTAGCATTCAACCTCAGTGTAGATCAAGACATCTATAAGCGAGTTAGGATGATCCCTCGTCCCATTGAAAGCAATGTCCTCGATCGTGCTAAACGTATCAAGAATGACATTTGCCTCAGTGACGCGCGTCATATCCAATCACGTATTTCTACAACGGCTCGCGCTAAAGGCCTCGTCACTAGCTTCTTCCCTCTATCTCTCATGTCGTCAAATTCTCGAACTGAACCTCAGCTGCCATTGCACATCGTGATGTCGCCACGAGCCATGACCCCGGAAAACCGAGAGTCGACAATGCCCTCCGCATCTGTCATCGAAATACTGGATTCTAGCCCCCCGACATCTGCGTCTGCTCCAGGAGAGTCGTCTATGCCTCTGAAGGATCTCTCTGCGTTGATGAACGCCGAAGTAGAGGCTTCTGGAATTAGTGAAGATTCTTCCGTACCAGAGACGACTACGTCGTGCAAGGCGTTGGTAAAACGACAGTCATACTCAGTTCACAGTGGGATAGGAAGAATTTCAGTTCCGACCAATAATTCTAATGAACAGACCACTGAGCGGAATAGTGCTGGCGTAGACCATCCTGAGAGTGGTCCATGTCGTCGCAGGACTCACTAGTTGCCATCTCTGCTGACCACTATGTATTTTGTTTGATATTAATATGTAGCATAAGCTTGACTACCATTCACCGTTTATTTCTACGTTAGGAAGAACACTATGTTAATGCTCCTGGAATGGACATTTACATGCCATATACCTCAAAAGCTTCCTTCACTCCCTCCCATCCCCCTGGCAGGCGCGGCTCGAACACCACCTTGAACGGCATCGGATGGGCATTAGCACTCTCCGTAAAATCTAACGTGTCTATTTTGTCTTTCTCATCTTCTCTAATGTTGAAAGCCCAAAGCGTTAACGAAGTGTTGAGGTACGTCGACGCAGTGGCCAGATGTTGACCCGGACATACGCTATGTAACACGTAAACGAAATCCAGAGAACTGAATGCACGGAGATAAGCGTACCGTCGTCCAAACCCAAAAGGGAACGTTCGAATGTCGTCTCTTAGCGTCCCGTCCTTACTGATCCAACGTTGGGGATCAAATGCTTCGGGATCCGGGAAATAGGCGGGATCTCGGTTGACAGACCTTTTGTTACAAGTCAATGGAAGAGGAATTACACGTAGTATCTTCGAGACGCACCATACATTTCCGATGACAGTAGCGCCTTTGGGAATACAGTAGTTGTTCTGTTTATCTGTTCTCAGCTACTTTGATAGAGTGATAATAGGATACGCTTACCCAAATGATATCCTTGGTGGCTTTATGCGGGAAACCACCAGACGTGACTGGTCTCCACCTAAAGGTCTCCAAGACGAAAGCCATCGTCTGAGGAAGAGAATCCCGGTCAGCAAACGTGGGTGCTGATGAACCGACGTTAGTATATGTTGGGAGAGAAAGAAAAAGAAGGGAGATTTACGCCTGTCTTTTCCAATGACGGAATCTAGCTCTTCTTGAACCTTCCTTTGCGCGTCAGGATGGCAGGCAGCAGCCATGACAGCTACGCTTATAGCCGATGCTGTCGTATCGCTTCCCGCACCGAACATACTGCCAGTAAGATAAGCAGTTTCGTTGTCGTCGAGCTCAAGCTCGGTCTGTCGCTCAATTAGGTATTTCCCGAATGACGGCTTGACTTCGTCATTCCGTCTCTAATAATCATAAACATTAGTGCTGGAGCACACGTGTACCGTGCTATACTTACGAGTTGATCTCTGACTTCTTGCAACAAGCCCTTGAAGAGGCCGAGTTCTTCCGCGTGTGCGTCTTTCAGAGGCTTCAGATAACCTGGTACGTATCTAAATTAAGAGAGTCATGAATGAGTCGTAACTTGCAAGATAATGCAGGACTCGCTTGAGCAAAGGAAGGATGTCGACCTTCCAAGCGCCCGTGCGCATTGTTAATCCTAGGGTCGTCAAACAGCGGTTGACGGCTTGAACTTCGGGATCCTCAAATGAGGGAGGTACTTTCCCGTATGCCAGGCCCATCACGACAGCGACGGCATACCTGTCACCGGTGATTGTCAAACACTACAAATTCTATAGAGCATCTAAGAGACGTACCGCTTTGCATGATCTTGATGCCTATCAGGATTCTCGGCAATATCTAGAAGATTTTGCCTAGCATTTTCCATAAGGATAGGCCAATACGATGAAATACTCTTCGGTTGAAGATGAGAGTGGAGAGCCCTGTAGATGCGAATGGATGAGCATAATAGATTATAATTGTAGCTGATAGATAACCTTCGCATCTTTTTGAATCGCTCCCCCGCCGGAGTAAGAAGCGTACGCATACCCCCGGACAATGTCTCCCCCGCGGAGATGGACCGAGGGCGATCGACGAGAGAAGCTCCTTCCTTCTCCATTATATCAACGGCAGCTTGGTATCGTCCAATGACAACAACAGTCTGCAGGCCTTGTCTGAAGGAGAACACAGGACCGTATTCTTGAGTCCATCGTTCAAAATGACGATAAAAACTGTTTTATGTTAGAAATGAAGAAGTGTTTCTAATTGAGAGACGTACAATTCAGATTTGAACGAAGCACCAAAGATGGAATCGCTGGGAGGACCAGGAGGTAGTGGAAATCCAGAACGCTTTTTTAACTGAGCATGGAGGAAGGCGCAGAGTGTAAAAATGAAGACGACAGCCGCGATACTAATATCCTTAGGCTGAACGAGAAATTCAAAAGACATAATACAGACGATGCATGTCTAAGTCATTGAAGTCTTATATTGCTCGACGGCGCATTAAATTCGATCCGCTGCCAATCACGAGAACCATGACGGTAAGGGAAGAGGGTACTCACGTCTCTGCTTCTTCTGTCCTGAGCCGTCGGACGTGGTTCGCACATGACTCGACGATCGTGTAAACGGACGCTGAATTCCTAATGGGGGATAATGTCCCGGTTACATAAACACAATCTAAATAAAAGATCGCCGAATCTAGCGATGACGCCGACCAGAGATCGCAGTTGATTTGACATCCGTTTCTTGTCCAATTCCACCACTTCCACCACTTCCTCAATCACCCATGTCTTTACCCACGACCATAAAGGCTGTTGCGATAGCCAAGGCAAGTTTGCTGGATTCTCTTTAATGGCAAGACGCTTCTTTATAATTTATTAATTCCGGCAAGTTCAGACCGGAGACTTTGATGTTATCGAGAAGGCTACACTACCTTTTCCAAAAGTCAATCCCGGAGACATCGTTGTAAAGGTACCTCTTTTGTCCAGTGTAGCTCAAGATGTCTTCTAAATATCTGTTAGGTGGAATATTTTGGTGTCAATTTCATCGATACATATTACCGGTCTGTACATCCATACATATTCTTCCTACCTTCTCGCATCTCACCGATATTCGTTACAGGAAAGGGCTATATCCCATTAAAGAATTCCCTGCTGTTTTGGGAACAGAAGCATCTGGCACCATCGTTGCTCTTCCAACCGACGAAAACGTCCTGAATGATCCCGATTACAAGAAGCGGAACTACACTATCGGCAGTAAAGTTCTCGTCGTACGTATCGCATACTCGTCAATCTGAACTCGTTTACGGAAGTTATGAAGTACGGCTTAGGAGCGCATGCAACGTACCTCTCAGTCCCATGGACAAAGGCGCACGCTGTGCCGGATTCTATTGAGACCAATGTTGCAACTGCGGGTGGTGTACAGGCTTTAACGGCTTTGACCTTCTTCACTGAAGCGTACAACGTCAAACAAGGCGACATCATCCTTATACATACAGTAGCCGGAGGCCTCGGTTTGCTCATGACTCAGCTCGCGAAGCATCGAGGGGCCACCGTTATCGGTACAACATCGACGAAGGAAAAGGCTGAGTTTGCCAAAGCAAATGGTGCCGATCATGTTATTCTTTATCCTGTGGAGGATACGGTTGAACGCGTACTTGAGATAACCAAAGGTGAAGGTGTTCATGCAGTTTTTGACGGGGTTGGGAAAGATACGTACGCCATACCCTCTTCTTCTCACATATGATGATCTGCTGATTTGCCATAGATTTGATAACAATTTGAAACTGCTGCGGCGCAAAGGCACCCTTGTGTCCGTCGGTAATGCGTCTGGTGCCGTTCCGCCAAAGTCTCCTTTGGTGCTCATGAGCGGCAACTTTACTCTTTTGCGCCCTACGTATGTCGTCCGTCTCCGAGAAATTTCTTAGCTAAGGAGTTTTCTAGGATGGGTAACTATATAGTGACACCAGAAGAAGCGCATCACTATACCACTGGAGTCTTTGATCTTATTCGGAAGGGAGTGTTCAAGATCAACATATTTAAGGAGTATCCTTTCACGGCGGAAGCGGTTCAACAAGCCCAGAAAGATTTGACGAGTGGGAAGACCACCGGAAAGCTATTGATCAAGGTGTCGGACGAATGATCATTGAACAGGTGATAGTCCCTTCAACATGGAATACAAGTAATATTTGTGTACATTCTATCATGGCTCATTGGTTGTCTGTCCTTGATTTGATCAGTGGTCGCTGGCCGCCAATATGTATCAACAACCAGGACAAGACTGCAAAGTGTCGATGATGCTACCGATATTGTATCCTTCTGGGAGATTTTCGACACGGAATGTGCCGTGGAGGGATGGACGTGCGTACTGAAGGGGGTAGACTATGCCCAGATACCGAAAGGTGGGAGAATGTTCGATCTATGGAAAAGCCAGTCCTGGCTTCTCTGCGTGATGACGAGACGCGGCACGGTTTCCGGACCGACAAACAGTTCCTTGGTATGGTCGGAACGAAAGAAGGGCATGTAGAGTACAATTTTTTCGAAGGTCAAATACGCAAATGAACAAAAAACGAGAGAAACAGGTTTTTAAGCTATGATTGCCGGAAATGCCGCTCTAATGTTTCAAAGTCCGAACGAAGATCGGTCCGGAGGCAACCATTTGCCCTTCACTACCACCATCATTGCCTAGCTTACGGCTGTGTTCTGCAGAGTCCGACAGACTATTAGTGGCCGGTAAGCTAATCCTAGTGATTTTGTAGTCGAGTCTTTCATCAAAATCTCTTCTGCAGGAACCATTATGGCTATTGTCGACCTTTACGGCGGCAACAGGTGAAGCAATGAAATGTGCGAACGAATGGGCCGATAGCAAAAGCAATGAGTGCTCTGTGAGTAATTCATTCTTGTTTCATCACGTTTGCAGCCTCATCATTGTTCGATACAGCTAGGGCAGAATCACCCAGCACCACGAGAATCTTCGCCATTTGTGACTCGATGTGAGCGAGAGTTCTGAGAACTTGCGCCTATGGCTAATGGATGTTCTAGTCTAAGACAAAAAGTCCAGTGGTGCCTTTGCAACGCAATGTCGATAACGAAGGTGTCAAAGGGGAAGACGATGTTGGGCGACAATCTCAACGGGTACGTAACTTTTATGACTGTACGATGAAGTCAGCAGCCCTCATCTGTCTAACATCGTAAGATTGTACCCTCACAATCAAATTTCTTCTTCAGCCAATCACCCGCTCATCCTCCCTGCCATCAACGCGGTTCCATCCACATGACCGATGTTACCTACCCGTTGTAGCAGGTATAGGCTCGACGGCGTCACCCAGTGACACCCTCTTTTCGCCTCCATACATGGACACATCCCTTGGTCAGCACATACCGGTCATCTCTCGTCCAACGCCAGCCCCCAGCTTTTGGAACCTCATTGCAAAAAAGGTGGTAACGATAAGCGTACTGATGGCGAGAGATACTGCCACAGTAGGCGAGGTCGCGGTCAGAACGACTTGTGGTCCCAATCGGGATATCAGTTTTTCCCTTACAGTAGTGGCGGGGATCGTCTTTTTGTATCTGAAATTGCGTAAGTATTTCTCGTCTCTTTCGTAACACGCTGACGAGTTTCCATAGAGAATCCTCAGCACAGAGTTTGTTGGCTGTATAGGATCAATATAGGGACATGACGCTGCCTGCTATTGGGTTTGTGCTTTGGCACAAGCCGGACAAATTAGGATATCGTTGCGCTCGTGAGATTGTATCGACACAGTCCTTTGCAACATGGTGACTGCACATACGAGGAAGTAACACTGGTACTTGCATGGGTGACGCAACGAGATGCTGATGTAACCCTAACCTTACTGGTGCTGGGGTTAAGGTCATCACACCGACGCAACCCAACAGTGTTGCTCTCGACGTCAACGATCTCTGCCCTTCCACTCGCTGTCACTCTCGTTAAAATATGTCACTGCGAGCTCCTCCTGAGGTAGTCCTTCGTCATAGTCCGTTGAGCGTAACTGATACAACTTTTATAGTACACTTGGGTAAGTACCCAGCTAGTGACCCAAATAAATATCCCGACGGCGACATATCGACCTACGCGCACTACGCAACGAGTAGCTCCCATGTGTCGCTTCCTATAGCCCGGAGACCCATAAATCGCGTCTTTCCCCTCAAATACACCAGCCTAGGAACTATTTCTCGCTCCACCCCATCTGGCATGCTACAATAACTGGCAAAGGGCGCGTTGTCCTGACTTTCGAGGAGCGGAGACGATAGCGACGATGACCAAGTTTGCGGGGGGACGGGTATCTGCAGAGCATACCACAGGTTCTCGACGACGTCGGCAACTGTAACCCACTCTCGATGGCCCGGCCTATGAATGACTACTGGCCATGGAAGCATCGGGTGGACGATAGCCAGTGATGGAAGAGGCGGGTTGGTTGCTGCCTCGTTCACGCAGCCACCGTGACTAAAAACACGCACGCCCGACAGACTGTGAGCGAAGTCGAGCTCGATCATCTTCTCTCCATGCCTTGGTCGTAACAGTGGATGTACCACTGTCAGGACGTCGCTCTCAGCCTGCGATGGTAGTGGAATGTGACGATGGTGCAGTTTACCAAGGACGGGCGGCAAGGACGGCGCGATATTTTTGCGTACAGATTCCGTATATGACGCGTCGGGATTGGATGCATAATGGCGGTGAACGGGGACCGTCGTGGTGAGCTGCGTATTGCTATAGACAGGAATAACGAGAGGCGCCCTCGACGGGGTGTAGAACGCCGTCGATGGTGATAAATGCACTTCTGGTAGCTCTCCACCCTGCTGTGTAGCCATGGCCGCCACATTCTCTCGTCGGGCGCGCATCGTCTTCGTGCCGTCGTCATTCGTTGAACAAATGTCAGAAAAAAGGCTTACGGATGAATAGAGAGGCTTTGGCTTGCTTGAATGTGTGCGAGCGTAGAAGGGAAGGTGCTGGGAAGGGTGAGAGCGAGTGATGGTGGTGGTTTGAGGGAGAGGTGTGGGGGCCTGGGGAAGGATGGGACTGCTTTATATATGGTAGGTCCCCCCTCCAGACATTGAATGTGAACCTAACCTTACTTTCCTTAGGGTTAGGGTTTCGTGTTCGTCTAATTTGGCTGGAAGCGTGTACATATCATTTTTGTACCTTTCAAGATGCTTTGCGATACCGACGTCTTCTTAGGAAAGGAGTCTCTCCTCGAACTTTGGTGTACCTTTCCAGACTTCTTGCTAGGAAAGATGTCTCCTCTCGCGCTGTGTCCTTCCATCTTCACTGCTTACTATTCACCTTCCAGTTCTTCAATCATGATTGTGACGCATGTGCATCGGACTATGAAGCCATCTTAACCATACAACATCAGCAACTTTCTGCCCTAAAAGACTTTTCCTTGTATTATCCTTTCTCATACCCTAAGGCCAATCCGGTGGTACAGATTGTACTTGTACGGAAGTATGGTTGGGCAAATGATTTATACATGTCCGATCATCCGAGTCGATAGCTGAACGGTGCGGCTCACAATGGTCACAGCGTATTCAGGTGCTGGCCGTCGCACAGGAAACCATGTCAGTGTCAGGCCTTCCGGAGGTAGCTCTTCATCCTTATGCGTTGATGGAAACCTAACATTTGTTTCCGCAGGATCACGCACTTTCTTAGGTCTTTGATCCTCCGAATTGGTAGGATTACTAGCTCGCGTGTACGCTTCTCTGATGCCTTTCGATCCTTCTGTTCTCTCCTGGAACGTCTGCGTACGCCCTGAGCATGCTTTTGCACCCATTTCCAACGGGCTGCAATATTAACAGGAACACGCCCTTCTACCCATGGCTTGTAGGATTCGTGATCCTATGATCTTCCCATAAACAAGGAAACCCTACGCATCATTCCTATCTAGACTATCCCTACGACGTGTATCTTTCTCGTTCACTACCCAAATTCTCAATCTAGTGCGACTTTAGAAAGAGTAGACCATGTACAGCACTAACCTCCGTCCGATACGTTACTTGCAATCTCTTAGAGAAGACTCTTTATGAAGAATTTCAAGAAACACATAGGTCGCTGTCATTTTTCTTAGGCGGTGTTTTGCTCACCGAAATATAGTTTTGTTCTAACGATACCACGTTCGCAAACTTTCTGACAAAGATGCGTACTTACGACTACAATACCTTCAGGCGTATTGGGGTGGTTCCTGATCCAACCAAGGACGACGTTCGCGAGCGTGTCGAACGTGTTGAGAATATACCTTGGCTAAGCGACGTACGGAAAATCGAATACCGTACCTCTACTATGCAACGTGCTAAAAGCCTCTTCATTGGCCTTATCTCGACAGTTTCCCATCCTTCAGAATCGCTCGAAAGTGTGTTGCTAATGCATGTAGTAGCCATGCCTCAAACACAGACTCCACCTTTCCTTTTACGACAGCCGGAACTTCTACTGAAGGACTGTATCCCGACCTACCGTCATCGGCACGTGGAGTTGTAGATGTATCAACTATAGTCTCGAGTAGCGCAATCGCGACGAGTGCGGAAATCGAGGCTCCCAGGACTGCTGCCGAAAACGAGATGCTCACTCTCGTTAAACGGCGGCCTTATTCATTCCATAGTGGGACGCGTACTTCGATGGCAGGAATAGAGGCCGGAAGCAATGGTCTTCGATGAAGGGGATGGAAGCCGAAACGACGAGGACGCTGGCAATCACACCGAGAGAGGTGCTCGCCGCCGCCGAAGTTGTTAGATGCAATGGAACTGAGTTCGCTATACTGTCTTTGTAGAGTTATCCGGGAGCGGGCCGACAGGTCGCCTAAGTAGTTCAAATGGAACTTTATTCTCCTTCTCGCTAGGTACGGAAGAGCCTTGAACCCACCAGACAATGGCTCGATTACCTTGGCGACAGGTTGACTATTCAATAAGGATCGTTCATGGGCATCCGGTCCTCGTAACAAGCTAAGGTACGTGTCAGCAGCTTAGATCACTGTTTGTTCTTGACTTGACTCTGTCGATCGACTAAGTAACCGGTGCGAAGGGCAGTGGGAGAACTGGAATTAAAGGCAAATAAATTTTGTGTGAAATATGTATAAAAAGCATGCGATTGTTCAGTCATCCCCAACGAGGTCAGTCTCCGAGCCGAATTCTATGAGAGGATGGTCGATCGTCTTTTCGGCGTCTCCGTTGAACTGTGCTGCCAGTGTGTAATAGTACCTCTATTCCACTGGAAGGACCTCAAACTCGATGACAAAATATTGTCTGTATTGTTCAAACTCTCTTGGCACACCCTCAGGCGTCAGTATTGATTATTATATGGTTGTCTGAAGTCCGCATACTTTTGAGTAGGATAGACTCGAGTTAGGCTACTTGACTTTGTCTTCGTGAAACTGGACGATACATTATGTGATGTCAATCAACGAAGAAGTCTAGGTTTTATGCAAATCAATTTTGTGTGAATATTTGCACAAAAACATGCCGCTATTCAATCATTCCGAGAGATTTGCTCCGACGAAGGTCGGCCGAGCGTGTTTGATTCCGGCTGGTGGGTGCAGTTGTTTACCCTGAAGAGTCGGAAAAATGAAGCTCGAAGCACCGACAACAGTGGTGAAGGGAATTAGCAACTGGCCCTCAGTATAGACGAAATCTCTGAACGAGACAAGGTGAGCAAGCAACCAAATACAGAAGGTGCAGAGTGGAGTCACTTTGGATTTACTCGGCCGAAGCAGTACAAGAAGCGCGCGATATAATGCAGCTTTCTATCCGTCAGGTTCCCCCCTGAAGGGAAGAGATACAATCCGCCGTGTACCCTGGTCGATGGCAGTGACTACACCCCGAGAGACGAACCGATCCGAAGCATGTAGCGACAAAGTGCATTTTCCGTTCGCCAAGGGCTCACATGTTTCGATAAATTTTCGAGCCAATGCCGATGTTGGTAGATAAATTGATATTTGCTAAGATTGTCAAGACCAGTCGATAGATTGAAACGGGAACTGACTTTTTCATTGGTGTAACGGGCGGTTATGAAAGCCGCTGGAGCAACTTGATTATAATCGTTCGTCCAGACCGTACACATTTCCCGTATCTGAGGATCTTTCACACCGTCGAATTTAACAAGACGTTGCTGATTAGGCTGTGCATCTTGCTTCGAGTACCATTCTGGATAGGTGAAGTGGTCTGTATTCACATATCTCGGCTTAGCCCCCGCCTGCCCCCGCCTTTGCAAAGTAACCACGTGCCTGTAAAAACGTCAGCACGCATGAATGAGATATTTTCAAGGGGAAAATCACCCTCGACGCCTGATATAGATTCAGAAACTGAGCTTCGGCAAAACCCTCGGCCTTGTCAAAGCGTGAAGAGACGACGCCTCGTCGCCTCCATGCTCCGAGAGGATATCGCTGAGATTCAGTGAATTCCTCCGGAAGTTTACCCAATTGTATCGTACGCGTCACATTGAATTCTGCAAGCATTGCAATAGTCCGGGCCGCGGGTGGAGGCGAAGTAGAATCGTCAATCTTCACCGAGAACTTCGTTTCCTCTTTGCTTGCCTCAACGCCGCGCCTGGCAGGTCCTTCGTCAAAAAATTTGACGAGGAGGTGGTCTTTCGAAGGTATTATCGTCTCTGACGGATTGGCTTTCAGACTATCGATGATGCTGCCGACATTGTATCCTTCCGGAAGATTTTCGACACAGACTGTTCGATGAGAGTCGAGGACTCAGCTGCAGTAGCATAAGTCGCATACTGAGGAGTGTAGACTCTACCGAGACGACGAAGGGCCAAACCAAGTTGACATACCGACTTTCTCACGTGATAGACGCGGTACGGCTTCCGGGCCGACTGAAATGCTGTGCACGTCCCGAAACGGCATTCAACGCCAGCACCTAACTTTTATCAGGAATACAAGACGCTAACTGCTTTCTCAGAAAGCGTTTGTCACTATTAGAGTACTGATAGTACGGTTTGCGAATAGTACCATGTACCAGTACTTGAATAATTACTAGACAATGGTGAGACGCCACACAACGCGAATTCTCCAACCTGCCCTGCTCAAGAGGCTAGTTAGCCACTGTGTTAAGGCAGAGAATCAAGCAATCATGTCTCTTGGTCGGGGAAATCGACGAAATGTTCATAAGGACGTGACTATCACCCTGCTGCGAATTGTCTTTGCTTCTCAATATCTTGCCTGATCTGTTGGTGTAATGATTCATCTTCCCGGGATACTTACCCTCAGGCACTATCTGTCCTTAATCAAAGGAGACTTCTGAGGCCCATGAATATGATTTCCAATGACTGCTTATCTCCAAAGTAAATCATGCCAAATGATTAGCTCCAAAGAAGGTGGGACGAACACCTTCAAGCTCCGCTGGTGGCCGGTCTCTCAAACCTTGATACATCCCATGGACAAAGCTTGTAGCACCGACAACATTAGTGAACGGAACCATCAAGCATCCTTCAGAGACAGCCAGATTCCTTTACGAAACGAGGTGAGCGAATGAGCGACCTACAGACAAAAAAAAGACATACTTCGAGTCTATTCGGCCGAACCGGAAAAAGAAGCTCGCAAGCTTTTTTCGCTTGGCGTCAAGCAGGTCCTCGGTGAAGGGTACAGAGACCAGCCGCCGCGCACCCAGGCTGAGGGCAGTCACTACACCGCAAGCAACAGGTTGTTCGGTAGCCTCCAAGGACAGTCGACATCTCCCTTTCACCAAAGGCTCAAACTCCCTGATGAATTTTCGGGCCAAGCTCGATGTCGGGAAGTAGAGCAGTAGCTCCTAGAGAGATGTTAAACCAATGACTTAGTAATGAGACGGAATAGACCAACATCTTTACCCCCAATGCGAGAGGTAATGTATGAAGCAGAAGGCACTTTGTTGTAATTATTTGTCCAACCGATACAAAGTTTTCTTATTTGGGGGTTATCCATACCCGAGATCTTGACTCGGCGTTTTAGATTTGGCTGTGTATCCTGGTTTGAGTACCATTCTGGATATATCGAGTTGTCGCTGTCCATGAACACCGGCCGTACCCCTGCCTCTACGAAGTCGACGTGAGCCTGCCGTCAGAGTCAGCTTGTATAAAAAGAAGAAAAAAATGAAAGGGTTACTCACCTTGTATGCATGATGTATATCTAAAAACTGTGCTTCGATGAGGCGCCCGGACCTGTCAAAATGCGTGCAGAGAGCTCCATCATACTTCGAGAGAATTTCGACGAATTGTGAATCCGTAAAGCTCTCTGGTACATCCCGCAACTCTATCGAACGTGTCGCATTGTATTTTGCGAGCATAGCGACGGTCTCGGGGGTCACCGGGGGAGAGGTCGAATCGTCAATCTTCAACGAAAGGTTTTTCTGCTTCTTGTTCGCCTCGACACAACGCTTTGCAGTTCCTTCATCGAAGAATCGGACAAGTAGGTGGTCTTTCGAGGGTATTATCGACTCTGCCGGGTTGGCCTTGATGGTATCGACGATGCTGCTAACATCGTAGCTTTCTGGGAGGTTATCGATACGGACAGTGCGGTGGAGAGAAGGTAATTCCGCTGTAGTGGCGTAGGATGCAGAAGGAACGCGGGATATCTGCAGACGGCGAAGGGCAAGGCTGGCTCGAAACATGTTTGACGGCGAAAGAATTTTAGTTCCCACGCCATAGACGCGCTCCGGCTCGCGGTCCGAAGCCAAAAAGGGCTGTGTATTCACACGCATCCCAAATAGTCGATGAACGCCTCTTGTTCTTACCTTTCTTCCTCCCAACAGTGAAACGCGCCTGGTACGAAACGAGCGCTAACAATTTATGCCACAGACCATGATTTATCAAGTTCCAAGATACTGCTCCAAGTGCTCCTCCAATTGCTGCACTCGAGTCTCGAGAGTAATTGCCAGCGTTTACAATACACTCCTTCGCATCCACTTTCGAGCCGAAGCCTGATATATATGCCAGTTCCCTAGTATCTCAAACCTGCTTCGTGTTAATTATTGCTTATCCTTTTTCTAGAGAAAGTAGATCAGCTCATCTTATAGCTAAAGCAGGCCGTCAAATATCATTCAGCGATTAGATGAGAAGATTCAACAGTGTATCGTGCTTTTTACCAGGATCCACCCTCTTCATCACGAAAAAGCTACGATTTCTTGCTTACCTTTTAGCTAAGTCCCCGATCCTGAATACTATAGTGTTATGGAAGCTAAAGTGTGCTTTGTCAACTGGATACCGCTTCATGGTGCACGAAGGTGCAATTACAGAGAAATGGGATAATAATCTTCTGAGCACCTGCAAGGCCATGTCGCGCACGGTCAACACGATAATGGAAGCCTGCTCCAGCATCACTTAGTGTCGAACTGCTGGTCGAAGGGTTGTTCTGGAAACAAATGCGTATGAAAGGTTGTCATGTCTCGTCTCCAGATTTGTTTACTACTCACTGCCAGAGCCCCGAAGGTTAAATCCCTCTACGGCTTGCTGTTCCCAAACTCCCAAACCTCTTCTGATGAATTTGTCGGGTTCAACACGGTCCGGTCTTTTCTCACTTTTTACCCACACCCACACCTTTGCCGTTTAAATGACTCCTTCCGGCTAGCCCCTTCCCCCCACCAAGACAGAGCCACTTTGCGGTCCCGATGTCAGGTCACCGGTCAAGCTTCAACCCCATGTGGATCGCCAAGCCAGGCTGTATTTATAGTGCGAGCTATGATTAGACTATTGAACTACAGACAGAATGTCCCGTTTAAAGAATGTGGGTATCGAAATGCTGGTAAACTAAAAGAAATTGTCCAATGAGTGTCCCAAAAGTAATAAATGCGTTTTAATGTGGATACGTTCCCTCCCGGGACGGTCTGGACCCGACAGAATCGTATTTGTTATGGGTAGCCGACGCAGGTATAGCGCTGGCGTACGGCATGTTGACCATACTGCCGTCGAGTTGAAGGTTAGAGCGGGAACGGGAGATAACATCTGTCGCGAGATCCTCTCCGTACTGCTCTGCGAGTTTGCTGTGAAAGAAAGTCAGCGAAATTCGAAAACGAAGAAAGGAACTCACTTTGCATAGTTATCCATGATGACAGCCATACTGTTCATGCTGAGGCGGTAAGCCTTCGGCATCATGCCTTTGCCGAACCTATACGTGACATGGTTCGAACAAAGAAGTCCAGCAACAATAATCAGAAGCTGGGGACCAGCGAGGATGAAGCTAACGGTGTACCAACGCTTCAGCGTCTCCCGTTGGAATTTAAGGTAGTCAAGCTTGCATCCTGCCAATACCGAACGAGAATAACACGTCTGCGAGACCGTCGCCTCAACGAACGGACTGTAATACCCACAGCACCCCAGCTGATTCTGAATCCGCTGCCTACCCTCCGGACCAATATCCTGCGACCACTGCTGGTTGATCTTCCCCTCGAGATTAAGCTCCCGTCGTTTGTAGGTAATATAACCCGGCGCGGTGTTAAACGCAAAGACGATCCAGAGCAGGAACGTATACACGGCGAGGAAAGACCGGTTGTTGAGCAGGATCCCCGCCCAGCCAATGATGGACGTCAGTATTCCCAAGCAGGCAGCGATGGTCGAGACAATGAGCTCTGGGCGGTTCCCAACGCGAACGATGTCAGCGTTTGCCCAGACGTTGAACCACGTCAGCAGCAGGGAAATGAGGCCGACGATGGAATAGCAAGTCAGGACGAGGTTCGCGACGAATAACGTCCATTTGAACCTGTTCCAGCGCAGTTTCTTGGTGAATCTCGACCCGCCGTTCCTGCCACCGAACCAGCCACTGGTAACACCGTCGCAGTCCTCGTCTGCCTCGCCGGGCATCCTCGCCTCTCCCGACCTAAATGCTTCGACTCCCCCTCCTCTCTTGGGGACGTTCAGCGCTACGCTCTTCGGTTTCCGTCTCCTCGGGCCTGGTTGCAGCAACGTGTTGGAAAACTTGGTCGGCTGGTAGTTGACGCTCAGAGAGATGTTCGAAGGGCTCTCCGCTACCTGAGATTTGGGCATGAAAGCATCTGAACTGCTTGGTCGTATCGATGAGTTCGACGAGCCTGGCGGCGAAGACGAGGAAACAAAGGGTGCATGGGGGCGGTTCAATGGATTCATTTCGTCAAGAAAATGACGGGTAGAGGTGTCGTGCGACGCCGCTGAAGTTGGCCGTGAAGGACTGCGCAGTATTCAGTGCCTGTGGGAGGTACCGAAAGGAAAAATTCGCTTACATTTCCATCTAAATGTGCCGACGTTGAGGGGAAGAGCTAAAAAGGGTCGCGTGGGTAAATTACCGGATTTGGGCTGCTCCGTCCGGGGCCAAGATATGTCGACCATACTCGTTGCATGCAAAATTGCTGTAGAGTTTGCTATGAGGGGAGGCTTACGGGCGTGATAAGCGGAGAAGAAGTAGGGGGGGGCTTAGGTTTTATTTTCTTCTTAGCGCAGCTCACAGTTCAAATAGAAACATTCTGTCCGACGTCGGGACGAGGGCCGCAGTAGAACTCACCTTTTTCCCTTTGGAGGATCAGTTCAAAACCAAAGTTATAATTTTGGGTGTCACTTTCATCATCGAGAAAATGATTACTGTTGATAATTTTCCGAAGAAGTCCGGAAGTTGACTTATAGTGGTAAGTATGTAAGTAAGCAGTGAGTATAATAGCTCACGTTAACCTTCTTGGCAGTTTGCAGCATTTCCGCAGTCTGTCAGCTGTTGATGGTACTAACTCTCGCTAACGGGGATCACTGGAGGCGCCATATGGATGCCATACATAGGACTCGCGCTCGGAGTCACCGAGCCATCACGACACACAATTCAGTTACAGAAGGAATAGAAAATAGTTCATAGTAAGTGGCCTTGGTGCTGCAAATATTCGAAGGCTGCGCCTCTGTGTAGTTTCGAAGAACCACCAATTGTAGCATGTCATACGGCACATCATTTGTCTTCCGTGAAACTCATGATGAACTTGGAATGCAAAGACAAGTGAAGGAGCGGCCATTTATCTTTAGCCGATCTCTTGACATGGCCAACCCTAGATTTCAGACCCTCCGCATAAATGAATGAGTGAACTGCAAGTCTTGTACACGGCCTGGACGGCGATGGTTCTTGAATGGAATCTCATTTCATGTATCAGAATAATGTGAGAAATTCGAGCTCACTCTTTCCCCAAATGACGGGGCTAATCATTACTCAGTGACCGGAGAGATGAGCGCGGCAGCTCCTTGGTGTTCTTGGTATAATTCTTACGTTAACTGATTGTATTTTCATTGCTTGTGCCCCACGGTTTTAATCAGACATGGTTAGACCTAGGACTGTCGCAGTGAAGGTCAACATTCACGAAGTTAAATGACGACGATATATGCCTTCCTTTCCCCGCTTCAGGCAATCATCGGGCTTGCATCTTGTCGTAGTGGCGGCGCCGCGCCGCCCGGGCCGTCTGAGAAGATATAGCCGCTATATATAGTTGTGGATATTTTAGGGAATTGTGATTCTGGCCAAAGCACCCAAGATCTTACTTACAGCTGTTTGCGTACAGCTTGACAGTAGCATGTGTTTTACGCGAGAGAAGAGAGTAATTTGGACTTGGTCATAAACCATGGTTTATGGACTTGAAGACGTGGTTTATGGCTATTTCGGCGATCCCGGAGGTCCTTTCGCGCGCTTGAAGTCCCCAAAACACAGTTTATGATCAAGTCCGAGCCTTCTTCCATCATCCACGAAAACGCTCCTGACTGTCAAGCTGTATGCAAACAGCTGTAAGTACAACGCTTCCTGAAATGACGAGAATTGCGTGAAATGACGTCGTCATGTAATCTCGGACACTACTTTTGCGTCAAGCCAGGTCAAGCCTTCCCAGCACAAAATAACGGCAAAACGGCAAGACGCCTCTGCCGCGCCTTGCCGATTTAGTGTTCGGCCCGAGGCGCGTCTATGGCGTGGGAACTTTATCCTTGTTTTCTTGGTGACCCAGCTACCATGTTACGAATCGGATCTGCCCTTCGTTGTCTACGGGCAGTCCGTCCTTCTTCGGCATCGTATACAACTGCAGCAGCGCCTGCATCCCTTCACCGTACGGTCCGTGTCGAAAATCTTCCCTCAGGATACGATGTTGGCAGCATCATCCAAGCTATAAAAGCCAACCCTGCGGAGGCCGTCGTGCCTTCAAAAGACCACCTACTCGTCAAGTTTTTCGACGAATACACGGCAAAACGCTGTGTTGAAGCCAGCAATGGCGTTCAAAATCTTTCCTTGAAGATTGACGAATCAACTTCTGCGCCGCTGGACGACGCGACCATCTCCAAAATCGTAAAATTCAACTTGACACGCACCGTCAGACTGAGCGATATCCCAAAGGGCCTCAGTGAGTACGACCTCAAACAGACACTCTCCAAGTACGAAGGCGTAGACGTACGTTTCAACTTGGCTGAGACGGAAGCCGATATACATTTCTTGGATATTCACCAGGTGGCTGACGTATGTTTGTTGAGCTTTCTTGATTATTAACTCATGCTTACAAGTCTTCAAGGCATACAGTGCTTTGAAGGCCACAGGCGCCACTCCGACTCACATCCAAGTCATCCCGGATGATTATATCTTTCCCGAATGGTATACACCAGAAGGACCAGAAGCAACACAGGCCGTCGTCTTCTCCGAATTCCCCTCGCCTGAAATCCGTAACGATTGTTATCGATTAGTCTTGGATATGAACTCCAACACGGTACCTTTTATCACCACGGTCTTCGCAGGACGAAAAGTAAGTATATCGTTTCCCATCCCGAAACACGTATCTCATTGATCCGTTTCAGGGGATAAAATCCTTCTTCCCAACGACAGCCCTAGCCAAGCAGTTTGTTGAGGAGTGCAAACCGAAGACGGATGCCTTTGGCGTCAAAGTTGCCTTCGAATCGACAGTAAGGACACTCAAGGCCAGTTCAATCACTGCAGTCAGCTTGGGTGCTACTCGTGTAGTATCTCTACCCGTCACCGTGCAGCCTTCGAAGTTTGGCAGACTCCAGAATTTCTTCAGAATCTACGGCGACGTAGCCCAATGGTGATTACTTTTCTTGCATTATCCCTGTTTTCGGTTCTGATGTCCTTTTCCAGGGGCATATCCTCCTCTGATGGGAGGTTGCTCGTGGCATATTATAAGCTGATGGGGGCCGCGAGCTTAATCTCTGCCTACAGTCAAGGGTTCAAACATAAGGTACCACCGGAAATTGAGGGTGTTACCCCCACTTTTTACCGGGGCAACAGGTCATAGCGGGATACGCAGATCTCACAGGATCATGTAGACACGTTCATGGTATCAGCGGTGTAATATATTGCCAAAATTTTTACGTTGTTGAACTGGGTCAGCAGCGACACCCTTTTCAATGCTAAGAGTCTGCTCCTGCTAAGACCTTCGAGTTCTGCCCTGGTGCGGCATGCCCTCACCCTTCCTGAGAGGCTGAGAGTTTATGTTTGATATAGAATGAATGGTGCTTCATTCACTAGGCAACGATGTTATGCTTGGCCTGGATCCATCGTGTAGCAGTTTCTCCCATACTAATTCATCCTTGTAGACTGGTAAGCTACCGCTTTCATCAAAGGTTATTACTAGCACCTAATTGAATTCCGTGCTCTAGAGGGTTTGATCACATCAAAGGTAAGAAAGCCTACCCAGCAGATGCACGCTAGTCAACGCTCGCGCGTTCAGAAATTGTGCTGATTTCACCGGAATAAAGTTTCAGACAACGGGATGGGATACTTATGCCATACTAGTCAGTACCAAGCCGGACAACAGGAAACGGCTATGATACCCTATCCAACCTTTGCTATTCATCATTTCGCGCCCGAGATCATGCGGTGTGTTGAAAAATGACCGAGTTCTCCATGGACATTACATGCAAACACAGGTAACCACATGGAACTCGATTCTCCAATCATGATCCGTAGCGGAATAGGGCTCGAATACCCTCAAATCAGCCTCCACGAGCACCACGATACCATCCGCAGTCACCCAAATTTGTTCTGCTAAAATCGGACCAGGCGTCGAGAATTGTAATCTTGAACGTCCGAAATCCCCCCAAGGTGGGATATCGATGACTGCTGGTACCGGGCTGAGTGGGTCATTTATCGGCTAATAGAGCGCAACGTCTAAGCGGACAGCCATCCCAAGCTTTGAGCGAAACTGACCTAAAAATGGAGCGCTCGTGAAGCTAAATATATTCAGCGCCTGCCCTGGACTATCGATGAGATCGGACCATAAGAGTCGGATATACAGAATACCCATTTCCCTGCGATGGGATGGACATGTGAGCTTGGACCGAGGTGTGAAGACGAATAATACCTCTACTTGTGTCTCGCGGGTTCTGCCTTTCCAAGGGTTGCAATACCGATAAATTGCCCGGTTCTTGCACAAATTAAATGAAGCTCCGCGAAGAGAAGCGTGCTTAATGGTGGTTAGGAATGACCAAGATCATACCAAGCAGGCATGAACTTCCTTACAGTACCTTTGGAATGAACGCACCATAACCGGTTAATTGGTTAGCATACTCTCCCACCAAACGTCTTCGTAGAATCGTCTAGGGCTTGGCGTTAGCAAGAATGGGTATCGAGGAAGTCAACGGACGTACTTCTAGCAGAAAGGAGCCTGATCCCTTTGACGACAAACGCGTTTTCCCAGGACGGAATTAGCCAACGTCAACCGTGTCCCAAGGCAACATGAATTCTCCTTTGAGAGTTCTCTCGAAGAACATACAACCGAGGCAGCGCCAATTCCGTGGAATATTCCCTCAATGTGTCAAGCAGAGCTGCCGTTTAGGTGGTCCTGCGGGCTGAGCCACCCCCTACACAAACGAACAAATTCTTGACTCCGTTCAGACACAAGAGAAAGCAATGCAAAATTGGTATTTTTTGTGATGGTATACAATGAGTGCTGGGAAGTGAAATGAAGAAAACCTGTATACAAAAGAATGTCCACAAATAAATAGGGGACACAAGAAAACACGACAACGACAGCAATAACGGAGAACATACGTGAGTGACTACACAGAATTTGGAGGAGGGGATGGGACATCAAAGCCCAGTCTCTTCCAATCCCTCGCAACGAAATTGACACCTTCGAGATCTTCCAACCACACACCTCGACCTCCACAGCTATCCCAGACAGCTCTCCAGAACAACATCATGTCAATGTCAGGCTCGAGGCCATTCCGAACCTTGAACAACCCGGGTCCCATGTCCCTGACATATCGCAAGGAGGGAAACGCATCGCGCCTGAGCAGGCTCCGCATCTGCTCAATCAGCAGCCAGTTGCCCCGCCCGATGTCACGGACTCCGATAAGCTGCAGCCGCGGATGAGACGGAAGGAGCACATGCGGCGCAATCCAGTCTGGGCTCTCCCAATTCCACTCGGCATCTGCGGAGCAGATGAATTCGGTCATGTTCGGGAGGAGGGACGCGAGGCTTGGCCGGCCTGTGACTGGACGAATGGGAGTGATGTAGTGCTCTTCGAGGATGTTGGACGAGGAATGTCCGAGTTCGAGCTGATTAATCTTGGCACCGTGCGCGGAGAAGAAGGCGAGGAAGCCGGGGGAAGAGTAGCTGAAGTCAGGTGAAATAAGCGAGAGATTGCAGAGTGACGGAAGGATCCAGGTGGAGAGAAGCTCGAAGGTGTTCGAGCAAAGGGAAGTTTTCAGCGTCTGTAGTTGGGGAAGGTAGAAGGTCTGCGAGGGTGATACGGGGGGCGGCGAGGAAACAGCAAATGCTGAACGCATAGGCGCATGGAAGTGTAACTCAAGGAAAGTGAGATTGTGTAGGACAGAAAAGAGGGGCATAGTGGGAGTCGGAGACGCTTCATAAGAGGTCCATGAAAGACGACGGAGGTTGGTTGGTAATGACTGGAAGAGGTCATCTGGGGTACATGTCTCCTCCAGAGGAGAGTTGACGGAAAAGAGGGTAAGGCGAATGGATCGATGGTCAGAGTAGATGGCAAGATCGGGGGAGGCGTCGAGGATAGTACGGAGATGCGACGGGTTGCACTTGTCCAATGTCATGGTTTCGACGTGAAGCCTCCTGATCCAACGACCGTGACCCTTCCCCTCTGGCGTTTCCAAGGTACGAGCAAGAAGTCGGGCGTGGCCGGCACGATTGACCCAGACAAACTCGTACAAGAATTCAGTGGCCCACTCTCTCCACTGCCTGCTGACCCGGCATAGAGCTAGCTTTTGTTGCATCGTCGCGTAGTATGTAACTAATCGCAACTGAGTGACATGAGGGGGATCCAGGAATGAAACAGGTCGTGAAGTATCGAGGGGATCAGGATATGAACAGGTCGCAAACCGGATGACAAGCATCCAGATCTCCGGCGGAAGTTCGGGTCGTGGTGTCGTACGAGTTACGAGGCATTCGATTGGTTGAAGAGCTGAGGGCTTGTGTTGTTTTTTCCGCTGCACAGCGCCACGCAAGACATGACCGAGGCAAGACATTGTAGCTGCTGCAACGGTAGGGTGAGAAAGGGGACAGTCTGAAGAGAAGTGTTCCTCACGAGATGACAGATGAAAGATGAAAGATGGGATCACTGCTTGCAAGGAGGGTATCTGATATCTTGTTGAGGCTGATACAGATGTGATACGAAAAGAAAACAAGAAAATGCTGCTCGATGTTGTCAATCAGCACGGAGAGGATATCAAGATAGTAGCGACATACGGTGACGACGGTATATGGGGCGCTGAACTCGTGGTCCGCGACAAGAAAAGTGATGTTGGAGAAACGCGGAAAACGCAGAGAGAAAGGCAGGGACGTTGCAGGATATGACGGAAACGCTACGTGAGAGAATGAGCACGAACACCGTGGTAGAAGAGAGAACATACGGGAAACAGTAACGCTTGTGGCGGGCTGTAGCGACAAGATCGCTATAAAGGAAGTAGAATCAGGTTGTTGAGAACGCTGTGCACGCTGTGGACGACGACGAGCTCGCTGTATGCGGGTGGGGGACGCGGTGGTGGTTCGCTACGAAGAAGGGAATCGGGAGTTTTGGGGCCGAGAGATTTTCCCACGTCTGCGGTCACCACGCGGCTTTTACCCCGAATGGTCTTAGCTAATCACCCTCATGGCTATCCATTTTCGTACACTTCCGGTCCTGCCATGGATAGCCCTTAAGAATTTGTGAATGCTCCTGGTTCTATCTATGCGCTTCCCAGCCCGTTTTCCTGGCTAATGAGCCTCTATCCCCCCCTCCTCCCCTCCCCGAACCAAATGCTAGATCATTTTTGGAGACTGAGCGCCTGCACACATGGAGCCACGACTAAACTTCTGATACAAACTATGATATTGGAAGGTTCTTTTTGCCCACCTTGGGCATCTTGGTGGACGGGGACCTAGTGGTACCATGATGATGTTTATATTTCTTCGCCGATTATTCACCTACCGAAACGACTCACGAGGCTACAGTGGGTAAGAACACACAATACGCTTTTCTAAAACCGTGTAACGAATTTCGGGAACTTTCCGGAATCAGCATTCAGATGGAGTTGGAACTCAGCACCTCATCAATTCGAGCGGGAGCTGCCCTGCATGTGGATCCGATTAAACCGCTGAACATGGAGAGATTTCCCACCACAATTAGGAACCGGTACCTTATGTGGTAAATCAACTTTATATTTACCTCGATCCTGTCATACCTCCCGTAAGGCCTTCCTCTCGCTGCCAGCCCAAATTTCCGCAGAGTTGAACGGGAGTTGACACGACGCTGTAACATCTCACGGCAGCCTGTACTGCTCCGGCAGCATGTACCAAAAGCCTGTTCGTATATCGATAAACTGTGGGACAAACGACGTACATATTCAATTGCCTTCGATGACATGTATACGACTTGTATGATGGATGCCAGGAAGCACAGAAATACAATCACACAAAAAAAGTAAATTTCCGAGTTTTGGTCAGAAACCCAAAGACAAAAGAATTCCTCCCGCCTTGGGGCAGGAGAGGGCGAAATGTATCCCACCATTCTTATTTAGTTTTGACAATTAGAAATTCGGCTAATTTTACTTTCTTGGGGATAGAAATGATTTTCGCCGAAAGCAATGCTGACAAAAACCTAGGTCTAGGAGCGAACCTCCGATCCCGAAGTAACGTAACAAATCAATGGGGCCGCACAGAGAAGATAATAGCTTCTTTCTGTGGCTATCATTAAACTCGAAGAATAAGCAGTACCAGGCCGTCATGTTCGCTCCGCTATGCTAATGAGGCCGACGACGTACTCACGAGATGATGCTATAAGGCGTCTCTTTTTAAAGCAGGAAAACGAGTGATAGCAACAGAGAATCTTCGCTTTCGAATGCCAAATCAGGTATATCGTTATTCGAGCATTCTGGGGTTGAATGTTGATAGACGCTAGTGGACATCTCTCCGAGTCGGAGGTCAGATAACCATAGCCGCCAAGAATCAGGAAGAATCAATACTGGAATACACATATGTGGGGAGACCGGACGGCCCCAGTACGATAAGAATGGGAATTACCAGACTTCCTCGCAGTCCAGCGGCCTGGTGATAAATCCACCTTGATGGCGGTCGATAGTTCCCTGCAGAACCTTACTAGAATTCCTGTGAAGCCCGCGCCAAAAATATCAAGGGAAATGTTTGAGGCAGTGCTAACGAGGCCGAATAATTGGGGACGAATTCTCAGCGAAATACATCATGATACTAATAGGAGAGGGGGGTACGTGTACACGCAGAGCATACTTAGCTCGCAGTCGATGCATTGAACGAAGAGGTAAAACGAGGTAAAAAGTCAGAACAGTGGCGCATCATTCATCATGTCCGACGGTCCGAAGCTATATGATCATGGATCCAACAACTCCGGAAATTGCCGGATAACGTTTACCTTTGGCTATGACATTCCACGGATCAATCCAATTTCCGTTCATCTCAGTACGAACTCTGTCTACCTAATTCGAGAACAAAATTCAAGGCGTCTCCAATAAAACAGAGGGAGGTGTACTACGATAATGGAGACGAAATATAATATTCAGATTATGGTCCCATACGGCGTCCTTGTACAGCTGAGCCGGCTTATTATTCCTCCGTGCTTCTTATTAATGGATTGTTAGCTTCTTACATGAAGATAGACCAGAATTTCCGGACCTTGAGGCCCAACAATGACCCGATGGGCGCCACACGACAAAGTGGCAGTCTTGGGCAAGAAAGTGGATATCCGATATTCAAGCTAGGACTCTGTGGACAGAGTCAAGGCTTCGAAGTTTATTTAGGATTTTTTGCACCATTTGGTACTCTCAGACTTCTACCGCGACGAGCCGACAAAAATGTAAAACTCTTTTTCTGCCTTGGTCAAGTCGATAGCGCCCATCGCCTCGCCCCCCGCCCCCCCTTCTCTCTTTCAAGCTTCGCTAATCCGCTCAAACGAATTGTGTTGGCAGACTCACAGTCTTTTGATTATAAATGGCCCGTTAGAGATGGCTGGAAGGCCCGCAACGTTTCGAACGCCGACCATCGACAAGGCTAACCCGGGATACTAGTTTCTTGTTCTAGTGCTATGCTCTCCACGCTATTTTCGTGGCTCGAATCTATTCCCAGCTGTTCACGGAGATCCGGTAATCACGCTACAAGACTGCATGTCATGAATTAGAGTCATGTCGGCGACCTCTCTGAACGCCTACACTTCTAGCATCGTCTGGCTGCGGGATTCTACTAAACGTCATAAGGAATAATATCCGCTCTTCATGGTATTAAGCCAAGCACAACTTATTTTGAGGTCAGTCATTCGTTTTCCTGAGGTCGTTTTGCTGATTCGACAGGGTGCGCGGTATTGCTCACAGTCGTATGGCACCAGATCTATCTGTGAGCACATAGTATATTGTCATTTGAACGACGCTTATGTTCATTCGGTAGATGTCACACCACAGAAGTAGCCGGCACTCAGCATGGTTGCGAACAGTGTACATGCACTGAATACAACTTTATAACGTCAGTCAAAAAGACCATCGCCTCGCTCACTGGCAGGACGTTCTCCCGTTCATGGATGCTTGACAACTTTCAAAAGCCCCGTGTGCTCCGCATCATATAACGGTTGCGTTGTACTATATTTGGGCCCTCAATTTGCTACCACGAGGTACTTCTCATCGTCTTCTTCATGTTGCCCGCTAGACATCGCAACGTAAGTTTTCTATGGGACTGGTAGCGCTGGGTTCGCCACTCATCTAGCCGTCCTCATCTATGCCATCTCACTGACCCTGCGCTCCGACCTCCGGCATTCGTCTTGACTGGACCTTTTATCTTTTCTCCGTGACAGTAAATTTCTCTCACCGTGTGAAATTAATGACACCGTTTTCTAGCCTTGTTCATACTTCTACTAATAGCGTGCTAACCGGGATGTACGAATGCACAATCAGATGCAGAAGCCAGCTCGGGTATGTTTTATATCCAGTTTGCCGTCTGTCATATCGAGACCGCTTTTCAGGATATCACAACACACCCTTTCTCGTACTCTTACGTCGCCGTGCCAACTTATCCTTTTCAAGATCTGTGACAATGACCTTCGAAACCCCAGCTAAGGTATGTTTAGCCGCCTCGCAGCATCGTTCTAGGCTGATGTGCGTGTTACCAGGTACATTGTTCACGAAGAGGAGTACCGTTAGCCGGCTCGATCTTGGCGCATGCTCCCGCTTCCACGAGCTTTGACCTTCGGTGCAACATACGAGCTAGGCCACCCATACCATAATTTTTCCAGCTTCACCTTGCTTCTCTGGCGTTGCATTTGACGCCCCTCACAGGTCGCAGTCTACAAGAGCTCCTGGTCAACAATAAACTGATACTATTGGTTGTGAGCGCCTATCTGTTACAATGTGCCATGCCGTTAGTGAGGAGTGACATTCCCATATAATACTAGGTACGGCTGGCAACCGTTGTGCCTCCTTGCATATTTTGCTGGAACGTGTGCAAGCGCGTCAGCCGGTTTTCGTCCGTCCAAGCCCTGCATCGGGTTTAGTCCATCCTCGTGGCGAAAATTTGATGCTCTGCTTATACTTATCGGGACATTCCCTTGTTTCACCAAGCTCTTTTTCCCCTAATTAAATGATTAAGTATTCGCAATCCTCGACCGTTCTTCCTCCTTCCTCAAGTTTTCCCCGGCATCCGGCATAGTTTGTTAGGTGATTATTATCTGAAAGTTCAGTGTGCCTTGGTCGTCGGCCGAACCCTCGTGTTTTATTACTGAGTATTATTTTCTATAGATGAGCTACTAGGAGGGGAGCTGGGACAAGCCGATTCGATGTTGCGTTGCTATGGAGCCTCGCATCAGGTATGCACTCCAGTAATCACTGGTGGCTGTCGACGCGCCGGATTTTCGGTAACAGTGAGCCTTGAGTAAGTATGTGTCGACCCCACACGGGGACAATGTGCTGATACTTGGTATCTAGATCAGGTAAGGTTCCGGTACCGATGACCGTCTAATGTTCATTTCCTGTCAGATAATAACTCAAAGCGGCAGTCTGAGGCATATGAAAGTTGGGATATGCCTACCTTCTAAAATGAAGGGTATATCCCTCAAGACGAGCATAGAGATCAGGCGGAAAGTTTGGTCATTTATGGCAATGATTTTTCCGAAGTCGTATTTGTTTCTCCAGACGATCTATCGATAAGTATGGCATGCCTCGACGACCCACACTATAAATCCGAAGTCACTTCTTCTAACATCTCAGTGTCGGACCGGAAAGGTGAATGCTAAAGGCCAATGACGACCAACCGCCGTCCGAGGACCACAATAAAACGCGAAGGTTTAGGTACGCCAACACCGACTTCGACGTGCGTTCATCGTATCTGATTTCCTACATGAAACTCGTGTCGGACACTGTATTTGCGTATGCTGACTGAGTCTGCAAGGCAGAAGGAGATTTTGATCAGGCGACCCAGTACGTGCTACCTTTCCAGGTCCCTACCTGTGGTTCCATACTTATCCGTAACCGTAATCTCTGCAGGGTGGATACTTGAGCTAGTCATCGGTCCCGAATTCTTACGCCGTTTGCTGGGAGCAGAAAACGTCACGCGTAAAGATATATATTGCCTGGCAACGTTCTGGAAGGTGACCTTTGTATTACCCAGCAAAGGGCTTCTCCAGAAGCATACGTACCCCTAAACAAATATCCCAGGAAAGTCATGGCTTGTATTATCTAGTGTGCGTTTTTCATCTCCGCATCCATGCGGTCCCCGTGTTCTAACGCCAGAGTATAGAGACCGCTTCAACATGGCGCCCCGTGAAGTTTGTGCACCAGGAAGATGGATCGATAGCCGCCTACCTTTCATTTTTCGGCGCTTATTATGGTGTTTCGTCGATTGACACGGAGCTATTGGAAGGTAAGCGTTTCCCTGACATGAACCAATATACGGCAAGAAATGAGTATACGACAGTTCATACGACGGAAATCTGATCGTGCAGTAGACCAGCGACTAGGCTCCATTTCACATATTGTGAACATGACAATACGCAAGATAAACCGAGACTCTGCAACGGCGTTCCATGGCCACTGTGTCTGGTCCAGTGAGCGCTGCGACAATGTGCTCCTGACTTGACTTAGTGATCACCAGTCTTGGATTCCGATATTAAATACGTTTCCTGTGCTTAATGCCTCCGTGTCGGATTCCACAGGCAGCTTCAGGTCGCGAACGAAGGTATCAACGAAGACTCGCCCAGATCGTCCGACTCGACTTCACTGATAAATCTTGTTTAGGGCATTTGGCGGTCTGACTTGACTGGGCTGTGTAAGTCGCACAGTAATCGTGCGAAGTGAGTTACCCGATGTGATCATGCAGAACGGGTTCGGGCAAGACGCGCTGGCTTCATGTCAAGGATATTGGTAATAACGTTACTGTTGCCTCCGAGACCGGACGAGATAGGACGGAATGTGAATGGCGAAATCTCCCGGTCCGAGGGCGCGCGTAGGTGCAATACAGAGCTATCAATTAGAATCTCCCAGGACCGTTGGTTCTCCTGACTAGAAGCGCAGGTTTATAGGGTCAGAATGATGCGAGTCGACGGGGGTTGATACGGTACTAGTAACAGGAATAGGGCAGGATAGCCGCACATAGATAGACTGACCACGAATATCAATATTTGAATATCAAAAAAATAAAACATTGTGACCGTACCATTACCATCACGCCGGAACATTGTCCCGACACACCAAGGATGCACCTATCCACGGTTCCTACAAGCACATGGAATCAAATCATGAAAGTGTAGATCCTAGGGTTGATGAAATCTACCCCTCCCTTGGAATTGAAGATGTAGAACAGCGGCTGACCTCAATGCTAACGATTTGCCCACGACCGCGACGATCGAGACTGATCGTAGTTGGCGTTAGACCTTCGGGCCATTGCGTTCCATAGACATCGTGTAATGTTCTGCTTGGCAATTGGGAAGCAGCAGAAGCCTGCAAGTGGCGGCATCCCCATCGAGAACTACATTTCATCAAATCATTAGCATTTATTCCCCGAATATACATTTGGGGACCTCAGACTTGGTAGTAATGGCCCGATACCGAGGTCACAGTGGGTCGTCAGGTGGCTTCTTGTTGAAAATTGTCCGCAGATAAGCGATAGCTTCGAATAGTAAAACGTGCCAGGAAGATTGTGAAAAAAGATTGAAATACGGAAGCAAGAGAGGAAAACAACCACAAATATCTGCTCTTCACCTCTGACAGCTGCTTCAGTTCCAACAAATAATACAGAAGCCAAGAATACCGCTTACATCGGTATGTCTTCTCGTTCCATGTCATGGTACTGTTCTTGGGAGGCGAGGCATGCATCGTTCTAGACACGGAGGAGCTGTTGTCCTGTTGTCCGTGGTTAGTGCTAGAATTGAGGTGCGTTTCGGAATTATACGTACTGTTGAGCTACTCGATAAATTCCATTCTTCACATATTTCAGGCATTAGATCGTAAAGTCCAAGAGCTGGCCTATTCCACGACTTGAGATGAGCCAGCAACCAACCATTCCACAAGAGATCATCGATTTTCACATCATCAGCAAACTATCCCAGGATCTGCCGGCATTGCGAGCTTGCGCCCTGGTCTGTCGTGCATGGCGCATTCCCGCCCAAAATCGTCTCTTTTTCCACGTCGAACTTGGCTGCCCACTAGATTCGGATAAATCGAATTGCGATGACTTTCGTCGCGTCCTGGTATACTCCCCCCATCTCGCGTCCTACGTCCGAGTCTTGGACTTGGCTGATGGAATGGGCAGCCGGAAATGGATGACCAGGTCGAAGCAGCATTTATCCGCGATTCTTCCCCAGCTCGTTAACCTGATTAAAATCGAGGTCAGATTCAATTCGATTGAAACTTCATGGAGCGACATTTCTACCTTACAAGATCCCCTTCGTCGACTCTTCCAGCATCCCCACGTCGAGAGGATTCTCCTACGCGGACTTTCGAAGTTGCCTGACTGGGACGCGCTTTTCGGGATGTTGACAGGCTGTCGTGCCGGCCACGTTAGACTGTATCACGTCACGCTTGATCCGCGCACAAGATCAAGTCGTCGTCGGAACGGTCCCGCAGTTCGACGTCCCAAGTGTACCATTGGTACACTCGACGTAAACCTCACTGCCGACGAAATGGAGGATTTCGCGTTTTGGGCGAATAATCCTCGGTCGTGTATGGATATCTCTGGTCTCCGAAGATTTTGTTATTACGGATTAGAAGTGGGGGAGTTTGCGGCGTGCAATAACGTCCTGAATGCAGCCGCCTTCAGTTCGCTCGATACTTTCGAACTGCGAATCGAGGATCCCTACAGTATGTTCTCTTCCTTCCCAATCTGTCGATCTCTTGTTCATATTTTTCTTGATCATAGCGTACATAACCACGCCAAATTTTGTACCCCTCGCTATAGGTCGGCTGCGCCATTTTCAGATCACCTTGGAGGATACGTTCGAAAGCCGGGCAATCGTTTTGTGCAATTTGGTACAGTGGTGTACTCGACTCTTCGAGAATACAGGGCCGAACACCATCGAGGTGGTGACCCTATCATTTGCGCAGTGGGCTACTGAGCACAGAGATTTAGACCAACAGTTGGCTGAATGGAATGCTCTTGATGCGATGCTGCTGCGTCCGCACATGCACGCTCTTCGTCACGTTACTCTCGTATCCGATAGCGAGTTTGCCCATGATCGGAGAGCGGCACAGGCATTTTTAGGATCTAGAGTGGCTGATATGTTCCCTCTGCTTAGAGCCAGGGGGATATTACGCGTAGTATGAGGTATGTCTGCCTTGATCATCGTCGGAGAAGAACACGCTGATTCTGTCCGATATAGGATCAGGTGCGTGTCGTACACGCTGGAATCTTCGGATTGTATCTGTTTACCGGTGTATCATTCAATTTCGGACAACATCCATATCAGAAACTGTTCTTATGTATAGTAGAATCGAGACGTTACACAAGGGGAAATTTCCTTCAATGTACTGCTTAATTTGGTTTGGGAATAGTCATATTCTTGTATACATGACTTACTGCGTCCCATTGTTTCCTTTCCAGCTCGAGAGAAGGATAATGTGCGAACTGTACGTCTTACAATTGCCCAGATGTCCTTATTGGCGTAAACGGGAGAACAACTTTAGCGCATCACCAGCTTAGCTCTCGTCATTAAAGTACGTCATGTTAATATCCCCGGTCTCGATATTCTACTCAGGACTCGGATAATACTGTGACCGACAAATCCCAAACATTGAACGAGCTCTCAGGGGTTTCGTAGGAATATCAAGGCGGATCTTTTCAAAACTCTTTCCGGAAGGTCGACAGAAACAGGCTCCAATGGGGATATGAGTAATGCGCAATAGGCCATATTGGAGACATAGTATCCTAAAGGTACCTTACTCGACTGATCTCAGCTCGATGTACAGCGATCTTGCGTGTTTGGATCTTGGTTTGAGTAGTAACGTTTGGTGCATTAGGAACGCGGAAATTTGGTTTCTGAGATTATCCCGTATATTATGTAGTTGTTGGTCTATCAGATGGGCGATGAGAGGTACGATTTTTTCTGACCAGAGGAAGAGCGAGAGGAACTTTTTGAGCAAGCCTGGATTTTGGTTTGGCACGTGATGGCGACTGAATGCTTTCCTCTTTCGTCTCTGTTCGGCATTAGCCGACGTCTATTGCTTTGCTGCCGCCACCATCGTTTTCCTGTGCTGCAGCATTCTCAAAGCCCCCGATGTACAATCGCGGCATGTATTGCTGGAAATGACATTTATATTACATATGTGACTGAGGATTCCAATGTGGACAGAGTGAGTCGCAAAATTTGTGCCATTTTCTGAGATACCTTAGCAGTTACTTTTCTGCAGCGAACCAAGACCCATTATCACCTTATGTGGCTTTCTCAGCCTTTTATTATACCGAATCCACCGTGAAGGATGGTGAAATGGACTTTCCATACGGTCACTCCGATACTCAAGATATTTTTATGCCATATCTTCTTGTCATTGTGCGCGAATCGTCGCTCGCTTGGCCATAAATCTCATTATTTTCTCAGATGTCTCTGGCAGCTTTGCTCAACAATTTAAAGACCGCAGGCTGGGTCTTCGCGGATGTAGGTCTCCGAACGGTGATCCAGGCCAGTATCATTATATCTACTGGTGCGCGATATCCATGATTTTGAAAAATCAATATTCATCTCGTGATCCAGGTATATTGCAGAGCGTTGTAGACTCCCTTCTTCGTTCGTATTGAAAATACGCAGGGTCATATCTGACATTACAATGAAGTATAGTGTTTCCCGTTTATCCTTTTCACGTCTGATTGAAATCTGTAAACTATTCCAGTTATCCTATTGGAGTTGTTCTCAGCCCTGCTCTGGTTGTGTCTTGTTACGTCTCCAAGTCATACCGAAGCTTCCAGGGGGACATACCAGTTTCATTCTTCCGCGCTATTTTGAGAGGTTTTTGCGTGCAGCGCCCAGACTACATCTCAGTCGTCAATGTCAAAGTCGTGATTTCTCGAATGCTCCACTACATACAAAGAAGCTTCCGATATATCCTTGTCCAGCACATCCGGGATTGTTCTTGATTTGGCCAGTGTTATGATTGTTACGAAGATGTTGTGAGGCTAGCGTTTGAGGTGTATTTGCCATGGCAAAGAGGACACAGAGAAGCCGGCGATGCATTTCTTTGCTCAAGCATAGCGGTGAAATCTCGGACTTGTTCGCGGCCAAGTCAATCGTCAAGGATGAACGTTTTGCACTATATGTTGAGGAGATTGGCCGAAGTGACTTCCGTTAAGCGGGGGACAGGTGTATTGAGAATATGCGAAGAATTGTGGATTAGATCAGGCTTTCTCGGTGACTACCGTCTCTGTACGTCTCACTCCCGACCATCATCCTGCGAATCGCGGCTGACGGAAGATGTTAGGGCTTTGTATGGGAAGCGCTACAACCTCCGGAATGATATTCATGACCTTCAACCATCCCCATCAGCGCTGGATGACGTGACATCTGTCTCGCCGATGGTACGCAGCATTCACTGCGCACTCCCCGTGATCACATAATGATCCATCAACATCACTGAAGAGGCGCACTCTGAACCCAGCAATCACTCCGCGGAAACCAAAGTAATGGAGAACACCAGTGATACAGAACACGGTCGTCAAACATCTGATGAAACCCTTGCATCTCGATTCATCTATTCAATGCGCGTAGCGATCACGATCTGGGCGTTCCATCGTTTTGCATGGCATGAGGCGGCTATTCAGTATGAACTCCAAAAGCATGCGAGCTATCTTAGCGGCTCGTTGCCCAGTCGTTTCCAGCGTGGTGATGTTGTGCGTGATTGGTCAATGGATGCATTCGAGAAGTGATATGGCTGACGCCGTTCGCTATCTCCCTGCGCGCTTCGTTGAGCCTTCAGGCGTTATAGGCTCGGTGTTCGAAATAACACAACGGTAACCCTCCGGATAGATCGGCAGTGTTCTCGGAATACTCCGTACTCTGAAATCTAGCGAGCGCACGGGGTTCAAAGCTGAACGTATTGGCAATCTTCTCCCCGTATCAAGAAACCGGACGATTTGGGTTCCCTGCGGCGCGAATATTGAAGCAAGGCAACCAACGGCTATCAAACTCTGCCTTATTACCGAAGATGGTGCTAAATAAGCATTCACCCTCGTTGCTACGGCCTATCGAGGGACGGACACTGTAGAGGATTGTTTCATTGCAGGAAGAAATAACCGGACCGATCTCGAGTGTCTGGCATATTTCTGGTATGATTCAGATGCTTTCGGCGACGGAGGATTGTGGTTGAGACGTTATGAGGCAGGCTAACCAAGCCCTGGTTACATTCCGGCGGCAGCGAGGCTACGAAATGCCTGGGCCGACATGGTCCAGAATCGTTGCCCTTCGGTCAGGCATTCGGTCAGGCAGATTCATGCATGAGCAGCGTTATGTCGAAAGCGGGAGCGATAGCAGGTTTGGTCGTCGCCCGAGCTGGACTGCGATCATTGTCTAGTGTCTAGAACAACGCCGCGATATTGTGCGGGGGAAAGAGCCGCAACTCTGATGGATGACCTGCGTAAGACCGACCCTAGGTTCGCGCCTACAATTGCAATCAGTTCGTAACAATTGTCTGGTCGGAGGTGGATATTGGGCGCAGAGACGAGAAAGTGTTGCAGCAAAGTGCAGTGGCATGAGGCAACTCACGTTAGAACGCGAGGCCATCGATTACGGTGTTGCGGCAATTACCAGCATTTGGAAGCTTTTCGTTGCCGCGAACATTCGAACAGATCGTGCGTTCCGAACTTGTCGTCATCGTGAATCCCTCTAGCCGACGGAGAAATACAACGTCCCTGGTTCTTACTGGCCCGACCCGATCACCGCTTTGCACGTTCCCATTCCGGATCTTGGCTACAGTGATGTCAATTAGATGCCGGAGTCATTCCTTAGAGTTCCTTTACTCGTTGCACTCAGTCGACAAGTGCCCGTACGGCGAGCTCCATTCATCCCAGAAGAAATGCCCGATCTAGATACGATGGTTCGAGTGCGTCTTTGCTCCGCCTATTGCAACGCCTACGACGGTCTTCAGCAGGAGGTTCGTCGAGTTATTCACGGGCACGTTATTCTTGACTCATTTGCCGCAGTAGGTTCTCTCTGCATCTAACCTACTTTGGATTCGGTGGCCTTTACTGGTCCACTTTTATTCAGGCTAATGATACAAGCCAAGACCACTCAGTCGAGACAAAAGTAGCCAGTGTTCGTTCTCTTTTGCGCTATTTTTTGTACAACCCTACGTGCATAGGCATCAATTACTAGCGAAACTGAGAATCCCCGAACTTCTCCATCTCACATCCTTGTCGCGGGACAACTTTTGCGCGTCGACATGGTTTCTCTTCTCGGTGCCCGTGACGAATCACGTAGCAGACAACGGCATCAAAAGTATTCCTCATATTACGATGAAGGTGTTCCAAGTTGCCCGTCAAAAACCTCGTGCGAGACTAGTTGGGTACATCTTGTTTGCCATGGTAGCCAGGAATCTTATGCTCCTTGCATATATCGCAGCCTTCGGATGTAATCCAAATACAGCTTCGTAACGCGGAACTGGTCTTCATTTTGACTTGTGAGACTTGACTAGAACCTGTCCAAAGAGGGATGCTGTCCGTTGGTTACCGCAACGTGTATTCAATAATTTATCACTGAGGCGCATTGCCGACTAGCTGTCATCACCCCGTTCGTGGACCCTCAACGGCATCTTGATCACCGCGATACAATAGGTAAGTTAGATCAGCTAGATTCCTTTCATCTCAATTAGACCGGTTATATAGAGAACACCGGCGAACGTCTGAGTAATGAAGAGATCATTAAACACTATCATTACAAACTGTACAAGTTTACATTCTCCTGGTTCCTACAAGATGTTGTAATGGCGGGCTATCAAACACCCACAAGTCCAAAAAGAAGTCCAAAGGTAAAAACAAAATGTACTAGAGATACAAGAATGTTCAAAAAGCTATGATACAAGGGTAGAAGTGTGATAATCAAACGTTGTACTCTGCGATATGTCGCATAATCATCAAGGACGCTAAGCATTCTATATCACGCAAAATTGGGGTGAGTATCGAACCGATATAACGGGAAGATGATCTAAAGTGCTGACCTGTTGCAATGTGGCCGAACGCTTCGTCAATAGTAAGGGTGCAACCTGATGAACCCTCATAGTGCGGTTCTCCCGGTACTTTCAAGCTGTAGTACGCGACCAAGTACCCGCTGGTATTGGTGCACTAAGAGAGAAGAGAGACAGCCTAATCAGCGATCAATCCTCACTGCAGAAGACAAACAGACATACCGTCCACTCCTGGCCCTCTTGTGTCCTATAACTCCAAATATACTCTTGCGAATCGGACGCGACGAACTTTCGGGGCTTATACGCGCTAACAGCCAGAACAATCAGGATCTAGTACAGCAGCTCACAGCACGAAAATACACATACCCTCCATGATTCGAGATCTTCGGGAGGTACTTCTTCATCGGCACACTCTCCCTCGACGAGAAGCTAACAGTTCCCAACGCATTATTCGGGCCAAAGTCCAATGCAACCACCGCTCGAGGACACGAGCCCTGATACACCATCGCACTGAGGTTGTAGATCATATACGCCGTATGAGCAGAGTCCCGCGCAGTGCACCGATAGCTAAACCGCATGCGATCATGGATATCGATAAACTCCGACCCCGTGAGTCTCCCACTCTTGTCTTCGAGGAATATCGGCATCCCATAGAGCGTCATGGTGAAGGGGGGACAAAGGCTCTGAGGAGAAGGAGGGAGAAGTAAAGGAGCGGATGAGGGGAAAAGATGTAGTACGGATTCACGCATTTCACATTACATATATACCCCCCCACGACGCGCCAGACGCGATATCCGGCGAATTTGACGAGGGGAATTAACGCTAGGCCTAAAAAAGCAGGAGTGATCCGCCGAGGTGAGGGTGTGCAGGCGTTCGATCGTAGAAACCAGATAACGGGGAGGGCAGCCCTGATGGAGCATTTTGGCGAACAGTTGGTCGGTCGGTGGGGATGCATCGTGGCATCGATGAACCGGTTCACATGACAAGGGGTGTTGTGGGTTGTCCCTAATAAAGATTCGTCTTGGTCTTTCAGGACTCTTGTAACTGACAGACAGAGGTAAAAAAGACGTACGATAGGGCTAATAATAATCCATTTCCCAGGTCAGACTGCATCTCAAACGAACTTTTTTACCACACAGCCTGATATGATGTCGGTTCAATATCGCCTTTAATCGTAAGTTCATTCGGAAGCTTCCGACTACGGGTCGCTTGCCGAGGTTCAAGATAGGTTGGAACTTATTGCAGCTGAGTTTGCGTCGTAGTCAGAACGTCATGAGGACTTCGTCGAAGGCACTTGGTCCTCGGTGATATTGGAGACTGCTCAAAAGAACTCCAAAACGTGCAAACCCAATCAACACAGCAGAATGAAAAAGAACTAGGAAGCCCGTCTCGACATCACAGCTCATTGGGCTAGTCCTTGTGAACACGTCTTCGTTTTCCGCTAAAGAACAAATTCTGTGCATTTTTCATCAATCAGAAGCTTCAACCTGATAATCAGCTGGGAATCTGACCCTCGTTCTTCGTAGGAATCTCTTTCAGGGTCAGGTTTGTGGTCCGTCACGTCGATCGTATGAGGTAAATCTTGCCTGCCGCGTGCGGTACCGCTCGTACTATAGACACCCACATGATGAGAGGAAATGACGAAATCCCACGGCGTGTTTCTGTCAATGGCGCTGCCGCGCAGTACGGGTACGGCGATAGCCTCTCTATGAACATTGTCGGCCGTGGCTTCCAAGGATACTTACAGAAAGATGGACATCGTTGCCCGAAAATTGAAGCATTGGTTGTGTGGCGCAGCTCTCGTGTTGATCGGTAGAGGCCAGAATTAAATAAAACAGGGGAATAAACCGCTGTTGCTAGCGCTGTTTGGGCATCATCATGATTGAGCATCGGTTTGAAGAAATCTATGAGTGGCTCACCTTGAATAGTTGATGATGATGGCCACGATACGGGCTAGATGGTCGCATTGACGCTAGTATTCACAGCAGTTAGCATCGCCCTAGGCTGACATGCAGATTGGATTGAAGTACCGCTGCATAACGACGACCAAGCAGGGCTGACTAATGCAGGGACACTTGCGTCGGACTCGGACATAGTTTCGTACCGCGTTCCCGCCGTTTGTGAGGGAAAGTGAGGTACCATCGACGCTCCAGCTAGGGTGTCGTTCGGGAAAAGATACCGGTGGCCCGTGTCGGGAACGCGGAGACGTGCCTGCTTACCATCTTCCGGTCAGGGTTATGCACGCCTGTACTTGCCGGACCCCGCGTATGTATTTTGCGACTCTCTTGAGCATTATCCGACTACACGCAGGGCCTTCTACCGGCTACGTAGTGGGTCGGATACATAAGGGCTGGATGCTCCACACCCTGCCGAGCTGTTCGAGAAATACAGCACAGTAAAAAGTAGCCGGAACTGGAATAGTGCATTGTTGGTAACTGACGCCAAGTATCTTGAGTGGTGAAGCGAATTTCCCATGACTTCAAGACATGAAAATTGTATGGTGTCCATCGGGAATTGGTGACAATTACACAACCTTTCTGGCTCGGGCGTCAGCGAACATCCATAATCACCCGAGTATACGACGAAAAGATGATGAGTCGCGTACCTTGAGATAAGTCCTGGATGCTCTTGTTGCTCCATCGCATCTGTTTTTGGTAAAATTAGGGAGAGGTACGCGTTGCTTATCGGGCCTTGAGGCAACAATCCATCACGTTGTCTTGCTTAGTAGATTCTCCGTAGCGCTGTTGATTCCACCTTGTTCCAACTTTAGCTTGGGTCATTTTTGCTGCTGTTTGAGCCTCTGCTGTTGAGCCGAAAGTGATATTATCAAGATGAAAGATATGTTACAAGATTGGACGGATATCATTTAGATTCTTGCTATAGGATGGTCCTTGACATGCCCTACAACAGGGTACCGTTTCCTAGCGCCAATTCAGTACCATAAAATGGACACCGACAAGGAAACACTCACATAAAAAAGGCATGCCAGTCATCAAGGACCTTCATATCTTTCTCATCCAGCACGCTGTAATTGGGCACCGCATCCTCCACCTTTAGACTCGACATGCCCAGCCCCCTTGATCCATCTTTTCCAGCAAACACACTGTACGACTTTCCGGGGCCGTACACATCGCCCTTCCTCGTGACATCGAATATCGTTCCTGACGGGTCGACGATAAGTTGTCGTTCTTTGTGGCGAGCCGCCTAGGCTCTCTCACCTTTGATAGAGACGTAGATTGGCTTGGACGGGTCCGAGCCGTCATATTGTCGCAGCTCCTCTAGGGTGTAAGGGTCGTCTTTAGGAGGAGGTAGATCGTCCTTTGGTGGCTGCATTATCGTTTTTACTGGCTCTGCTTCAACAGAAGGCGGCGGCGACTCGGTTGCTGTTGGTGGTGATGGTGATGGAAAGAGAAAGCGATGGCCGATATATACGATAGGGACTGCAAGCAGGAGAGCGTATGCGGGGAAATTGGAGAACGTGGAGAACTCGACCATTTCTGTCCAGGCTGCAATGTGAAATTCGCCGGTCTATTTAGTAATGGTATCACGTGAAATGAGATGCTTGCTATTGTTTGTCAAAAGCGCAGGCTCGTTTACCAGCCGGCGTTTCGCCCACGTGGCTGCGCTATCACTTTTGGGCGAAAGCGGCTGGGCAAAACGGAAACGTTTTAGAGGGTCACGCTTTCTGTGACTTGGGACTTAGAAAAGTTTCACATCTTCACCGCTAGTTTTAATGGCTGTCTACTCCCCTCCCTTGTGTTGGGATTTGGCAATCCGGCATCATGCCGAGTTCGCTTATTAAGGAAGAAGTCTGAGGAAAAGCGTGGAAAGTTCTAGTAAAAGTACATTTAGTATAAAAGTAGTAGTCTCGTCCCCATCCGTTTGGTGTGATCACTCGCTACGCTCGGTACAATCGGACCGGTCCACGTGTGGCGGAGTTGAAAAATGGAGGGCTCAGATCACACCGAAACGTCTGGGGCATTTGAGTCGCGATTTCACCCCTCCTCCTATTTTTTCAAATAATGATGCCATCTTGTTGCTTTATTTGGACTCTCTTGTCCCTGTACGAGCGATGTACTTACATGCAGTCAATGTAGTCGCGCATATGCTCCGGAAACAGATTCTTAATAAAACGGCACCCATGCTGGGCTGCCTTTACAGTGTTCATAAAAATATTGGTTTTTGGCAGTTCCTCTGGAGTCATAGCTTGCAGATTCAGATGCGGCTTCGAGGCGTCATAGTCAGATGCATTCTTCATTCTATGAACAGACGTTGAATGCGATTTTTGGACGGTCACTTGTTGTCTTTGCGCGATCTCAATCTGGGAAATGACCGGTCACTAAAGTACTGACTATCAGACAGGTATAAAGCATAAACGACGCGGTGTGTCTCTGCTTGGGCGTGGAATGAAATTGCCCATTACTATTTGAAAAGGAGTACGAGGGGTGAAATCGAGAGCAAATGCCCCAGACGTTTCGGTGAGATCTCTGCCCTCTATTTTGAAACTCCGCTCACGTGGGACGGGCCGATCTGTCCGAGCGCAGCGAGTAGGGTGAGATCTCACCGAAACGAATGGGTACGAGACTATAAAAGTAGGTACTTTAGCGTAGATCCTCATGCGTTTGCAGAGCTCAGCCAAGCGCAATACTATTGGCTTGCTACCGCGCATGTGACACTGGGAACGAACCGATACCCCGTTTTCCAACACCTTGCAATGCATCGTAGAGATACACATTGCATACTCTGTTTACCACTGAACCTCCCACACAGCTTATTTTTTGTGGCCTCGCCTGGAAAACATTATTCGACTGTCTGCTCTTATGATGTCATCATTTAGTCATCATTCTCTTGTCATTCTCTCATGCGGGAGAGACAGTCATCGAAGGGCAAAGTAGAGGGCTCGATAATTATGAATTAACAGGATTTAAAATAATATGTGCACAGGTATACTATGCATACTAACCCTTATTGAGGCAAACCGGAGGCAGAGGAAGTGTAATGGCTGCTGAAAATAAGCTGCAAGACAGAAATCAGTGAAAATTTTCTAAGTCCCATGTCACAGAGAGTGTGACCCTCTAAAACGTCTCAGTATTGACCAGTCCGTTCGCAAGCTCACCTCTCCTGTCAAAATCATGTCAAACCATACCAAACAACCAAACATCCGTATAAGGAATTAGCATCACGAGGTGGCAGCTTGCGAACGTCGACTGGCTAGCGAGTCTATCAAAAGCGTTGTAATGCCGCACTTGCTTCGTCTCTCTTCATTGCTCAGCGAATACCTATGCTAGCTATACTATTTTGAGCTGGTTAACTTTGCCTGTGATGCACAAGAAAATGACACATGCTGTTCCCTTTTCTGTTGACTAATAGAGTGCGGATTTTCAACATTTGCTGCCAGCGGAATAGATTCAATACAGTTCTTATCTATTACGGTTTTTTTTTCTTGCGGCAGTCGTAACCTGTCAGATAAAATAATATCCAGCACATTCATACGAAATGAATTCAGACAACTCAAGCATACCATTTCACGTCTCCGAGCTATAGATTACATGGCGAGCCTCTTGAAGGAGGCGACTTGAGACTCAAAAGAAGTCAGGTTGTCCGGAAACTGACCATTTTCTGGTGCTTTCAAGATAAATTTCCCAGTAGCAAAAGTCTGAGTATCGACACATAAGTATAAGGAAGCGTAAAGGGAGCCTAAGTTAGATGGACGAGATGCCGCAGATTGCCGCTTCGCGTCTCGGCCCGGAAGCCGCAACGCGTCCATCACGTGGGAAATCGAGGATTTTTCCCGTCTTGCTTTTTGCAATCCAACTTGAATCAAACATGCTCCGGCTCAGTTTTGCTCTTCGTCGTCTGCGGACTGCTCGTATTCCTTGCGCAACATATACTACTGCAGCAGAGCCTTCGTCTCTCCACCGCATAGTCCGTGTCGAAAATCTTCCGGAAGGATACAATGTCAGCAGCATCATCAGCTCCGTGAACGCTAATCCCTCGGAGGCAGTCATACCTTCCAAAGACCACATCCTCATTCGATTCCTCGATGAACGATCCGCAAAGCGCTGTGTTGAAGCGAGCCAAGCGGAAAACAAGCTGTCATTAAAGATTGACGATTCCGACTTCACCAGCATTGGACATCCAGACTGTCGCAATGCTCGCAAAATACAACGCGACACGCACAATCAAACTGCGTAAAGTCCCAGAGACCTTCACCGAATCTCAATTCAACGAGATCCTTTCCAAGCACGGAAGGGTCGTCTCTTCGTGCTTTGACAAGTCCGAGGGTGTCATCGAAGCACAGTTCTTGGACCTACACCAGGCGTTCAAAGTGACTTTGTCTTCGAAATACTTTATTTGCGTATGCTGACTTTCTATCAAGGCCCGGGACGACTTTGTTGCAGCGGGAGCTCTGCCGAGGTTTGCAGAAACCGAGCCCTTCATCTATCCAGAATGGTACTCGAAATCAGACGAGCAGCCTAACCAAGAACGCTTCGTAAAGATCGACGGCCTGAAGGACATCGAGACACGGCTAATGAGCTTGCGCTGGACCAACAATTACAAAGAAATCCCCCCAGCAGCTTTTATATCAGCCCGTTACTCCAGCGAAAAAGTGTGTCCTCATTTCAATATGTCGACCCGTCTTTTTTGATGTTTTCTTAGACCATGTCGGTTTATTTCCCAACATCCGCATTGGCTCGACAGTTCAAGAGCATATGTGAGCCCTTGGCAGCAGGAAAATGCACACTCTCCCTGCACTCCTCAGATGAAGCCGTCTCTCGCGGTGTAGTCACCGCAATCGATCAAGGCGCTCGCCGTCTGGTTGCCGTTCCCTTCAACGGGACCTTGACAGACGAGAAACGAACGCGATTCGGGCGGTTCTTCCACAATTTTGGCCGATTAGATGCAAGGTGCCCTATTTCGTACTTATTTTAAGTGGTGGTTGGTCGCTCACAGTTCAAATTTTTGCCAGGAGAATCACACATACGGACGGACAGCTGATCGTTCCCTTCGCCACCGTAGTCGGTGCTTCGAGCTATGTTTATCACGTCTATAAGGGTCTACGAATAAAGCCGCCATCCGGAATCAAAAACGTTCTGCCCACCTTTGTTGGTGCTTATCACTCGGGATGAGTGAACCGTCACATTTTTTATACGCACATTTCCATACAAAATCTATTTCACTTGCGTCTCAGCAGGTTGCATATAGTTTTGACTTGTCAGCGTACCGCCAAGATCAAGCCGAGCATACAAAAACACACAATGAGATCTGAACTCATGTCGGATCGGGGACAAAGCTTCACTCTGTTCTTATTCTGCTTGAACTTCTGGGTTCCCCACCGTCGGTCGACCAAAAACGAAGATGAAGGTAACAAGTTGAGAGCGGACTCAAGGCAGACTCGTTTACGCTCACTTACCTGAGCAGTATCAACAAAGTTGGTTAATCAATGTAGTTTCTTAGTTTTCCAGATCTTTTACACTGCACCCTTAGTACTCACAGTCTGCAGGTGCTCTAATTCGATGTAACCATGGGTCGGCCGCCGTTTGGGCATCTTTGACTGTGAATGACGGCAAGATGTCAATCATTAAATGGCTTGATTTCAGTGACAAGACGGAAAAGCCTAATACGGCAGGCAGTACGCGGCTACGCCATGAAAATTCCAGCAGAATTGCTCAGGATTGGCCAAATTATGGTGGAGCTATCATCACGGTCGGTAGCTCGTTGTTAGTAAATTTACACGCATAACGGAAAATGGTCAAGAAGTTGAAACATGGGATAGAAAGGACGGTATACCATATGGCAACGATGTAAGCATTATTTTTTGTTGGAGCCGGACGTACTCTTTGCTTGTATTCCGCCTAAATCTTGCCGGGCAGACGGGTGCATGTTATATGCCAGCCGTGAGAGATGGATGCGCACCAACACACAGTCCGTTTCGCTCCCGTTAATCCTGTGTGCCAAGGCGTTAGAGCGTGCCGTTCCGTCTCGGCCCGGTACCCGTAGCGCATTCATCACGTGGTGAATCGAAGATTTTTCCTGGTCTCTTTTTGCAATTCAACTTGAATTGAACATGCTCAGGCTTGGTTCTGCCCTTCGTCGTCCTTGTGGAAGGTGTATCCCTTCCGTGTCTTATACTACTACAGCCGAGTATCCGTTCCTCCACCACACAGTCCGTGTAGAAAACCTCCCGGAAGGATACAATGTTGGTAGTATCATCGATACAGTGAAAGCCAATCCGTCGGAGACGATTACACCCTCGAAAAACCATCTTCTTGTCCGTTTTTTTGATGAAAGGACCGCCAAATGCTGTGTTGAGGAGAACAAAGAGGAAAAGCTGTCATTAAAGATTGACGATTCGACTTCGCCAGCGTTGGACGTCCAGACTGTTGCAGTGCTTGCAAAATACAATGCAACGCGCACTGTACAGCTGCGTAAACTTCCGGAGAGCTTCACTGAATCTCAATTCAACGACATTCTCTCCGAGCACGGAGGCGTCGTCTCTTTGCGCTTTGACAAGACCAGGGGTGTCACCGAAGCCCAGTTTTTGGATCTACACCAGGCGTCCAAGGTAGCTTTCACTTGAAAAATATCCCATTCGCGGGTGTTAACTTTCTAAAAAGGCACGAGCTGAATTTGTTAGAGCGGGAGCTGTGCCGAGGTTTGTGGACACCGACCACTTTATTTATCCAGAGTGGTACTCGAAGCAAGATGAACAGCCTAATCAAGAACGCCTAGTAAAAATTGAAGGCCTGGAGGACGTTGAGACCCGGCAAATATGCATGCGCTGGACCAACAATTACAACGATTTCCCTCTAGCGTCTTTCATATCAGCCTGTCATACTAGCGAAAAAGTCGGTCTTTATTTCAATTCGTCGACTGGTCTCTTTAAAATTTAGAAAATCTTAGGAAATGTGGGTCTATTTTCCAACTTCAGCCTTGGCTCGACAATTCATGAGCATATGCGACCCCATGGCAAAGGGGAAATGCACTATGACCTTGCAAACCACAGATCAGGCCGTCTCCCGTGGTATAGTCACTGCCATTGACTTGGGCGCAAGGCGGTTGGTATCTTTTCCCTTCAATGGGAAGTTGTCGGACGAGAAGCGACAAACATTCGGGCGCTTCTTTCACCGCTTTGGCCGATTAGATACAAGGTACCACACTGTGTATCTGTTTATGTGGGCATTTTCTCACACAGTTTCATGTAGGAGAATCACCCATACTGAGGGACAGTTGATCGTTCCTTTCGCCACCGTGGTTGGTGCTTCGAGCTTTATTTATCATGCCCGTCAGGGTCTACGAACAAAGTCACCTGTCGAACTCAATGACGTTCTGCCGACCTTTGTTGGTGCCCATCACTCGAGATGATTGAACGGTCGCATGTTTTTATCCACATTTTCATACAAAATCTATTTACATCCTAGCGGGCTGCATACAGCTTTGACTTGTTATAAAATCATCCAATTCCGTGAAGGTCAAGCCGAGCGATACAAGCTGATCAAAAACGTATGTACCTCGACCTAAAATCCGGCGTCTCGATGAGAATCGAACAATACTCATATCGCATATTGGATCGAGGACAAAATATTGTAATCTTGGGCCGGTTGTTTTTCTGTGGTTGGACCTGCAGACCCGGCCATTTCAAGACCTGGTTTTGCGAGCGTTCGTCGATGTGTGCATGTTATTGCCTTAATTGGGATATGGTGGTCTGGTGCTCGCCGTGCTCATCTCCTGATGCGTTATTTTCATCTTCCCACCATTCCTCCTCGTTCTGCTCAAGCACCGATTCGGAATCTCCTTGGTCCTCCAACTCCGACCCGCTCTTGTGACGGCCAATGAATCCTTCCCGAGAACTCACTGGAGGACTCGGTTCTTGCCGACAGGTACAGCAATTTTAGGTATTCGCGTACCAGTTTCTGCCCCTTGTATAAGCTATTCGGTGCTTGCGAATTCTATTTTCGCACGCTTAGAGTTGTCCCTCGCAAGGTCAGTTCACGTCCTTCTACCGTACGAATTGTGAATAATATTGGCCTAGGCAGCATTGTCCCGACCAAGGTACTCCTATGGGGCTGGAATTCTAACTCTGAAGAAATGTATAATTAAGACATCCTGGGCCTCTGGATTCTCCATGTTTAGACGCTTGTCCGCCAGGAACGGGTCTGGTCACCTTCTCAACCCACGCATCCGATTATCCGTATGACCCTTGGTCGACGACAAATCATCGAACAACTAGCTCGCAGATCAAGTCTGTGCGTGAGTTCCGACATTCGCGTTTCGTGACAAACCGCCCTCTTCTCTATTTTTACAGGCGGTTATGATTACATAACTCCCTGGACTCTAAGTGCTATATAAAGAGGCCGTGTTCTCCCCCATTGCACATCGTCTAATAAGCCATGATCACCTGGCTATTCGTATTATCCTATGCTATATTGGATAAATTACTATTGGCTGCTTCGACACCTGAGATCCAACTGGGCAAAACCAGGCTCGTTGGAAGGGATGTTACAGGGCTACAGCAAGATTTCTTCGGAGGTGTGCCGAAATATCTTCATAACTGTAATCAAGGCTAACACAAAGGCCAGGTATACCCTTTGCGGAACCTCCTGTTGGAGCCTTACGCTTTCAGCGTCGTATTTTGAAGACAGACATTGATGCCGATGTATGTGATGCCCAGAATTTTGGACTGCCGTGTTTACAGCGTGTAGGTTTCTCTCTCCTGGTTTCTGAAACTCTATTTTAATGAAAAAAAGGGTCTTCCTGCTGAGGCGATGTCAGAGGATTGTTTGACCATCAATATCCTTCGGCCGAAGATGACAACCAATGTCCTACTACCTGTAATGTTCTGGTAAAATCGTGTTTTTTATCCACTTTTCCTTGTGTTGATGGTTCCGAAGGACGTATGGTGGCGGTTTCTTTTCAGGTGCTTCGTCATCTTTCAATGGAAGTAATATCGTTGCTCAGAGCGTTGCCAGAGTAAGAGTTCTGCATTATATTCACGCCTACGTAGCTGATTGATTATAGGGCACCCCCGTCGTCTATGTGAACCATAACTACCGGCTAGGGCCACTAGGCTTCCCTCAAGGACCAGAGGCTGAAAGCAGCGGACGACTCAACCTCGGGGCCAAAGATCAGATAGCTGCCCTGGAATGGGTCCAGCAGAACATCGGGTTATTCGGCGGTGACAAGAGCAAGGCAGGTGATTCTCTCAGATACGAATTCGTTTGGAGCTAACTACGACTAGGTGATGGTTTTTGGAGAGAGTGCCGGAGCTATGTTGACGAATTTGCTATTTTTAATGCCATCATTTCCTACCTTGGCTAGAGCCGCTGTAAGCGTGCAGATATTTTTTTCATGAGTATATCGTTAAAGTTCTCTTCAGATTTTCGAGTCTGGTGCTCTATCTTCCATCGTAATTTATAACGCATCTACACGAGAACCTGCCTGGGAGAATTTCGTGGCGGGAACACCAGGCTGCGAGTCTGTGGCTGGCACACAATCTACCTTTGACTGCCTACTTCAGGCGAACACTTCCGCTATATATCAAGGATTTTCAGAGTCCTATGCGCTGGCCATCGAACGTTATCCTTTTGTTCCCTCACTTGATGGGCCTTCAGGTCTTCTTCCGGACCTACCTCCACATCTCTGGGAAAATGGAGAGTTCGCCAGACTTCCGTTCATTTCAGGCACAAACTTAGATGAAGGTATGATTTTGTTTCTTTCTGTGGGCCATGATCAATGTTGGTGCTCATCAGGAGCACGCTTTCTACCGACCAATCGCACGTTTACAAATGAGGACGTCTCCTGGAACGACTTCTCGAGCTTTATCCCGACAATCCATCGGTGGGGTCACTATATGGCACAGGAGAAGAAACCTTTGGGTTACCCTCAGGTTTTAAGAGAGTGGCTTCTATGAGTCGGCTTCGTTTCCTCTTCTCTCTTTCATTCTGAATTTCTGATTCATTCGTCAATCTTTATTTTAGGCGGCGACTTGACCTTCGATGCTCAACGTAGAATTTGGACACAGACTGCAGCGGGAGCCGGCGCGAAAGCATATGGATATCAGTTCACGCAGAATTCGTCGTCGAATCCCCCTTCTATGGAGGTAAATATCATTCCTCCAGAACTTGGTTCGCTTACATACCAATGATTTCCAGTTCCACACGAAGCAGAACTGGACTTTGTCTACGGAAGTCTGGAACCCTCCATTGAGCCGGCATCGTCGATCCTGTTGGGCGAAACGATGGTCGAATACTGGATTTCTTTTGCCACGAGCTTGGACCCTAACGATGGCTTAGGGATATCTCGTGAGTAATTCTCGTGCTGTCTAGCTAGCACTGGTTGATTGTCTCTAAGGCCCAATCTGGCCGCAGTACACACCCGAGAACGAGGCATGTAACCATCTTCTTGTAGATGTAGTTGGTGTTAACCATGGCTTCAGGTGCTCTTACAACTGCATGGTGAAAACATCACTGTCATTCCGGATGACTACCGCAAGGAGCAAATTGAATTCCTAAGAGACAACCCCGACGTCTTCAACCGGTAAAGTAACTGTCTCCATAATTCAGGGAATTTTCAATAGACCAGACAGAGAATACATTGTAATCAATGTACCGTTCGAACCTGCAGAAATTTATAGTAAACTCATGTAGGGCACTTCCTGCTATGTCTCATCGAGGAATTCCTAGGTGCAATTGCAAACGACGATACAAGCTTGGCGTAAGCCATAGCCTACTTTCATCCAGCATGGCGACGAAAGGTTTTTTTGAGGTTAGTCAGCGAGAGACTGAGCGTTAGTCCGAAGAGCTTCCGCAATCTCACCTAGATGTTGACATTGTTGGGAAAACCCGGAGCATATCAATTTTTTCGGGGAGGTCCACTCACTGCAGACGCGACCAAGTGGCTACCCGTCAATGATATTTGGGACCGCATAAACACTACGAATCTCTGTCAGGACTGGCACTGTGGTACACTTCCATCAAGATTTCTTGTGCCATATGGAGTATTCGAGTCGGAGACACTACCTAGTCGCTAACAATGTCGAGCAACGCCTCGCGCTATTACTATTTAGTATCCTCAAAAAATGGTGTACCATTCAGCAAACAGATGCACTCACTGCAAAGGCTGCCAAAGCCATTCACACATGGTCCATCTCTTGGTCCAGTGTAAGCCCGCCCGCCCCAGTGTTCTTACTTACGATGATGTAGTTTCGGACTGTTTTATTGCTTCCGTTTTTTTGACCGTATTTTGCTTCCGCTCGTATATATACTCGCTGTCGCACTTTAGATACCTACTTTTCTTTCTTTCTTCCTTTCTCCCACGTAGACGTCTACTGTCCTCCTCAAATACACGTCGTTCACCGTATTCGTTGATTCTCCGTGAGTTCAGTGTTTCCTGTCCCTGACAGGTTTCCACTCGGGCTTACATCCAGTTGCACCATGTCAGCGGATACGTTAGCAAACTCCAACCGCGAGCTTCCGATTCAGAAGACGGCGCACGGCCTTTTAGCAGATAGCCGGACCATAAGACTTCTCTCGCGGTGAGAGTCAGTGACAAATCCTATGTCAAAAACTTTTCCCGTGCAGACTAGTCAGCTTATTACAAGGGGAAGATAGGGGTTGCTTACACGAAAGATATTGATGTTTTTCTCGTCAAAGGCATGAACGTTGTAACCGATGTTCTTGTAGCTGAGAGATTCGGAGACTTCGACGAGTTGAAGAGGAATTGTCTGTCGGCGGTTGAAAGTGGAGGGAACTCGGAAATGATAGAAGGCAAAAGCACGGGGCAAAGAATAGGTGGAGTCATGTCAACAATCACATCACGCAAAAGACTTCGCCCTTGGGCCTTGTGAAAAAAAATACAAACGTAAAAGGTGATAAGAGAGGAAAATGAATAGCCCACCGCGAGGGTCGAACTCGCAGCCTTCAGATGTGGTTATCCCCGCACACTCCTAAGAGTCTGACGCTCTATCCGATTGAGCTAGGCAGGCCACGAAGATTGTCCTAACCTTAGCATATAACTTATAGTGACAGTCAGCCGATATTCAATTGTTGTGACAACTAGAGATAGAGGTTGAAGTAATAAATAAGTCGCGCGGCAGAGATTCAGCTGGATACTTGCACGATAGCGCATATGCCTCTTTCGAGGTGTGTGTTTATTGGCCATTTCGTAACCATACCGTCCTGCTGAGAGAGCGATCCGGGGAGCGAGCGAACCGTCCAACGATGAGTAAAGCCGCTTTCTGAGAAAAAATGTATTCGTTGGGATACTGAGTGTACGGGTGAGGGCTAATTCATATACTATACAGTCCTCAAAATGGTGTACTAGTCTTCGCCGTTTTTCTCAGCCGCCAGCAGCTCAAATAATACCCTGTCCGGCTCTGAATGCTTTGCGACTTTGCGATGGTCTTCTTTTATTTTGAAATTTGCCTTTGTTTGAGGGACTATACACCATGCCCGTTTACTGGAGAACGTAGGGTCGTGGAGAGTAGTGATGCCCGGGATCGAAGGAACCTTAACCCGATTAGAGCGACCACTAAAGCAACCTACAATGTGTTCCCGAATGACATATTCACCCTTACTGTCCATCCAATTATCTCGTCGCTTCGAGAAAAAATGCGGAAGAGCTGATCCTTGCGCAACGGAGACAGGACTGTAGGAGTGATATTCATCAGTGAAGACCGATGCTTTGCATGTAGGTAAAATGCTCCATGGTACTGACCCGATGTTCTGAGTGAATGTTTCTTGTCACTGATAGGCGTGCTCTGAGGAAGGAAGGGTATTGGACAGAAGACGACTAGAGGAAAGATAGCGAAGTGGTCCTTCTAAAGAAACGGTCGCAAGTCTAGTCTGATATAACATTCTTACCACGACCATCTTATGACTTTGGAGGAGCGGTAGACGAATGCGTGTGCAACATGGCGGTCTCATGGGATAAAGAAGAACATTATGAAGTTAGATTTTCTGGGAAAGTATCAATACCAAATGCGTACGATAACAAGTAACAATGGCCGCACGCAAGTCGCAGTAATGGTTCAAGAACTGCCATAGTTAGCGGCAGGCAGCAACGATGGAACCTTGAAACACCATGAAGTTTGGGGAAAGATTCCTGGCTTAATACACGTCGGATTTGGAAGGGCCTTTCGAAAGGTACAAAACTGATATGCATTCATCCGAGTCCAAACTTGACAAGGAACCTTAACCCTAAGGAAAGTAAGGTTAGGTTTACATTCAAGTCTGGAGGGGGGACCCACCATATATAAAGCGGTCCCATTCTTCTCCAGGCCCTCACACCTTTCCCTCAAACCACCACCACCACTCACACTCACCCTTCCCAGCATCCTCCCTTCTACGCTCGCACTCATTCAAGTAAACCAACGCCTCTCTATCCATCTGTAAGCCTTTCTTCCGCCAGTTGGGTCATAAAAAATTTATACTCACAACGACGAGAAGACGATGCCATCCCGACTACAAAACGTGGCGGCCATGGCTACGCAGCAGGGTAGAAAGGCGCCAGAATTGTATTCATCACCACCGACGGCGTTCTACACACCGTCGAAAGCGCCTTTCGTTATTCCTGTCTATAGCAACACGCAGCTCACCACGACGGTCCCCGTTCACCGTCATGATGCACGTAGTCCCGACGCATCGTATACGAGATCTGTACGCGAATGTATTGCGCCGTCCCCGCCACCCGTCCTTGGTAAACCGCGCCATTGTCACATCCCACTACCGTCGCAAATTGAGAGCGACAGCGCGATAGTGGTACATCCACTGTTGCGACCGAGCCGAGGAGAGATGATGATCGAGCTCGACTTTGCTCACAGTCTGGCGAGCGTACGCGTTTTTAGTCACGATGGCTGCGTGAACGAAGCAGCAACCAACCCGCCTCTTCCGTCGCTGGCCATTGTCCACCCAATGCTTCCTTGGCCAGTAGTCATTCATAGGTCGGGCCATAGAGAGTGGGTTACAGTTGCCGACGTCGTCGAGACGCTGTGGCAGGCTCTTCAGATGCCCATCCCGCTGCCGAAGTCGTCGTCGTCGTCATCATTGTTCGTCGAAAATGAGGAGGATGCGCTCTTTACCAGCGTGTCGGATTGGGAAGAGCGAGAAAAAACAGTGCTCAGGCTGGTGTATTTGAGGGGGAAGACACGGTTCATGGGTCTCCAGGCTGTAGGAAGCGATACGTGGGAGCTCATTGTTGCGTAGGGCGCGCGGGTCGCTATGTGGCCGTCGGGATATTTATTCTGGGCACTCATCTGTAGTACTGAAAAGTTGTATCAGTTACGCCCAACGTACGATGACGACAGACTACCTCAGGAGGAGCTGGCGTTGATACAAATTAACGAGAGGGATAGCGTGTTAAAGGGCGATGATAGTCGACGTCGAGAGCAGTACACTGTTCAGTTGCGTCGGCTTGATGACCCTTAACCCTAGCACCAGTAAGGTTAGGGTTACACTCGTTCCTTCACCCATGCAGGCATCGGTATTACTCCCTCGCATGTCCGAAGTTACCAAAGCGATATATGAATGCTATCTCGGTAGCACAACGACGCCGTGATCAGTCGGCCTTGGAGCAAAGGAAGAAGAGGCAAATCTAATGCCACAGGGTGGGGAGGCGGGAATTAGAAGAGGATGGCCACGATGTGCCTCTTGAAACAACTAGAAACGTGTCCATATATGAAGACGAGAAGCGCCGCTAGCAGTGGGTATCGTCGTGGAGCCGGAACTGATGCTTGCTGAAGAGACCGTGATGCATCGCTCCGACGGATAACCCCGAGTCCAAAGGAATGAATGGGCTGCCGGTTTGTCGGGAAAGGCGTAACTCCTGGTACGATACTATCGTCTGGACCGACAGATGAGCGCTGAATTCGCTATAAAGCCTTGAAAATTCTGTACCCGCTGTTGTTCTGCCCAACACTTCCCCAACGTTCGTTCTCCTTCAACTCTTTCCTTATCCGCATCGCGTCTCTCAAGGAATGAATGGGCTCTTCGTCTTGCACTAGGATACCTGTTAGATATATATTCGTCGATTTCACAGAAAACGCTGACCTTTATTATCATCTTAGCTGCCTAACTTCGACAATAATTCCATCCTATCCCGTAACTGGTCTCGGTCGGGCAAGTGTCAAATTCCCGTTCACGTCGAGTCGCAAGTCGCGAGGATTATCATAGCGCCAGGTAATCGGTTTGATATTGATCTATCGAACAGACGATGAGATTGTGGACGCGCTGAAACAAGAACAAAATGCTCACAGTGCACGGCTTTCCCCCGCTATCTGTTCAGTCCCCGCGTCGCCGTGGTGTATTGGAGCAAGGTTGTTTACAACGGCCGATGATCAATCCTTTATGTTGCGACGCCTGCTACTAGCCTATTACCGGTGAGTGCTATATCAGTTCCCTGTAAAAGGGCATTTAGCGAAAATTCATACAAGAGAATCACTGAGACCAACTCAGCAGTCAATAACAGTCCGTCGCATTCTGTGGTGCGAGCCGTAGACCAGATAGTGATGGTAGTACAGGATCAACAAATCGTGCCGAGAGGCCGGAGGTGCATCCGGACTTTGAAATACTTTAACGGTTTTCTTCAGCAATCAAAAACCCATTGATTCCACTTCTCCGCAACTCCTCTGTATTTGACCTTCAAAATTCATATTCTCTACTTGATATGCCACAATCCTAGGAAAATTAGACCCGAATGTACCCGAACCCACTTTGTCGTGGTCGGCATGAACCGATACCTCGTTTCTACCATAGCCGAGTTTTCGCTCCTCCACATTAGGTGCAACTACATTCTGCCTCTCGCGAATCGGTGGTAGCCAACAAATTTTCCCGAAGTCACAACGACACGGTTGCGCAAGATCACAGTCAAAAGGTTGGGGACATACCAAGCACTTCTGCAATCACAGGCGTACAACTATCAAGAGTCGCCTCCTGCTCCGCGAGCAACGTCAAATCCTTATCTCGCTCCCCTTGACGCGAGTCCCATATGTCAATGTCCATCGCGCAGTAAGTATCCTCGCCACGGTCGTCGCCACTGTCTTCGTCTTCGTCGTCTTCACCCGGAATCTCGAGCTGGGGCACCTCTAAAACATGCATGTTGGTTGGCGGGACACAGGGCATCCAATCGAGTGGTCCATCACTTCTCCCCTCTGCCATACTCCCAAATAAGCGTCTGAACCTTCCGTAGTCAGGGAGCTGATCGAAATCGAGGGAACGGCTGTCATCGAGTAGGTCGCCGAATTCGGCTGGAAAACCTTCAGACAGATCTTTGCCCGAACAACTCGATTTCATCAGTCGGACGATCTCTTGTGAGCGCAGTTGAGACTCCTCGCGCGAACGAGGTTTCCAAGGTAGGTGTCCGCGAAGAAGGAAGAGGGCGATGTAAGCTAAGGACTCGAGGTCATCGCGTGGAGAAAGATCTGGCATGATAGAGATAAGAGTGAATGACATTACTACCAGATATTGCAGCGTAACGTGCACTGACCTATTCCATTGTGAGAGTTCAGACTCGCCCAGTAAAGAGACCCAATGATGGACCGGCGATCCTTTAATGGATCGTACTTGCTAGGCTGACTACGGGAAAAAGGCTTGGAGATTCCAAAGTCGATGATTTTGATTGTCGAATCATCGGATGCGCAGAGGAGGTTCTCAGGCTTGATGTCACGGTGCACAATCCCGAGCGAGTGAATATGCTCTAGTCCCGCCAGCTGCGCCTACGAGTCAGTTATTCCTAACGTCCGAGTTTACGTTTTACGCACCACTTGATCCACGATTCGGATGACGGTCGTCAACATCATGCCAGTCCCAGTCCCGTTCGTCTTCTGCCGCTCCGAAACGCTCAGCCCCAGAATCTCCATAGCCATGTACTCGAAATGCTCCAATTGGCCGTATGCATACACCAAGGGAATAGAGGCTTGTCCTTTCAAAAGCTGGAGTATGCGAGTCTCGTGCCGGAGAATGGGCCGCTTCACTCTCATCGAGACACGCGAAGTCTTGAGAGCCACAGTTTTTTCGGAACCTAGTTCAGTCGCCTTGAAGACGTTGCTCTATCGTTAAGTTGAGCGATGGGACAAATAGGAAATTTTCACTTACTTACATAGCTGCCATGTCCCAACATTCTCTCGCCATAGGGGGCACGCCGGTAGGTCAACCTAGGAGAGCTCATGTTGGTTGTGTGGCAAAAGTCAGGATCTGGTAAATACCATGTGATCTTTCAATGTCCCGGGCCGATCAAAGCTGTCAAAGCAAACCTGCCCATCGGCAACTCTTTAGAAAACCTTGGGCGGACTGGTGTATTTGAGGGGAAAGACACGGATTTATGGGACTGTGTGCCATTGAAGGGGACACCTGAGGACTACCTGTAGAGTCGGGCGCGCAGGTGGTAACGGTCGACGTCGAGAGCAGCACTGTTCAGCCATCGGCTTGGTTACCTTTAACCATGGTGCTTGCTAGGGAGGCACAGGTAGGCGACATCCTTCCAGTGGATGATACGGCGTTGATGGCAAGGGGGTGAATGAGCTTTCGGTCGAAGAAAGAAACCGGTTGTCTAGGAGAACTTAGGACCACACAGATGAGCGCTGACTTCATTCAATGGCCATGAAATTTTCGTACCTGCTGGCGCTTTCAGCAAACGCCTTCCTTTCATCGCCTTTCCTCTGATTCTATCGTTGTCGGCATTGTATGTCAAACGTCACGTCACCACTAGAAGCTTCGTCTCGTACTAGAGTATGTGTCAGATATTCATGTTGGTTTCACTTGCCGCTGACCCCGAGTGCTATACGGTTCCTGCAAAAAGATTGTAGTGAGAAGCTCTTCAAGAGAATTACTGAGATCAACTCACCAGGCGGAGACAATTGGTCATACTCTGCAGAACGAGCCGTAGACCAGACAATGATGGCGGGCGGTAGTAAAGATCAATGTTTAGCGCCAAGTGGCCGATCTGCATTTGAAATATTCGACCGGCATGATCGGCAAAAATCAATCAAAAAGCGGCCCCTTCTCCCTTGCTGGTCTTCCCGCTTGCTTCGACTTTTAGAAAATTATATTCTAGTGCCTTAGATGCTCTAAATTCCAATCATTTATTATGACAAAAACGGCGGGACTGCGGAAGGTGCCGTAAAGATGATGGCCGAGCTACATTCCGCTGTAAGCCCGGTGGGCTCACATCAAACTACTGACAGTATGATTCCTCCTACAGAACCACCGACACCACGCTCGGAGTCACATTGACCCCGCCGCTCTTATATACTGCCGCGGGACCACATCGGATTATCACACATATATATAAATAGATTATATATATAGTAGAGTACACATCTTCTTTTTCTTGCTTCTTCCCCTCATGTTCGCTTTCATACATACCCTCACTTACCCATTATGCCTGACCGCTCATCTCAATCATATACCCCATTCCTGTTCTTAGGCATGGTTCATGAGTTATCCAGTGAGGCTGCCTCTATATGAGCAGCCTTTCACTTTTTTTTTGAACATCAAACGGGGCACTAATTTTGAACAGAGCTTCACTCGCTACTTCGCTAAATCTGAACCCTACAAACTTGAACTGCACCTCGCCCTTGATCGCTATCTTGCTATTTGAACCTGAACTTGAACAGAACTCGTAATTACCTTTTTTCTTTCATTTTTATTGTGTTTAACATGCATATAACCAGCTCTTGTACAAACCAACATGGATCCATCACCCAGAACCACGCATCTCCCTGGCCGTGTACTCCCTTCATCCATCAGGTGTGACAGAACCCAACCAGAACCTTCTTCATCATCTTCATCACCCACTTCCTTGCCATTAACACCACTGCCTGTGTCTCCAAAACCTGCATCTCCTAAACGACCTTGCTCACCAGACACTGATTCCGATGATGAAATCATGAGCTTGAACGTTCCCCAGACGACTAACAATGGCATAGCCAGAGTTATCACAGGTACCTCCTCCAAGAACTGCCTCAAAATCACAGATGGCAAACTCACCCATGCTACTTTCCAATGGTTCCTAACTGCAGCCCAGAACTGGCGAAAGGCCTACCACCCTACTGTTGCCGAGACCGAAATCATGCCCTATCTCACTCCTGGTTTCTGTGATAACCCATGCTTAGACGATTTTTACTACCAGAACTCCAAGCATCACAATAAGCTTACACCTTCAAAATTCATTGAGGTGTTATGGACCCGGTTGTATGGCACATATTGGTATCTCGATGTTTGTCATGTGCTGGATAATCTACAGCAAGGAGAGGGTTCCTTCGCAGACCTGTACGACACCATAGGATCCCAGAACTGCCTCCTTGAAGGCAACCAGAAGTACTTGGAGGATGCACAACTGATTTCTTTACTGAAATCATGGATGCATGAGGATCTTTCTGAATGTTGCACTGGGGACCCTGAGATGTCCAGACTGTTCATCGCTATCACTAGTGGCAAAGCAGACACTAACAAGGACGAGACCGTTGCTTGATGGGCCAAACTTGTCGAGGCCAAGGATGAGAAACACAGGAGGGATCGTGACTGTAACCAAAGGGATGCACTGAATAAACTCAAACGAGCCCATACCAATGCCTTCCAGTCAAACTCCGCAGTCACTGCACCTATTAGCTCGTCCCATGCTTTTCCTCCATTCCCAAGCCATACGTACTCTGCACCTTTCTATAATCCTAACATTGCTGCACTCTCTGCCTCTTCTCAACCTCAGTTCCAGGTCCAACCTACTTTGCAATATACCGGTGGACAAATCCGACTCGCTCCTCGCTTTAATGAACTCGAAAAGTGGCTCATGTTCTTCCTTGCGCACTTCTGTATCAACTGCTGCTTCCCTTTCCAAAACCATCATAAAAGCGACAACATCTGTGACCCATGCCCCACAGCAGGATACAAGATACAAGATGTCAACTTCATCAACCATTGGGTACAGGCCCATCCTAATGGTTTTGAGAACTGCCATGTACCAGATCCAAATGTCACACCCCGACAACCACGCATGATTACAAATAAGGACATTGTGCATGCCATGGCCCATGTCCAGGCCAACAACAGCTCGGTACCTCAGTTCTTCCTTAATTTTGTGCAGACTCATGCTCATTCTTCTGTGGCTTCCTCCTCTAATGCTGTTCCCCTTGGCCAATTGTCTCATGTCACACCCATTCAACCAATTCCTCAGAACTTTGTTGCACCTATTATTCACAGTCACTCCTTCCCTCCCTCAAATGAACTTGCCCCTGCATTCCCTGATATGAAGGCTCCTTCTCGCCCTCCTTTGTGGGCCCCCTCCCATGCTGCACATATGCCCCAGTTTAGTAATTGCACTGTGGTTGGTGTCGATGGTGAAGACAATGGTTACATTGATGTTGATTCTGGCAACTATGATGAGCCTCTTTTCCCACCTGCTCACAATGTCCGCCCTTGGCATTCTTGCTCTTCCCTTTCGTCTAGCCTACTGCATGGCCATCATGTTGCAGATGTTCTCCTTCACCCTGCTCAAGTCGAGCACCTGGAACATGGTCGGTGGGCTGAAACTGAACCTCTGTGGCTACCTTCAGGACAACATGACCACTCTGGTAGCAGAGACGTGAGCTGGAAAGCTCATACCCCTGCTCACTCATGCCGGACTTGATGCCGCTCATGCTTGTTGATCCCTGAGAGGTCACAATCCCGCTCAAGGTCATGTTCGCACTTGAGATCCTGTTCTTGCTCCCTAGACCATGAGGATCGTGTTGACTTTGACCTCGTGAGTGAACACCAGCAATGTTAAGCACTAACTCTAATCTGAGCCAAGGCTGATCTCTATCCTGTCACTTGCATTCGGTGATTCAGTATTAGAGAGGCGTTGATAGATTGCGAGAAGTTAGGCTTCCCTTATAGCAAAAGCAAGGAGCTTGTAAGAGTTAGGAGTATATAACCTTAGCTGAAGCTGGGGTCTAAGGCCACAGCATAGGCTAGCTTAAATACATGTTAAACTTGTACTAAGAATAGTACCTACAAGGGCGTGTGCAGTGAGAAGTGCGCCTTTCAACAAATGAGAAGTGAGGACACTAAAAGAAGTGCACTCCCGACGAATGAGAGTAAAGAGTGCATATCACCTGCATCTGCATGGGACTCTGTCTGAATAGGCTGCATCCCATAGACCTGCCCTTGACTAGCAGTCGACTCCTGTCCAACTACTAAGAAGCATGATGCCATCAAGAGAAGCGTGATGGTGCATGTGGATCATCAGTCATCCAGGATGCGGCAGCTGTGAACTGGGGTGATGGCAACCGGGTAAATGGGTAAGGAGTGTGCCGGCAGAATATCATGGGTCCGTGGGATAAGATAGGTAGGTCTGGGGTTCCAAGGGATAAAGATAAGATAAGATAAGGAAAATAGGGGTAAAGTTGTAATAAGCAAGGACTTAAGGAAGAAGATATGAATGAGCGTCTTGAACCTCACACTGCTGTGTCCCCGGTGAGTCGTGATTCCTTGCCTGTTTGTGCTGTTAGTCTCCCAGCAGAAGATGGGGAGGCTGCCCCATTCTCTGAACCACATCTACTTTGGCATTGCACCATGTCAGACTTCTCCCCATCATCAGAGAATCTCTGCATGTCAGTTACTGCGATGATGGACATTGGCTCACTATTTGTTCTCATCAGGCCAGAAGTAGTGACTAGAGCTGGACTTTGGAAACATTGCTTGCATGAACCGATTACAATTGACATGGCTACACCTTCCACGTCTTCTAAGTCTTCTTTAACTGAGTATGTTCAGATTCAATTGCACAATACAGATAACCTCTATACCGCTTGTACCACTTGCACCATAATTACTCCTGGCCTCTGCACTGACATTATTCTGGGTCTGCCATTTTTATCCTACAATAATATTACAATCAGCTCTGCCTGTAGATCAGCCATTCATGAACCCTCTGGTTTTGACCTGTTACATCCTGTTGCCCCTCCTCCTCCTCCTCCTGCACGTCCTTCTTTGAAAGAGTCTATGTACATGACCTGTAGCCACATCTCTGCATTTCGTACTGAGCTTAAATCACATTGTACTTCTTTACGTGAATCTGTAGATGCCTGTTGCAAACCAGTAAAGCCCTTCAATGTTATTGGCGCTGTCTGAGAGTGGATTGAACAACTTGCACTGGTTGATCAGTGCAGTAAACTTGAGATCGATGTTAAAGAAGCATACAATGATATCTTCCAACCTTTACCCCATGTGGATGAGATGCCTGACAAAGTTACATGCAAAATAGAATTGAAAAATGCAGAGAAAACAATTACTTCTCGCTCCTACGCTTGCCCTTGTAAATTCTGGCAGGCCTGGCAGACCCTGATTAAACAACACTTGGATGCTGGCTGTATTCGTGAATCGTCCTCACCTCATGCGTCCCCAGCTTTCCTTATTCCTAAGCCAGATTCAAGTGTACTCCCTTGCTGGGTGAACGATTATCATGAATTGAATGCTAATATTGTGACTGATAAATACCCGCTCCATTGGATTGATGACATCTTAGCTGATGCTGGTAATGGCAAAATTTGGAGTAAGCTTGACATGACGGATAGCTTCTTCCATACTAGAATGCACCCAGATAGCATCCCATTGACAGCTGTCTCCACTCCATTTGGGCTTTATGAATGGACTGTAATGCTGCAAGGAATGAAAAACTCACCGTCCGTCCATCAACGTCGTGTGAATGATGCACTGCACGATTATATTGGCAAGATCTGTCACATCTACCTTGATGATATTATTATTTGGTCGCAGTCTTTAGAGGAACACCAGGAACATGTTCACCTGATACTGAATGCCTTACAGAAGGAAAGATTATATTGCAATGCTAAGAAGTCTGAGTTCTTTAAATATGAGCTGAAATTCTTGGGTCATAAAACCTTGGTCCATGGCATTGAACCTGATAACTCAAAAGTCGCTAAGATTCTTGACTGGGCAGTCCCTAAAACTGCAGGAGATGTGTGTGCCTTTCTTGGCTTAGTCTGCTACCTGGCTTCTTTTTTGCAAAACTTGGCTGAATTCACATCTGTTTTGACTCCTCTAATGGGGGTAAAGAGCTCTGTGGCGATCAACTGGACTGAGGAACATCAGACTGCATTTGATTCCATTAAGAAGCTTGTAGTTTCCACGGATTGTCTAACTGTTATTGACCACATGAACCCTGGCGATAATAAAATTTTTGTAACAATGGATGCTAGCAACAGGTGCATGGGTGCTGTACTCTCCTGGGGCCCTACTTGGGAAACTGTGCGACTAGTGGCATATGATTCCATGCAGTTGAAAGGTGCCCAGCTGCACTACCCTGTACATGAGAAGGAACTTCTGGGAATTGTTCATGCTCTCAAGAAGTGGAGGGTGGACCTTCTCAGAAATCATTTCTTTGTGTTCACTGACCATAGAACTCTAGAAAATTTCCAGACACAGAAAGCCCTCTCACATTGTCAAGCATGCTGGATGGAAGAGATGGCCCAATTCAACATGACTATCAACTACATCCGGGGAGAGGATAATACTGTCATGGATGCACTCTCTTGTTTGCCAGATAACCCTATCGAGATTGTACCTGATATGGATCCTAGTGAAGTAGACTGCTGGAAGTACTGGCTTGAAAGGACCAGATGGCTGACTGGTCCTGACCTCTGGGTAAACCAGAAGGTCCTGGGTTCAATCCCAGTGTAAGTCACAATTGGGAGGTTTAGTGAGTATTATGTAATGTTGAGTCTCACACTGTTTGGTAAAAAGCCATTCATGCGTAAATGCATTCCTACCCTGGCCTGATCGTGGTTAACACCACATGACTCAACGGCATGGACCAGGAACAACTATGTTGGGCTTGCGCTGATACGCCTGGTATCAGGCTACCCATAGATTTTGCGATTTTACATCAGTTTATGCAATCTACAAGCGGTACAGAGAGCTACAGTGGAGGCTTCGTGCTGGTAGCTAAATACTACATAAAGAATGAAAGCACGGCAGTACAGAACGGACTTAGAAATGACGTCTCGAAGAGTCAATTCTACCAGCCGTCAACATGCCAAGCTAAGCCCCACCTAAACAAGACTATTACAGTCAAATCTCAGGGGACTCGTCTGTATGGAGTATAAAAACCAAGAAGTTGAAGAATGGAATGAACTAGATGCCTCGTCGCCTCAACGAGTAGAAAGAACCTGTCAAGAAAAAATTGCTAAGTCGAGAAACAGATCAGCTTTCGAGATCAACTCAGGCTAGGAAAGGAATAACCTTGGAAGAATGAATAGCCGCATTGGGTACCGAGATGACCGACCTTGATCATGCAGTGATCAACAGAATATAATCTCGGACCTGCAGTCGATCACTGATCAGTGGTTACATCCTCGAGATCCTGCGCATACCACAGTATTCCATACATACGGCACACGGCAAACCTTGCAGATGGAAGAAGGAGCACCCACGGACTAGTAGGGCACTCCTCGGCGACAGAATAACCCAGGTGCAGTCGTGTCGAACTGAATAGAAACTACGGAATGGTGTGCATACTTGTAGGATAGTGACTCACCGTTTGTATTAATTCCAAAGCTCATACCATAATTACTGTAGATACGGGCTCCTATACCTAGAACACGAATTGTATAAATTAGCAGTGACTAGATGCATAACTGGCAGGAAAGCATTCCCCTACGTTTGTGCTAGTAGCCTGTATAGCTACCTAATCAATCACTGGTTTTATTGCATATCCTCGACTGAAGTGAATTAAGTTACCAAAGTCAACCCATAAGGGCGACTACAGTAATCTAGAAGAGTTAAGTAGGAAGTAGAGCCGTCCCCACGTTTGCGCCTTGCTAGTTAATTGAACTGCTCCATGGACAAAGGCCTCGTGCTCTCTCTCTCCGAGATTAGCGATCTAGACGTGCTGAGTCGACTTTAAGTCAAAAGACCTCATCTAGTTGAAGTAAAATAAGCCCTAGAATGCTTTAAGTTTGAACAATCGTCGAGTTCAAGGAACTCCAGAGTCTGTGTACTCTTTGCAAGTCTCGTACTTGAAGTCAGAACCTGTGCGTTCTTTGTAGAGTGATTTCGCACTCTTTGTAGACCTCGGAGTCTTTGGTTGTTTGATTATTTGAAGTGTCCGCTAGAAGCTCTTCTAGACGACGTCAAAACGAGTATAACTTGCTCGACTATACCTTGCAAAACAAGTTCATAAAACCCCGCTATCGTGGACTAGTGTACTTTGTGTAAAACACATCGAAAGAAGAATTGAAGTTGTTTTCAGACAAAACCCCACTAGATTATCTAAATCTAAGTACATCGCGAGTGCTTCTATCATACTCACCCTCGAACTTATATACATTGGTGATAGTGTGTGTGTGTGTGTGTGATTTAGTATCTAGATTGACGATCTAGATGCTTGTTTCATTTGCGCACTGCCCATTACCGAGCACATCAGTGCTCTACGATGTCTCAGGAAATGACTATGTCAGGGCTTGAGATAACTGTGCCACCAAACAAAAAAAAAAAAAAAAAAAAGTACTGGCTTGAATAGTCTGGCCAGGGTCCGGTTCAGTCCAGGTTCAGGCACATTTGCCTGAACCTCGAGGTTCACTCTCCACTCCCTTGAACCTCGGACCTGGACCTGAGGTTCAGGTCCAAGAGGTCCAGTTCAGGTCCAGTTCAGGTTCGGACCAGGTTCAGCAAAATTTTTGCTGTATACAATGAGTATAGAAGGGATGATAGTAGATACAAGTAGAACTTGTCAACTAGCTAA